CTCTGTAGGACCCTTGGAAGACGCCACACAGGTACCTAAGTCGCAATCAGTGAGAATGATGAATGTGATGTGATGGCTATTTGACTGCTTACCGAGCGATTTGAACTTGTGACTGTGTCCTACTACGCTGGGTTGCTGATCTCTGGACACACTGAGTAGCCGGAAAAGTCTGACGGGTTCTGACGGGAAAAGGCATGAGTGTTGTTCACGGTAACATTAAAAAACGCGGAGGCAAGCCTGCAGCTGCAAGCGGAACCAATGCGCCACCTTGAAATAGAGCCTGCCGAATAACCATGCGGAAGTCGGTACGAGATGCATCCCTGAAATGCAGGAAGCGCTGAACAAGAGATTAGATTTGGTTCAAGGTGAAACGCCAGTCCAAATGGCTCGAGCATGGTGACTCGAAAGGCTCGGTCGATACCTCGGGCATGAACTCCGCGACTGGAATTTGAAGTTTAAGGGGGATGACTCGTCTTGTGTGGCTGGTTGCTCGCGAACTTCGACCTTCTAATGATTAAGTTTGCGGGTATTAGGCTGAGAGTTGTTGCATACTAAATGAGAACACGCATATTCTACACGAGTTGTGTTCATGAGATCATACCCAAATTCATCATTGTTTGCCCAAGTCAGTAAGGTACCTGACGCCGTACTTGAGTAGCATTTTACCTCCGCTCTTTCTGGTATCTGTTATTCAACTGATCGGAGTACACGATATATTGGTCCTGCTCAAGGTGCTGTTTCTTTAATTCCGCGGTACACTTGACATAACTCTGAAAACATGAGGCATAATGATCAGATAGCAATTGACAGAGGGCTCCATCGTGCGGCACCGAAAGAGCGAGTCAGCTCTTGAGCCACAGACAGACGGCGTCTTTCCTCTGCCGAAAACACAGCCTGCTTATCATCCTTCAAACTGGTAGCCTTGGTGAAAGGGTCGCCTATCACAGGACATACTATGTCCGGGTCAGGCAGCGTTCCACTGAAAAAGTAGTCCCGGATATATTGCTGGGTACAGAGAGAAGGAGCGGCCAACGAACAGTGCTACAAAGTTGCCATGAGGACAAAAAGAATTACCGCAAGAAGAGTGAGAGCGTTACCCCTGGTGAATCTTGAGTCAGAACCACGGAGCCCGTGAACCCTTTCGACATGTGCTTCGCCCTATGGAACTGTGAGTCAGAGATAAGGAAGCCGCCACAAGCAGGGTCGACATACGCAGCTAGAGGAGTAACCGGATCTATTCAGAGGCATGAGCCACAAACGTAGAGTGTACTAGTATTTGACTTACCGGCCGTATTTCCGATGAGCAACAACGGATGACTGGTGTTCGCAATGAAAGGACCTACAGACATATAACTTGAAGGTCAGAGAGCTATAGGTTCTCCGGGCTCACCTTGGAAGTGATTCTTCGGTAACTCAGGCCATCCTCTGAAAGTGATCAGGATTTGAATTTAAATCAGCCACTAACATCACTCACGAGCAGCTAATTCGTATTCCGGCCCACAAACTTCCCCAGTCGAACGCTGCTGTCATTTCATCATAATGATCTTGGGCAGCCTTCAGGCTTCTAGGAACAGGAGCGCCGTCGTTACACATAATGGCCGTTGGCGAATCTCTGACAGATGCAAAAGCTGTCGTTGAAGGGTCGCAAGAACATTCAAAGGTCTCGAGTGGCATCGTCATCGTGAACAGAAGTGCTCCATTCCCCGACTCCAAGTCTGCGAGAGCTTGCGCCAGGATGGGGTAGAAGGTTCGTGGGGCATACAGCGATATGAAGATAGTCATACGAAGACGAGGATAATCCAGTATCCCGTACGACGATTCCAGCGCCACTGGTACCGGATTTATACGAATGTTCTTGTACAGAGCATCGAGCCTGTTGGATATTGCTTTCGGACTATCTGCATAGAAAGGACAGTTCTGAGGACCGGCTTTAAAACATCCATCGAAGAAGGCTTGCAGCGCCTTGTCAGAGTCTTCTAAGTTGTTGGACCATAGCGCTAATTGGGTCTGGTCGAAATACGCGACAAATCAGTGGGAGGGAAAACTCACTGGCATAGTAGTTGTCTGCATCGACAACGCCGTCAATAATGATCCGCCCTACGTTATCCTAGTTAAAGTACTTCAGAGTGGAAGCTCGGGTTTAGTTCAGTCGACATACCGGAAATATGGAGGCAAAGACTGCGCCTAGGACAGTCCCGTACCTAATACGACTTCATTCGTGGACGGTAACTTCTTGAATAGTACAACGTACGAGAAACCCCAATATTGTATCTTTTCATATCCATATGCTTGCGTGATCTTGAGCATATCGCGCGCAGTATGGTCTGTATTGATGTGGGCTAAAATGCCCGTATCATGTTCAGCAGCAAGACGACCAGTGATAGCGGCCTTTGCCCAAGCCATTGAGACCCCTTCAGGTTTGCCGCCAAGTTCCTCCACCACGTTATAGGCCCAGAGTTCCCGTTCAACATCAGTGTCAAAGAAGGATACACGGGCCGAACGAGCGACGCCTAGAAGATGGATATCAATGGGTGGGAGTCAATGGTCAGGAAAGTGATGCTCACCGCGAGGATCGAAGCTAACGATATCAAACCTAGAATCAAAAAGCTCCGAGAAGATGGGTCCTGTTGTACGAAGAAGATCTACACCACTTCCGCCAGGTCCACCAGGATTGAAGAGGATGGGTCCCAAGTAATCAGAGGAGTTTCTCTGGAAACTGGAGGGGTACTGAACGATTGCGATAGCAATCGTTTCGCCTTCCGGCTCAGAGTAGTTGAGGGGGACCTTCGCAGATGATATTGAGATACTATGAATGGCGGAAGAACAGCAAGTGCTTACCTTCAGACGTGTACATTGAAAATCGATATAACAGTCGACCCATTCCAATTTATCACTTGGTGATACCTAGGAAAGTCAAGCGTATGAGAACGTGCGAAGAATTGTGAACTGACGTGAGCCCAGTGAAATGGATCTTCAATGTTCAGGCCAAGTACGAATGAAAATGCTTGCAGGAGAAAGAATAGGAATAAAACTTGAAGAGTCGACGATTCCATCTTTCAGACGAGATATCTTTACAAAGTACCGAGCAACTAGCAGTGATGGTCGAAGCTAGAGAATAGAAATGTTCATAGAGGCGCTGCACACGTTCCGCCGAAAATAGAATTGTACACGCGTCCCTGCCGTTGTCGGCTATCAAGGGCAGAGCACCTATGGGAAATATGCCAAGCTGTCTGCATAATTCCTAAGCTCAAGAGTTAACAGAAGGTAATTAGATTTGTTGGGGTCAGCCGCAAAAGTCCAGGACCGACATCAATGTGAACTAACAGTGGTGGCCGTCCGCCTTGTCAAAGGATATGCGCCGCTGGTATCGAAAGTGGGGAGGGTGCAAGGATACCTTAGACCTCTCACCCTATAGATAAAACCCTGGGTCGATCTTGTCAAGTGGATATTGAATGTATTCGGTATCCTACGACGTCGTCTTTTTCACTAGAGAATGGGAGCACCAGCGGACCTTCGTTGTAGCTGGATAATAAATTATAAACATTACAGATGAAGCCATATTGATACAAGATAGTAAGGGTCGATCGAGGTGCTGAAGACTATGAAAAGATCCTTTCGAAAAACCTTTTGTCGTGGATGACTTCAACGACCTTGTTGACAAGGGACAGATCTACTATAGATCAGAACATAGATCACAGAGCACACGAGTTAGATGACGCACCAAGATCCTCGCCCATACCCACTACAGCCATCATCTTAAGCGTACCAGCGTCCACCACCGTACCAATGAACTCGGCGTATGTAGAGGTAAACTTCGTGTCCTGTTCGTAGACGGTCAAGAATGAAACCACACAGAGACGCAGACACACGCACCCGTATCAGTTGAACAACAACCTCTCCGTCATCACTCGTCGTCACCGTCGCGCTCCCTCCATCGGACGAATACTAGGTAGGATCCACGTATCACGATCCAGGACAGACGCGACACAGAGCTAAACTCACAGTTTTTATTTTGCATGGCAGCCTGACGGTCTTGCCAATGAAGCGCTGCATATGCGCAGAGTTGACGCGAGGAGAAATGTCAGTATTGGTGGACATGGTAGGTGAAAGAGAAGACGCGGTTGTGGCGTGAGAAGCACGTGAAGCGTGATTTCAGTGCCGACGGTGTTTACCGACGCGCCTTAGCATTGTTTGCATTAATTTTGCGTGACGCGAAAGCTCTTGTATTTTCGGCCCGGTACACCGTCCTTCCCGAGATGCCCTTCAACGATGATATGATGAACATGTTCCGCCAATGAATACTACCGCAGTTGACAAGGCCTGTGGTTGCTACCCGATCTACTCATGATCTTTCGGGCTTCCTCTCCCCCCTCTAACTCCTTCCGTAGTTTTCAGCGAATTCTAGCGAACCAGTACGTATCGATCGCAAGCCCCGACGTGTTACCGTCATATATTGCAGGAAAGAATATACAAGAGAAGACCTCGAAGCGAGGTTCAATGGTATAAGCGGAGTTTTATGGTATGTTCGACCCTTTTTTCAGGGAATTTGTTGCAGGATCCATGTGTAGACTCGGAGATAAAACAGCGCCGTTTTTCTATAGGCCTACAATCAGCCTCGTTTTCTGTCATGGAACAGCCAGTATCAAGTAATTAAAAAGCGATGATCATTTATATCTACTAAAGTAACGATACAAGAGAGGTATACTTATGGTTCGTGCCCAAAGAGCAAATCACAGCTACACTACCACTTGAGAGTGCTGACAAGACAAGCAAAGACAGAAAGAACGAAGTACGAGTACGCGATTATGTACTACGAATAATGATATATACAATAGAAGCGATGCATACGTCAAGAAGAGAGACCCATACAATCGGAGAGAGACGAGAAGACAAAAAAGAGCGGGTAGTAGTTTGATACAATCAGATCCTGAATGAATAGATAGGGCCGGGAAAACGTAGAAAGATTTAACGTGGAATAAATAGCTTGGTCGATACACACGATGGGGGGGGGGGGGCTTTAAAATTCAAGAAACTGGTAAGATATGGGGTCGAAGCGTTCAAAGATGGTAGCGGGTGCTTCCTCTCTAAGGAGGCCGGGCATCTCGTCAGGCGGTGGAAGGGGCTGGGCCAGGAAATGTCGGGTATCGTCTCCGGAAGATGTCATGGGGACAATGGGGGCCTGACCGAATGGACGTAAGTCTGAGAGAAAAAGATACTAATTCGGGAAGACTCACGTTTATTTCCCGCCTCTCCAATGCATCCCAATCCACACCTCTAAACCAGGCATGGTCCAGAATATCTTGGGGACCACCAATCATGTTTCCCAACCTCTGGGTCCGATCTGGATTCAGAAAGGCTTTAACAAGACTCTTGGAAAGTGGGTCCATGGTCTTCGGCCAGTGGATGTGACCATTGAGAATCTTCTCGTAAATTCCGTACGGCGATTCGTCAAAAAAGGGCGGATAGCCGACTAGCATTTCGTAGCATAGAACTCCACATGCCCACCAATCAGCGGCTTTACCGTGGCCATCGGATTGGATGATTTCGGGAGCAAGATATTCGGGTGTCCCACACAGGGTCCAAGTACGATCGTCAACAATCTTTGCAAAGCCAAAATCGGTGAGACGGAGGTAGCCACGAGAATCAAGGAGGAGATTCTCTGGTTTGAGGTCTCGATAGATGATGTTGAAAGAATGGAGATATTTAAGCGCTAAAATGATAGTGGCGAGATAAAACCTAGTGACATCTGGGGTGAACCTGTGGGCTCTGCGAAGGTGTGTGAAGAGCTCTCCGCCGGGGACGTATGACATGAGCATATAGACATTCAAACTGTCCTGGAATGTGGCAAAGAGGTCGACAACGAAGGGATGATGCACCCTTGAAAGGATGTACCGCTCGGCATTGACATGCTCGACTTGTCGGAGACGGACGATTTCCGTCTTGCGCAGCACCTTCATCGCAAAGTGACTCTGGGTGCCTGTTGATCCTCGATGTCGGACGAGGAGGACGCGACCAAAGGTTCCCGTCCCTGGGGGCATATTGTGAGGAAATAGAAGGCGTCAAAGAGGCTGTTGACTCACCTAGTACGCCTCTGACCTCGAAATCCGTCAACTTGAGACCGTTTTTCTGGAGGTGGACCTGCTCATCCTCGAGTAAACGTAAAGGCCGCTGTGGGTTCTCTATTGACGGTGCTACTGCAGCTGGGGCAGACGGCTGGGACTGGTATTCGACGTCGGGACCACTATAGCGTGGCTCGACGTCGACAATGATAGAATCGTCTCCATCGTCCATTTCAGCGTCCTCTATGGTGAGTGCACTGCGACCTGGCGACAAAGGAGGAGTTATAGGTGCATCTGTTACGATGGCCTGGGAATCGCGTCTGAGTGAGGCGGCGTTGGAGGTACGGGTAGACCTGGTAGGGAGAGCAGCGAGGTCGGCGGGAGGGTAAGGCATGGAAGCAGAACGTGGCATTTTGAGAGAAGCAATCGTCATCGTTGACGAAGAGGACGCCAAAAGCGGTGATTAGGCAAGACTGAGAGGGGAAGGACCAAGGGGTGCACTACTTTGTCGGTAACCAAGCAGAAAAGAAGCCAACTATGTAGAGCTTATGAGAATCACCGATACCATGTGGCCCGCTCGGTACCAGTAAAACTTTCACTCACCTCTTTACAACGATTTGTCCAGCGACAACGACAACGAACACCGCAGCTGCTCAACGACCGCCAAGCTCGGGGCCAGACACAGATCACCACCTGGCATCCACCAAATTCGAATAATTTCGAATATTCGGCCCATCAAAGTCAATCATGCTTGTCCAAATCTGGCCAAATCATGACGTCCATCTCATCACACGTGATCTTGCGCGTCGCGCCGTATTGATCATGATCGCGCTTCAAATGAGCGTTGCTACAGTGCCGTAATGAACAACAGGCCCAGGAACGAGGATTGCAGGACTTGAGCTGACAACGACTACATAGTACCCTCTCCTCTTCTCCCAAGCAAGCAAGCTGTTCAATCAACCGCTCGGTATCAAGAATGCTTCATCATATTGATCAAGTTAAACATAGACTCCTCTGCGTCGCAGAAGGTATCCATGCCTTTCGGTAGTATGATGATGATGATGGTACCATATCACTCCGGGTTCATTACGGCATTCAGTATAGCCTCATAAGCGGCTCCATCACAAATGGACGGTCTGGCCTTCTGCCATGCGCTCTAGGCTGGATTTGGTTTGTATTCCAACACGACCCGTTAGCAGGGAAGAATCAACCACAACGCCAACCATTCAACGCTTGACCTTCTCTTCAGTCTAGCGGATATGATGAATTAATTAACAACGAAGATCATATAGACAATTATGGACCAACCTCCTTACAGCAGCCTTGGCGCTTCAGCCGCTTCCGGCGCCGAGTTGTGGGGTAAAGGCCCACCAACAATCCCGCGAACCGCATACTCTGATATATTCGACGAGTACATGCTCATATTCGGGCTTCAAATACAGCACCGTCGCCCGAAACCCCGAAGGCGCTGATTTCCAATTAAAGCTATCATGGCGCGGAAAAGGCGCTCTGGAATATCGTCCCTGAGCCCCCCTTCAATCCAGCCGTTAAGTCCATGGCCACGACAAATTCCCTGTCTGCCACAGGCTAGGCCCACCAATAGTGACTCTGGGATGTCGCACCAGGAAAGACAAGCGCCCGACAGTCAATTCAAATGAACGCACAACATCTCTCTATGATTCTCGGTCAGACGAGAGATGAAAATCCGGCGAGAATGATTGACGCCACCTGATGTCCCTGGAATGTCAACTTTTAAGCACACGAAGCCTAGATCAATCACAATTATCTAAGAAAAATTCCACAAAAATTCCAGGATGATCCAAGTACAAAATGCGACAGAGGATACTAAATACAATGCATGGAATAATGAATGACTATCGAAAAGAAGAAAAGAAAAAGTCTACATACTCAAATCACAAACAATCAGCATCAACCATATCCAACAAACTCCCCCCAGGCTGCTTCGCACCACTCGACACATACCCCAACAGCTCCTCAAACACCTCAGTCCTCTGCTTAAACCGCTCAGCGTCCATCTCCCCCTCCGACTCGACGGGGTCCGCAGCCCTGCCGGAGCGAATCACCATTAATCGATAGACGCTCCATACCCATTCCTATACCAGGCTTAGCGCTGAACACCTCGTTCGTCCATACTTCCGAGTCCGTATCATCCTCGGGTGTATTTGGCCGCGAGCGCTTTCGAGGCGGCGAGTCCTCGTGCTCCGACGGGTACTTTTTGGCTACTGGCGTAGGCGACTGTGGCGTCAACAGATGCGTGAGCAAGGACCGGAATAATTCCGTTTCTGTTGGATCATTGTGGTCTACGACGCTCGACACCTCCGTTTGCAAGAACGCTAGAGCTTTTACTTGGGATACTGTCTCACTCATTTCCCGGAACCTACCAGAACGGAATAATTGAGCGGTCGATCATACAAAACCGAAATTGGACGACAGCTTACTGTTGTTGTCGAAGTCGGAATTTCGCTCTGCGTATAATCTCCTTGACTGCGGGTCTACTCAAATCAGCCCTTCGAACACAGATGAAATCTGAAGCGATGACATACCGAACAAGGTTCATACGCCAAAAATCATCAAGCCGCGTCTCCTTACCGCCTTCCTCGCCATCAACAGCACGCTCCATAGCCCCAGTGATACCCGCATTCCCACCATGCATGAACACCGTCTTCGTACTTGGGTCATACACCACCTGATGCGCATACCGGGGAACAGGTTCTTGACACGGATGGCGACTCTTTCGCTCCTGCTGTTCAGGAAGAACTTTCACCCATTGTCCCGGTCGTGTATGATACCGGAAAACCCAATTCGGCGGTTCTGATGGGAGAACGGTCAGTGAACCAGCATGAGGGGCTCGCGTAAGACCACAGAATCTGGGACGTAGGAATCAAAATATTGCATGAAAATCGTATTTTATCACGCTCACATGTATAGCTCCTTCAGGCGAGGATCAATGACGGCTCGTTGAGTGAAACATGCATCCGGTCCTCCAGAAGCAGTGAAATTCGAGAATAGTTCCGTGACGGTGTTGGTGGCGATGTCGTAGGCATACATATCAGACAAGTACTTATCATCCCGTTGGCCAGCAAAGATGAACAGCGTCTTTCGTCGTTGGCTCGAGTACCATTGAATGTCCTAGAGCAAGATTAACCAATATTAATGAACACGGAGCTGAATATACTCACCGAAGCGAGAAGGAATGTTCTTGCCCGAAGGGTCTGTCGGACTATATACACAATCAGTAACAGAAAGCAGACAAAAAGGAACTAAGTTACTGAAGATGCTTCCACTTGCTCAGACGCACGTTGTAACTGTAAAGTCCCGAATACTTGACAGCCACATCGTCGTCTACAACTCGCCCGCCAAAGATATACACAATCTGAGCATCACTATCCATAACCATTTGATGATCAAATATCAGCGGTGGCCCGCCTGATGCCTGAAACAATATCCATACATCAGCTCATCTCACCCAAAGATCCACAATCCAAGCGCACCGCAGTATCAAAAGCCAGATAATCCCACTTCCCAGAATCCGCGCCACGAGTATGATACCTATAAAATTCCGAACAGGGCACAGCAGGAGCCGAAGGAGTCGCAGTCTCCGTCCTCGCTTCGCTAGAGGGCCTCAACGAATCACCATCTCCCAATCTCCCAAACACATATATACTCCCAGTCTTGGAATCAAACACCATCTTATGGCAAGACCGCGCCCCTGGTGCATTCTGCTCTGAAGAGGTACTATGGCAAAGAACGCGCCACTTGTCATCCTTGATATCGTATGCCCAGAAATCATCCAAACTCTTCTGGCCGTCCCAGCCACCAAAGAGGTAGATGATGCTCCGCGCAGTGTCGATACACATGGCGTGCCCACCGCGAGGGCAAGGGACGTCCCCGTCTGCATTAGTACCATGGAGCCGCTGCCATACAGCATGAGGCTGGCAGGACTGGAGGTACTCCGTAAAGAGCCCCGCATCCGAGATTTGTACGAGGAGTCGCTCGGCGTCGTCCCAGCTTCCCGCGCAGAACGATAGCATCGTAAAGTTCAGACACTAGCGGGATGCTCAACACGGAGCCCGGCGCGCTCGAGGATGGTTGCGTAGGGAGAGAGAAGTCGGCGTTGCCGGAGGTGCTTGAGGATGAGCCGGAGGGCAGTTGTTTCGCGAAATTCGTCATACTCTTTTTGGACGTTCTGGATATATGCGTGGTCTGAGATGCCTGTCCAAGGAGATGAACCATATTGAAGGATGAAAACCAGGGCGAATGGGAGCTGTTTTTTGAGTGTAAGAAAAGATACAGCCACGAATACCCAGCAAGGACGCACGATATGGGTATTATCTTCACGAAGCACGTAGGAAAGCACACGCCCGAGCTATTGGTATGTCGAATAGAGAACGTTTCGGGTATACTGTCGTTCTTGAGTACGCCACGAAATATTTCAGTCATATTGTCTTCTGTCATCCCAACGGATATCTGGAATTCCTTCACGTTGCATGGATGAGCTAGACGGCTTCTTTAGTTGCGGATCCATATCGCTGAGAAGACCACGTACCTTTAATGTGCTGGGCCGCCCCAGATTCAGCATGGCGTAGCATAGACGGACGGACAACGCACCTTTCCAAAAGTTATGCTTTCTTGATTGCCAGAAAATGTCAGTAGGGCAACACTATTAACGAGTTCGGGATACTCAACTGACAACAGCGAGCGAGTCGAGACGTAAAAGTATCCATTGTTTTGTAGCGCCATGTGTTGCTGCACCACTCCATCTGCTTGATTGGTCGGATGGATTGTCGACGAGTATGTTTTCAGGTGCATATTGGCCGCTGTGAGGAGAGCCTTGGGCGATGGAATATGAGAGCGGAACGGATGGCTTCATGGTGGTCAAAGGTCAAGCCAAGTCAGGTACCGTGCCGATGTTTCCGTGAATTTACATCTCAAATCTCAAAATTTATATGTGACTGCGTTGAAATAACATTTCTACAATTCCAGGGATACAAGTGATGTAGGTGTAATTACCATCCACCAACGAATTGACTATCAACGGTGCAGGGATATCTAACGTTGTATAAATTGTACTGAGGATAATGAGCGGCCCGTCCTACACTATAGCAATTCTGTCGTGCTTGGCCTAGCTTTAGTTGGTAAGGCGCGCGATGAGCGGAGTAAACCTCTAGAAGATATTCATCTTGGATGGCCTACAAGCACGATTAGCACTAGAATATCATGAAAAGGATAGGCATACCTGACTCGAATGTATACAGCAACAAGGATTACAAGCGGCGCAATAGCATAGGCAAGTACGCGCATGGGCAACGATAAATACTTTGTTCCCCAGTGCGAATACAATCCCCCAAAATTCGCCGTCAATAACAACAGAGGGAACAAAATGTACCCAGATATCCTGTTCAGAAGTCAGACGCATAATACCAGCAACCAGGACCGTGCACGGACCTATGATACCGCCAAACAAGCTTCGCCTTCATCCCTCCCCCAAACGCCGCCCCACCAAACCACACACTACCTCCCCCAACACCAATCTGCACGAGTATCCAACACATACACATCAATCCCAACTTGCCATGCCAAGTAGTAAAGTGACTGTGATCGCGAATATGTTTGTTCCACCACACGGCAAACGTCCCGAGGGTGATTATGGGGAACGCGCAGACAAAGATGGCGAGTTGATGGCGGTTCAACCCTGCGGCTTTGGTTTTGGGATGAGAGGTGGGTTGGAGGGTTAGGATACCTGTTGGATTTAAGCGCCGGCGAGGTGATACTTAGTAGGGATTGGCGAACCGTAGATGATGAAACTTAAAGCCAGGGACTGGAGGGTGGGGTGTAAAGAGAACCATGCGACGCTTGTGGGGTCGTTGATGAGGACAGTGATCCAAGAGACAACTAGGAAGAACTATAGACGATATTAACGAGGATAGCCAACGCAGACGAAAAGACATACCGCCGTCGCGCCCTGCCAACAAAATGATTACCTCTGCAATGCTACACCAGAATTGTTGGACATACCAAAGCAGTATACAAAGCTACAACATCGCCATTCCGGACCTCTGGCTTGACAAGTTGCTCTTCCTGACCCATCGTGTGGTCGTCTTCCTGTCCCGGCGGAAGCAAAAGCTCGTAGTCTTCTTGGTTAGTTTCCTCTGGCATGGCTTATAAAGACTTCATGGGGTCTGCCACGTATCCTGAGAGGGTGGATATATTAAACTTGGTAAGGATCCAAGCTAACGGGGCGGGAAACCCGATGTACGTGATTGGCTGCGATAGTCGGGTTTTATCAGGATGACATCGCAAACTTAGTCACCCCGCGTAATCGTGTTCAGGTCAAATCCTCTGTTTATAAATGCACACCACTAATCCACCCAATCCATGTCCATAAAACTCATCCTCTTCTTTCTACTGTCTGCCATATCCGCCATCATTCCTCCTTCCCCGTATAACCTTCTTCAAACGTACCTCCGAGTCCAAAGCATCCGGTCCATCATGACGTCATCCCTTCCAATGAACCAAACCGAATGGAAAGCCGCGTTGGACTCGCTCCCATCCACTCCGGATAACATACCCGCTTTCTTCTACGCTCACGGCAGTCCCTTTCTCGCATACCCGGAGCATCTCGGCCACGGTGGGGGACTCACAGATTGGCAGGGCCCCAAGGGTCCTCTTGCTAAGTTTCTCAAAGACTTTGGTCCGGTATTATTGCAAAAGTACAAACCCCGCGGAATTGTCGTGTTCAGCGCCCACTGGGAGACTTTGGGCGAGAGACTAGGTGTGTGTCCGGCGATCACATCCCTGCGTCTCCTCACACCCATTTATAGTAACCGACTATGGCTCCGAGAACCCGTTGTTAATGGACTACTATGGCTTCCCAGCTGAATTGTATAAATTGAAGTTTAGGTCCAAAGGTGATTCAGGCATCTCCCAGCGAATCGTGCAGTTGTACAAAGAGGTATGCAGTATCGTCTATCAAATCACCGCGTTTTGACATCCTTCAGGCCAACTATCTCGTCCGCACCACCACCAAACTCGAATCTCGCGGCGAAGATGGACGTGGCTTCGAAGGTCCTGGACTAGACCACGGTGTCTTTGTTCCATTCAGATATATGTTTGGTGAAGAATTTATGGACACGCCTATTGTCCAAGTCTCCATCGACTCCTCCTTGTCCCCCGAAGCCAACTGGAAGCTCGGCAAGACCGTAGCTGCGTTGAGGTTAGATTTCACACATGCCTCTTCAATTCAATGATACATCTCTCCTCTAGGGAAGAAGGCATACTCGTCCTTAGCGGAGGCTTACCTATCCACAATTTACGCGACTTTTCCTCCTTTGATCCTAATTCAGCAAAGCCAATTGTCAAGGACTTTGACAAGGCCATTCTAGATGCTGTAACAAAATCGGAGGTACGTCCTCGTCCTTTAATAGCGCCCAGATCTAACTCTCTGTCTGTAGCCTGAGGAACGGAAACAGGCCATGTTTAACCTAACCAAGCACCCTGGATTCCGTGCAGCCAACCCCAGAGAAGAACACTTTGTCCCGTTGTACATCGCGGCTGGAGCTGCAGAATCTGGCAAAGTGAAGGTTCTGAATGCGTTGTATGGGATACCCACCATAGCATTCGGATTGTGAATTTTCAGTTTGTTTAATCTTTAATTATTTAACGAGGGATATCTCGTGTGGTTTCCGATCTGGCTTCAGGCGTGGTTCTTCCCTTGGCCAGCTCCTTTGCGATTTTGACCATACTCGTTGCTTAAGCAAGACTCAGTGTCTGAGCATCAGTCGGGTTCACGCGATGTCGATATGGAAACTGTTACAAGTTCAGTCGTATCCGCATCCTGCTCGTTGTGGGAGCGTAAATCAGTTTCAGCTTATCTAATCGCTTATTCCTACCTTTGTATTTTTTTTATCGTATAATAATCTGCCCTTGATAAAAAATAGCGGGCGGTCATTGCCTAAATAGTAACTCAAGATAATTGACACATGCTTGGCAACGCCTTGCTTCACGCGTTTCTCGCGTCCTCCACCACCCACCATGCCCCGCGAAATCGTGACAGTGCAACTAGGCCAATGCGGCAATCAAAGTAAAAAGTTCCTCCTGTTGCGTCTACCTCACCATCTAACCTCAAACCAGTGGGCTCCGTGTACTGGCAGCGCCTCTGCGCCGAGCATGGCATCAACAAAGAAGGCATCCTCGAGGAATGGGCCACCGAAGGAGGCGACAGGAAAGATGTGTTCTTCTACCAGGCTGATGACGAGCACTACATCCCACGCGCTATCCTCGTCGATCTCGAACCGCGGGTGAGTGAACCCCACTCCTTCTTTCTTCTCCACTAAGCCCCTCCCTTCAAGGTCATCAACAATATCCTAGCCTCACCCTATGCGAACCTCTACAACCCCGAAAACATATTCGTCTCCAAGGACGGCGGTGGAGCAGGGAACAACTGGGCGCAGGGGTACGCAGCGGGAGAGAGGATCTACGAGGAAGTCATGGAGATGATCGACCGCGAAGCTGAAGGGAGCGACTCGCTCGAGGTACGCCTACCCACCCTCTCCCCTTCTCCCTCATAACCAACCCACACCAAACCCCCAGGGCTTCATGCTCATGCACTCAATAGCAGGCGGAACAGGCTCCGGCCTCGGCTCCTTCCTCCTCGAACGCCTCAACGACAAATTCCCCAAGAAGCTCATCCAGACATACAGCGTCTTTCCCAACGCCCAGGAAGGTGACGTCGTCGTGCAGCCGTACAACTCGATTCTCACGCTCAAGCGGCTCGTGAACCACGCGGATTCCGGTGGTGGTGCTGGATAATGGCGCGTTGGCAAGGATATCGGCGGATAGGCTGCATGTGCAGACTCCGACGTTTGATCAGACGAATCAGCTGGTATCGACTGTGATGGCAGCTAGCACACAAACACTTCGATATCCTGGGTACATGAACAACGACCTCGTCGGGATAATCGCGTCTTTGATCCCCACGCCCCGGTGCCACTTCTTGATGACCTCCTACACGCCCTTTACCAGCGACCAAATTGACAAGGCGCGTCACTACCCAGCACCTGCATCATTGTCCACGCTAAATTCATCCTAGGCAAAACCCATCCGACGAACGACCGTCCTAGACGTGATGCGCCGTCTCCTGCAAGCCCAAGAACCGCATGGTCTCCACAACACCCAGCAAAACAGCGTGTTATATCTCTATACTGAACATCATCCAGGGAGACGTCGATCCGACCGATGTGCATCAGTCACTTCCTACGAATTCGAGAACGGCAGCTCGCGAATTTCATCCCGTGGGGTCCTGCTTCGATACAGGTAGCGCTGACGCGGAGATCGCCTTATATACAGACGAATCATCGTGTTAGCGGTTTGATGCTCGCTAATCATACGAGTATTGCCTCGGTGCGTGTGTGTTATCTTCCTATTGCTATTTCATACTCAACCTTTTCCTTTCTCAGCTATTCAAACGCATGCTCGACCAATTTGACAGGCTGAGAAAGCGGAATGCGTTCATGGAGCAGTACAAGAAGGAGAAGATGTTCGAGAATGGTCTGGAGGAATTCGATGATGCACGGTATGTTTTTCATTGGCAGTTGTTGTCGGGTCTTGACTGATTTTCTCATGCAGAGCAACGTGTGATGAGCTATTGAAAGAGTACAAGGCTTGTGAGAGTCCTGACTACATCACATATGTAAGTGCAAGTTCTTGTATGAATGGCTGCAAAGTGATGACATTGATTTCAGGGTGGTCCCGAGGACGCATCATGATCCGATTCCGTTCCATTCGCATCTCCGATATTTATCTCCCTTGTATCTCTTTGTAGTATCGCACACAATAAGTAATCTCATCCAAATGGCTAAAAGCATCTATTCAACAAAACATGACAACGTAGTCTACATGAAGGGCCGAGGGGTGGGAGAGAACAAGATGCTTATGACTTCTTGGGCCCTCCCAGTTTTTCCCCAATCCCGGAGCCTACAAAGAGTCAAGAGTCAGTGACGTGGAGTATGAGTCATCCAGAGCGCACATACCCCGAAGTTTTACACCAAGGGCCCGTTCGAGTTTGCCGAGGATCTGGGGGTTGGGAATGGCCTTTCCTGATTCATAGTCTTGCAGGACGGAGGGCTTCTCGTTGATCTTCTGAGCAACGTCCTTCTGCGAGAGCTTGAGATCCATCCGTGCGGTTTGCATGGCCTATTTGATGATGATGAGTCTTTTGGGGAGGGACAACACATGGAGTACGCACGCGACCGACAGACGGAGGGACCTTTGAGGGAGGGGCAACTTCGTTTTCACGGTCAAGCTTTGCGATGCGCTGGTGGTCCGTGCCTGTGGATGAGGTTGGCAAAGGGAGTGGTGCGGTGCGCTGGACGCAATACGTACCCTGATGGGCTTTGTTACCACCCGCTGTCGTCTTCTTGTCGGTGCCTACAACGGCGCCTGCTCTCCTGGCCTGTCTTAAGAAGTGAGTTTAGCTCGCTGGGAGGGGGTACCGCTCGGGACGCACAGCTGGACGGAAAAATGAGAATTCGAAAAATGCGGGGAAATTTGGGGGTACACGCGTACATACCGTTGAGGTCTGAATCTTTCTTGGTGACTTTGGCCACCTGGCGCTTGGAGCCGATTACGACTTTGGTGTCCCAGTCGTCGCTCATGATAATAGTTGTAGTAGGTAGTGGTAGATGAAGAAGAGAGTGTAGTTCGTCACGGTCACATTGACTCCGACTCAAATCCGGCAACTTCGAGCAATTTCGGAGGCGAGGGTGACAAATCCTGTGCAATGCTAATTATGGAAAGCCTCCTGCCTATTATGATTATTGTCTTCAAAAATAAATGACCGGAAGGTGAAGCTCCTTGAAGCTGTTGATCTTAAGTATGTAAGTCTAGACTGCGTGATGCTCGTCGTCGGACAGCCATGCGCTTACCGCTGATGGCGGGTATTTCATGCCTTACTTTGGGCTCAATTACTTGGCTTAGTGGTCGTTCCCAAGGTGCGAACTAGACCCTCATTGTACCGTGAATAATAAGGCCCCTATGAATGAATGAAAAGGTCCAGTAGTAGCCGATGGGTCGCACGTGGTCATGACAACCACTATAAACAGTCCATCAGGCATGCATAGGTAATCAAACGATCATTTCCGTTCCGTGGGAGACGTTGGCAAGTAAATACCTCTTTCCTTCTTTCTCTTCGTTCGAGGCAGGCTCACCGTCCCTTGCCTTTGCAGTCCCTCTTCTGCACGACGTTGAACGTCCTTTCTTTCGTTTTATTTCTCCTTCCAACCACTTTGCCTGGTGCTACAGCCGCCTCTGTATCTTCTGCCTTTCGTGTTTCCTCTCTGGAAGAGTCATTCTTTTTCCAACAAGTGCGTCTGCTTCTTCTTGGACACCTGATGGCCAGGTATTCATTCTACTATGATAGCCTACATAGCAAGCAATCACAATGGTGTCCAAGAAGCTGATGGGCATATGGGCCTTTCTCGACGTCTGCCTTCTCGCAGCCGGCGCCGTCTCGCTCGCCCTCTCCATCGTATGGCGGGCACCCAACATACTCATGAACATGGTGCTCTCGAATGCTGATCTCACAGGTCCGTCGCCGCTAGCACTTTCTTTCCGAAACCCTAACCCTACTGCTCAGCCGGCACTGTCCTCGCCGTCGCACTGCTCGTCACCTTTGCGATCTCCATCGTAGCCGTCATCCAGCGGAACCACGTTACCATCGGTTTCGTTATCCTCAATTATGCCTTGGTGCTAGATGCGCTTGGCATCATAGTCATTGGTACTTTTGTCTGGTTCTTCACGTTACACGAGCGTGCAAACTACCATGACCTGTGGGTTAAACAGAGCGCTGCCAATAGGATCAGTCTCCAAGACCAAGTTAGTTCGCCGCATCTTTTGGAGTGCATCTTTCTGACGTCCCTGCAGTTTAACTGCTGCGGTTACTTCAACGCCACTGATAACCAGGAGATCGGTGGCACTCACTGCACCCAATCCCAAGTCGACTTTCTCAACACGCTCGATTCAGCTGCCGATAGTAATGCCAAGTTCTTTTGTGTTACCCCCATCACTGCTTTCGCGGATATGACTCTCAACAATATATTCACGTACGTCCTTTTGTTTGTTCAAACCCTGTCCGGCGCTCACTAGTTCCGTTAATAGCACTGTACGGAAAAGACCGTGATTGTGTGTATCTGCCCCATAGCTAACTATTGTCTAGGTTTACGGCTTCATGGCGATCGTACTCTGTCTTCTCCTCGCATCTTTATGTGTCATAAACAAGGTTAGTGCATTTTTGTTATGCATTCTCTTGGTACTCATTCCGCCGCAGAGGAAGGAAGAGGAACGCTTCAAGAAGATCGACGCAAAGCGCGGAGGAAGAGGATTCGTTTGAGATGAACCACTCGACCACCCATTACCCTTAGAAAAGCGCCCAAATATTTTCTATTCCCCGTGGTTTCTTCTCCCTTCTCTTGCTTTGTCTGCTTTTCCTCTCTTCATTCGTTATTGTTAGATGTTATACTGAAGTATTTTACGGGTAAACATTCACTTTCTTGTATAAAATCTTTCAGCACCATTGTTTTGTTTTATGCCATTGCAATACAGATAACCACTGTTGGGGCCGCTTTATTACAATAATGCTGATCAACGTCTCAATTGAAATTCGCACCCTTCTTCCGGCCTTGATGTGGATTCATGCCCAAAGCTCGCAAGAGAAAAGTACCCGTTACTACTACTACTAGCACTCCCTCAGGAAGCAAGCCCCAAGCCAGCCGGACAGTCATTCGACAGTTCCATGTCCTGCTGAAACAACAAGCCCAGCTGAAGGATGCCCAGAAACTAGCGGCAATCCAGCGTCAGATCGATGCGCTGGGAGGGATCGAGTGTTACCAGAGCATGTCGGCTATTGGACAGGGCAAAGATAGAGGAGGGGGTAGTGAGAAGGTGCTTATTGGGTGGTTGAAGGAGCTCGGATACGAACAGAAAAAACACAAGTACGTTACCTGTTTCTCTCCAAACGGTATCCTTATTTTCTTCCCCTTTGAAGGTTACTCGAAGTAGGGTAAACACACGTATTTCCCATTCCTCTCTAGGCCCCAGGCTAATCTACTCGCAGCGCCCTCCTCCCGGATAACTACAAATCCTGTTCCTCATGGATCGACGCGACGCCCATGGACCTGCATTCCCGCCATCCCGCTATTATCGAACAGGATTTCCTGCTCATGGACGAAGAGGAGAACCGCGAGAAGTGGGATATTATCAGTTTGAGCCTCGTTCTCAACTTTGTTCCGAGGGCAGAAGATCGGGGTGAGCATACCTATTATTGTGCCTAGCAAGTTCGTTCTCATTGCTGCTTATGTAGGTCGTATGCTGCGTCTGGCTCATAGTATGCTTTCTTATGGAGGGAAGCTCTTTCTGGCAGTACGTTCTTCTACCTTCAACAATCCTGACATCAAATTTTACACATCTTAGCTTCCCCTCCCGTGTGTGACCAATTCACGCTACTTGGACTTTGACCGCCTCCGAGATATCATGCGTGCCGTTGGTTTTGTGGAAGTCAAGCAGAGATGGAAAGAAACAGGAAAGATGGCTTATTGGTTGTACACAAAAGAGCACCCAGAGGCAGCGCAGGACGCTTTCACAAAAAAGTCGGTCTTGCGACAGGGAAATCGGAATAATTTCTGCGTGTTGCTGTAAAATCCGTGTTTCTATGTATATTTATCGTACAAAACGTCATGTCCGCTGCGACAGCGTTTTCTTCAACAACAAATTTTGCTTCTCCAGTGTCTCTACCTTAGTTTGTGCCGCCTTAGCCTTGTTTAGAAGATATTTTGCCCGCTGTGAAAGTACCGACGAAGAGCCGAGGTTGGACCAGAAACTCGTGTCCGCTCCCATGTCTTTGAGGGTCGAGAGCTCTTGTTCGTATGCCTTAATGCTGGTTTCGGCAGTGGCGATGACTTTCTCATTAAACGCTAGATCCTGAGTCGCCTGGAAGATGGCATCTATGAATCAAAGTGAGAATCCTTTCGAGGATAGATCAACCAGAAAAATATTACCTTTCTCTAAGCGCTGGAATACCCATTTGAAGATAGGTTTGCCTGGCTTGATGGTGGATGGGCGACCTAACATCTATATAAATTATGCCATTCATAAAAAGGGGGGTAGAGTTAACGTCACCTAAGTGCGTTCCAATCGAAATGAGCTCAGCATGCTCCATATTCCGCAGAGGTGTCTCATCGCTTTTGAAAGGGAAATCCAAGAGAACCTCAGAATACGAAATCTGGAAACGCTATGAACGGACAAGGAGAGTTGTTCAACGAAAGACAGACCTCAGGCTGACTCGCAAGCTTTTTCACAACCATCCACGCTTGCTCTCTCGTCCAAGGTAGACGCTTCGCATCATCCTCATCATCCCCAAAAGCGCTTTTCTGGATTTCACCAACGCCCCGATTAATGATATCCTCAACAGCCTCCTCAATTTGTTGGCCATTGCGGACTTTATGAATAAGCTGTGTAACGTTGGGCGATCAGAGAGGAGCATGTTACAGAGAAAGCAAGGAGTACAGTTTCTAAATCACTCGATCGTCCACCTAGTCTCTCCAGGTACGTGGTCTGTACGTACGAAAACTGCAAGTCAATGTCAGCATCCTTCAGTTTATGTTTCACAAAAGCCAAAGCGCTGGCTGTATCAGCATCATCGAGGGCTATCAAGTTAAGAGGCTTCGAAGGAAGGGCTGGTGGAGTTGGAAGATCAGTATACAGGTGTTCATCCTAAATGCAGCCATACCTTTAGTAAGACTCTTCATGTTTTCTCTGTTATCGCTGACGACTATGACGTGTGCAATCTGACCAACAATTAAATCAAAGGGAGTGCGTTAGACGAGAGCCGTATACCTGGTGTTCTGAAAGCCTAGCAGCCCATTTAGCAAGGGCGCTCAGCAACTCGTCGCCATATCCTGGGCCTCTTTCGAAGTTTTTGATAATCACGATAGGCAATGATTCCACAGCCTCAATGTCCTCAGCACTTTGTGCTTTCCGCTTCTTGCTTAGCTTTTTCTTCGGCTGGAATCTCGGAATCAGTCTTCGTCAGACATGCATCAGCGGCCAATACTGTACCGAGTTCGCTCTTAACCCCACTTTCGGCAGTACCATCCAAGCTACCATTGCCTTGCTTTCTGCGCAGTGCGGCCTCCTCTTCTGCAGCCTTCAACCTTTCCTTTTCCGCCAGGCGTGTCTGCTTGTGAAGAGTGCGTCGATGCGACGAACCGATGTTTTTTAGTGCATTCTCAGTCACATCCAGGATCGACTGTAGCTGTTCCACCAATGACGTACTCATTCCGGCTTGCGAACCAAAAGAATGAGTAAAAAGTACAACTGTTCTGGTTTAAGTCACCTTTTTGACCAATGAGACCCATACTTGCCAGGTCTAATAAATGGTTCACAGAATTAAGGAAGGAGAAGAATGGCCAATAGCCAGTTTGTTTGGCCAACCCTCTAACTAACAGGGCATCAGAACTGGATTGAAGTAGAGATCCACAGTCGATCGTAAGCGATTTTCGGTCGGTATCGTTCAGAACCGTCTGGAGCATAGTAGATTTCCCGCTACCTTGGGGACCGTGAACAAAAGTGATAGTTGCTAGAAGATAATTTAGGCCTTCAGGGATGAGTACTATAGCGGGTGGCATAACATACTTGGCAATTCCGCCAGATATGCTCGAACTGCGGCTTCAGCCTCCTTTCTTTCCTTCCACCCATCGTTTGCGGTAAATGGAGAGACCTTCGAAACTGAATATAATCGATCAAGTGTATGTTTTCTTAGCCATTGATAGAATTTGAACTCTGAAGGAAACTGAGCTTTTGTTTGATATGAACGCCGGCTATAACAACCGACCTTGGACATCAAACCAGTCTTCCACCTTTCCTTGTATCATGAGGGAGCGCAAGGGATCGAAAATCTAAAGGACGAATAAGTAGACACGAGAGCGTCGGTTTGGGTGACACTTACAGTATACGTCAATGTACCCAACAGAAATACTACAACGGGCAATACAATCCTGGGGTGACCTGATAGCCAGTCTCGAACGGCGTGTACGCGAATAGGATCTTCATATTTTGTGCTCAACCTGGTGACAGTATTACCCGAAGACATTTCAAAGCCATGGAGGACATTTCGCGCAATTGCAGCAGGAGCGAATCTTTTGAAAGGAGACAGTTGAGAAGCGGGTAGAGCCTGCAGGCACAGGAATGGGATCTGTCATGTCTTTGATGCGGCCATAGGGCTAGAGCAGATAGTCAGGTACATAGAACCGGAGACAGGCAAGGTCATACGCGCAGAAGCTTGTATAGAGATTCCTGATGGATATCTGGTCCTTCAAACGCGACTTTGACGATCGGGGAGGCGAAATGGTACATATCCTATAGGTAAGATGAGCATTTGCAGCAACTGAAGATGTGCATGTTACGCGCCTCATTCCATGGTATCCCTTTGACCAGCCAGACATTGCCTGAACCCAATCCAAGCCAGGACGGAGGACCGCCATGATCGTGTACTTTGCGCTTAAGTTCTTGCTCTATAGTTTCAAGGGCATTCTCGGAATCAGCCTTGTAGGCGAAGCGGATAAAGACACCGCCGTCCTTGGGATGCGGCTCTAAGGATGTGATGCGAAAGCCGTGGGCATTTACTGAAGAAAGACGGTCACGTAGCGATTGAACAAGGCCTTCTTCTCTAAGAAGACCAATATAACGCCGAATACTGCAGAACAATCAGAACTAGAATGTGTCTTAATCAGAATACGATACATACTCGAATCTGCCAAGTTGTATTGGAAAAACCGAGTCAACAAAAACGCAACCTTCTCTCGTCTGATATCATTGTTGAGGCAATAACCATGTCAACACAAGGTAACGTACCTCAACAACGGGACCTTCTGACAACTGCCTGACACCTCTCCTCAGCAGTACAACAGACCGGAGTCCATGAGGCAGATTTCGCAACATGGCGATAAGAAAGAGAACGGCGAGTCCGAGCCGAGTCTGACGTCACGCGCACCTGCTCAGGCACATCAAAAATGTGAGAGATGTGACCACAGCTGTCACGACGTGTGACATCAATCCTTGTTTCCTGCGGTCATGTCAAGTTCATCCTCCCAAGACGACGGTCGACGTCTGCAGAGGGCGACTGGCGCTAGGCAGCTGACCCGGAGAAACTCGTCTTTTCTCAATTCCGTCAAGAATTACGTGCCAAAACCGCTTGCCCGCTTTTTTAGCGGGTCCGAAGAGTTTGATGACTCCAAGGATGAGATGGGCAAGCGGAGACGCCTCGACGGCCAGCAAAACGAGCCAGTCGATGGCTACGATGATGGGCCTGCTCCGCCAAAGCGTCTGAGGCTCCGTAGTCCGGATAGAGCGGCATCGCAGCCTCCACCGCATACGGCAAGCGGTCAAAGCGGCTATCTCGACCCACCCAGCTCTGCATTCCAATCTTTCTTTCACCCCTCTTATTTATCAAACGACCCTTCCAATCGTTCATCCTCACTTACGCTACCCGCGACCACTACTTCTGATATTCCCCGTAATGAGCCTCGCACTACTCTGTCTCCCTTGCGAAACCAGTTTAGCCGTACCATGTCCATCGATCCACCTCAGAATCCAATCACTCGACGCCTTTCTCGTGACGTTACCATGAAAAGTGTCGTCTTGCCGCCCTTGCATGATGCTGCTGCTGCTCGAGATATGTCTACGGAATCAGCGTCAGGCTCGTTTTTGCGTTCATCCGTATCCCAACCTCGCGATACCTCTCTTCCTCTTGGATTTCGTATCCGCACTTCAGTCACGCCCCAGCCTGTGCGCGATAGTTCTGAACCTCCCACAATCTCATCTCTTGGCTCCAAACCCGTTTTCGTCCGTGGTCCTGCTCCAGAGGCGAGCAAGCCCCAGGCCACTCTGGGCTCACTTGTCGATACCCAGAGAAGAGTGAGTCCATGCAAGTCATTGCCGACAGCTTCTCTGATTCCTCGTTCACAGACTCAGTCTCCTGTGCGCCAGCATAGTTCCAGTTCTCTTCTTTTTGGCTCTCAGTCAACGTCCGTGAAAGGTTCGTCTCGAAGTGTCCTTTTTGGCTTTCATAACGAGTATTGTGTAGCCCCTCGTCCAGCAACCGTCGCAGAGCGTACCCTACATGAGTTGGATGTATACAGAACCCCCCTTAAGCCGTCACGTCTCCGAGAAAACAGCACCCTCACATTATCTCCCGGGGATGCTACAGATATGTTCTCTCGCAAGAAGTCCTATCAGCGAATGCCCGGAGGACGTACTGCCAAGGCAAAGGTAGCTAACCACACCAAGCCATATGCAGGTGACGCGGGCATTAAAAAGCATCTTGCGCGAAGCAGGAACGCCAACGTTGAAGAAGAAACTGCGTCATCTAAGGGCGAGTTGAACGGTGATGTATCCATGAATGAAGACCGACCTTCGAGTGAAACCCTTCCAGAGATCAACAAGGATCGGGAAGAGCTCAAGTTGCCAGACAGTCAGCCAAAGACTTCTAAGGCAACAGAGAAGCAGTCAACAATGCCTTCCAGCTCGTCGCTTCGAGTCGGTCGTACCTTTACTTCACGCAACCATATCGATCGTCCTTCTCGGCCAGGAAAACACGGGTTTTCTGCGGTTTATGATGATGGTGAGGAAGAGAGGCGGGAGGAAGAATCCAAGAAAGAAAGGGAGATGATGGAAGAGGCAGCAAAACATGTACCTATGTTCAACATCCCAGCTGGGTTTAATTTTGCTAAAGATGTAAGTCGTCGCTCATTAACTTCAGTCCCTAAGCTGACAAGGGAACAGACCGACAAATCTCCAGATGTTGCGTCGGACTCGTCGAAAGCCAAGGAGCCACCCATTCCATCACTACCCTTTTCGATATCCTCTTTCCAATCCAGTACCCCCTCGGTGTTATCCGCTGCCTCTTCTAACGGTTCAAAAGCTGACTCCACTACGGCTTCCCCCTTTACGCCACCGGCTCCCCCAGCTCCCGTTCCTGATATCCTTCCGAAGGTCGACTCTCTGTCTGCGATTTCATCGACGACCGAAATTCTGCCGAAGACCAATGGTGGCATCCCGGATTTCTTTGCTACAAGCAAGACTCTAGCCCCGACCCCTTTGGTGGTGCCACCGATGACATTGACAGCGGCGGCAGCCTCCGCGCCTACCTCTTTGCCGTTCAGTCTAACGCCGCAACAGTCCGCCGGCCGCCACGCCGGCTCCGTCTGCTCCGGTTCGTGATGCCGACAATACCCTTTGGAACGGAGGCAAGAAGGAGGACATTGTAGGGAAACCCCCTGCTCCTAGCTCAGATACCAAGGGGGGCGGTACAGGGACAACCACACCGTTCGCCTCTTTCGGGTCTGCCAAACTGGATGACGGACTTCAGGCATCCACTCCTGCCGCCACTCCTGCCGAGAGCTCATTCAAACCTCCATCGTTCTCTTTCGCCAATGGTGCTACCCCGGAAAGTTCCGGTGCTGCGGAGCCAACCCTAGCGCCGCCCTTGTTTAGCATTGAACCTGCGAAGACAGCTGAACCAGAGCAGGTTTTGAAGCCGTCGCCTTTGACCTTCGGCAGTAATAATGCGACGAAAGAGAACGCTGACTCGAACGCGTTCAGCTTTGACCAAACCTCCAACAATTCTGAACCGAAAACAAACGGGTTCTTTGGAAAGCAGACACAGGTGGTTGATTTAGCGCCCAAACCGAGCACCGCTACTACGTTCGCTTTTGGTAGTACTCCGGCACCCGCTGCGCCCAGTACACCTGCTATATCGTTCGGTGATACATCCTCAAGCAAACCAGCGATGACGTCTCAATTGCCATTTTCTCTAGGCTCGGCCCCTGGTGCAAGTAATAACAACACAGCGTTCACGTTCGGTGCGCCTAATGCGCCGGCAGACAAGGCAGAGCCGACCCCAAAGCCACCATTTTCCTTCGGACCGGTCACGACTGTGAAAGACAGCGGGGCTGCTACCCCCATGTCGTTTGCTTTTGGATCAAGCTCAAGCGACAAAAAGAATGAGCCCAGTTCTTCATCCATGTTTGGCTTTGGTGCCACCCCAAGCACACCCCCAATCTCGGACGCTGACAAGAAGCCGTCATTTAGTTTTAACCAGACGCCGACATCGGCGCCTGCGACATCATTTTCTTTCGGGGGTGGATCTGCATCTGGCGATAGTTCTAAACCGTTTTCGTTTGGCGCTGCAGCAACGAATACCCGCCCGGTAACACCACCAAATCAAGATCAGGAGATCAAGATGGATGAGAGTCCCACGAGGGATATGCAAATCACTAGCGCTCCCAAGATCGCCTGAGCCTCGTCCTACGCTAGGTGTGTTCCCGTCATTCAACAATACCAGCGGTACTTCGTCTTTTGGCCAATCTGGAGGGTCAATGACTCCAACCTTCACTTTTGGAGCGACAACCACAACTTCCAATCCCTTCGCAAAGGAGAATAAGCCAGAGGAGAATAAAGGGTTTGGTGGTTTCGGTCAATCCTCGGGTTCCTCGTCCGGCTTTCCATTTACTCGTAAAGTCAGTGAAGAACCTCCTCGACCTTCAACGGCCGGGGCATTCTCTTTCCAATCACCCAATTCTGCTACGGGATCAGGATCAGGATTCGGCTTTGGGGGGTCATCTAATGGCAGTACGACCACTTTCCCTTCTGGGCCGCTTTCGGCACCTAATAGCCCGTCGACGTTTAATACTCCCTCTCCTGTCGTTCACGTTTGCGGCAGCACCTACGACTACGAATCCATTTGCCTTTGGGTCTCAGCCAGCTTCCCCCGCAACCGGCAGCACCAACCTCCCCTCAGTTCCTAGCACAGGTTTCGGAGGCAGCGGCTTTGGTGGACCGTCCAATCCTTTCGGGGCGACATCCACATCCCCAGCAGTACCGTCGAGCGGTGGAACGCTGTTCACCATTGGTGCTGCACCCTCTGCGCCCCCTAGTGGTGTGAGGCAGATCAAGAAGTTGCCCAACCGAAGGGGTGCCAAGCGGTAAACGTGTCCGCTACGTTTAGCGATCAAAAAAAAACATGCGTATACATCTCAAGATTTTCTTCTCTCCGTGCTTTTCCATCGTACGCAAATTCAACCATTATCTATCAATCGCAATACATACATACATACATCATCCGTCTTGTTGGCAATCATCTGTCCTCCGTTCTTAGGAATTGTTTGTTAAACTGTATCACATTAGGTTTTCCTTTGCAGGCTCAAGGCCGCACATACATCATCATATATCTGGCTGAAGGCTAGAGTCGATACATCTTTATTTTTTTCTACGAACCTTGCTATCCATATAATCATTGTTTGCATGTATCATATTAAACAGCCATTCTCGCATTTCGCGCTTCAATTGTCGACCATGGCGGTGATTACCTGAATAAGAAAGAACACATAGGTTTGCCACGCGAGCCAAACAGACGCATTCCGGTGTTGCTTCCGTCCTACTACCACTATGGATTTCGTCCAAGGCCTTGATCCATCAAAACTTCTCCTTGGCGGGGCGGTAAATTCTTCTATTCTCTGTGTTTCCTTTACCAATGATTCCCAGGTCTTGTCTTTTACCGTATCTGCGTTTTCAGCACCATTCTATAATTTCCCTCTCTTCCTCTATGGGCTATATGGACAAGAGAACACCGAATCTGTTTCAGCTCTACAGAACGTGCGGTACTCAACTTTCGGATTTTTCTTTTTCGCTCATGCAATGCCCGTGACCAGTTCACAGGCTTCTTGGCTGGCTCGATGCTCTGGGATATCGTATGGATGGCTAATCATGGACAAAATGGGTTCATCAAGTTCTTGAGCATTCTTCTCCTCATTCTAAAGGTGCGAGGTCTTCTGTCCATGACCACAATTGTGCTGACACGTACAGATTCCGACCCTTGCTGCCTGTGGACTTGCAGTTCGCCAGCGAGGAGCGACATTTGGAGGACTAGGTCTGCGTGGGAATGATTTGAGCGGCCCTACTGGTGTGTTCTGTATTCACTACGTTTTCCGAGAGACTTATTTGGTCGACTAAGTTTGGTCTATGCCTGGAGGCTTCACTTCAACAGGAAGAGACGGGTATCAGAATTTAGACGAGGAAGCCGCAATTCCAGCCGCGCCACGAGGACCAGCTGCCGTACCGCATCGTCCATCCAATCCAGCGTCGCCGCCACCGCCTGCACCGGGCCCGTACCAAACAGCATGATGGATAACCATGTTTTGCGTCTTCTCTATTTAATGAGGCTCGCGGACAACGGTATCTCGATGGACTGAACTTTGAAGCCAGATGTCTGTTAATAGATCAACTCAATTCGTTTATTTCGGCTTCTTCGTCTTCCAAAGCATCTAGCTGCAAGTCATGTACCAAATCCTTAAGTGTATCTAGCGTGTTCAGCTTGCTCTCTGCTTTCTTCCTCGCAAACAACCAGGGGCAATCCAATGATTCACAGCGTATATCTTCGCTTCCAGGCATCTGTGCACACGAAGCACAGACTTTCTGTGTATCCAAGAACCGCTTTTCGATCATATTGATGCGATTCAGGACGCCGGCCATAGTGGCTCGAGTATCCATACGGCATACGTCGCAGATTCCTGTCAGAATATTTAGTTGCAATGCTGCGGAATCAGGTAATTCTGATCCACCTTCCGGTGCATATGAACCACATGTGAGACACAGCGAACTGCCAAAATGCTCGTCGATATTCAGTCGTTCGATGGTTTCGGGTTCGGGCTTCTTTTTCGACGGTGAAGCAGGACGCTCTCCAACAGGCTTTAACTTGGGCATGTCATCATACCACTGTCGTACGTTTGCGCCTACCAAGTTGAAGATTCGTTCCAAAGGTGGAATGAGCACTCGCGATATGTAGTATTCTGCATCAAGGGAGGCATGACTGCAATATTGCACTCAGTGACTCGCGGTAAAAAATACTATTGAGAAACTGACGGGTTATTCAGCAGGTCGAGAGGCTCCATTGCTCGATCTACAAGTCGTGTATTAGGGGGTCCCCGGGAGATCACGTACGGTACGCGCTCTCCGTATTGCGCTTCGTGATGTGGATCCAGTAGTGTACGTCTCGCTGCTACGGCTGCGCCCGGCGGCGGTGGAACTTTGTCGCTACATGGAAATCAGAGTGCAGAAAAGGATCCCCCATTCGGAAGCTAACCTGTATGTTCCCATACGGACTTCCTTCGCAAATATGAAGTCCTGAACCGATGCCCTGTTTCCCAGCAATTTCGACCATGACCTGCAACAGTAGTCTTTAACCTTGCTGAGGTCTTGAGTGCGAAAGAGGATCCTGGGCAGAGGGTCTTCAGTCTGGGTATCTGTTAGGAACAGAGTAATTAATCGGTTACTTTAAACAGGTTTCGGTCATCTTCTGTTGGGCAGGAACACCATCCCGACGGACGGTCTCGATACCTTTCGCGTCAAAGGTAGGCTCTGTTTCATCTATACTCTCGTATTTATACCCCACATAACGCTTCTTGGCCATTAGGACACATGGAAGGTATACCTTTTGACTTCATGAATCCATAATATCGAACACAAATGTAGACGTACCTTCTCAAACTTCAGCTTGATGGGGGCAGGGTTCAGAGCTGTAATGGTGTCAGCGATGTCTTGTCCGATGCGAAACGCCTGTTCTTTGGTCTTTCCATGCAAATAACTAGTAAATTTGTAAGTAAATGCTATCAGGGAGGCAAATTGATCCGCCAACATAAAAACACTGTCTGTATCGCCATAAACGACCTAAAAATGACTTCAGCTTGATTGTATTGTCGAGGTCATTATGAGAGCCTACTTTAGCGCCCCATTTAGGAGTCGAATCGATAAGCATAATAGCCTGCAAATCATTTGGGTGATGAAAAGCAATATTTCTAGCTGCTGACGAACCTTTTCGAGCGTTTCGCGGCCGCTTTGAACAATGCTGTCCGCGATCTCGACAGCAGGCATTCGACCAGAGAATGTCGCGCTGGTGTAACCATACGTAACATTGGCGATGTACTTCAGTCCCAGCTGTCGAGCATCCAGAATGCGCCTCAGGGCCTAGAATCATAGCGCATTCAGGCGGAACATTTTGGACACACAAAGAAGCCTACCTTATCTTCCTTGACACCTTTCATGGCTTGCTTAACCATTACTCGTGTTTCTAGTAACTCGACCAGCATACGGCCGAGCAAGCCTTTGCGGACTTCAGGTTTGACATATATGATACCATTTGCTGCAACTGACGAAAAGCGACGGCATCAGTCGCGCTGTAAATAAGAAGTGTGCGGAACCACTCACCTTCGATATGATCCCGAAGTTTTTCCAGCAAACCCGGTGTACGTTCGAGGTCCGTGACACCGAATTTATTTCGTCCTTGGAAGTCGATTATTCTTCCTAGGCATGTAGAATAACAATAATTATATGCTATCATGATAGAAGGGTATAAGGATTGAAAGTCAAGCACAACGACAGGGCTGGTATAAAATGCCGACTGGGGTTCCATTATCAGAGGCATGCATTCAGCAGCATTTTGTTTCCCCACCTAGTCATACGCAATCGGTCATTATTACGAGCAGGAAGCTTGCAGGACGAACGTACGTCAGCTTTACTGGGTGAAATTAAAACAAAGCTCTCTGGTTTGGCAATACGAAACATAAACGATTCGACTTTGAACTGAGAGCCACGACTGATGACAGAGAAAAAATCTACGCCGAACACCCGGGCAAATTCTCTGATTGCAAAGAATTGATTTATATAGGCAGAAAAGGGAGGTAGAAGCTTACGCGGTTTTGGTAATGACGTCGACGGACTTTAGGATGTCGAGTACCATTGATGTTCGAGACGAAAAATAGCGAAATAACATGCCCAGTTGCATAGGTCTTTCGCCCCGGTACCAATTGGTAAGAGTAGAGGATGAATAATGAGGAGTCCTGGAACGTTGTCGTCAGCAGTATGAAAGCAGATATATGTGATACAGACCTTTGTCGAAGAACATTGAAAACCACGTTCTCGAAAGTGTATGAACTCAAATTCTGTTCCGAACGCATAACTCTCCAAACATTAAGAACATGACGACCTGCAGCCTTAAAGGTGGAAGTCTTCCGAGTGTCCCACTGGAGAGAACCGCTTCTTCGACCTGGTAGTGTGGCGCGCGAAATCAACTCAGAGACCTCAAGGCCTGTAGGTGTTCTTGTGAGACAGATCTAGCACTCCAAGGACGAGAATGCATACCATATACCGCCGCCCTAGCAGAAAAATATCCCCAAGAAAAGAGCTGTACGTCCCAGCCGACAACGATGTCTGGATCTAAATCCAAGACGGTGTCGATGACGGCATTGATAAGATCAAGCTCGCTATCAACCTTTTCGATAACGAAGTCGCGTATTTGAAGGGGGCTGAACTGTTGTGATTCTATAGCAAAGATACCTGATTTGTAAGCCTTTTCTTCCGTCTCTTGAAACGAGTAGAAGACTGCTGCCAATGCTAGTACAGGACCGAAACAGTTAGTGCAGTATTTATGCCTGATCAGATAATAACACACCATCTTCATCCGGGTCGGACAGTCTACCAGCTCGTGATGGTGCTTGAGAAGGCATTGGTACTTTTCGATACAAAGGTAGTAAAACCTACCAAATACTTCTAATGAAAAGACTGACATGTCAGGTCTTTCACGAGAAACGGAGCCTGTGTCTACTGGAGTAGTCTTGATGTTGTAGACGTTTGCCTGGGTAGGGCCTTCGATCTGTGTGGTATATGTGATTTATTACTGTGAAAGGGTGGCATATTATATCTGTCACTTACTTGAGATCGTTGCCGAACATCCTGTCCGCCGGTCAGTATTTTCCCTTCGTCAGATTTCAACCAGGCTTTGACTGAGATCACACTGGGCGGGTGTCCTGCGTATTCCCAACCTTGTATGTCACCTGCTTCGACAAGATTATTCACAGGTCTGATAGGTTCCCAGGCTGGGAGGTTTTTTATGCCTTCGCCGCCCTTCAGATGATATACCAATCCCGCGTATTCTCGAGGTCGCTCAGGAGCATCAATTTCTTTGGAATAATAAGGGTCACGGTAGATCTTGCTGGGAAGGTTGTGTGCCTGAAGACTTCCTAGAAGGTCGGATGTAGATGGCGGTTGACGGGCGTACTCAAAGCCGTTTGCGTTGGGTGCGTATTTCAAGGTATGCTGTGAATTATATGTGAAGGTTCTCTTCATAGGTGAGCTTGAAGCAGATTCATTATGAGACTGCGAGTGAGTGACGATTCCATTCTTCCTGTAGTAAGTTATAAACAAATTTGTCAAAGGGATATCCGATGACGAACGTTTGAGATTTTCCTCTTAAGAGACTAAAAGACATGATGAGATTTGTCTAACGGGGTATAGCGTAGATCTACCTCGGTGACGGAGACAGTCTCTCGGGGGGAGTGGAGGATCCCGAACTTGAAGGGCTGGGGTTGCATTTAGCGAGATACTAAGTGGATACTACGGTTGGAGGAGCACCTTGGCGTGAGTGTTAAATTGGTATACTCTGGTTCAGTGTCCATTGGGGATCCCTTAAACGGGCTGCAGGATGATGAGTAGATATGCAAGAGGAATACGAAGCAAACGTACTCCTCATCGTCTTGATTCTTGGGTTCATCTCGATTTACAGAACGATTTTCGTCAAGGGGTTCGTCATAATTGTATTCGTCGTCATCTTCGGCGTCGTTCTGCTCTTGGTCTAGCATTTTAGTCCCATGCTTCTTCCTCTATCTGTACATTTTTTGTCATCTCTTGGCTTGAAAGCATTGCCATGTCGACATCAACGTCGTCTGTGCTATCGTCTGGCAGCCCATTGGCCTCTGAATTAGACAGCTGGCGTTCATCATGTCTGCTGGTTGCTCCCTCAGGTTTCCAAACCTTATAAGAGTCTTCCCACAGGGCTTCGACACTCTGAAACGTTGTCATCGCCCATTTTTCCCAACCTTCCTTCCGATCAATCATCGGAGGTTCTTGATGTCGTTCATTTTCGATTCGTTTCTGGATTTCTTCCCACCACCTGGTCCTCAGCAACCCATTCACCGCCAGAGCCCCTGGACGAACTGCTGAGATCAACAGGAAGTTCGGGTGAAGGTGGCAGGCCCCGTGCAGCCCGGCGCCTTCTTTCATCATCCCAGAGTTCTCTAACACCAAGGACAAGTGGCTCATTAGGAGTTGGGGGTGCAGGAATCTTCAGTTCATGATGAAGGTTGCGCGCAGCAAGAGCGTGTCTGTTCAATATATGATAGGCCTGAGCATCAACTTCTAGTGGCGAGCGTGATTGGCGAAATGAAGTTGAGCGTCCGAAGGTCATGTCTTCTTCATCTTCGTCTACGCCACGCTGATACACTTTTTCAAGATCGATCCAACCGCATCCGTAAAGTCCGAAATCAGAAAGGAACTGAAGGGGGTAGCTGAGGTGACTTTCGTAGACGCTGAATCGGGTGCTCATAATGCTTCCGGACTGCAGCAAAGTCACGATGCGACTGACAAGACCTGGGTCCATGACGTAGACTTTGAGAAACGGCGCATAGGAAGAGTGAAAGCCATAAAAGTGGACTCCCTTCACTAGAATTATCGCGCGAATGTATTGTGACCTGGACTGGGGGGAACGTTTGAAGGAGATAGCAATTGCGTGATTTAATGAATGTGTCAATTTGGCGGCGTATTGTCTGACTAAATAGACATTGTCAGTATATAACTTGAAGTATGAATACTCAACAAAAACATACCCTGCCGAGCACTAAAATTACCTGTATACTCTATGAAAAAATAAGGATACACTTGGTGGATATGCAGACACGTCTTTTTTCCGGTCGACGAAGGCCCATAAATACGGAGAACGGGCACTTTCGGAAGATTTGAGTTGTCAAAAGGACCTGGTGCTTCCAGCGAATAATCAATCTGGTTTATTTGCACACGGAGGACAGGACGTTTTGTCTGGTTAGGGGAAGTCATGGACGCGACATGGGTGTCATAAAGAAAACGTGATCGCAGTTTGATCGATCATCACAGCTCTTTTGGGGGGATTTTATTTTATATTTATTTACTTAACTATTTCTCGCTTCGACCTCCACCACGATGGACGGGCCTGCTCATCTGTTGTCGCTCAAGGTCATGCGAGTCTCTGTGCGTAACTGTGGAATAGAGAGTGGTATCTACTAATCCATTTTTGCAGCGTCCGTCGCTGGCGAGCTCCTGGCAACCATTTTATTCCAGTTCCCCGTCCTTCTCAGTCCGTATTCGTTCCAGAACGCAATTTGTCCGACCTCTAAAGCACGTGTAGGCACATTCAACTGCATCTATAATGTCTCTTCAAGGAAATACACCCTTGTCGGGTTATCCGAAAACACTAAGGGATTTCACTCAAGCCTCAGAATTGCTCACTTCTTCCTTCGTCATTCGGTTCTATTCAGCTCGGAGAGACCTTTTCCAGCTGTCTTTGCGTGAACAATGAGGCGAATGTCGACGTTGAGGGCGTCCACATGAAAGTCGAGATGCAGACTGTTACAGCGAAGGTGTTACTGGCTGAATTCGGAACTTCAGACCATCGATTGAGCACCGGGGATACGCTTGAAAGTATCGTCCATCACGAGATTAAAGAGCTTGGGCAGCATGTTCTTGCTTGCACTGTGACATACCGGCTGCCTCCGGGTGTTCGCATCGCCTCTCAAACAGAAGATAGCAATCAAGACCCAGCTTTACAAACGTTTAGAAAGTTCTACAAGTTCGCAGTACGTCTTCAACTAATTGAATCCTTGTATTTTCTAAAGCTAGTTTAGGTTACGAACCCATTATCCGTTAAGACAAAAGTTCATGTCCCAAGGTCTCCTTCAGCTATGACCAATCTCGATGAGCGAGACAAAGTGTTCCTCGAAGTCCACATCCAAAACCTCACCCAGGAGCCCATCTGGTTCGAACGGATGCGGTTTGAATGTGCAGATGGCTGGAATGTGAAGGATGCGAATAATTTGATCACAGATGAAGATGAAGATGAAGAGAAAAGCATATTTACTGGTACCACTGCGCTCATGAACCCTCAAGACATGAGACAGTATATCTACATCCTGGACCCTAAGACGCATACACTGGAACCTCCAGCCAATGCACCAGGAAGCATCATTCCTCTCGGCCGGCTCGATATCTCATGGCGGTCGTCCTACGGCGAACCTGGCCGTCTCCTCACTTCCATGCTCTCTCGTCGCATACCACTACTTCAACAACCTCCACAACAGCCCGCATCTGCCCTCCCACCGTATCTCAAGCGCACCGTCGCGGCAGCATCTGTGTCTGGGTTACCACCTCGTCCCCGATCACCTCAGCACTCACAGTCACGACCCAGCTCCCCAGTTCCCACATCACGACCTGGCTCTCCATTCCGAAATCGCCCAGCCTCTGTGGGCCCAAGCCGCGCTCAATCGCCACCACTTCCACCCACGACAAACCCAATACCAGGTATCGATGTTCACCTCATCGTACGCGACTTTCCGCGGAGTTCAATTGCATTGCAAAAGCCATTCACCATATCTTGCACGCTAACAATCAGCACCTCTATTCCTTTTGATAAACGGCATTTCACCCGTATACTGACCTTGGCGGTGCAGCACGTCCAACCCCCCAAGAATGTACCTGTACCCGCTTCTGTGAATAACCTTATGGCCACTCAATCGGACTCATTCACGCGTGTTTCAACCTCAGGTTTCTCCACCCCGTCTCCCACTTCAACCTTGTTCAATTACCCCTTGGCACAACAAAAACTTCTCGTCGCTTCTCCAAGGCAAACCATGCTGGAGATAGATACCAACGAGGCCCTTCTCCCACCCCCATTTTCTGAAGTACCACCCGACGAATGCAAAATACCTCAGTCAGGCGTGGGTTTCTGTGGAGCCTCAGCGATTTTCTTATCTCCTATTCAGCTGTCTGCAGCAGATTCCGTTGAACTCAGCACAAAAGTCTCTGCCTCACAAGACTTTGAGCTAACATATATCCCACTTCAGCCTGGGTTTGTGTCATTTGGAGGGCTAAGAGCGCTGCTGGTCGAGGATAAGTTCACTAGTACAATTATAGGGATGGACGGTTTTGCAGAGGCTCTTGAGAAGGCACGGACTTTGAAGGTGTGGGATGTTGTCGGGGAGGTGTGGGTTCCATCTTAGTTTACCGTTATTCTGTCCGATGATATTACTAGCAACTATATGTACTACTTACAAGTCCGAGATATGCGTTAGACAGTGACCCAAGGCTGACTGATAAGCTGTTGCACAGACATTAGGGCACGGTATCGAACATCGGGGTCTTCGTGGGTCATGAGTTCCATTACGCGCGTCTTGCCACCAAGGTCTGTAACCAATCTAAAGAGAAGGTTAGATTCATCCTGAAAAGCTCGATGGTCCAGATGACGTACTTCTTGCCCCTCTCACAATGCTTGACGTACTGACCAACATCATGAGCGGCAACGGCGAGCACGGTAGGATCACTAGATTCCTTTAAAAGCTTCAATAATAGCCTAAAGTGAAAATTATGTAGCGTTTGTTACATAAAGGGAGCAAAAAAAACCTACTTCAACTGCTGGCAGTCTTGCTCATTGAGCTTGGTGGCATTCTCCTTCCAGAAATCATCAGATTCGTGCACAGGTGTCCAAGAGAGATGTCCAGAAGATAGCTCTGATGTATATTCATCGTATGTTCTAAGAAGAATTTAACTTATGTCAGAAATAGAAAGAATGATGTCCTACGTTAGGCTGTAGAAATTCTCATTGAGTTCATCACGAAGAAACTGGACATCTTCTACGATATCCTCATCTGTGAATTTCCGCGTGCAGAGGTTCTTTGCGAATGGAAGCAGCTGCGAAACTAGCATGGCAGGAAGATTAGCTGCGGGTGCTTTAGTAAGAAGGTTCTGTGGAGAGATATCAGATCGTCCCTCAAAATCATAGAGAAGACTGTAATCACTCGGAAGGTGGCGGCGATGACGCGGATGACCTTTTCCTTCGCTGCGCCTTGAGCGACATCAATGAGGAGGGGGATTATATCGTACTTTCTAGAATAAGTATATGAGCACTAGATGCAAAATCAAAGAGAATTATGTACAGACTTGTCGAATTGTTCAGCAATATTTTGTTCGAATGACAGAAGCCATAATTGAAAAGGCGACCTGATAGCTCATCTGAGCCGTTGGTTTATGCTTCAGAATGTCAACGAATCTACGATGCATAAGCAAAATGACAGCTTCAATTCAACATAGAGACGAACCCAACGATTATGCCAGCTATGTCCCAAACGGCTTGGCGACATTCTGGTCGCGTCAGGAGTGCCTCTAAACATTGAACTGCGACATCACGCCTATTAGGCGACTTTCCTTGAACGAATCCAGCAAGCGTAACAAGAAATGGCTGAAGATATTGATGTTGTAATGGGTATGATTCAGAGCTACAAATAGAGGACTGTTGGCATGCTGGATTCGGTAAGATGGATAAGTCAAGTACCAAAGGAGGACAGTCAGGATCTGCGCAGCCTTCAGTTGCATAAATTCGTCTTGGGTATCAAGGGTCCTATAAGACACTAAGTCGAGAGGAGCATAGTACGTGTGAGTTAGCGTACCGTAGCAGGGGACCATAAGGAAGTTCTGGGTCGGTTTCGACGGTGGAGGTGAAAAGAGGTATCCGTTCATCGTGGTCTGAGCTCAACTGAGAGATTGCGCTACGTGAATACTTGAAAATAACACACCAGTGAGCGCATCAGCTATAAGAACAAGGATGTACTGCATAGTGTCCACCCGCTGGAGTTTCTTGAGAAGGCGAAGATACAGCGACGCATACGTGCGAGCGTCCGACAACAAAATGGACTCAATCTTTGTCTTTGGTTGCCTGTCCACTTTCTTGATGAGGGCGAGTTCTTCAGAGGTGATGAGATCGGCTCTCTGGTAACCCTGTCCATGAATTCGACATTGTGCTCAAATAAAGGCGAGGAGTCATACCTCCCAGGGAACCGGCTTTGAGCGAATCTTTATCGAGGCGTCGTCGAGGTAGGCATTGGAGACGAGGGATACAGACATTATGGACGGAAGTAAGCCGTGATATAGCGCATACGCTGTACTTGGCAGGTACTTCTCACGATGCACGTGCCACAAATTTCCTCATCGCTTTTGCAGACTTGCGCTTCGACGGTCAGTGCAGCAGTTATGTTGTCGAGGAGTGTCGCAGCGACATGTAGCTGGCATACAAGATGTAAAAATTTATCCCATTTTCACTACCTTTGCTGATATTTTTCAGGTTTTGCTCGAACTCTGGCCACCGAGGTCGAAATATCATCCCTTGCCTCAACGTCGACGGACGCCCCGCCTCCTCCGAAAAAGACACCCAGACCTACAATCTCAGCCGCCGTCATTCTCAACAGATCTCCATTGATAACTCGTAGTCCCAGCACCTTCGAACGCGCGTATTACAGCTACCAAGCTCGTCTCCGACGCGCCCTTCACAATCCGTTCCCCTACGACTTTTATTTCAAGGAAGGATCCATTCTCGAAACACGGTTTAACGTCGAGGAGCGAAAACGGGAGCGACGAGCATTCGGGCCTCTATTCGGTATTGATGACGATGTAGACCAAGAAAAGGCAAAGGCGGCTCGGGCAGCTGCGGCGCAACTCGCAGAGCAGGAAGGAGAATTTGAAGAGATGGTGCCGCGGCTGCATCCGTCGGACGTGAGTCGGGACATCAAGAGTCTTGATCGGAAGGGAAAGCGGAATATCTATCTTTTGCTGAAAACAGCGCAAGATGTATGGCGTTTTCCTCAGGGAGGTCTTGAGAAGAACGAACTTCTCCACCAGGTCGGATCCTTGCTGTCCAATCAATTATCTTTTCTGACACCCTGTTCAGGCTGCCCAGCGAGACCTCTACGCCGAGTGTGGTCAACATATGGACTCCTGGATTGTCAGCAGGAATCCTGTTGGCGTCTACAAGCCCCCCGTACCGTCAATACCCGGCCAATTCATACGTCCAGTGAGTCTGCTATCTTGACTTTCCAGTAAAACACTGACCGGCTACCAGGAAGTTACATTTTTCTTCAAGGCGCACATCATGGCTGGCCAAGTACGCCCGGGTGAAGGCATCTCTGACTTTGCTTGGCTGACGAAGCAGGAAATTGAGGGCAAAGTAGAGAAGAACTATTGGGATGGAATTAAGGACATTTTGTCTGACTACTGAATTATCTACATCCTTCAGAGTTCTACTTTGGGGGTGCGGAAATGGCCCTTCGCATCTCAGGCCTTTTTCTAGCATCGTCGAAGCGCCTGACGATCACAGAGCATTTTGTAGTTTGACAGATGTGTTTGGAGGAAGCTTTGACGGCGTCTGAGAACAGAGTCAAGCCAGCGGCGCGTTCAACAGCATCAACTGCGGGTCGAAAATCAGCACAATGCCAGTATTGAGTAAAAGACACGAACCGGGCACCACAAAACTTTCTAGCGGTGCTTCATCTGGTATGACAGCATTCGGTAGCATAAATGCGCCTGTTGATAATTCGAGTATATCTGGAGTGCTCGGAGAAGATGGCCTTGAGGTAAGAACAACTTTGGCGAAATGAGTCGGTACAGCAACGTTGGGTGGTGAACCAATAACTTCGTGTGTCTGACCATGCTTGTCAGTACTTTCGTAGGGAGCGTGGAAGACATTTAACTTACAATGCGCCATTTACCATCGGCATCTTTCCGGGGCAAGTAGAGAGGGACGGTGAAAACATAGACGTCAGCAAAACTTCCGGCCAGTCTACGACACCAATCTTCGAGGTACGCCCAGTCTGAAGGAAGGAAGGTTCATCTGGTGGTATTCCTCTGTACACTGGCGACTTACAGTGCCGATTGAACCCATCACCGACCTGAGGCGCGATATTTGATAGGTAAAACGTCTCGTTCATGGCTTCCTGTTCAGCAAACAGCATTAGAAACAAAACTACTAGACGTCAGTCACACACACCTGTGAGAACTTCGCAGTCGGCCGCGGGAACCCTTTCATCCTAGTCAGCACCAGATTCGAATGTATAACCAAAGCTACGCACATATGTCCACGGTCATATCCACTTCTGAAATAATCCTGCAAACGCGCACGGAAAGGAACAGGTATTGACTCGTCCTCAATGAACGTGGACTTGGAACGGTCGCCCGATTCAGAAGATTCCGAAGGGACAAGAGTCGATTTACCGAGGGAGGCGAGTGTCAAATGTTCCGCCGTCTACACAAGACGCGTATTGAAGATAAAGAACCGAGTTGATGAAGGCTAGAGACCCACCCATGCCGGGTGACGAAGTCTGCGGTCGTATGCAGCGACGTAGGCTTTCCGAATTATCGGGTCTGCGATGGGGCCTTGACAAAACAAAGTCAGGAAGGCATTTTGTAAGTTAAGTATTATACGCACCAGGGTTGCCGTATTTCAGTACTGGAGACGCTAGGGATGCAGCAGATACAACAGCAGAAATCGATGTGCGCCCGGATGGCCCAATGTCGACAATGGGCGGCGAGACGGCGGGCGAGACGATGGCTTCTGTTGGGCGGGTCCTTTTGCTTGTGACTGCGACGGTTAGACCACCGCCAACGATGGCCCCGGCGGTGAAAATGGCTACCTGAAGCAGCGAGCTTGACATTATGTCTAGAAAAGAAAGAATTCGCGTGTTGTTTCTAGTCAAATCCCGATGCCGCCCGATGCAAAGAGACTTGAAGACCAGAGAAATTTTTCTTGTTACTTATGGCTAAGGTTAGGTCACTCCGAACACGTCGTGAATAAATTTTGTGGTCTTTTCTATAGATGTAATTTCTCGGTTGAAGACAAGAATGCTGATAAATACAGGCCTTCATTGGCAAGGAAATATAACCGTAGCACATATTGTTTTATGGAGAGAAGCGGAGTATGAGTATGATATATATGTAGTTAACAGGAAACTGCCAAAAAAAATTCCACAAAAATGAGAGAAGCAACTTTTCTTCGTTAAAACAGATTGTATAAAAGAGGGTAGACGTAAAGGGAACGGATGACGAGGGAGTACAGTACATCACATGAGCAACGGCCAAGAGAAAAGCAAGCCAGAGCAAGGTTTCGGTGAAGAGCAAGGCGACGACAAATGTTCAGTGAATGATGGCGATGAAAAGGATTTTTCAATCTCCTCTGCCATCTGCACCTTCCAAACTATCCGATCGCACTGTTGGCCGCATCAGTCTCAGATCTCCAACGGTTCGTAAGTTTGAGCATCAAGCCCACCTCTTGACGGTCCGCTTTCGCTAACGCCGACACGACTATCCCGTCGGCCAAATCCGCCAACGCCAGGCCCACGAGGCTGGCGAACAACCCCTCCAGGGCTCTCATGACCGCCGCCACCTCCACCGTTCAGCAGGGATGTCTGGATGGATGACGGAAGAGTAGGCACCGGAGGAATAGAACTACCTCCGCCAAAGGCACCGCCATTGGAAAACAGTGAGCCGAAACCGCTTGTGCGGCGAGAAGGCGAGGCGATTGTTGCATAACCTTCGCGGATATTACCGTTCGAGGATCTAGACGTGAGACGAGGGGCCTGCGAATGCAGGGTCTTCATGTCCGGCATCGATTTCTTCACGCGCAGAGTGTTGGACGACACAGTGGACCCGGTGGGGGTAAGATAGGCCGATGGTGCCCGGGACAACGTGTGTGCAGGTTGCCGCTGAGGTTGTTGCTGCTGCTGATAGGGATTAGCTCAGTTAGTCATTTGGTCTGATCATAAGACGTACTCGTTGTGGGTCGATGCGAGTAACGACGGCATACCTCTCCTCGCCCTCCCCGACGGAGTAATGGTACACACCAAGTTTCTGAGCGATGAGATGAACGACTCGTCGTTGCTTGGGCGACAACGTCCTAGAGAATGCAAGCTCATCGCGCATGCGATCATCCTTGAATAACAGGATCCTAGAGTAAATCTCCAACGTCGAGGGATCGTTGAGGTCTAATTCATTAGAAGACGATTTGTCCGATGAGCTGCTGGGAGTCAACGGCTGTTGGGATGGCATCGCAGGGGGGGCAGAGGCAAGAGCATGACTGTAAGTTGAGCCTGACATATTCGAGACATGAGGTGGGGAATACTGCTGTTGTTGTTGGTATGCTCCTGAGGAGTAAGATCGTTGAGAGGGGAAGGGTGCGGGGGAAAGGACGGCGCCGTAGTCCTCATAACCAGGGGCAACAACGCCATGTTCCTTCTCGAGCTGCATGGAGCGCATACGACGGATAGCCTTCTCTCTCTCAATGCGCTCTTTCTCACTGGCCTGGAGGACCTTCTTGTACTCGACGCGTAGCTTGCGACCCTGCACGTCGAAACCATTTAAGGCGGCGACGACGGCATCAGCGTCCGCGGCCTGACGAAAGTTTGCAAAAGCGAGACCGCGGAAAGAACCCTGCTGGTCAAGATGATAATTGAAAGCGTAAGGTGTAGGAATAGCCAAAGAAGCCTGGAAAAGGACGAATAAGAGAAAGATTAGCAGGAGCTGGATGTCGACGCACAATTATATCAAGTAAAGTTTCGCGCTTGACATTGAATGGTATATTTTTGATAACGATGGCAGTAGGGATGATCTCGTCATCTGGATTTTGGATAGGTGTAGTTGGAGCAATAGGGGGAGGATTAAGATGGCTCATAGGTGGGGAACCGCCAGCGGAAGAAAAGTCCGAGTTGTTTTGTGGAGAGAGAGAGCGACCGTCTGATGAATTGTCGAGCCATTGCTAGAAGGAAAAAAGTAAGAAATAAGCAGGATATTGAGCTGGAAACAAGTCATACGGTCGGGAGGCCGCTGCGGAGAGGTTTGCTCTTGAGGGGCGACTGGCCTGTCGTTAAAGGATTATACTGGGACTGGACGGGAATTCCAGGCGAGGTTGCATAATGATAATGAGGCCTGCTGCCACTGTTGCCTTCGTAATCGTAAGTGTCGTGAAGACGTTGCTGGGAAGAAAGCGACAGAGAGGATATGTCTGGAGGAGAGCTGGTCATTATATGTAGCCTGGTATCAGCCAACGACTCGTGAAGACGACGAAAAGGAAAATTGCAGACAGAGAAAAGTTAAAGATGAAGGAAAGCTGGGAAAAGCTCGTCCTCGCTGTTGTTCTTTGCTTATCGTCTCGCCACGAGGCTTTACTAAATATGGGAACCGAAGAATGTGCAAAAACATCCAAAATATATATAATATAATATTCTATTGCCTGCTGGCGCCTATTGCGACTGGTTTCGGTAGGGGTAACAGATGATCTACGTCAACGGGGACACGAACACTTCCCGAGTGATCCCAAGGGCCCCGCCGGACTTTGACAGATTCTGACCGCCGTGCTACATTCGACGGCCTTGAATTTGAGTAATTTGATGCCAATGCCACAGGCAGGCCACTTGCTGGCGGGCTGGGTCCCCTGCCGACTGAATGAGGCGGGTAAAAAGTCGGTCGCGGCACTGCCGGGAGTGTATGCTTGGGTGCACTACGTAAATAGATACATATGTAAGTGTGACTAGTAGTACCAAGGTAGATAGACTCACTTTCGTGGGGGTGCTGGCCCAGGCACCAGGCGAAGAGCAGTTGGAGGGGCACGTCGAGGCATAAGTAAAGGAATGGTGTTACTGCTTGCAGATGGTAGTTTGTCTGGTAGATAGATGAGAGAAGATCCTTGTACCAAAGTTGGTCACTTACTTGTTCGAACAGAAAGAGAAAGATGGCAACCCGTGCCTTGCAGTGATTTGCTCGATATATAAGTCCTAGCGCTCAACGTGCAACTTAAATATTGTTCATGAATCCCAGAACTGAGTAAGGAAACAAGAAGTGCCACAGTTACGTAATTGTGGCTCAATTAAAAAGTTTTCAAGTACTTACTTAGTGTCCAAAGGAGCTCACGGCGGCTTTCTGGTCGTCCCCGGCACCCACGGATGTATTCTAAGTTATAGATGTAGATTCTAGTCACCTATCTATTCCCATGATGATTGATTATACATGTACAACAGTAGATGGTTTCAAGGAGATATCCAACAAAACATCGTACTCATATACAAGGCGTAAAAGGGTACTGACAACAGAATTACGCATTATCAGCAGGTCGGTAGTGTCTCATCAAGTGCGCCTTAAAGACTACAAACGTTCCCGTTCAATTCAAAAACTACCGAAAAATTGAATTAAAAAGTACTCACTATCAGGATTGTTCCAGGCATTAGCGGCCTCCGAATTAAGAGGAGATGCGTTGTTCGGTTCTATCAAAAACTTTAGCATCATTCAATTTTCCGGGTGCCGAACCCACTTACCCCCGAGGAGTGATTGCAAGGACAATAGAATGGTTTGAACGCTGTATACAGCCGACCATTTGTCCTGAATGGTTTTTCTGTTAGCCAGCGGAGATAAGTACCCTACCAGTTGACAAACCTGCAGTATATCCAGGCATATGGCTCCTCCCGTGATATCAACGTTCGGATGGAAACACGGTGTATCAAACTTGATGGATGGAGGTACATAGGGATAGTTTGAGGGAAAGTTTATTGATATTTTGAACGTTAGTCCATCGTAAATCTGATCGTCGAACATTCAGGTATAACCCTTGATGATTGTAGAACTCGAACGTACCGTGCCTGCGGGGCCTTCTATCGTACCAGCCCATTCAAAGAGATTGCCATCATGTTTTGGGAACGCAGACTGTGACTAGATATAAGCACAATGTTTCTGGTTCAGAACCACATAGAAGACTGACTATGCCTGGCGAGGCGTTCATCTAGTGGCGCGAAGCGTGTTAGTGAAAAGATAGCACGCGACAGACACGAAAACTCACCATCAATGTCATCAGCTCGCTACCCAAGCTATAAAAGACACATTAGAGTGGTACCAGATAATTTCGCGTCATATCTCGTACCGTTTCTGAACACTGCCCACTCCCTGCTGGGTAGTGCTGGGTGCGGTGGTTTTCTGAGGAGAGCGGGGAGGAATCGCAGCAGAGAGTTGCTCCATGGAAGGTAATACAGGCGGGGTGAGAGCAAGAAGATGGTAGTGTTACAGTGCAGGGGAGACGTAAGTGGTGGCAAAAGACAGAAGAGTGAAATTCACAAAAGGGCCGCTGTAACTCGAACGACACGTGATGGTGACCAGGCCGGCCGTGGGAGCTCGAGGCACGAGCCCTAACCTTAGCGTTATACCCTTCCCCTCCCCTTCCATCGCTGTTGTTGACGATGTCCGCCAATTTTCAGGCCACGGCGGGCGAGCTTTCGCTCGTGACGCGAATATTTGCTCAAGCCGACCCAAATAAGACAGGTTTCCTGTCTGGAGACGTTGCTGTACGAGTATTTGGCGGGGCCAAGCTCCCGCCCACGGTTCTCGGAGAAATATGGAATATTGCAGATGACGAGAACCGAGGGTCATTGAATAGTAAGGGCGTGGCAGTAGCACTCAGGCTCATAGGATGGGCGCAGAAGGGAGAGAAGGTCACTCCCGCTCTCGTCAATCAAGGTACGTAAACTGCGCCCAGCTACCAATCAGCATTCTGACGCTGAGCCTGGCAGCTGGCCCTTTGCCAATCATCGAGGGAGTCTCAGGTATCTCTACTCACAATACTGGGATGTCGATACCTCGCTCGCCTCCACCCTTGTCTGGTTTACCTCCATTTACTGCCCAGGATAAGGCCAAGTTCCAAAATATGTTCTTAAAGTCCGGACCAACAAACGGACTTCTCAATGGTAAGTATTCTCAGCTGCATCAATGAGTTCCAGCACTAACACTCTTGATAATTCAAGGTGAAAAAGCTCGCGACATTCTTATAAAGTCGAAACTTTCAAACGAGAAACTTGGTCAAATTTGGTTCGTCATCACTGTAACCTGAATGTTCCACACTTCACCTTCGTACTCCAGGAATCTCGCAGATACCCATGACCGTGGCTCCCTTGATGCAACAGACTTCGCTATTGCGATGTACCTCGTTCAAGGAGCAATGTCCGGTCAAATCACCACCATTCCCTCGGTCCTACCCCCTGCTTTGTACCAACAGGCTTCGGGATCTCCTGCAGTACAGAGCGCCGTCCGAGCTCAAACAACGGGAACTAGTGGCTCTTTCAGCCCTATCAACAGCACTTTCTCTCAGAGAACTGTTCAGTCTCAGTATACAGGTCAGAACCAGTTACCTTTACAGGCAGACGTCACAGGTGGTTTCCCGGCACGTAGGGGTCCTCCCGTACCTCCTCATCTCCCCGCACGGCCCAGTCCCTCGCAAGTTGGATCCGGGGCGTTTGGCCGGGCGAGCGTAAATACCCATTGGGATATCACACCGGCGGAGAAGACCGATTCCGACAAATTCTTTGATAACCTTGATTCACAAAGACGAGGCTACATTGAAGGCGATGTTGCAGTTCCATTTATGCTCGAGTCACAACTTGGTGAGGAAGACTTGGCTCGAGTTTGGTAGGTCGTCATTATAAGACACGTTTGTATTCCGTACTCACATGCGTATGTAGGGACCTTGCTGATATTAACAACGACGGTCGCCTCACTCGCGATGGATTTGCCGTTGCTCTGTATCTTATCAAAAAGAAGCTGGCCGGTGTAGATGTACCCGCAACTCTGCCACCGACTTTGGTTCCACCTTCTATGCGCAAACCCAATGGCTCTGCATTTGCACCTGCACCTTCTCCTCCACCTCCTGCTGCACCAGAGCCCGCTATTGATCTATTATGGGATGACGCGCCGGCCCAACCGGTACCCGCAGCTGCCCCTTCTCGGGCGTTCAGCATTCCTCTCCAACCGACGGGCTCTCAAGTCTCACCGCCTGCCTCGTCGTTCAACTCGCCTCCTCAACCGAAGCCGGCGGCCCAAGACCCATTCCGTTCTTCACCTTTCGGATCTGGATCTGGATCTGGTAAGCACTTGCGTCATAAAGTCTTTAGTGATTTAACGGGTTGCAGCCGCAGCCAAGGACCTACTTAGTGATGATGACGACGTGCAAGCTGCGCCTCCTCGATTGCACGATCAATCTGCTGAGATCGGTAACACTCAAAACCAACTTAACTCCACGAACCGATCATTGGAAACCACCAAGACCAAGCGAGCCTCCGTCGAACAGACTCTTGCTAACCAGGCTGCTCAATTAAGTGCACTGCAGACCCAGCTTTCGTCGGCAAAGGCTGCTTATGAGACAGAAACCAAACTGTTATCAACCCTTCGGGATCGCTTGAATGCTCAGACAGCCGAAATTCAGAAGACCCGAGAGACCCTTATCAGCTCGGAGAGTGACTTGAGCGCTGTCCGAGTCGAGAAGGCAGAGATCGAAGGTGCCTTTTTACGAGACAAAGAGGAGGCCAGGGAGTTGCATCGTAAGATGTTGGAGTTCAGCCAGCAAGCTGACGCGTTGAAGGTGGAGACGGAGAAAGTCAAGAAAGAAGCCAAGCAGCAGAAGGGATTACTCGCGATTGCCAAGAAGCAGCTGAGCACCAAGGAGGCTGACAGAGCCAAGGCCGAGAAGGAGTTGCAAGAGGCTAATGCCGAGTTGGTTGCAGTGAACAAGGAGAAGGCAGAGACCGAAATGAAGATTGCAGAGCTAGATGCTACACCGATAGTTGCGCCTGCTCCAGAACGGGCACTTTCATCTGACTCGGTTGCCTTTGCTGCGTCACACGCGCTGCCTGCTACGCCTGATCCGACAAGTCCAGCCGTTAGCACCAAAAGCAACAACCCCTTCGATAGGCTGGCGATGTCGTCCGGGCATTCGACTCCACGCTCAGAATCACCGTTTATGCCATTTGCTGCTACGTCCCTTCCAAGCCCGCCCACTACCACTAGTGCAAACGTTACTGAAAGTGGTGATCCCTTTGGTTTCTCTCAAGCGTTCGAGAGCCTGGATGTGTCGCCCGAGCCGGCGGCGTTGGAAGCTACCAAGGCTCCTATCGAAGAACCGGAAGTATCTACTCCAAAGCCACCAGCTGCTGAGCTTGGGATGTCTACTGCGCAACTACCGTCAGAAGCACCCACATCACCTGGTTCCGCTAGTGAGACCGAGGTTTTCAGCACTCCACCCACGACATCTGCAGGTCTCCCGGAGTCTGCTAATGGCAAGCAGTCAACGTTAGAAGACGTGCCTTCCAAATTTCCTCTAATTGAGGAACCTGTCACTGTGTCGCCTGCGCCTGAAAGCGAAGTTCCTACGGAGCCTCCAAGGAAGTCTGAAGACCACACTGATTTGGGAGCCCCACTAAAAGAAATTGAAGTGGAAGAATCGGATAGTGATAGTGAAGAAGATGAGGTTCCTCTCGCACTACTGGCCAAGAGGCTGTCGGAAAGCCCACCTGTGATTGCTGCACCTCCGCCGGCTGAAACAAATGGACCCTCAACTGCACCCGCGTCGTCATTTGATGATATATTCGGTGTCGGCTCTTCGCCTTCCCCAGCCACTGCCGCTACCTCGACAGGAGAGGCGGATGCGTTTGGGGTACCTATCAAAAAATCCCCCAGTCCTTTTGACACGTCCGACGTCTTCACTTCGTCACCTACGGAGAAACCACAGAATGGGCGCGTCGTATCGGGAGTCAATGTATTCGACGAGGCAATGGGCAAATTGCCAAGCACCGGACCATCGCCTACCAGTTTCAGCTTTGATTCTGCATTTGAAGACAACTTCGACTTTGGAGCCTCAACCGAGCCAGCTTTCCCGCCTGCTCCCAAAGCTGTCAACGGTGGTGCTACGTCACCACTACCCGCGCCCACCAAAGATGATGGTTTTAATTCCCTGTTCACGACGCCTACCATTGTTACAACTAACGGAAGTCACACATCTGCACCGGCTTCAGATCGCGTGCCAACGCCCACTCCTGCAGCTGCGTCAACTACAACCTCACCTACAAGCACGACAGAACCTTCTGGACCGTCATTTGATGATGTGTTTTCGGGCTTCAACCCGTCTCCGTCATTGAATTTGGACACGACGTTAACGGCAACCCCAGTCAAGGTCACCGAGTCACCGAAGCCGCTGCCTGCAAGTGCGTCGCCACCGAGTTCTCTACAGGGCGGCCGCCCCATCTCGCCCCCTATAAGAGAAAGGTCGCCACCGCCGCGCGTTAGTTCACCCAAACCCCGGCCTTCGACGTCATCATCAAGTAAGGAAGGACATGAGCTCAGGCCTCCCCCGCCACGGCATTCGAAACTCAGTGTAAGTTGCAGCATCATAATGGATGTTCTTAACAGTGACATCTCTACTCGTTTCTAGATACGACTACCATTTGGGAAGAAGAAGAAACAAGAGGCCGTGGCGCCTCCGCCATCTCAGTTCCTGACGCCTCCCGCTGAAGAGCTAAGGAGCACGACTCCCGCTAGCGACGACGATGTTGAGCCTGTCAAACAGCTGACAGCTATGGGTTTCAGCCGAACCCAGGCAGTTGCAGCCCTTGAAAAATACGGCTATGACGTTTCACGCGCGCTGAATAGTCTGCTTGGTCAATAAAGGTTTCGCATACTGCTTCGTTCCAATGTACAAATATGTTCACCTTATTTACCTCAACTTTCGTTAAAATGAACAGTTCCCTACGGATTCTTATTTACGTTCCACATTCACTTACTTAATTTCCCGAATCTCCTCTAATGGTCTGCTTCGGCTTGACGTTGTATGCATGCTTTTGCGTACAAATTCTATTGCATTCTTCCGCTTTGTTGAGTGGGCTGCTACTCAGATATGAGTTCAATTTGTTACTATTCCTCATCGTGTCGGAAATTTAATATTTCTAATTCCAAATAAAATTCGTGGGCAGAAACTTGAGGAATGCAACTTCGCAAAAGAGCGCCAATCACGATTTATGCAGTACTATTGCAGATGCCATAAGCAGCTCAGATTTTCGAAAGGGGAAACATGTTTGTGCTCTGCGACATTTTACTTATTCTTCCTTTTCCTACTCTCACGTTCCCTAAAAGTTCCGTATGTTGGGTATGTCTATTCCATACGGAGGTACTGGACATATCCACTAACGATAATGTCTGTTCTGCCCTTTTCCAATGAAGACACCGCCGTCCAGAACAATCAACGTATTTTCAGCTCATACGAAGCGTTTCTTGGAAACCCGACGACTTACGTTGAATATGCCGAAAAATTCGCGCAATGGTTGGATTCGGACAGGGCTTTCTATGCCCAAGGGAAACCTTCTGTAAATTCGAGTTCTCATCCATTCTTTGGATGACTGACCGATTCTTTACAGATCGTATCGATACTCATGGTACAACGCGTCCGCAGGTGATCTGTGTGGTTGTTCTAACTTCAGCAGACGGCATACAGGACCGTCCACCAGACTCTCTGTCCCGGGCTCGATTTCAGTATACCTCTCAACATGGATCTTTACAAGAATCATCCATTGCTGTCAGCCTACCGACGTCTCATCGAAGTTCTGTCCAAATACGTCAAGCATTTCCTCAATGATGCCGTTCTCAGGCGTGCGTGCTGTATCTTTTCAATTTGTTTCGTGGACTGACACGTTGAAACACATAGCACAAGTTCAATTACTTCTGCGTACTGTTGGCATGCAGTTGACCGCAGAAACAAGGCCACCTATTCCTGTACAACCTTCTCCGACAGTCCAACTTCCTCATGCCCCTGTTCAAACCGGACGAGAACCACCCAGGGCGTCGGTAGGTTTTCTGCTATGCCTAATCACTCGTGTCTCAACTCTTGGATAGACGTCTTCTTCACAATCTCCGACGCCACTGGGTCTTCCCAAGAGAAAGAGGAATATGGATTTGCTGATCAAACAGGACTTGGACTGGTATGTAGCCCAAAACTCTTCTGCTCCGAAAACCCAGGGAGGTCCTCTTCCGAAGGATGTACCTGCGAATGAGCCATCATCATCCAAATCACCTGCAACAACCGGAACCGTTCCTCAGAGCCAGTGCATCTCCATCAGAAACAGCGCCTGTCCTTTCAAGCGAATCGACGTTGACGTCTGGACCGGTTGTTGCACCTCAGGCTAATGCATTTCAGCCAATTATCCCAGTAGAGACGAAGCCCGTTCCCCAAAATGATTCCTCAACTGCATCTGGAATTGATACAGAAGTCAGTTCGAAGCCTAACGTTTTAGGCGAGTGGACTGTTTTCAGAGATGCGATTCCCCCGGAGTCGAAGCCTGTTCCAGAGAATGGCGAAATACCGGACGATGGAATGGAAGGAGTGCTTGAAGCAGGCCAGATACAGAATGATGTACCCATGGCTTCTCCGCAGGTATGTTACCCTAGTCAATTTACACTTGGGTCTAACTGTTACAGGGAATGGACACTGACGGCACTAATGAAAGAGAAGAAGTAGGAAACCTTCTTGACGTACGCGAGCTCATCCCCTTGCTTCGAGAAGGGTTTTCATTTACATTTTAGCAGACGCCCACAACGATCGCCGCAAATACGGATCAAGGCCAATTAGGTTCCATCCCCCATGAAACCGAGGACTCTGCAATGGAAGATGTAGGGATACACGCAGGACAGAGGAATGAGGTGGTTCTCCAAAGTCGCGGTGATATCCAGGAACCTTCAGGGATCCCACATGGCGGAAATGAAAACGCGTATCCTTCCCGTCACTCGACGCCTGCCGTAATTCCATTTTCTATCTTGATGTAATCTGATATCATGCTAAATTTAAGTATCGTTACAGGACGCGCACAACTCGATGTCGACAGATGCGGCCTCGCATATGGGCGTTTCAGGGGTTGAACGTGCGGATCGGCAGAACATTGATGGGATCCAGAATGCGGTCGTAGCATCGCCACCACCTGGCGATACGATAACTCGACTGGTCAAGGAGGATCTAGTGTTGCCCAGCTATGGTAAGCTCGAAATTCGTGTCCTTGATATGAGCTAAATACATCTCTCCAAGACGGATTTAATAATAACATGCTGAAAATCTGGCTTGCGCAAGGGAAGAGTGGCCCTTTCGAACATAAGTTCAAGGTCGATGTCACCGAGTCGGCCTTTGTGCACTTTGTAAATTGGAATCAACGGAATAAAAATGCTAGGTACGTTGGGACACTGCGAAGATAATTATTCATGCTAATGGTCTGATTCAGGGAAGTAGAGAAGAGCAAGTGCTTGTCTTTGTGCTGTTACAAGACGACGGACGTGGCAACTCTGATGAAAAAGGGCGCGAAAGGGCTGGAGCTAATGAACAGTTTGCATCTATCATGGCCTCAAGCCGGAGGGTTAAAATTGCTCGTGACAGTCAACGGACAACAAAAAATGGTTCCTCTCGCTCCGCCTACTGTGGTATGTTAACAAAATTGATTCATGTTTTTTGTCATGCTCACGATTGTACCAAGACGACGGCTGGGTTACTGGATCTGACGGTGTTTCTGCAAGTTGGAAGCAATGAGTTTGTTGTTGTACAAGAGCGGTCCATGACCGAGTACATATTCATGGTGTATGTGCATGATCCCACGCGATCCCAGTTGGAGCCGGTGGTTGAAAGACGCAAGAAGGAAGAAGAGTGGAAGATTGCATTGGAACATTTATCGAGACCCCTCGAGTTGCTTCCTGGCCCGTGGGATTGATTTTTTTTGGTAGGACGTTCTTGGAAATTTCTTGGAGATGGTCGATTTTGGCGTATCCTCTGAGCACTTTTTGGTAATGTTGTTGTAAATTTTGTATTACTAACTTATTGAGATGTGTATACTGTACAATCATTTAAAGCGTCGTACGTAACCTTGTATAATCTTTGGTGCTTTCTCCGCGTTTCGGAAGAGAATCCGAGTCCATGCCGGAACTAGGTCAGATTCGGAATCTCGAAACAGATATTTCATACTAGTAGCGCGTCTAATTTCGACCCTGACGCTTGTTTCTCGAGAACCGTCCAGGGCATGCCAGGGCATACCTGATGCCTGAAGCTTGAAGGCCTGAAGCGCATTGGAATCTCTGCGATATATTTATTCAGATGATCTACATGATACTTTTGCTGCTGCACCGCTGCACCGATCCTCGTCTAGTTCTCGGACCGCGGCCTCGTTCTCTGGACTTGTAACTCCGGTACCCTTGCTCTTATTGACATGCTACTGCGGTCCTTAATAGAAACGGTCCATCGTGGGCGTTCAGAAAAGGACCGTTCTGCGTTCTCTCCCTCAATGGCAAGCACACCTGGAAGTTTTGGAATACAATGTGGCGTCATTTTACCGGACACCAGATCATTCAATCTGGCCGAGAATGCTTCCCGTTTGCTTGTTCTTTACTTCTGGAGTACTGAATAGTTATTCATTTTAGCTGAAAGGTTTTTGTTTGTGAGTTCATCTGCCGCTGTGAGCAGGTTTGCATTCTAATCAGACTCATGGCAGAGTTACAGCGGTACATTTTATTGTATTTTTTTTTGGTTAAAGCGATAAGGATGCTGCGCTGATAGGCAGCCACTTGCGCCTGGTAGGCTGACCCACTCCCTTTCGGTTAATACAAGAGACTTTACTGCGCGGCGCCATTGCTCCTCGACCACGCCGTTTTTTTCTCTTCAAAGCGCCTTTCTCTTTGCTTAATTTCTTATGGTGCCGGTCCCGAAGTATACGGATATGTTCACCGCCGCAAACGGGTCCCAATCTTGCATTAAAGTGTTCGTTTCCGAACGAGTCATACAGTGTAATTAACCTAGGGTCCTTCCTAGATTCTTTTTGAACAAATGGGACTTTCGAGCAGCTATGCGCGATGCCGCGCTCCGTCCATCGCTCTGCTACCCAATGGTATTTTGTTCAGCCCGGTGGTCCGTGATAGATATCTTGTACTTGCAAAAGCTAGTCACGAGGGCCGGCAGTTTCAGAATTGCCGCCGTATTTTTTCCGTGACTTGCCTCTTCCCTTCACAATGTGCTGTACCGCGCGCGAATGACAGCCATTGTTCCTCGCGTTGGCAGTGGTCAAGACTGAACAATACCGTTTGTCAAGGCACTGACGGTTCCTGCTGATCTGAGACCATCATCTTCGACGCCTCCTGGTGCTCAACGGCATAGCCTCTTCTATCTATCATTTTCTCAGTTGCCCTCTTACCCCGTATACCGTCTGCTCCTGCCATATAAAAGGTCCAAGAGGCTCACCGTACCCTCATACTTTGCTTGTGCTTATGCCTGCCTTCGACATGGTCGTCGTGGGCTGTGGGGGCGGTCCAGATGAGACAAATTTGTCCGGGTATGTCCTGGTTGTCACGTCGACTCTATCTGCCTTGCTTATCCGTGCAGCTACCTCCTCAAACCTTACGATTCGCGTTGGGAGGACGGTATTATTGCTCTGGAGGCTGGTACGTACCAGTACCTTGTATCGACCGGTCCAAATTCTAAGTGGCCTCCAGGTTCAGGGCAGGGCGCCCTCAGCCACATTCTCGCGGAGACGCCATCCCTTTTCAGCTCGGAACGCGATCAGGGCCCGTATTCCGTTGCCAAGATTTACTCCTATGTCCGGTCCGTATGCATCCGCCTGTTTCGCGTCCACCAACTCAATGTACCCATCCTTAGGTGCTTTCTCATTACCCATGCACATCTAGACCACGTCAATAGTCTTGTTATATCCGCCGGTTCTCTCTCTGGTCCTCGGAAACATTTATACGCTACTCGACAAACATTGCTCGGCCTAGGAAGGCCTGTTCAATGGTCGTATCTGGCCTAATCTAGCCTCATGGAAGGACGACGATGACGAGAACAAGCTGCTGTACAAGGAGTGAGTGTTCGGACATCTCCCGTCCGTGAAAATTTAGCTCATGTTGCTGCAGCCTACCATTGGATTTACCATCTGGGGCATACCATACCATATTTCCCTCCGTTTCCGTACGCACCTTCTTGCTGAATCACGGTCTCGATGAATCCAACGCCGTATATCAATCGTCCGCGTTCTTCATTCGTCATGACACGTCTAAAAAAGAGTTTCTCTTTTTCGGTGATGTCGAGCCAGATAGCATCGCCAAAAAAGCCCAGAACAAGCAAGTCTGGAAAGAAGCGGCATCAAAGATTCCAGAAGTCCTATCTACTATTTTCATCGAATGCTCTTGGGAGAAGGGACGTCCAAATAACCTGCTGTTTGGCCATCTCAGTCCTGAGCATCTCGTCGACGAGCTGGAGTCGCTAGCAAAGGAGGTGGAAGCGGTGAAAATTCGGAAGGGTTATGCCTCAGGCTCAGACAGTTCGCCACAGCGGAAGAAGCCAAAGAGGAACTCGGTGGACACTGGCGCCAGAGGGGTTTTGAACGGCGTTCGTATATATATCATCCATTGCAAGGACGTCAAGGATGGTGCACAGAATCTTAGGGCCAAGATTGTCGACCAAGTGAGGAAACTCATCGAACCAAAGGGGTTAGGACTCCAGATCTTCGCCGCAGAACAGGGTATACATATCAGTGAGTGTTTCCCGCTTCCTGCTTCAGGTAGCATGGCTCAATGCAATTGATCATCTAGCCTTATGAATGTCACGATAGACCTGACACACACATCTCCATATATCCCCGTTCGAAATTGAATAGCAAGTATTTATTGACCCTAGCTTTGTATATCTAGCCCTTGATGTATCCTTAGCCATTTCGACTTTTTGAACAAGATTGCCTACACTATTTTCCTACAATTTTGATGCTGGTCTTCCGGATATTCTAGCCTGTTCATTGCCATCAATCTATAGAAACACGAATCGGATGCCTGGAGATCGTCTTAGCCGGGGTTAATATCGATAAACCTCAGTGTTTCGTGAACGCCACGATCCGACAGATGTTGGGACTCTGCAATAGTCGGCATTAGTATAACTGCCCTGCCCTAGTGTGTTCCGGGATGATGCTCATCTTGATTGTCAAGTTCTTCTCATCTTAGGCTTACTACGCCGGGCAGGCAATGTTCAAAATTAAACACTCGTCGCGATGGAGGACGCTTCTCTGACGTTCAGCATTTGTCGCCTTCCTATTTAGCAATGCCTGTTGCATCACAACTCCGGTTTGTTTTTGCATCATCAACGAGTGAAGCATCCAACAAGCCGTTCAGATCCGTCATAACAAGTCATGATCAAAAAACGATACATACAAGAATGACAAATAGTAAAAAAAAGTAAAAGAAGAGAAAAAAAAGAACAATATGTACTAACAGAGAGACAAATTCCCGTCCTTCAGAGTGCTATGATCGTAACCAAATCTATTAGCAAGCGCTATGGGGCATTATTTTCCACCATTGAAAGCAATGAGAGCAAAAAGATCGTTACGACGATGCGTATAGTTTTATTACCCCGTCTGCACCGGCACTCGCCATGAAAGGAAGGGAAGGATGGAATTCGACGTCGAGGACACCCTCGCGAGCTTTTTCTCGATGTGCCGTTATCTCCTGAACACATGCACGGGATCCCAGTAGATCCCAGAATCGAATAGAACAGTCGTGACTCCCTGAAACGAGAGAAAACCCCGAGGGATCAATCGCTAAGGATGTTACTCCGTCCAGGTGGGCAAGCATGGAGTGTGTACATTGACCTGAGCCACATATCTTAAGGAACTGCCCGAATTATATAGACTGAGGACTACATACCTGTGGTGATGTCGAAGATCCTGAAATACTTGTCCTCGTGGGCGGTGACCAGTAATGACATGGTCGGATGTGAGGCTATCCGATTGACCTGAGTCGAGGGAGTCCCATCTGTTGAATTGTGAGCTCAGCTCAGATCATGCTAGACGGAGTGGCATAGATTTCCTACCATATGTACTGTCACTCTGCAGTCGGGAAACCTCTTTCCCTGTTTCGATCTCAAAGATCTTGACAACCGCGTTTTGATAAGCAACAGCGACCTTTTTCAGGTCAGACTTTATCGCCTCGACTGCCGTGGCACCGAACTCGGCGTCTTCTTGGAGGCCGTCGCTGCTAGTGCTCTCCAAGCCAGACCAACCCCAGCTTAGTTTCAGGTGACCACCGCCAGTCTGCTTGCTAACGTCCCACACTTTTACGGCACCTTCGGCACCACAGCTGATGAGGGTTGTTTCGTCGCGAACTAGTGCTAGATCCCATACTGCGTCCGTGTGTCCGATTAACTCGCCCCTGGAGCGCGTCTCATCGTATGGAGCGTACGTCGTGTGCGATGCAGGAGGTAGCGCCCACACACGTATTGATGAATCTAATGACGCCGAATACAGAAGACGTTTTGATGGTGAATGTATTAGCCTTGTGATCGCTGCAGAATGTCCGCGAAGGGTAAGTTGAGGCTCCACCTCCGTGGTCGGCCGTGCACTGTGGGTTCAAAAAATCAGGACCACATGAGTGTCAGGAGACGAGACGGTGATGAAAGTAGACGTACGCAGATGATGCCAGCCCAGTAACATCCATTCGCCATATCTTTACAGTGCAGTCATCGCCTCCTGTAGCTAGACACAGTTCTGTTGGATGGAAAGCAAGCGCTCGTACGGCATCCAGGTGACTGCAACAAGATCAGTCTCTCAAACAAAAGGCGGTCTTTTGCACGCGTACTTTCTCAACGTTCGTTTCACCTTCCAGGTCTTGTTTCCTTCACCTTCACCGACTTCCGTTGACTCATCGTCCTCAACGTCACCATCCTCCTCCTTAAGTTCTTCTTCTTCCAAGTTTCTTCGATCCCATAGGCTTCCATTTCCATTTTGGCCCTCTCTGGCAAGTCTAGCTTGTTCAGAGGCTTCATGTGAAAGCCGAAGTTTCTCCTTCCACTCTCCAGCGTCATCTGGCCGGAATATGGCAGTGAGCTGCCGAGGCTCCGATTCTACTTCCCGATCGCTTTCATTTTGCGTCACTGGAAGCGGGACTGGAGGCTGTGAGGGACCTGCAGCTTGTGGTGGAGGCTGAGGAATAGAAGGTGGAGGCGAAATGTGTTGAGGGAGGATTCCAGACCCAGGAGGATTATTACGTTCGAGAGGGGGTATCTGTGGTCCTGAGGTTGCTGGTGCAGAAGAAGGACCGGATATGAGATTAATTCCATTCAGAAGATTACCGCCGTCTGAGGGGAGTATTTTGCGTGGTCGCCCGTTGTATGGAATCTGTTCAAAAGAGGGGACGTTTGGTAATGAGAGTGGCATGGTCGGGTTGTTCAGTAGAGGCCGGTTAGGAAGAGGGTTCATTGCTTGCGGTGATGTTAGATACGAAATTTCTTGAAGGCATCTGGAGGTAATATATGAGCACGGGAGCTCTAAAGTTTCAGTAATGCCACGTACTGCTTCAAATATTCTCTACTGCGCGCCCTGCTCTTAGGATCACGTCCAGGAGGTGGCTTTCCAAGGGCAGCGGCTGAAGTTCCAGCTGAGGGTCCGTTGGCCCAATTTGAACCACCCCATGATGCTGGTCTTCCGGAAGTGCCGACGGACGGTACACCGTTGGGAAGGCGAGTATCAGGCAATGGAGAGTCTAGCATAGGTTCTTAGGGTCAGAACGAGACGAATTAAACACGCAACGTGCGCACCGTCACTCCTTGGTGAACTGCCGCTGCTTTCTTCCTTGTGGCTCTGGGCGTCCTCCTTCTGGGAAGATGAGACTGTCTGGCTCTGAAGAGTAGCCAGTTTCGATGAGGGTATGGATTGAGATGAGGAACCGGAAAGCTGTTTGGAGCTAAAAGAGAACCCGAAAAATTGAATGCTACGCGAGTGAGCAGGACAGCAGCGAGACTGACCGTTCCAATCGTAGGGCATATTCGAGCATTTTGATACGACGCATAAGGTCGAGCTTCACGTTATCGAAGGAACGTCGTTCGCCTTCTAGCAGAGCAATTCTTGCCTGTGGGAGAGATGAGAAACGCGCCAAAAAAGACACGACCGCCAACGCACCCGCATTTCTGCTCGTTCAATCTCCCACTCGTTACGGTCACGCTCATATCTCCTCCATTCTGTCTGCAAAAAGTGCAGTACACTTGAAAGCGTATAATCCTGGCCATTCTGGGGAGGCGGCGGTGGAATGGAATTCTGAGGCCCTTGCTGTTGCTGCTGCTGTTGGACAGACTGCTGCTGCTGGCTCTGCTGCTGGTTATTAGGCTGGAGACCTTGCAAAGGACCCAACATGGGAAGTTGAATATAATGAGGGACGGAGGTGGACGAGATATTCTGAGGTGGAGGTGTGATTTTCGAATCCATGCATCAGTCAAACACTGCCAAACCCGGCGACCACCTCGACCGAAGTCTTTCGACCACGATAAGGGGACCTTCACCCCTCATTCTATAACCGAAAAATAATCTTTGCTCATCGTACAGGTTGACGAGGGAGTATACAAAAATATATAGAAACACTGTCTGCATTTGGAGCGGCGTCACGGTCTGTCCAGAGTTTTCGGTTCGAACTCTTACGTTCATGCTCATGCATGGAACGATACACAACAACTATGACTCAATGCCGGAAATTTACAAGTCTACAGGTAGGCTGGCCCTTCATTTCTGTCTCTAGAATGGTAACGGTATATTCTCGTTACCGTTTATTTCTTGCCAGACCTTGGGACAGGATCAGTATACATTTTACGGAGGGCGGGTTACTCTTGGCATGCTCACTTCTTGATGCCACCACCGGGGGCTCCACCTAGATATTATGTTAAAGATAAAAATTTCGAGTCCATTCTAGTCGCACGGACCTTTCAGTGCTGTAATTCATGTCAGAATAAGTAGGTGATAGCGTCGATAACGACACACCTTTCTCACGGGCAGCTTTCAAAGCATCTGCTTCAGCCTTCTTCTTTTCCTTGAAGGCGATCTCGTCCTCCGTTTCCTCTTTCTTATCCTTCTTCGGCGCCTGGATAGTGCATCAATAACAAAGATCCTGCATTTCCAAAGCGCTGCATTCACCTTAAGAGGCTTGAGCTTTCCACCTTGTCTGCCTGACATTGTTATCCAAGTACAAGAGGTGATGAATCGATGAAAGCTTCTGCAAAGGGGACATCGATTTCTGAGCCGCACGGCCGTAAATGGGCACGTGCCCAAGTGGCTATACAGCGTTCTTAAAGTAATGGACGCGTCGCGATTGCGCCGAGAGCACAGACCTTGAGGTCGAAAAATCCAGAGCAGAGCCGTAATTTGATGCAAAGAACTGCGAGTGGCAGGGAAAACTCAAGAGGGACTTTTTAAGATTTCTAGGCTCCCTACCCTATTGAATAAGTACTTGCACTCACTTCAAGGATCAAGACATGATCCATTAAAATTTTCCTATATGAGTCTGGATTCTTCCGTCACTATTCATATCAGAGCTATCCTGTTGAAAGTGTGGTCGTATGCGTGGTAGTAGCATGAAAGATCAAAATCGTACCAACATTTCGGTAACCCGGGCCAACTACGGCCCGAATGTGACGACGCGATTTCGAACCTCTCCTTGACCAGAAATGGTGCGATGCGTCCACTCACTCAGACCGTCTTTTGTTTCGCCAGCATGTTGTCGGCATATGCTACTAGGCAAAGTACCTTTAGCTCCGAATCCAAATGGACTGTTGAGGTCTCAAAGCATTGGGATGTAAGCGTCCCGGATTTGTAGCTAGCACACGCATCTTACCATCTCAAGGTCCTAGGTCCTTTCCCAATACAAGCTAGAGAACAACAATTTATCTCGCCTTCTTTCCCTTTGAATTGTAAGTGCATTGAAGCATCAACATGAGCATTGGAGCTGAATGATGTCTAGTATCAGAGCCAATTAACTTTGCCAAGACTTGGCCATCCTCTTATGCAGATGGCGGAAGGGTTGCATGGAGTTCTGTAGTTCTCAAAGATGCTGGCGACATTGAAATATCGTTTCCAGACATAAGGTATGCGCGTTATACTGCTCATAAGGAACACTCTGACAATGCCGTGAAAGATGGGAATCCCTTCGCGCAACAGAGGGATGGGCTGCATTGCAACATCACGCTGTGCTTCGCTCTACGCTCACAGTCCACCCTCCAATAAATCCTTCAAAGTCGACCCCTGTTCCACACCTGCTCGTACAGCTCATTCAAGGGTCCTATTTTACAATTCTTCCCAAGAACGGAAGAAGAGAACCTCAATGGTACTCTGGGAACATCTATGCAATGGAACGATCTCTACCACAGCAAGCTCCTCTGCCTACAACCCCGTCGAACTGATTCCGTAACCCATTATGACATCTTCATAAGCGGGGATTATGAGATCAGATTGTTCGGAGACCCACATACTCAAGATCGTGAAATTCCTGTCCAAAGCATCAGTCTTTCCGTGAAATTTGATGACGATCTCGGCAGTGTAATTCGAGAGACTACACAAGACGTCATTTGTGATTTCGTAGATAACTTCGCCTTTGGAAACGCCATTGGCATCGGGTTGCGAAGCGTTGATGGTTGGTGGACTGTTACAGATGTGTCAACAGATTCCTCCTCGGTAAACGAGCTCGACATTCTCTGCCAATTGTACACTCTCTTACGTTCCGTCAGGGCTTGACTTTGACTCTTGTTCGACCTACTCGAATAGCCGAAGGACAAACTCGTATTGTCCCAGTCCAAATAACCCAGACGCGACCTTTCAACCGGGCATCCATTGACCTGAAGCTCACATTGACATCAGGTGCCTCTGAGACCATAGTAACAATCGAGTCCCTACCAGTGAATCAACTCTCTGGTTGGATGGAGTCGGTGTATTCACCCATCAAAGGGTCTTATTTCTATGCTAGATCGATGCCAACTGTTTTCACTGCGTTGCCGCCCAGGTGTTCTGGACCTCCAAAGCCTCCTATATTGGCCCTTCGTAGGTTTTAACAATTCCCTAACGTCACATTACTCAATTCTCAATGTGAAGATGGTGCTGGCGTTGACATTGTGGATCAGTCGTTCTGGGCTGACGCTTTGCCTCGGAACTCGTATTCCTGGTTTGTCATTCCGACGGGAAGGACGTCGTGGGTGCGTGGATCCAATGCAGCGTCTCTTATCGTTCACCGTTGCTTTGTAGGGACTTGATTGGCACGGACCTAGTACCAAAGACACTTGGGCGTCTCTTGACGCCCTGGTCGCAATTTTGGCAGCTAATAAGGCATGGCTTCCCTGGAAACTCGAGCCGAATATCCCTGCTATCATACTGGGACACTCTAATGGAGGCCAGGGTGCTTGGTACATTGCATCGAGGTATCCTGATAGGGTTCTTGGAGGTCAGTACCTTTCCTTTAAACTCGAACTACAGCACTTTGGGCTCACTAACATCGTACATACAGTTATTCCGGCTGCGGCATACATCAAATCTCAGTCCTACGTCCCTCTGACGCTCTCGAGGTAATTATTTTATATCCGATGTATTTTATTCTGCTTACAGTCGCTCAGATCTGCCCGATTTATTGATCCCATCCTTCTCTCTGTATTGGAAACATCCTTAACACCCGATAACAATGATTTATTCTTGACGAACTTGGTTGACACTCCTGTTCTTGCGATTCACGGGTATGATTGCTAGTATCTTGTCCGAGCAACAAGCGCTTATGATCCAACAGAGGAAATGACAACAATGTTCCTGTTTGGCATAGTAGAGAAGCAGCTGGCATTTTGGAAACCTGGGATCCAGCTGCCAACGTAACGTTCGTGTTTTTTTTCGGGCACATTCGTCTCTTTCCCTTAAGGTTTCTGTAGATATCGCGAGGACGCTGGCCAGGGCCACTGGTATTCCACCGTGTTCAACAATACCCAAGTTACGACCTTCATAGATGACCTTATCGCGTCTTATCCTGCGATTACATCACCTTCGAGCAAGTTCACGCTGACTGTGTCGGTTCCCATAGAGAGCGACTCTTTACATGGATGGCGTATCGTTGCTTTGACTATTCCGGGGAGGTATAGTAAATTATATCCTTTCCATATACCAATGTTTTGACAATGATTCAGGTTAGGACGCCTTCGTGTGGAACGTACAAGTGATCTGTCCGTCAGAATTCACACTTCAAATCTGCGACGGTTTTCAGTCGACACTACCGTATACAATATTTCGACGGCCTACGTGGACAACGCGAAGGTGCATATCAATAAAGACAAAGCAGGGATCATACATTTTGAAGCTGTGGAGCCTAAAGTGTGGAAGGTAACGCTACTTGATGTCTCCGATCCCTCGTAACTTACCACCTACCGCAGACATCAAACCATAGTGAGATACAGTTATCAGGGCGCATGCAGGCCGTTTTGTCATCAGATGGCCCCATCGTACTCGTGATACCAGACGACACTGCGACATACCCTCAAGAGCTTTCAGTTGCACGGCGGATCGCCCATGATCTGGGGCTGTATCATCGACTGGATACAGAGATAATACGAAGCTCAGAGGCTTTTGACCCTGATATTCTGAGTCATGGAAATATCGTCGCCATTGGGAATGAAGCTTCAGCGTCTTTCACGCTGAATAAGAGAACACCATTTGAAGCCAACGGTTATCAAATTCGTCCATGCTTCGCCCCGCAACAACCTTTGGAATGAGCCGGGAATAGGTAGGATACACTTGCATCATATTGTGATCGCAACGTAGATTGAAATCCTTTAGGGTTACTGTTTCTACATTCGCATCCTATGAATGCGGATGGCAATATGGTGATGATACAGTCTACGGATGCAGCTGGTTTGGAAAGGGCTGCACGGCTTTTCCCAGTCCGTACTGGTATCCCTGTACCGGACTGGCTGATCGTTGGACCTCTGGCAGATTCCCAAGGTGCCGGAGGTGTGATGGGTGCAGGGTAAGTTTATCAAAAAGCTTGACTTGTGCTCATGCTAACAGTCCCGGTATAGAGTGTGGGGTAACGATTGGAGTTGGAACGACCCGATGTCCTGGACGAGTTGAAAATGGAACGGTCGGTAGGTCATTTGTATGTAACGTAAACTATGATACTACATCTGTGTAATTACGATCCCAAGCACTACAGACCGTTCATCGACGCCGAATGACGCACAGTATTTGATTTCTACCACTCAGACTACTGTTTAACGCTCGTCGTGCTCGTATATTGATCCTGCCAATGATAGCTGTTTGATTAATGTTTGACGACGTAGAATGTAGATAACAAGTCAGAATACCCCTCACATATATAGATAAAAATATCAGAACTGAGTCAACAAAGGTGAGATCCAGCTGTAGGAATGCAGCTTAATGTCTCGGAAGAGCTACCCGCCATTTTCGTCGACATGATGTGGTAGGGAGACTGCGTCAGCCAGCATTTCTAAACTCCGCCCGAATTTGCAAACGCTACTCATCGTGAACAGCGACGTCCACGCTGCTACCTCGACTTTCTCCTTATATATCTCCTCAATCCTGCTACCATTCCTCCTTCAAAAACGGCGACCGGTCACGGAAACGCTCAACGGCGCTCGGTGACCCCGTCCAGGTCCCACATGGACAATCCGCCTACCAGTACGACCAACATCCACACCATCGTCAAAGCCCAGATTGTTTTTCTTCTATCGACACTGACTGAGGAAAACTTTGAGCGGAATCAGGTGGAAATTCGTTCGGTGCGTTTGTTATGCTTTTTAGTTGGTATCCTGCTTCTAAATGGACGAAAATTCGAACAGCTCTCGGAACAGCATGGAATAGACACTTACCTTCATTTCATCCGTCGGTTAATCGTTGCTTCCCAGTCCCGACTTGCTGCCGGCCCACCCCCTGCCTTTGACGCCTCCACCTCCCTCACTTTTCGACTTCTTGTCCAGGAAACCCAACGTCTCGCGCGCGACCCTTTTCTCGCTGACCGTTTCCGCGACGGCATCGACAAAGGCGAAGGCGACGTCTTCAGGAACTTTGATTTCCTTCGCTTCGTGGATCGCATCGGCCTTCGCCCGCTCGAGCGTCTCGTTCTTGCATCGTCCGTGGCTTCCGCCACTCGCAAAGACCTCGCAAGCCAGGCTGTTGCTGTCATAAAATCAGAGCTGAAGGAGGCAGCGGCTACTCTATATCGCGCGAATCCGTCGTTTGACCACGCGGATTTGTCGCCTAACCAGGTGGCGAAGCTACTGTCGAACTTGCTGTCGGATCTTCCTCTGGAATCCCTCATTTTGGATTATCCCGAGCGGAACGCGCTGATTGTCGCTGCACAGACCAAGTACGGGCAAGAAACGGTAACACCGATGCTTCATCGCATTCTTCCGACCATAAGGTGTGTAGCTTCTTGTATCTTTTCCTCGTCTAGGAGCTCAATCCCCGTCGTCAGCCTTCCTCCCGGCACCACACCTGTTCAGCTTCTTCTGCAACTTGGACCCGAAATAACCAGTGATCCTGACGTCGTTCGCTCGCTCTTGGTGCGGTTTGGGATATCGGAAGCGAGTCCACCGACTGATGTTCAAGTCGTGGAAATGATGTCAACACTAGCTCGTCATGCGGCGGAAGGCACAACGCTATGTGATGTCTCTTCGCTTGTTAGGGCGCTCTCTTCTTTTGTATGTTGCGATGCTATCTTTTAGTTTTATTTTTTTGTGCTGATATATGCTTCAAGCCTGTTAATATCAACTGGGCGAATGTTATCAAGTCCTTCGACTGGCCAGACCGTCATGGCGTTGATACTGCCACGCTGAAGCTTCTCATTGCTATCTTACTGAGCTGTCCACGAGACGGCGAGCCTCATGCCGTCACCGGATTCTGGTCAACCTGGTCAAACTCCCTCTATCAACTCCGCCTCCTTGACGCCCTTCTATCCCTCCCCGCCGACACCTTTAACTTTGTCCAGCTCCCTGGCCGCAGAATAGTCACTGTTGACGATGTATCGGTTGCCAGCCCGACTATCAAGGCTCTTGCAGCAAACGTTCAAGGCCACACATGGAATTCCCTTGAGCTCTTTGAAGGTTCTTGTGCGGTTAGCAGACTCCGAGTCTGTTGAGATCAGGAATTGCGTGCGTGAAATGCTTGACAAGGCCATCAAAATCAGCGCAGAGCTTGTTCATATGGGTCTCCTCCAAGTTCCAGTAAGTGATCAGAACCACTTTCTATTGTCTTATCTCATGCGCTGTCAGGACCAAAATTGGAATGAAATACGGACAGAATATTCGCGTAAACTCCTCACAATGTTCCTTGGCGGACATCCGAATCACCAATTGGTCTTTATGAGGATATGGCAAATAGAACCCACATACCTAACAAGCGCTTTTCGAGACTTCTATCAAGAAAATCCTCTCAATATCACCCGTATTCTTGACGTGGCGCAAGATCTCAAGGTACCCTTTTCAGTTTCAACTGCAATCTCATGACTGACATCTGTAACAGATTTTGGAGGCTCTCCTAGAAGTTCGTCCATTTGCGTTCGCTCTTGATGTCGCAGCCCTTGCTTCTCGGAGAGAGTATCTGAACCTCGACAAGTGGCTTGCAGGATAATGTGACTAACCATGGGGGAGAGTTCCTGCACGCTGTCGTTGACTTCCTCGAAGACAAAATGGCTAATGAGAGGACAACGCGCATATCAGACCCTCAAGTGGAAAGTCGTACAATGTCTCTCAGTGCTAGCACAATCACGATCATTCTTCGCGTCCTTCGTAACAGGTTTGTGCTTGTGATTTTCTATCAGAGGCTTCCTCGCTTACATCTTATCGTAGCACTAGCCAAATGGAAGAAGAGGACCTTCACCGCAGTGTGGAAGTTCGCAACTCCTGTCTTCAGATACATCCCCGCCTTATGAGTCTGATCCCCGGCTCTGACGTCGAACCTGGTTCTACTGTTGTCAGCTATTCCACCGAGATCGAGGCCGAGGTCGATGGCATCTACAAGCAGATGTATGATGAGAACATCACCATCGACGAAGTCATCGCCATGTTGCAACGACACAAAGAATCCACTAATACCCGCGACCATGAAGTTTTTTCTTGCATGCTCCACTTCCTATTCGACGAATACAAATTCTTCCAATCATACTACCCTGCTCGCGAGTTGTCGATGACAGGCTACCTTTTCGGTTCACTGATCCAGCATCAGCTCATTGACTATATCCCACTTGGCATCGCCATTCGCTACGTCTTGGATGCATTGCTTTGTCCACCTGAAACAAATCTCTTCAAGTTTGGTGTTCAAGCTTTGAATAGGTTTGAGTTCAGGCTAGCTGAATGGAGGCCGTTGTGTGAAAAGTTGGTGGAAATCCCTGCGCTGGCCGAAGCAAAGCCAGAACTAATTGCAAGCATCCAGCGGCATCTGGTATCATCGTCAGCGGATGGCACTGTCAATGGGGATATTCGCTCCCTGTCGATTGGGCCTCCCGCCGAACCGCTGCCCGTTTTTACCGCCATCCACCCTGACAACATCGAAGGCCAGATTGAACAACCGCCGGAAGAATTGTCTGACAAAATCCTTTTCATTGTTAATAACTTGGCTCCGACTAATTTCGACGCCAAGTTAACCGAAATGAAGGAGTTGTTTGACGACGGATACTCGAGGTGGTTTGCGAACTACTTGGTGGATCAACGAGTCAGTTCAGAACCCAACAATCATGGTCTCTACCTGCGCTTCCTTGAAGCATTGGATTCCAAGCTGCTCACGAAGTTTATCCTTCATGAAACATTTGTCAAGTCCATGAGCATGCTTAACTCGGAGCGGTCGATGCAATCGGGAACCGAACGGAACATTCTCAAAAACGTTGGGTCATGGCTTGGCTCAATTACTTTGGCTCGTGATATTCCCATCAAGTACAAAAACCTGTCGTTCAAAGACCTCCTTCTCGAGGGATACGAAAGTGGGCGACTGGTTGTTGCGATACCCTTTGTATGCAAAACACTTGAGGGATGCTCGAAGTCTAGAGTCTTCAAGCCTCCAAACCCCTGGCTGATGGCTGTAGTCAGTCTGTTGGCAGAGTTCTATTTCTTTGCGGAGCTGCGGTTGAACTTCAAGTTTGAAATCGAGCTGTTGTGCACTGCACTCGAAATCAACCTTGAAACAATCGAACCCACGACTGTTCTTCGTAACAGACCGATGACAGACACGCTTGCAGGTCCACCACTTCCGGATTACGTTCCCGATATTGAATCGTTACCCATTGGAGGAGGATACGACCCTTCTGCGCACTTGGTGCCCGGAGCTGAGTCTCAAGTTATTCCTCTTGGTCCGACTAGTCCTGCAGATACGCAACGAGTTCTGGGTGCGCATATTGAATCAATTCTTTCAACGCTTGCCATGCACGTGCACGTGAACCCTCAGCTTGCCCCCCTACATCTGAACCCGGCGTTCAAGAGGTCCGTCCAGCTTTCTGTCGATAGGTCTGTTCGGGAGGTGAGGCATTGTTTTCCTGTCTTCGTGATGTTCTAACATATATCCATCAGATAATTTTACCAGTTGTGGAGAGATCTGTTACTATCGCTGGGATATCAACGAGAGAGCTGGTGGTCAAGGATTTCGCCTCGGAACCAAATGAGGACAAACTTCGAAAGGCGGCCCACCTGATGGGGCAGAAATTAGCAGGAAGTTTAGCCCTGGTAACATGCAAGGAACCGCTCAAAAGTAATCTTGCGGCGCATCTGCGTGCATACCTGGCAGATCACGGCTTCCAGGAGGTTCGTTATTGGTATTGATATTAGGTGTTGATAACTGACACTCTCGCAGGTCGCACAGCAGGACGCAGTCATTTTGATCCTCGTACAGGACAATTTAGACACGGCCTGTTCTGCGATTGAGAAAGCGGCAATGGAGCGCGCAGTGACTGACGTCGACGATGCATTCGCTACTGCCTACGAAGCACGTCATCGTCATCGCGAGGTAGGTCTATTGTCCAACGGTTCTACGTATCTCATACATCCCTTTTAGCTTCGCAACGGTCAAAGTTTCTGGGACCCTGCTGTCCCACATAACAATTTCTCAAATTCTCTTCCAGACCCGCTTCGAGTCAGACCCACCGGCGTCCAGGCCGCTCAAGCTTCTGTCTATGAAGACTTCGGTTAGGTATTCCACGTCGTCTTCGTCTATTGACGCTCACCTCCTTTCAGGGATTGATCCAAGGCGACGCGCAACAAGTAGGCCCAGTTCGACAATTTCTTACAACCCGTATACTCCTTCACCTGCTCCCGATGCGCTCATGAGCCAGCAACAGTATTTGACCCATGAAGAAGCTATGAACCGCTTTTCTGTAAGCAATTTAACTGTCTATTCTCCTTGGCCAGTGATCTAAAAATATTTCTTTTAGGTTGTCACTCGTGATCTGGAGGCTGTTATGATCCAGATTCCTGTTCAGAACTTCGCTGCCCTCCCACATAATCATGATATTCGGCATCTCGTTCGACAAGTCGTCTTTATTGGTATGGAGTGCGCTGATCGCCAAAAGACACCACTGCTGCTGTCTCAGAAAATTGTCCAACTACTCTACAAGACACCCACACAGTTGGGCAGGGATGTATACGTGACGTTATTAGACCAGCTTTGCCGGACATATGAGGACGTGGGCAAAGAAGCCATAAACTGGCTCCTGTATGCAGAAGATGAGGTCTGTCTTCCCCGTGGCTTCGTTTCTTTCCAGAAATTCACACCTTCTGCAGCGTAAATTTAATGTACCGGTCACCGTCACACTCTTGGGTAGTGGTTTGGTGCCCATCACATTGCAAGATCAACAGCTAGCCAAATCCTTGTTTTCGGATCCCCGACCCAGTTTACTTCTTTTCGCTGCCAGTTTGATTCGGCAGTGTCTGTTCAGTGAACCTCCGATCCTAACGCAAAGCCAATTTGCCCTGTCCATCGAGGTTTTGAATCAGCTGGCCCAGGCGGGTAGAGCCAACGAAGAGTAAGATGCTCAATTATCAACTTTAGACGTGAACTAATCTTGGTGACCAGAGTGAACCGATTGCTGGACGACATTATCGGAACTCGACGCCCTATTGGACCTAGTCCTGGGACCCCTGCTGTGCCCCAGCCTTCGGGCAAGCCCGAGACAGAGCAGATACGGGAAAAATTATTCGCCTGGTTCCAACAATGGGTGAACATATATCAACGCTCTCATACACCGGAAAAGAGCTTCGTTCCCTTCATCACGCAGCTTACGAAACAGGGAATCCTCAAGGCCGAAGAGATGTCTTCCCTCTTTTTCAGGGTTTGCGCGGAATCTAGCGTGAATAGCTACCTGAAATGCGTTCAGAACAATGATTATCATCATGCCTTCCAAGCTTTGGATGCTATGTCGAGGCTTATCTCATACATGATCAAATACCATGGGGATGCTTCGGGTGTCAATAATGACCAAGCGAAGGTCCATTATCTTACCAAGATCCTGTCTATCTTTGTCCTTGTGCTGGCTAATATGCATGAGGACCAAGGCGTGTCCTTCCAGCAGAAACCATTCTTCAGATTTTTCTCAAGTCTGATCAATGACTTTCATTCCATGGAAGCGCATTTGGGTACGGCATACTTCCAGTTGCTCTTGGCCATAAGGTAGGCCTATCTTCATTTGTCCTGTCATCAACGTGTTGTGTCTCATCGCATTATCAGTGACGCATTCAGCTCCTTACAACCTACTTACTTCCCTGGCTTCTCGTTCTCGTGGATGTGCCTGATTTCTCACAGACTGTTTATGCCGAAGTTGCTCAAGTCTGAAAATCGTGAGGTATGTATCACTGCATGCTACTCATCAATCCTATGCACAATCTTACCGTTTTCAGGGATGGTCGGCGTTCCATAAATTATTGCTCTCGCTCTTTAAATTCCTTTCGCCATTCCTGAGAGATGCGGATCTCCAGCATGCCTCACGGGACCTATACCGTGGCGCGCTTCGCATCCTTTTGGTCCTGCTTCACGACTTCCCTGAGTTCCTCAGCGAATATTACTTCTCCCTCTGCGACGCCATTCCTCCCCGATGCATCCAACTCCGTAACATCATTCTCAGCTCGTTCCCTGCTTCCGTCACCTTACCTGATCCTCATCTCCGTGGCCAAACATTCGAGTCTATCCCTGAGATGGGCATCATACCTCCTATCCTCTCCGAATTCACTTCCGGACTGAAAAACGGTGACCTGAAAGCTCTCCTCGACCAGTATCTGCTGAATCGAGGCGCGTCACCGACGTTGCTTCCTTCGCTGAAAGAACACATCATGCCGGCGGGTACTCCGGATGGGTCCGGAGAATACTACAACCTATCCTTCATCAACAGCCTTGTCATGTACATCGGTGTTTCCTCAGTCGCCCAAATCAAGTCTCGAAGTGGATCTCGTGTGTTCTCCCCCACTGATCCTGGTGCGATTGCTTTGCAATACCTGGCCGCCAACCTAGACGTTGAAGGTAAGGTCACTTGATCGTCGTCGTTAAGATATTAACAACCGTTTACAGGCCAGCACCACCTTCTAAGTGCCATTGTGCTACATCTGCGCTACCCTAATGCCCATACACATTGGTTCAGCTGCCTACTATTGCACCTCTTCTTAGAAGTACAAGATGAGCGCTTCAGAGAGGTACTGACCAAGGTCCTTTTGGAACGGTTCATCGTCCATCGGCCTCACCCATGGGGAGCTCTGGCTACATTTATCGAATTGCTTCGTAATACGCCGAAGTACGATTTCTGGTCGAAGGACTTCATCAACATCGCTCCTGAGGTTAGACTCCTACTCGACAATGTATGTGTTTATCCCCGTGTACTTTTTGTATCCATCTAACAGTATAACCAGGTTGCTAAGGCTATCTTCTCCCAACAGTAGAATCTTGTCGCTATTCTTCTTGCTATCTCTCTACGCATATATATATCTCCTGTCTTAACTGTTTTATTCTGGGTTTTCTTTTGTTCCTCCTGCACAGTGTATTGTAACATTATTTGTCACCGTTTTCAAGTGTTGAAGAGGGTGTGAGAGCTGAGCTTTGATTACGAGTATTTCACGAACCCAATGACCTTGTTTTCCAGATTTCCTGGCCACCAAAAATTGCAGCTTCTGTATTCTTTCCACGAAGTAATATATTATTTGTATTCCACTCATTCGATCAGGTACAAGGAAGGAAGGAAGGAAGGAAGTTTTATTGAGATGCCAGTATTGAAGAGCGAATGACGTTATATCACTCGTCCATATATTTCATTGACTTCATAATCCATTGACTTTATAATTCATTCTCTAGCTTACTTGGCGCAGTTATGCACAGGTCATCTTTTTACAGATTCGTTATCACTCCCAGCAGCTTGTACGAATAAAAATGACTATTTTACATTCCTTGAAATATAATTGATGGTTCCAGTTACATGACATGACCGCCGTGCGAGGTCAGGATTAGTTATCACGGGCTTAAGGGTTTTTGATGCCTCCTGGTCTATACCTTTGAAAGAAGGACGGTCTGGGTTAGATTTGACCGTCAGCATATTGACTGTTGGCTCACCATCGCCAGGCAACGGCAATCCAGGGCACAGCAAAGCCTGCACCGAGACACGACCAGTACTTGATGGTGAATGACTTCTTGTTCAGATAATTGAACGGTACGTGCTGTTTGGGGAAAGGATATTTATCAGTACTGGTTTGATTGATGATAATTAATATTAGGAGGCGTACATCGACGTGTGTATGTGGATGCACATATTGAGGATTCCAGATAAAGCGGCGCTGAAGGGGACCGCGAGAGGAGCGAAGGACTTGTGCGGAAGTAGTACCGATACGAGAGAAGAGAGCGCTGCTAGACATCAGGGTGCTTTGAATCGAGGGGTTTGTACTGAGTACTGAAAGCCCATTGCCATAGCTCAGTCCACTTTTGTAGGGCTCCAAGGCAGGGTACGAGGAAAAAACCGGGTTAGGATACATCAGTCGGTGAATGCTCGAGACAGATTCTGGAATTGATATCTCAACGGGATGCAGTTGTCTAGACGAAGTCGAGTGCGATACAGCCGTCGTCATATGCAGAACATCTCGGTTAATGATTCATAAATAATTGTCTCAATCAGATGGAACAATATTTAAATAATGCGGGGAACGAGATCCGAGCACCATAAGTGGATAGGGTTCCGAGGAATGCAGAGACAAATCATCTAGCCTCGACATCCAGACTCCGCCTTGCATACAAATATGAGATCATTGCAGGGTCAAACATATGCAAAGCGCCCGCTCGTGATGTGAATGTGAGTTGTGGGAGATCGAGGAGATGAGCTATATACTACCCGCCGGCAAGCGATCTAGACCTTGATCCTCCAATAACAATGCTCCGATTCTCGTCGAGAACAGTCAAGTGACGTTCCTTTCCCGACCTCGTAAAACAAGCTAAACTCAATTGACGCAGCATTATCGAGCTTTCCAACTCTGGCGTGTTGTTGTGAAACGGCTTAGAGGTTACGGGATGGACCTACGAAGTACGCGGGATAATAATGATGTCGCTCTTTGAAGGGTGATTGCTTAGCTTCCTCCCGTATACAGATCCGGATTTCATTATGGATCCATAATGAAGCATTCAAATGCGAAATGAAAAAAGCACCGTAGATCGTTAACGTAAAATAAATAATATATTGTGCTTCGTGTCATCGTAATCATTATCAGAAGCCATTAAGCAGGTTGACTGCGTCCAGTCCATGGCCAATGTTGACAAAGTCGAGCATGACGAAGTTGGGAGCAACACCACCAGCCAAACCTGAACAACCGTATGCGTTGGCAAGGATACTAAAGGGAAATCGAACTTGTCAAGGACTGCTGGTCGATGAAGAAAACTCACGAGTTGATACTATTGGTCATTCGGTGCAGCTGCAAAATCCGGAATGAGAACACCGTCGCCTATGGGGATAATGTTGATGTTCAGATTGTGGTTAAGCATGTTCAAGTGGTCCACCGTCGAAAGAGGACCGGAAATTCTGTTGACGCTGCATGGGAACGTGCTATCCGTCACGCTGAAAGGTGGTTCCCAGAGCTGATTGAACTATTATTAAGTCGCATTGTGACGCGAACTAAGGGACTTGCCATTGTAAATTCTGAGAGGATGAAATCCACGCTATCATCGACACCATAATCCAAGAAAACGATGACACGTTTGCCACTATCGATGAATTCGCCTAGCGTAGGCCAATCTCCGCGCTTCATGGGCTTTGTGGGAGGTACATAAGCCAGATCGGTTATGCCTATGATAGATGAGTAGACTGAAAGAGAGGATGATACACGACTATCGCTTACCTGCTTCATCGAATGCGGGTTTCCATACATCGGTAAGCGATAGACCCTCAGGATTGGTGAAGAGGAAGGTCAGAACTTCATTAGGATTATTATCCAACCAACTCTTGACAGTCTTCAGATAGTCGACGACAAGACCGCCATCGAACAAACTCTTGGGGACACAGTCAACAACATTTCAATAACGCGTCGATATACACTCACGCAACCTGCCAAGCAATAGATGACGTGAGTGGTATAGATGGAAGCATATGTTCGAAGGCTCACTCGTATGGCAAAACTTGAAATCATTGCCATCCCTGTATAAGTTGTCAGGGGATCAAGTGTAGGGTAGGTTTTTATGGATACAGACATGTGAGATTGGGCTTGCAACATACGAACACCAAGATCTAATTGCCCGGGAAGATCAAGTTCTTGAGTTCTAGCAACTGGCATCGGGTATCAGGCACGCCGTATCAATGGCGGATTCCAAAGGAACGTACGAGCGAAAATGTCCTCGCTGATGGCGTATGAATCATGCGAGCTCAAGAACGTGACCTTTCGCAATGTAAGCAAGTGCTTCCTTCCCTCGTCTGATCTCTATACTCACATTTCCATAACCTCGGTTGCACAGCTCTGCGCGTCCATTGCATACAGATGCTCTGTTAATCAATTAGCGGGGAAGAGAGGGACCAGGAAAACACATCACACCTCTTTGTAGGCGCCGCCGATACCGACAAGCCTATGGAAAAAAGCGTGGCGAAAAGAGAGAGATGCATCGCGCAGGTGGGCAATAGGAAGAAACGCGGTAGAAAACTGTTTTAAATGACACCATATTATATAGGGACTTCAGCTCGCACTGGCGGGGACCTATCTTTGGGCACATGCTAGCAATTAGCTTCCCTGATGCTTCACATAGGTGTGAGTTCGTTTGATTCTGTCCCGGCACCGGGTATCAGATGATCAAGTCTCCAGATACATGTTGAAGGATGTCGGTGCCAGCGCTGGATGACATGAAGGCTGAATATCCTTAATCGCGCCAAGAGTGGCGAAGGACACAGAACCAAGCCTCAGGTTTTCGTGACCGAGCCAACGGGTTCCTTCATTAGTACTCCACAGAGAATCACGGGCATTTCTCAGTGACGGCGTGTCACGTAGAATGAATGGAAGCACGTTGCATACGTTTCAGTAGAAACACCGTATCAAGGTCAAAAGGATTCCTTGATTGATCACCTTTATAAATACAGAGTCAGATGACATGTGCATCGAAGTAGAACGTACAAGTGCACTTTACGGTCCGGCAGACGATTGATCAGAATGTTCTTCTCCTCGCTGTAAATCTTCCGCTAATTTTTTCTGGAGAGATGTATGCGTGTTGTGGCGGAAGATATACAGCACAACGGGTGTTGTATGTTCAAAACCCGTGACGTTTAGGCAGGCACCGGAGTTTTGTGCGTCACCGCCAGGAAAGAACTCGAGCCAACGGCTTGGAAAGCCTATATTACCTAGTTATGTCGAGATTAGACAAGTTCAAGGGGGAAAACAGTAAGGCAAAGATAAAGATGCGTCATTTAGGACACAGCGGTCCAGTAAGTGAGTGAGCGTAAAGGAAGAGGGCTGATCGAGCACAGCCACAGTTTTATCTAATTCGGCAAACGCCGATTATCTTATCTTATCTAAGACCCCGACCCAAAGCAGTAACTTGGCGTTTTCCTGCGTATCATTGTCCGGCACAAGTACAAATGGTACAATACAGGCTTTATTATCTACCGTCACCATGTCGCGTCGCAGAGTTGCCTACTACTTCGACAGTACGTCGCCTTCCCTGCTTACTTCTCTTCCAAGTTCCTAATATATTCCTCCGGCGTCCAGGCGATGTAGGAGCGTATACCTATGGGTATGGTCACTCGATGAAGCCACACAGAATACAAATGACCGTTCGTGGTGACGTCCTTGCTCCTCTGCTCGATGCTGACGACCGCAACAATGCAATAGCACGAGTTGGTTACAAGCTACGGAATGCTGGAGAAGATGCATGTCTTGGTACGTCGGTTCATCTTGCTCCCTGTTCGTAAGCCTCACCGTTCGCAGAAACCCCCACGCTGCTCGCCACAACAAATGACCGCCTTCCACACCGACGAATACATCCACTTCCTCAGCAGGGCTACGCCAGAGATGACCCAAGAAATGAACCCAGCAAGTTACTCAGTGTACGCCAGTTTTCACCTCGTTCTACGTGTCTTCTCAAATCTTCTAGTTCTTGGATACCCCGATGATAATCCTCCATTTGACGGCGTGTTTGAATTTTGCTCCATTTCAGCAGGCGGTTCAATAGGTTCGACAGTGTCCTCCATGGTTTTGCAGGGCTAACAGACTGTAGCCGCGGCACGCAACATCGCTTCTGGAGCTTCCGACGTGAGGTTTTTTGCCCTTCTTCTCATAATCATAATCTGAGCGCACTTGTGGATTAGATTTGCATCAATTGGGCCGGCGGCCTCCATCATGCCAAAAAAGCAGAAGCCTCCGGTTTCTGCTACGTCAATGATATCGTCCTGTGCATTCTAGAGCTCTTGCGCACCTACTCAAGAGTCACCTACTTTGATATTGACTGCCACCGTGGGTCTCTCTTTATTTGTTTCTCTTGACTCCCATGGTTACGTTGAAAACAGATGTTGAGTTCTTTCTTGGCGTTCTATACATGTCCTCACATCTATCAGGGAGACGGCGTCGAGGAGGCCTTTCTATCTACCGAACGGGTCATGACATGCAGTTTTCATAAATCCGGCGCGTTCTTCCCTGGGACGGGACTGCGTACAGACCAGGGCAAGGGCAGAGGCAAGGGTTATGCAGTTAACGTGCCGTTGCACACTGGCCTCACAGACTGAGTCTTTCAAAAGCATATTCGAACCGGTGTGTTGCATACTGTATTGCCTCCTTCACATACTAAATCTGTTCTCTGAAGGTCGCTTCAAAAATTCTGGAAGTATTTCAACCTGCCGTGGTTGTACTGCAATGCGGCGCCGATTCGCTCTCTGGAGATAGGTTGGGTTGCTTCAACATTTCAATGCAGGGACATGCGAACTGCGTCAAGTTCTTTCGAGATAGAAACATCCCACTCATTCTACTAGGCGGAGGAGGTTACACTATCAAAAATGTCGCGCGAACATGGACGTACGAGACGGCGTGTGCCTTGGGCATCGAGAATACGCTTGGGGATTTTCTTCCTTGGCACAATCACTTTGAATGCTTTGGCCCGCGTTATCGTTTAGAAGTGGCCACTCACAACGCAGATGACGAAAATTTGAAGGACAACTATCTTGATCAAGTCAGGTGTGCAAGTCTAGAACTATGCGGCTTTTTACGGTGCACTCATCATGTCCCAGGACGAGCGTTCTAGAACAGATATCCGGACTCTCGTGTGCGCCATCGGTTGGGCTGCATGACGTACCTCGAGAGGATATTGGAACACATCTGGGGATGATATTTGATGATGATATGGATATTCAGGACGATCTAGATAGGCAACTTTATGGTGGGTGGTTCTTTTGTGTCGCGTTTTTTGCTCTAAACTGTGGACAGAACACGCTAGAGACGTGTACAACCAAATTCCTACATCAGGTTCCGAAGAGGAACTTGAAGACTCTGATGGCGCGTCGACGTCGTACTCTCATGCCTCGTCTCAGCGTGGGCCACCTCGACATAAGCGCATGAGTATTGTCACAAATGAGTGGCATACGCTGCCTTCACAGACCCCCGTTTCTTCGATAGCCAAACGCCGGTTCTTTGCCAGCACTGGCATGCCATAATGTATTCTTGATTACACTTGTACATACATAACTATTAACACGAGAAATCTAATGTATATATGGCTTTACCTCGAGTACTCATCGCAACTTCTGAATTGGGGAGTCGAGATAGAAAAGCAGGAAGGTGACCGTGACGTATTACTCAAACCTTGGAAGTGAGTCAATGACTATCGTCAAGTCGCGTCCGAATTTCGAGAGTCATCGCATCTTTCCTTTCGGCCATGACCCCCATCCTAATTGACGGTAGCGTCCTAGAGGGCGGCGGTCAGATTCTACGAAACTCAATCTCGTTATCGTCGTTGCTATCCAAGCCAGTGTCTATACACAAGATACGCAACGGAAGAAAACCTCCTGGATTGAAAAATCAGCATAGAACTGGTGCGTTTCGCTATTTCTACAGTGATATATCCCTGAAAGAAATGCAGGCTTAGAATTGGCAGCAAATATCGCATCTGCAGAGCTGAGGGGAGCGACAAGTGGATTCTACCGAAATCGACTTTATTCCAGGAACCCTACGGCTACCAGGACAATTTACTGCAGACTCTGTTACTCCGGGTGCAACGACTCTTATGCTTCAGATTGCTCTCCCCATACTATTGTTCTCCCAGCAATCAGCACCATCATCCCTTATAATCAAAGGCGGCACAAACTGCATCGCATGCACCGCAGATCGACTACACCCAGCACGTATTCCTGCCCTTTGTACGAAGGCACTTTGGTATTGATGCTACACTCGACATCAAACGTCGCGGATACTACCCCAAGGGCGGAGGGGAAATACACGTCCAAGTGTCTCCAATGGCGGACAAGATCAGAGCCTTCACACTCGTAGAGCGCGGCAGTGTCAAAGCCATCAAGGGTATCGCCCATCTTGCCGGTTTGCCCAGCCACCTGGGCAAGGGCATGGTGGAAGGGGCCAAAGGCTACTTGGCCGGCAGCCCGGAACTCGATGGCGTTCCCGTTGAGATAGAGAGCAGACGGGAAAGAAACGATAATACTGTCGGGGCGGGAAGCGGGAATTGTCTTGTGGGCTGAACTTGAGGGCGGCGGCATTGTTGGAGGCGATGCGTTGAGTAGGAAGGGGCTCGACGCACAGGCTGTGGGTCGCCTGGCAGCCGAGTCGCTGTTACGTGGTTTGTCTGTCGGAGGTTGCGTCGATGAGGTGGGCGCCGTTTCAGATTTCATCCCTGATTAACTTAAATCCGTTACCAGTGGCTACAGGACCAAATCATCATTTTCATGGCCTTGGCAGAAGGAACGTCCGAAATCAACTGTGGCAAAGGAGAACTCGAATTGCACACACAGTGAGTCACCCTTGAAGTCGACAATTTCATAGAAACTTAAATCCCTTAGGACTGCAATATGGGTTGCACAGCAACTCACGGATGCCAAGTTCGAGGTAGAGGTAGACTTGTCAGGATGTACAGTAATTCGCTGTCGAGGCATCGGCTACTCTGTGCAAGGAAATAAATAGATGAATTATAAGCTTGGTGTAGTGACTTCCTCGCAAAAAAAGGGATAGATCCAAGGTTGTATACGGTACATGTGAGAGAATTTACGAGTTAGATTGTCGCGGTCTATGTGCGATTCCATGAAAGCAAGGTCATGTCGCCCAGCCGTCTATTCAGGAGAGTAAGAAAAGTGTCTATGGACGACAAATGGATGACATACCTAGGCTTAATGAGGTGTCGTGCAGTTCCTACAACCGCCAACAAAACAAATAGTGCTGCTGCTGCGACATATGCCCAACCCAAAAACGGATTCTTTCCGCCTATCCACGAAACCGTGGTAATGACAACGGACTTGGTACCCTTGTACGGTAGCACTGGGAAGTCTGCGGAAATGTGAGTTTCATATCACAGGCTACAAATTCAGACGTACTCAATCCGATAACCATTTCGTAACGTCCAGCAACCATCGTATCAGCATCATTTCGCCCATAGAGTTTCGTGAATGTCGGCAGTCCCGCTGTTCGCATCCAGTTTTGGAAGTGCGAATCCTCTTTGAGATTTGGCACATTGCTGTCGTTGTAGCCATCGGGGTAGCGCTTCATCCAATTGGGTGGTGGAACGATTTGATCTGCTGAGGAGTAACCACTAGAGCTGATGGGTGACGTAGTATATTTCTTGGCTTCTCCTGCCCAAGCTATATTATTTGAGGAGAACTGGTAGGCCGTTGTCTGAGTTTCATTTGTGGGGTTGAGTAGTACAGGCGAGGAAAATGTGTCTGCATCCATGCTTAGAGTGGGCCGAGTTCTGGTGAATGTTGCTACGCACCGTTGAATATAGAATTTGCGATCAATCCGCATGGATAGATTGCCTTCCCATCCCGTGTTCCCAGTGGCTTGCAGTCGCTACTATCCAGATCACTCGGCGACACATAACTACCCTTGAGCTGGTCGGAATCCAGACTCTTGACATAGCGCCGGTGATTTTGGTAGAAGTTTGTGAGTTTGTAGTACAGGAACACAGACGGTTCCAAGTCTCTGGGGACTGAGAACTGGAGAACGCACTGGAGCTCCTGGGAGACATCCGTCACGCTCGCGTTTCCAGTGTTGTTGAGCAATGCCATCTGAGGTTTTGGTATTGAGACCCCACTATCAGAAGAGCGCAGTCGATAGGAATAGCTGGGGACATCGGAAAAGGTGTACGACCCGTTCTGCGTGGACGCCTCGAGATTCTCACATTGTGAATAGTCGAACGTCATCTCAGAAACGAGCGACGACCCCCAGATTAGGAGCCCACCGATGGGTCCGAAGAGCAGGCCAATGATGAAGAATGTCGGCAGGACTGTCTTGGGTGTCAAGATGGGCTGCCATGCCTTGAGTCGCTGCTGCTTGAATGCAGTATCTATTACCGTCGTCGTCAGTCAGTATCAAACTGCGCAGAATAAATTGCGACACGTACTGGCTGGCCTCCTCCAACCGCCCTTTTCCTTCTTATTCTCCGAGTTGCTACCATCGTCACCAGAGTCTTCTCGGCGTGGCTTGCGGTTAAAGAGACCCATTATGTCGTGGGTGTCCTGGTGGAAGTGTGAGACTGTACAAATTCAGGACCGGGGTACGCCTACGGCCGGTGCACAGGATTCAGTCAGCTCGATTTAGTCAGCACCTTTGGGAAATATCGGTATTCGTGGGAAACTTCGTCATAGTAAAGTGTCAGAGTTCGGGAGAAACCGATTTGGTCATTACTTATTTCCATATCAAGTGGCAGTTTAGTACTACAAGTTCCAAACGCGTTCATCTTGAGTCCATCATCATGGTCTCTTCGTTACCTTTCGACGCAATTGAAAATCCTACTAACGCGCTACATGACCTCTACAATGACCTCAAGGATGTCAGTCTCGACGCATTCCCAAGCCGCGTAGCCACCCATTTCACTTCAATTTTCGCGGCATCCGACGCGTTCGAAAAAGTAAGCAATTTGTCTTGCGAATTAGCTTGCTGTTCCACTGACAGGAGATGTCAGATTCCTTCTTTAAGTACTCAGAGGCCTCCCGAGCAGCACCAGCACAGAGCCCTTGTACGTTTCCGGGCCATGATTCAGGACACATCGATATCACCAGAAGTATACTTGGCCAGACTACCAGGTGGAAAAGTTGGTGGATGGGGCCTCGTCGACGAGACTGTTCATGCTGGGCCCAATTTCGATTATTCAAACCTGAGAGAATGTTCTGTCCTTTGGGCTGTTAGCATTCCTGGAGAATGGTCTACCGGGGACCCTGAAGGTGCGTCGCGTTTCTTGTCGCGTGACGCACGCGTCAGTTATAATTTTACTTCAGGTGGTCCAGAGCACCGGTCAACGCAGCCACACAAATTTCCTTTGCATGGCGTCTCGCATATTGGTGTCAAAATCAAGATTTACGATGGTCAGGCAGATTCGTTCAAGCCTACAGATATTCGTCACCTTCGTCGGTATCTTGTCATCCGAGTCGTACGCTCAAGTAGTCACATCCGTTCTTCCTTTCAATTGACCTTTCTCTATAGGCTTCACACCGACTTGGATGGCAGCACTTCTACTTTAGTACCCACTCTTCATGTTCTGTTTTCTCGACCGGTTTCTTCGACTGTGATGCCGCGCAGTGTGGCATCTGATTTTGACACAAACCTTCGCTCCGAGCTGATAAGTTGGATCGCGCATGAAGGACTTGCTGGCGATCTCGAGGCCGCGGAGTGGGTACTTTTGTGCTGCATAGCACGCGTTCAGTCCCGAACACCACCGATCTTTCCACCTTCTTTGGGACTCTGCAGATTTCCTTCGCCCGCTTTCCCCACATCGTTAACCCCTGCTATCTCGCATATTCTCTCCCTCTTATTCTTATCGGTCTCCACCATATCTCCTTTCTTTGTCCACAATCAACACCACACCTTTTGTCCCCGAGTCAAAAGATGAAGACTTGCATAGCGGCTGGCTGCAACTTCCCAAAGGCAGTGTTTGTATTGTCACAGAAGCCGGCGTCCAGGAGGGCAATGTCGTTGAGCGCGGTGCGTTTTAGCCCCGCTCGCCCAATTTTATCGAGACTCACGCGATTGTTCCATAAACACTAGGTTTACTAAACTTACGGGCCATGCAAGAGATGATGACATCACAAACTCTTCAATATGTTTTCCCTTTCAGCTCGTATTCTTTTGAAACAGACGTTGTCTTTATCGTCTTGAGTGAGGGAAACAAGAGTGCCTTTTTCCCCGTACGTTACCATTAATCTTTAATAACTGACCGAGAGCTCATATAGACCGATCGTCCACATGGGTAGACCCTTGTTCAGTTTCCTTTGAAGCCCGTGACAGAAACGAATGGACTATATAAGAGTCCAGGCGAGATCCAGCTGCCGTCCAAAATTGATACATTCCGGCATCTAGTTTCCAAGGCTAGAAATAGTAGCGTTTCAATTGGGGATGAGACTGCCAAGGTCAGTCCTTAATTGCCGACGACTTATGCGGTCTTAACTGTTCACAGCAAATTCAAGAGGATTTCGTCAACGAACGAAAAGGAGGGAACGTGACAGCTGATGATCTAATTCAACGTATGTCAGTTGCAAGGTACGACTTTCACATCAAAACCACGCTTGCTTTTTGCATGATCATCTCTGAACTAGGCTCCTCGCACTTTCTTACGACAAGTCTGAAGTTGATGGGGAAGTGTGGGAGAAGGCCAAGAGTCTGGAGAGATCGAGAAGAGAGAGAATCAACTAGCTAGATCCAAGTGTAAGATTATATTTAGGGCTCTCATCTATCAACTCGCTTATACTACCAGTTGAGTAACGGGTGCCAGAATTGTCCCCTCGGAGAAGCAACGCTGATATACGTTTGATATGAATTTCCAAGTTGATCGAATTTTACGGTCCGACATCCGCGAATCTTCATGCAAATTGGTCTTGGGCTTTGACATTGACAAGATCATCCGTTTCGTACCCTTTTGTACCTCTATGGTATAGGCGCGTGCCGATTTGGCCTTCCTTTTCTTCGCTCATCCCCTCGACATGTTCTTTCGCAAACTGTCCAGAGCAATTAGTTTCAAACCCAAGGTGTCCTCTCGAGCCAGCCGTCGCGGTAGTGCAAAGCCTGGCCATCTCCAGGTTGCCGTAGGGCAGCTGTTTGAGGGACGATACACGATAATAGGCAAGCTTGGGCAGGGGAACTACGCGACAGTATGGCTAGCGCGAGACGACGCTGCTAAAACAGAGTCCACGAAACAGGTCGCGATAAAAATCCTCACCGCAGAATGTACTACCGGGCCAGAGTCACTAGACGAGCTGGGAAGCTTCTTGTCCGCTCGTTCCCATGGGAATTCTGGTGATGGAAACGACCGTGTCGTCAAACTCTTGGGCTACTTCCACTACCATGGGCACGCTTGCTTGGTCTTGGAACTGCTAGGAGAGAGCGTCGATGATATTAGGGGAATAATAGGGTCGCGGCGCCTGCCTGCTCAGGTTGTGAAAAAGCTTTGCAGGGATATGCTGCTTGCGCTAGACTACCTCCATAACTCTGGGGTTATTCACACCGGCGAGTATTCGGTATTTGGTTAATCCCCGACTCCTAGGAGATCTTATAGTGTTCTCAGATATTCACCCTTCCAATATTCTCCTAGCAAAACCTCTTTCAGCGACCAACCCCTCCCAAGGATGAGCTGGAAAGAGTCCTTATCGAGCGTGCTTCTCATGAAACAGAACCCATGTTCAAGCTAGCGGACCTTGGACACGGTGCGCAGTTTTTCATTCTTAGCGCGATGAAATTATTTTAGTATTCATGATATTGACAGCCGTTCCCTACTGAAACCGTCCATCACGGTTTGATCCAACCGGCTGAATTGCGGGCTCCCGAGGTCATTATTGAAGCCTCATGGGACGAGAAGGTGGACATATGGAACATGGGGTGTTTGGTGTGTTCTCGAATCATCAGCCCTACAGATATCTAAATGCTAACGGAATCATGGATCAGGCTTACGAATTCGTTACCGGCGGACGCCTATTCAATCCTGACTACCAGACCGTGGAACGAGGCATCGAACCGGCGGAGGCGCATCTAGTACAGATCGTAGAACAGATCGGGGACTTTGATGAGGATCTTATAAGACGCGGCATATATGGGGAGAAGTATTTTGATTTTACGGGTGAGTTATTGTCCTGTCTGATTTTGTTTACCGGCATCTGACCCTGGAAACAGGCGACTTAAGATGCAACGCGACGCTTTGTCGGACCACTATGGAGGAGATCATGGTCAAGGTACAGAAAAAGTTGGGCGTCATGGACCTGGCAGAGCTCACAGTATTTTGTGATTTTCTGCGGACGATGCTAAGGATCAGACCCGAGGAGAGGTGGCCACCGTCGCTGATTCTCGAGCATCACTGGCTTGACGTAGATTGATCTGGTGCGCGCATGTACCATCTGGGCACGAGCCCATCTTATACCCCTTCCGTCGTGCGGGAAAGGATTTTACGAGCTTCATTTTAGCGGTATGATTTAAATTGTCATCTGGTGATTGATGGGTGGCACCTGCTTATGGCCTCTAAATAGAGAAATTTGTATCACCATGCGAGCTTCGTGTCGGTCGAGGCCTTACGAGATCATTTCAGCCCTGTGCAGTATAACCATGTAGAGAAATAACGCTCCGGATGATTTGTTGTGGGAGTTTCGCTGATTCGACGCGTCGGCTTCGGTGGTATATGGCTGTCTATCACGCAGGTACTATTCCTGGGAACTTTAATCACCGTGTCGCACAACTCAATACGATGGTGGTAACTTAGTGGTAGCATAATATATGGCCAAGGGGATGGTATACATCATAATCAAGGAGGCTCTAGTGCCTCTAAATCATTTGTTGCCTTGCCCGACCAATCTCCTCTCCTCAAGTCCAGTACCTATAATGCTTCCTGGCATGTTCAAATCCTCCGAAACGTTCATGGTAAAAGGTGTATGTCGGTCACCCGGGCCGGACAAGTTCCATATCAGGACTCGCAACTCGTCGTTCTCGGTACCGTCATCGAGCTGTATCCACCCACCATCCTGTTTTCTGGAGAAAAAGTCTTGCCTCGAAAAGATGCCACGACGAAACAAAGGCGCTGGACGAGCCCGAGAGCAAGGATCACCGTACACTAATCGTGGTAGAGGGGGAGATCGCGGCGGCCGTGGTCGTGGTCGTGGAAGAGGCGGATTTCACCCTGCAACAGATACAGATTTCGTTGTACAGATGTGTACGATCTTTCCACACAATTACTCTGTCATTATCTAAACCGTAGGGGATCAGATGGCGAGATGTCAGGAGGTTATCATACACCTCAAGGACAAGGACGAAGAGGCATAGGGTCACCTCCTTCAAACTACAATTCTTACTCTGCGCCTTCACCAGGATACTATTCTCCTAGAGGAAGAGGCAGAGGAGGACGTGGTGCGAGAAGTCGTGGAGGTAGCAATGGGCCGTTGTCCAAGCTACTTTATGAAGACAGGCCATATTTGAGGCCAATTAAATTTGTCCCCTCTGTGAATACCCGCATTCTGTTCCAGGAGCAAGAGGAAATACTCAAACCGGTCGTCGAGGATGTTGGTATGTGTTCAAGATCTTTCGCAACCAAATGTACCCTAACGTTACTTTCAGGTGATGAGGAAGAGAGCCACGTCCCCACCGCAGAACGTGTTGCTCGCGTTTTCAGTGGTGTATCCAAGCCGACTGCACATAGAGATGACTCAGTCGATGATGTCGAATGCTTGGAAGAGATAGATTTCAACGATCTGTCTGCTTTCCAGCAAAAGGTTGACATGGAAGCCAGATCGACAACCCAACTTAACCGCGCACAGCAGGTCGATGTCGAAGAGAAATTCACTGGCGCTTTCTTTGACACGACAGCATTGAAGGAAGTCGCCACTTCCATCCCTAAATCCCATGCCTCTCAGGACGACGTGATACAGGATAATACCGCAGAATCTGCACCTGTCGGTATGATCAGCTCGATCACTGTCCACACGACAACCGAGGCTGTGGTCACACTGGAAACACCTACCCTGGAGGAACCCGACCCAGAAGGTCAGCCAGCATCGGCAGAATCAACAAGTACCCCAACTGAGGTACAGCCAGGTCCTCCTTCTATGGACGATGACATTGTTGTCCTTGCCTTGACGAAAAAAGTGCACGCATCACCTCCCTTACAGGCAGCGGACGATAGGGAATCAGTCAACACGCAAGATGAGGAGCCACCATTGTTTTTCGTTGATACTACACCAGCACCAACGCCTATTATTGCATCAACCTCCACTTCTTTAGTCGTCCCTCTAGGTGCTGCTACTCCTGAGGAAGACGATGTCATTGTATACGAAGGGCCTCTCCCTCGTTCTGGAGTAGCCACACCCGTCTCGTCCAAGCCAAAAACTTTTGCTCTTCCTTCACTGTCCTTCTCGCCCTCACCGCGGAAGCTCGCGAGGCGCCCTCATCCTGCTCACAGTAAAACGAAGAGCAAGCTAAAGGAACGCCGGCAAGCCGCATGGGTGCGCCAACACAGGGAAAGCGAGTCTTTCGCTGCTCTTGGTGCTAATGTGGCGGATGCACAGTTGTATGAAGACAAAGATCCAAGGCATGACGAAAGGCGAAGAGGAGATTCTGACGTTGACTGGGGAGATGATACTGACAACGAAGTAGACGAAGTTGCAAATGGTGTTGATGGGATGGACCTTGACCCAGAAATTGATTGGGATGTAGAGGCGATGAAGCGATTCGTAGGCGGATTGCATGAAAACTCGAAGACGATAGATGATATCGACGATGAGGAGAGAATGAGGGAGGAAGACGAAGAAGATAGCGATAGCCAAAGCGAAGATGACGACGATGAAGATGAAGAAAGCGTCCGCCGGGCTATTGAGGAAGGCGAAGCTAGAATGCTTGGGGATAGTGACGCTGATGAAGAAGATGTTAGCCCCGACTTCAGTTTCCAGACGCGATTACAACAAATGCGTGAATTTTCACGAAGTAAACAAGCTGAAAACAGGGGCCAGGGTGACAACGATGGCGATTCAAGCGACGACGAGGATGTTTTCTTCCGGAACAAAACATGGGCAGAAAAAGACGATGATTTCATCGCGCATATACGCGTGAGTTTCACACCTTGCTATAATCATTTTGACTTTCTGATTCTCTTGCAGGGTATACTAGACGAGGCCGAGTCAGTTCCTACGGGGGTGGAACACCAGAAGAAAAAGCAGGTCTTTAACGCTATCCACAATGGTAACTCTGACGAACTTGAGTGGATGACACAAGCTAGTATGTATATCTATCTACCTCTACTTTCACATACCGCTAATCAGTTTCCCCAGAGCGGAAAAAAGATAAATACAAAGACCTTCCACCAGAACTCCAAGAGCAATGGGAAAAGGATCGACAAAAGAAAGCTGAGTATAAACGCGAACGCGAAGCATCCCGCCTCATTCAAGCTGCAGACCCATTAGCAGTCAAGAAAGGAGGAAAGAAGGGTCAGAAGGCCATGCTAGCAGCTACTCGATTGGATCCTACTATCACTGTCGTCCCCAATCGCATAATCGACATGACGACTCTCGTGCAGCAGATCAGGCGCTTTATCGCGGACATAGACGGTACACAGACAATGAGCCTACCCCCAACGGATAAAGCGACTAGGAAAAAGGTTCATGAACTAGCGCTTGCTTTCAATTTAAAGAGCCTTAGTAAAGGAAAGGGGGACGCGAGGTATACGACGTTGACAAAGACGACGAGGACGGGTACCAAAATCGACGAAGCCAAGGTTTCAAGGATAGCGCGGAGGGGAGGTGATTTTGGCAACGAGTTTGTCAACAAGAAAGGCAAGGGTAAAGGGAAATTAATGCCGAGGCATAAGGATGGGGATGAAGTTGGCAAGGTTTGTGGAAGTCCTGCACTACTGATAAGCCCATGCTTATCCATTTTTTTCTCCTTGCAGGAAGCGCCAAGGATTGGAGAGTCGAACATTGGGTTCAGGATGCTAGCTTCGATGGGTTGGTCTGAGGGTGACCATATTGGCATTTCGGGAGGCTTGAAGGATCCAGTAACAGCTGTGATAAAAACCACAAAGTTAGGATTGGGAGCTACAAAATGAGAGGAAGTCAATGTATGGAGGCAATATTTCTAGATTTGAATGATATCGTTGTGCCCGGTAACCAAACCGGTGACTCATTTTACGACTTGCGCTCAAATATTTCGAACAATCAAGAGCAAATGACCCTTCGACCTCTCATTGCCATCTGCGGCACCACCGGTGTCGGAAAATCCAAGCTTGCTATTGAAATAGCGCAGCATATCGCGAAGCAAGAGGCATGGGAGGGTGCCGAAATCATAAACGCAGATGCCATGCAAGTATATACTGGCATGGACGTGATCACGAACAAGGTTACTGAATCCGAAATGCAAGGCATAAAACACCATCTTATGGGATTCAGGCAACCTGGAGAGCAGTATGTTGTCGGCCAATGGGTCCAAGATGCAATGAAAATAGTAAGAGATTGCGTTCTACATGATCAATCAAATCTAAGGTCACTCATAGATTAACAACATTCATTGCGCTAATAAAATCCCAATAATCGTTGGTGGTACCTCATACTGGATCCAGCATCTGCTCTTTCCGAATCGCCTGTCTAACGAGGAGGTTACCGACAAGAAGGAGCCACAGATTGCAGTCATGTCAGAAGAACTTGCCCGTTCTTTTCAGGCTTTGCCACCAGAATTGCAGGATCTGTTCAACTCGTTTCCGGAACAACCACCTGTAGCCAGCGTTGACCCGGAACAGTCTCTGTCCCTTCATAGATTGTTGTCCGCTCTTGACGAACGCGTAGGAGCAAGATGGCACTGGAAAGATACTCGTAAAGTCCACCGAAGTCTTTGTATCATCAGGGAGACCGGGCGCAAAGCTAGCGAAATGATCAGTAACCAATCTGGAAACACCGGTCGTAGCTAGGTGTGCCTCTTTTTCTTCCCAAGAAATCCACAGTGTAATACAAACAAGATATCGCGCCTTGTGCCTTTGGCTATATGCTAAACCCTCCATGTTGCATCCGCGACTCAATTCACGTGTTGATACGATGATAACAGTAGATTCGTCTCTCCCTTTGTCCTGTCTTTGACTAATTTGTATTTTGTGAACAGCGTGGCCTTCTCGACGAGGTCAGGGCACTACAGGATATCGCAATCTCCGGTCGACAAACTGTAACCAACGAATCATCCGCAGACTATACCTTGGGGATTTATCAATCGATAGGTGTGCTTGCTTCTTCCTGTATCGTTATAGCCCAACGACGCCATTTTCAGGATACAGGGAATTCCACAGCTACATATCCTCACCCGATCCAAGCGTCGATGCTTTCAACCTGGCTGTAGAAAACATGAAGATATCGACTCGCCAATACGCCAAACGTCAAGTTTCTTGGATTCGAAATAAGTTACTCCCTATGATAAAAGCTACCAATGCTATTGAAGAAACGGTCTTTCCCTACCTACTGGACGCTTCTGGTGAGATTTATATCTATACTGCATGGATAACGTTTTTACAATGCACAATTAGACGTAGAAGATGGCTGGTCTCCAAATGTACAAGCACCCGCTATGCGAATCACTGACGGTAGAGATTTCTCCAGGTGTAAAATAGCCGCATGCTAAATAACATCCACTAAGGTTTTCTCCACAGAAATATCGACCTGGATCCTTTATCCCTTTCTGATGTCGCTCGAGAAATGCTTACCATTGAGGAGAAGGCAACGGAGTACGTCATATACATGGCAACTTTGACAGAAATGTATTCACCCATCGATAGCCCACTATCTGTTCTCAACGCCCGTCGGAAATTGATATGTGAAGTCTGCACCGCCAACAAGAACGAGCCGGTCATGATTGAGGAAGGACGAGAATGGGAGATACATACAAAGACCAGAAGCCACAAAAGTTGCCTTCGAAAAGCAGCAGAAACGTCTCAAGCATATAGGTACGGGAAGAAGATCGAACAGATCGACGCGCAACCGTCTTGACTTTATTATCGTACACAAACTCTGATTACCAAACACATTCAAGCTTCCATTGCCCACTTGGGCAACCATTCCTCCCAATCCTCCCAATCGGATTCTTCGCTATTATCGTGTACCCATCTTCCTGGGATCCAAAAGTGTACCCATACTATGCATAGCCCCATTCAAGGCTACAACATCAGGGAACTGCAACACGCTGGCCATTGGCATACATCCTCGTGACGACATGATGAGGACGACGTGGCCCCGGGAAGGGCAATGTCACGTTGAACTTCAGGATATTAACCCTGAGTGGATGATTGCGGAAGGAGGGTGGGAGCGGTGATGTTAACCGACGAAATCAATTCGCTAGATCCATCGCTGACGGAATACTCCTCCGTATCGACTATTTCTCCAAGGAATCGAGCCAATGGATCATCATACGTTTCGTCTGTGCGGTGAACTCTTGGAATAGAATGTTCGTGACCAGAAGAATGCGTTGTAGATGTAATCTAGAAGTACAAAATCAGCCTATGTTAAGTCAGACATCGAAGATACATACCTGTGTGAAGGCTGAGATCTGGGATGACGTGGAATTGTAACAACTTCTTGAGAGTGTGGGCACCGAAGGGAGAAAACAGGTAGTGTTGCAACTGCTTCGGCAATAACTCGAAAGCGTGATTCGTAGGTACGAAAGCCGTGGTCACGGAAGTACCCTTTATATGTCCCTTCTTGTTTCCCTTGCCATGGACCCAGCGCAAATCCAAAGCATCAGTAAGACCAGACCGTTGCCAGGCGGATGTCTGGCATGAAAATCAGAGACGTTGAGATGCTGTCAGTCGCATGCACCCACAAATATCGAAAACATTGTAGGAACCATGTACAATTCCCGGAAGGCGGTAATGGGAGGGATGAGTAGGATGATTGACCACATGGATCAAGCCTGTATAAGACGATCAATTTTGGTAACTTGAGAAAGATGAATGAATGCGTACCGTTCATCGTCTGAGTATTGGCGCTGACCACTTTGCTGTAGAAATTGACAGTTGTGCTGGGAGGAATTAGAGAACTCTCCACCCGTATACGTTGAGGCTCGTCGTGCATAGCAAAGCGAAGCGAAAGATTGGTCGGATAGGTGGACACTTCGGAGAGCTTCTGAGTATCTACTTCGCCAGGGAATGATATGATATGATAGAATAATACGGATAAGCATCCTGAGGAACTTTCTGTGCCGCTTCTTTTCGGAATCATCGTGAGATGACTCCATGGCGGCTAGTTCCTCATACGCATGGATCGCGGTGGATAAGTCGTACATTTCTGGTTGCGCTTGCATGACGTCACCGTTGTAGCGAAGTAGATCCTGAAGTGCATCTTCCTTGGGCTTGTGTAAGGCCCAGTCAGGTGTAGCAAAGAAGGTCACTCTAGATTATACGGTCAGTGGGGTGTAAAGCAGTATTTTGAACACCAACCTGACGGAGGAATCATTCAACTGATCAACGATATCGTCGCTGAACTTGATCGCTCTAGTGAGGCGAGTGAACCTGACGGGTGATTCAGTCTGGCTGTAACCTAAATCATTGAAGAAATCGTACCTTGGGTCACCTTTAATTACCTCGTAGATCGTTTTGTTTTCAAACGTTGGCGGTCCATCTTCGTGGAATATGACCTTTTGAATACCAGCTTTTATGGGTTGAAGAGGTCGCTGAATCGACTCTGTATCAAATTTGACCAAAGACCCTGGTAGAGAAGACGCCAAAAAGGCGCAGCTAAGGACAATGAGGACAAGCTTTTGGAACGCCATGCTGGTAAAGCGAGAGAAAGCGTGAACGAATTCTCTGTACAAATACCGGTCAGAAGTCTCATATTACGACACTTGGACGCGGCAGCCACAGGATGACGAGACCCTCCAGTCTATGACGCTTACAATCGACAAATCTCGATCGGAGGCTATATAATACGGTCTGGTATATTATCATTAGGCTAAAAGGCATCCAGCAAGGTAATAGGCGTCCATGATATGTAAATCGACAAACGTACAAGACAAAAATCACTCCGCCAGTTGCCGGAACTTGTCCTGAATTTCGGTATACAATGCATCTAGCTTCGACTTCACATCTTCCTTTCCCTGCGATGGTGACTGAAATGGAGTCAATTTGGGGCTCGGATGCTGACCGGAATCGAAAACATACCTCGAATTTCATTTGAGACAGCTTGAACATGAGATCGCCAGCCGAATCCTTAATTTGGGCGAAGGTCATGTCAGTCTGGGAGATGGCTTTGAGGGCCGCATCGTGGAACCCAACGAAGTTTCGCAGCATTCCACTGGTCTTGTAGAATGGGCAATATCTGTCGTACTCGCTCATACCATTTTGCTGCAGGAAATCGTCCTTCAACATCCGTGCAACTTCCAGTGTGATCTTTTTCATTCTCTCCCAAAGCGCTCTTTCCAACCAATTGAACAATTTCCGCAAGATCTTCTTCTTTCTGGAGAATCTCCTTTGTCTTCGTTCGTAGTTCGACGAAACCAGGCTCCGTCGTCTCGTAGTAGGGCTCCAAGACCTTCGTGTACTTGGAATAAGAAAGCGACCAGTTGACGGATGGGAAATGTTTTCTTTGAGCAAGCTTCTTGTCAAGACCCCAGAACACTTGGACGATACTAAGAGTAGACGCCGTAACGGGATCAGAGAAATCACCACCGGGAGGTGACACACTGATTGAATTGACATGCAGTCAGCGCCAAGGACACGAGAAGGAGTGAATTACTAACGCTCCAACTATTGAAACAGTCCCTTGTCGATGAGGATTGCCGAGACAAACCACCTTTCCAGCTCGCTCGTAGAAACTGGCTAGTTTCGTTCCGAGATATGCCGGGATAACCGGAATCGGCAGGCATCTCAGCTAAACGACCAGAAATTTCACGAAGTGCCTCTGCCCAGCGAGACGGTCGAGTCAGCCATCATGGCAACGTTAGTTCCTTGGTCACGGAAATATTCCGAAAGCGTAATTCCAGTATAGATAGAGGCTTCACGAGCAGCGACAGGCATATTTGAGGTGTTTGCAACGAGCGTCGTGCGTTTCATAATAGGGTTCTTGACGGCCGCCAACGTCCATGGTGAGCTCGGGGAACTATAATGGTTTTGTCAGAATCGGAGGACTGGGCGAAAGAAGAAGGATATGCACCTCCATCAAGACTTCAGCCATCTGCAAACTTATGTTAGAATGACATCGACCAGTCGGGATCTGTACTAACCTCGTTTCCACGCTCCCCGCATCCAACATACACAATAATATCACTGTTTGAATATTTGGAGAGCGCTTGCGAGATGACTGTTTTTCCAGCAGCCGAAAGCACCAGGAATGGCAGTTGTACCGCCTTGCACACAACTAAAGAAGGATCAGATCAAGTCCGGATTGAAAATATAAACACTGACGGGAAGAGAGCGTCAAGAATACGTTGACCCGTAAGTAACGGGTGGTCTGCGGTCTGCTTTTCGGTGACAGGTCGAGGCGCACGGACAGGCCATAGCTGCATCATGGTATGCTTGGTAGTCTTGCCATCGAACTCAGTTTCCAGAACAATGTCCTAAGATACAGATAAGCCGCCCGCGCTAGTTCTTTGTAGCGCCTGACACGTACATCAACAGCATAACCTGCCTTTCTCAGCAATATGGGTGATGGTACCAAGGGCGCGAGGAGGTAGCATGATTTTGTGATTGTCGACAAGAGAGTTTTCGTAAACACCTACCGAAAATATCACCGCCTGATATATGGTCACCAACCTGCAGGATGATAAGCTACGCTGTCTGATGTCATGACCTTGGCGACAAACTTTAAAAGTGGTGGGTTTGAAGTCCCATACCAGCGACCGATCCAATGCATCCGTGTTGATACCGCGTGGAATATAGATAGACTTAGAGAGTTCTTGGATCGCCTAGGATCTTGTTAACTTCGTAGGAGCACGTCCATGGGATTGAAACGCACTCGTAGGGGCCGCTGAATACCATCCACGATATTGCCCATAAGACCTGGCGGGCGTGAGTAGTCTGCCTTTACAACTCAAGCGACAAACACACCAGGTCCGAGTTCAACACTCAGTGGCTTTCCTGTCCTCAAGACAGGGTCACCAACAGTTACACCAGAAGTCTCCTCGTAGACCTGAATTGTTGCCTTGTCGGCCTCGATACGAATGACCTCTGGAACGAACATTTATTGGTGTAAATCCTCCACCAACTTCTATGATATATCGTACCTCCAACAAGTTCATCGTGACCTACTCGCACGAGCTCATACATAGCTGCACCGACCATATTTTCGGCAATCACGACGGGTCCTGAAACGCCAAAGACCTGGCCGAATCTGCTCTCCCTATCCTCATCTTGGATCTTGGGAAGGTCTCTCTTTGCATTCTGCAGTGCACCGGCCATTGATAGGGGAATATTGGGGGCAAGATGGGAGTAAGTATTCAGGAGTTGGACCACAGAAGCGGTACAATCAAGAGCGTCACCGGCTACCCGGCATTTGCCGCTTCTCACGTGAGCGACGCGTCACTTTTCGCTGAAGCAGCAATTCTGACCGTGAACTTGACCTCTTGCACTCATCATCATGCCTCCGAAAGCGTATGCATCTGTTCCTTGTCATCTGTCTATCGTTCTGACCATTTCTTCTTAGTGATTGGGAAAAATGTACGGTAGCATCCACGTTCTCGAGCCAACTGTATCTGACGCAAACCATTGACAGACGAGAAGAAGGTCGACGAGAAGGAGGAAAAGATTGTCGGTCAGTGTCCGCCATATGCCTGCTGCTGTGCGGCTTAATTGCTTTGTTAGCTCTCGATGACAGCGATATTCAAATCCTGAAGACTTATGTAATTTATATACTCGCTCTGTCGCGGCATGCACTCTTAACGCCTTTTGTAGGGACAAGGCCCTTATGCACATACCCTGAAGAAAGTCGAGTCTGACATCAAGGATATACAAAAGCGCATCAATGAGAAACTAGGCCAGTCTACTCATTTGCCGACTTGCCAACCATTTGTAACATCTCAACAGGCGTCAAGGAATCCGACACTGGTCTCGCTGCCCCGAATTTGTGGGATCTTGCCGCCGATAGGCAGAGGATGTCCGAAGAACACCCTTTACAAGTTGCACGGTGTACAAAGATAATACCTGTCGACCCCAAATTGGCAGAAGCCGCCAAAGCCGTAAACCCACTGGGAGCTATGCAAGGTCAAAAGGGTGCAGATGAACAAGACAAGTATGTTATCAACATCCGACAGATAGCCAAGTTTGTTGTTGGACTAGGCGATCGGGTGGCTCCTACAGACATTGAAGAGGGTATGCGCGTTGGGTGGGTTATCAAACTTTGGTTATTGGACGCTTTATGCTGAGGCCGACTTAGTGTCGACCGGACAAAGTACCAAATACAGATCCCCCTTCCGCCGAAAATTGACGCCTCCGTCACAATGATGCAAGTCGAGGAGAAACCGGATGTCACGTATTCAGACGTTGGGGGTTGCAAAGAGCAGATCGAAAAGCTTCGAGAAGTTGTCGAGACACCTCTTCTATCAGTATGTGGTCTATCCTCGTATTCGCCTATATTACTCAAATGTTTTCAGCCTGAGCGCTTCGTTAATCTTGGCATCGATCCTCCGAAAGGCGTTCTCCTCTTTGGACCTCCAGGAACCGGCAAAACGTTATGTGCTCGTGCGGTCGCGAATCGAACAGACGCGACGTTCATCCGTGTCATTGGATCTGAGCTCGTCCAGAAATACGTCGGTGAAGGTGCGCGTATGGTTCGGGAGCTGTTCGAAATGGCCAGGAGTAAGAAGGCTTGCATCATTTTCTTTGATGAAGTTGATGCTATTGGTGGTGCACGTTTTGATGATGGTGCTGGTGGAGACAACGAGGTGCAGCGGACCATGCTGGAGCTAATCAACCAACTGGACGGTTTCGATCCGAGAGGGAACATCAAGGTGCTTATGGCTACCAACCGGCAAGTCTTTCGTGCTGCTTCGTTCCGTTCCGTTCTAACGCGTCTTTTCAAAGACCGGATACCCTGGACCCTGCACTTATGCGACCTGGACGATTAGATCGTCGGATAGAGTTCTCCTTGCCAGATAACGAAGGACGAGCCCACATCCTCAAGATCCACGCTCGAAGGTATGATTACGCTAACCTCTATTAACTCTGTCTCACACATGTCTCCCGTAGTATGAGTGTTGAGAGAGACATTCGTTTCGATCTCATTGCTCGGCTATGTCCCAATACAACTGGTGCTGAACTGAGATCCGTGGCAACAGAGGTATGTGTGTGTGATCATTTTTGGTTGCAACTCGCTAATCTGGGAATAGGCTGGGATGTTCGCCATCCGTGCCCGGCGGAAGGTGGCCTCGGAACGCGATTTCCTGGATGCCGTAGAGAAAGTTGTCCGGCAGGGCACCAAATTTTCCAGCACGTAAGTTGAGGTCATTTTATACGAGCCGTTTCCCACTGACTTTGGTTTTCAGGCCTCTTTATCAAGTGTACAATTAGTTACTGTATAATGTTACGACGTTTATTTAAGATATGAACCATGATCCGGCCCGACATGAGTGTCTGAACTGCCACCTCGAATAAACTCCTTTAAGTTGCACTGTCATGTAGTGAACTTTCTTCTTTCTCCTTTACGATGATTTCTCGCGTCTTCAAGCACCCACCTTTGCGACAATGTCGACGCTACTACAGACGAGCGCCGCCAGCAACGTCGGCAGAGATTAGTCAATTGCTGGCTCGTTACGATGCTGCTTCGCCGCCATCGTCTCTAAACCTGTCTCAATTGATATCCTTTGGTCGACCATTGACTGCAGAATCCGTTCTCCAGTCAAGCGAATTTGTTTTATCCGAAATTCCGCGAGGCCTCGCATTCCGTATCCATTCGTTGGAGACGCTGCCGTTCATCGTTGGCACTAATCCCTTCATAGCGAGTACTTTGAACGCCCACCGCGAAAGCTTCCAATTCCTTGCAAATTATCCCATTCCTAGGACCATAGAAGACAATGCAATCCTCGCAGAAGAGCTGAAGATGTTGGTGGAGAGCCACGCAAATGATATTCCAACAATGGCGAAGGGGTGCGTATAATACTCTTGCTGTCGCATATCCTCATAACCATGAAACAGGTTTCAGGAATGCTCTCGATATCTATCACCGACTCAAGTTAGTCATTTCCTCGACGGCGCCATTCGAAACCGGATATCGGTGCGGTTGATGGCAGAGCAGCATATCGCACTATCAGACGCGCTCAAAAGCCAGGATCATACCGGCCAAGTAGGAGTTATTGATAGAAAGTGTTCTCCTGCAGGCATGATTCACAGCTGTGGTTCTTTTGTCAAAGAGCTGTGTGAAGCGACATTAGGCGCCAGTCCAACCATTTCGATTAACGGAGTCGTCGATGCCACCTTTCCGTAAGTATCACGATTCTAGTTACCTGCGCCCTCATTAATGTTACCACAGTTACGTGCCCGTGCACCTGGAGTATATATTAACAGAGATTCTCAAGAACTCCTTCCGCGCGACCGTCGAACACTATAGCAGGCAATCTCAATCCTCCAAGGCTCTCCCTCCTGTCGTTATTACTCTATCCCCTCCGCCAGCTGCGCCAGTTCCTGGTCCGAAGTACTTTTCTGTGCGAATCCGCGACCAGGGGGGCGGGATATCTCCTACAAACATGCTACGCATATTTTCGTATGCGTTTACTACTGCTGGCAGAAACGCCGATGAAGATGATAGCGGCGGTGGACCATATGCTGCACAATACATCGGAGGTAGCGCTGCCATCGGGGATGCAAATGGTGAAGGCAGTCTATTCGGTGAGATAACTAAGAAAGGTCTACAAACGGGTATGGGAACCATTGCAGGCCTGGGCTATGGTTTACCGATGAGTAAGCTCTACGCCAAGTGAGTGTGCGTGTGGAAAGGTGTATTTAAACTCAAGAATTTCCTTTATTTAGGTATTTCGGTGGTACGCTGGATTTGAAATCACTGGAAGGATGGGGTGAGCCACAATGTTGGCCCGCTGTTGAACCCTTTTCGCTGATGTATACACTAGGTAGCGATGTCTTTTTGAAGCTTCGATGCCTGGACGAGTCCATTTAGATTGGCAAATGGTCCGAGCGGGGGCCGCTTGCATTTTTGTGTGCTGAGTATCTCAGTTACAGCTACCTGCATACAACGATATTTGCCTGAATATCCTGACTGTTTGTATCCTAAGGTTCTGTGATATAACTACACTGTGGTTAACTCGTGACGATCTATCTTGAGCCTGTTTTTACTAGATCGGAAGTCCTTCTTTTCTTTGCTCAAGAAGTAGGGTTGTAAATCCCAAATCAGATGCCAGTGGGCTTCGCTAAAGTTGATGTCGCTGGCCTTGAAATCGTAAAAAGTAATGTAATCGGAAAGAGCCGACTCGCTATAAGGCCTGGATAAGCCCCGGAAGCTCAATCTATCCCTTCATTCTCGAAGCAACTCGTACAGACACAAAGTAAACGACGATTCCTCATCCGACGATGGCCACTAATGGTGAACATCCAGATGTCTTCTGACACGGCAGTGGTACCCATCATAGTCGCCCAGTATTCCCTTCGAATCCATCCACGAAGGACCGAGCACTGGAGCCTCGCAATCTTGTACTCCCTGAATGAAGTCGAAATCCACGAAATCCAAGGAATGTTGGACACCTTCCACTACGAAACATTCCGGAAAAGTACTAGTTTCCTGCGGTCCGTAACGTTGTGCGGAGGGTGTCATGTCGGCAACATTCCTTGCAATCTATTGGATGCCGTACGGAAGGCGTTGAAAGATGTTCCTGTCATCCGGCACGATGAATCATGGGACTGCCAGACGTGGGTAGTGCATGCATTGCGCTCGTTGAGGGACTTTGGGATAATTTTTGCTCACGTCAATGAGGCAAGAATCCGAAAAGAGTTGGCGGAAGACAGGGAGAAGTGGGAGAATGGTGAGGACGCTGTGTATGAGAGACTGTACGGAGAGTCGAATTAAGATCGGTGCTGGAGAATAGCTAGTGAATAAGAGGTCGTTCCAAAGGTTGAAAAATACGTACGCTATGGTATAGACTGCATTATGTACACTACCGAGGGGGACCTGAGATAAGTAAAAGTCGTTCTTCTATCTCGATTTCTTTCTGATATCCCGACAATAGCAGTTCTTCGCCCAAGGAAAACCAGTCGTTCCGGGGTGCAACCCAGTAGAACTTTCTGGCCTCCCAATATTCCGGACGCCATGCCGTTTGACCCCAATCAATCAGCGCGACGACGGAGACATTGCCGGGGCCGTCTCCATCCACACGGATGAGCACATTGTTGCGGGCGATATCACCGTGTGTCAGGACAATGCAGTGATCGTGTCGCATTTGCTGTCGAATGTCATCCAACTGATGCTTGACTTTGGGGCTTTCGTTGGCGTACCATGAGAAAAGCGAAATTCTCCAATCATTGTACTCTTCCTCGCTGGCGAACGGGCCGCTGAGCGCATCAATTAATGCCAAGTCCAGGCATGCTCGGCCAGAAACGGACCCAATCCACCCCGCTTTACCGGGTTGCTGGACCGCGCGCAACTGGTCGACATAACCCCTCAGTGTACGCATAACTGTGACTTTCTGGTCATGGGTAAGTGAGCGCCATTTCCTGTCAAGGCGATCGCCCTTCGATATACTCCATGACGAGGTAGCCAATCTTGTCATCGGAAGCCCAGACATCGTACATCTTCGGTACAGGGATGGAAGTATGTTCAGCGACAAAACGCATGGCCTTCTGCCTCGACGAACAGCCCATAGACAGGGTTACTGTCTTCACGACAGTAGATTTCGTGAGACGCCGGACATGGTGCTGAATGCGAGGATACAGCCGCTGCGCGCGTTTAAGTAGAAGGGGAAAAAGTAATCGTCGAATGTGGTTGCAAATCAGGGTGTAGGCGCGTAGTATCGGTCCAAACATCGTGACTGGAAGATGAGACTGCCGGATGATCGGACCGGACTTTTAACCACTAGAAACTGCATCCGCTGGACTGTCATGCTGGCTGAGGCTGGCTTGTAGATTATGCTGGTTTTTTTTCGCGATTTTTACAAGAATAATTGGGCTATGGCTCGCTCAACAATCTATCACGTTTTTCTATTCAGGAACCAGGTAGGGTAATAAAGCTTCCTTCCTTTTTCCATCGGAATTTTACAACAGGTATTTGGAAACGGTCTGGGCAGGGAAATGCTTCGAACGGAGCTATTTAGCGGACTTTATTGTCAACGGTTTTTTTTGCAAGGTGGCTGCACTACCTCTATCGGTATTGAATAGTCCTAACACTGGATTTGACAGGGATTTAAACTTGCCGCCCGGCCCTGGACAACCAACTCTTTGAGACCGGAAAACCGGAGCGAGCAGAAAAAAAAATCAACCTAAAAGTGGTGCGACACCAAAATGGTGCAATGCCGTGTCTCATAAAATTGTCGACTCTTAGCATCTGTCTTCACACCGAACCCAGTTTCCCATGGATTTCGTACTAAACACTGCCGATGATCTGGTTCTTGACAAAGTCTGGGCGCATATTTTCCCACTCTACGCGAATATATCTAGCACATTCCACATATATGGAGACTGGGACTCAATATCGTTATCCGCCCCGACTTCATCGTGGCCACGCGACTACCCTCCCCGTCAAATAATCTCTCTGGCTGTGTTGACCCTGCTCGGTGTCCACGCTCTCTACTTCACGTTTTCGTGGCTGTCGTACACCTTCATCTTCAACCACGACATGATGCATCACCCAAGATTTCTTCCCAACCAAGTTCGACTTGAGATCATCACGAGTCTCAAGGCGTTCCCCGTTATGACTCTTCTCACCGTGCCGTTGTTTCAGGCAGAGGTGATGGGTTATAGCAAACTGTATGACGGCCTTGATACTTATGGTTGGACATACTTGGTTATCAGCATCCCAATGTCAGTATTTGTATTCCCTGGTATTTTCTCGCGTAATCCTAACAAGTCAACAGGTTTCTTTTGTTCACTGACTACTGCATCTATTGGATACACAGATGGCTGCATATTCCGTTTTTATACAAAATACTGCACAAGCCTCACCACAAATGGATCGGTACGAGGTCTTTCTATCCTGTGGCTACCTAAGTTTCTGACTATCCGGTAGTTCCAACTCCATGGTCTGCATATGCGTTCCACCCTGTCGATGGTTACCTCCAGTCAATTCCCTACCATTTGTTCGTCTTCATCTTTCCTCTCCATCGCATTGTGTATCTCAGTCTTTTCGTGACCGTGAACATATGGACCATTCTCATCCATGATTCCGACATGATCACTGGTCACCCCCTCGAGACCGTTATCAATGGACCCGCGCATCACACTTTACACCATCTGTATTTTACTGTTAATTACGGTCAATATTTTACCTGGGCGGATAAGATGGGTGGGTCTTACCGGCAACCGGAAAAAGAGCTCGACCCGTTACTAGAAGTAAAATTACGGGGAAAGAGGAAGGAGCAATGATAGAAATTTGCCGCGGATCTGACCCTTGCATAATTTGTATGATGTACAGAAAAATTCGCAAACGAATGTGCAGCTCGATGACTTCAGAATGGCGACACATCGAGGTAATCCCCAGTTTGACATTTGATACGATTCCTTGTCATGATGGTACGCAAAATGGACCATAGAAAGCGGCAGAGCTGGCATTAGAAACGGTTCAAACGGCATGAACATTCCATGATAGATCTCTCTGTCAGGAATTTTAAAAGTTAATGAATTTTTTTGTGATGGTGAGACCTTGTACCATGTACCATGCACATTGAAAATCTCTTTGGAGGTGGATTAGAGACGTTTGCTTCAAGTTTGTTCTGTATGCAGCCCTAGCAGGTGGCGTGATCGTGATCTTTGGCATCAATTCAACTTCCGACCCTGACTGAGAATGCGTAATTTCGTCTTTCAAAGTTCTTTACTTTCTTTGCCTTCTCTTTCCTATCTTTACGATGCCTACCCTGCTAGGTTCTCCCATGTGTGTCAGGATATGCGTCCACGACATCAAGCCAACGGCGAAAACAAGACCCACTGGATGACAAAATTCGCTCATCATTGATTGGTACGTCTCGCAACTACTATAGGTCATATCTGCAGCGGCGAACTCTGACATTCCCTAGCTAGTACAACATTGCTGCCTGGAAGAAGCGTTCTCTCCTGAGTACAAAGTACACTGCTCTTTTGTGGGGTAGCTCGAATTCCTGCGCATCATGATCAGCTACCGTCAGCACAAGTTATCGAAGACGCACTCTGTTGAACTCTTGGGGCAAGTACGCGGTAAGACGAGGGATAATAGGTAGGTCTGCGCGGGGCTCGCCGACGACGACCTCTGTCCTGGGTTCGCGAAGGAAGCACATATGCTTCATTGAAGTCATGATAGCGGTGACTGCAAGTAGTAGGGTCAAGAAATAACGAAGAATCTGTAGGCAGGGATAGCTTACATCGCTGTCTGCCTCTAAACCTTTCTTCGCCCACGAGTAGGTGAGTGCCTTGATCGTAGTCTCCCAGTCCACCAACGTATGTTCCCATAGGGTCCTCCTTTACCCACGACATCTCCCCGTAACCTGCTGCTTCTTCGTTCCAAGACACAATGAACCCCATTATATGCGGGTCAGCCAGTCGGTCCTTGAGATATGCGCGATGATGCTCATCGTCGCCTTTCTCTCTCCACCCAACGTTCACGCGATCAGAATTTTGCCAACGTGTGTAGGCCTCGAAATGCGCAGGGTTCGATGCATCGATATGGGTGAATGTGAGGAGTTCACCTAGACAGTTGATGTAGCGCGAGTATATCACGGCTCCCGGGGCTGGTCGGAGGTGGCCGGAGAGGATGGGTGGTCAAGACGTGGGGGCCACGAGTGAAGGACTGCACGTAAGGAAAGAGTGAAGGGAGCGGGGCCAGCGACGGTGATGGAATAGGATCGCGCAACCAGGACAATCCTAGTGGTGCACCTGCGCTCTGCCAGAACGCTGGGCGAGAGAGAAGGAGAGTTGTCGGATTGGACGCATCTGGTACATGTCCAAGGCCAGTGTAAGTGAAGTAATTCTGCAGCTCGTTTGCATTGGACAAAGTCTCATCAATGACCACAGGAACAACATCCTCCTCGTTTTTTCGTAGCCATAACGCGTAAACGGAAATCCAAAGGTCTCGCGTCGTCACTGGGGTCGTACTCGAGATCAGCAGAACCGCTTCCGAGACTGCCCGATCATCATTGACAATGCCGTACGGACTGACTCGCACAACACGCTCCTGCGGTGCAAAAGTGATAACAGAATTGCCGCTGGTAACAGTGATTACACCTTCTGTGTCCACACTGTTCACCGGAGACCCGTCTGGAAGCTTGAATGTCTGTTCAGCTGGTGCGACGAAATGCTCGGCACGGTACCCCACAGGCGTTGCGGTAGAAGACATAGGACGATATCGATTTAGATGGTATTCGACGGCGCTTTATGGACCACGGTTGGATTTCGCTGGGATTCGGAGGGAGAATGCGGAAATCTGATAAGTTCGGGAACAATCTGATCTGATAAGATCCTGCGTCCGCGTGGGCCGAATTTGCTAAGGTACGTGAATTTCTCAACTTTGAATTCCAGTAAATGACTTTGAGCATCGCAGCACACTTGTTCACTTGAACTGCAATTGAGAACTTCTGGCACCTAACGCGGTGGCTACGGAACTGTCGGAATACATAGATAATACGCGGACGCCGGACGGTCTTTCAAAATTGCAACGGCGATAATGAATGGCGCCATCATGTGGAGCCAGGTGTTGACCATTTGAATATTTCGTTTCCTTGCCTGGAGACTGGCAAAGCAGATGACTTTCTTTCGATGCTGTCGCGAATCGTCGAGAATCTATGCTAGGCGTCAGTCATGTTGATAACGGGCAATTGGCTGGTCCGAGTGACTACTGGCCAGGAACTCGAAGAACTTTGGGGTGCGTGATTACGGATGTAATCAGATAAGATGTCTTCTGATGAGATTAATATTTCCTTCTAGAATCTAATCAGATAAGGAACTTGTCGGACAGATGCCCAGTCAAAGGCCGTCAATACGCGGCTGAAAATATCCTTTCGAGTTTTGCCTTAGTGTCATTTCGACAGGCTCTTTGCTTTGATCTACCATTTCGTTCACTCAGCCGCAAAGAGAATCCCCCGAAAATATTCGACGAAATGCCCAGCGAGCCCGCTCCTCAAGCTTACTTCCACAAAGTCCCTAGCATCAAGGGCGTGTACTGCATCGCGCTGAACTAGACCGAAATCGAAGAACGCGATCAGCGTCCAAATGCTTCAGGTGTGTAGTCATATTGCTTTTTGGTATCCAGTTCTGATGAAGTACTGCTAGGACATCGAGAACGCCATCCAACAAGCAGTCGAAGAGCCATCGTATGTTGTTTTTTACTTGAAAAACTAATATCTAACGTATCCGCCAGTCTAAACGTGCTCATATTCTACTCTTCCACTCCAGGTTCTTTTTGCGCAGGCGCGGATCTCATCGAACGGCGCTCCATGAGTGAAGATCAAGTCCGCGACTTTCTTTCTCATCTTCGACTCGTTTTTAGTAGCATAGACCGCCTCGAGTTTCCTACCATCTGTGCTATAGACGGTCCTGCACTTGGAGGAGGTCTGGAGCTTGCACTGACGTGCGATTTCCGTATATGCGGTGCGCTTAAACGTCATAGTTCTCAGTGCCGTAAGAATGATGGTTTCGCAGCCCGAGATGTGACCAAGATCAGCTTCCCTGAAGTCCGCCTGGGAATTATACCAGGAGCTGGAGGTACACAGCGTGCTCCGCGTCTCATTGGGATGAACAAAGCGAAGGAACTCATTTTCACGGGTCGTTCGCTCACCGCTTCCGACGCGCTGGAGCTGAGTGAGTGCCTGCCGAGCCGAAAACAGAGAATTATATGCTGAAATAACAATGTTCTGCAGGTCTCGTCGATTACCTTGCTGATTCATCTTCTACCGCTTATGAAAGGGCATTGAAATTGGCCGAAGAGATGGCACACAGTGGTAAATGTGTCCCGGCTTTTAGTTCGAACATCAAGGACTGAGGTTCTACATGCATAGCACCGTTGGCTCTGCGTGCCGCAAAGACAGCCATTTCTCGATCTTGCGAACTGCCGCTAGAGTCTGCGCTCGACTATGAGCGCTTGTGCTACGAACCTCTCCTGGACACGCAAGATCGTTTGGAAGCCCTGGATGCATTCAAAGAAAAGAGGACACCAGTTTTCATTGGAAAGTAATTATAGATCCAATGTCAACCCGCCCAATCCCAATTTGAAAGGCGACAATGCATGTTTCGGAAAATATTTCGCTTAAATTTCCCCTTCGATGAACGGTGCAGGGAAGACATCGACATATACGTACGCTATCCCCGTTCGGACGGCAACTCCAGTTCGGTAAGGCGCACTACGAGCTCTTTCTAATCATTTCAAAGTACGCTACTCACGGTTGTGGAGATCGAATCATGGACGGTACGATGAGAAGATAAGAATTATGATTATTCAGTCATTCATGCTTTTTAAGGCCTACTCCTACCCAGCGAAGTCTAACTATCTGTATGTTATTACCGCTTTGCCCATACTTGGCCGCTCTGCCACTCTGCTTGCCCTTGTTCTGCCACAGCCTTGATGACGGTCGGGCATTCGTATATCTGCCAAAATGTCTCGGTGATACCATTGGACATCGTGTTTTTCTCCCTGTAAGCCGGAACCTCCCTCATCAACTCTTTATGTGCACGCCTCAATTTATGAAACGGCACTTGGCTGTTCAAATGATGAGCTGCATGGAGACCGTCGTTGAGAGGATGGATCCACCACCGCTGTAGAAAACCATCGTTGGTGCGTGAATTACCGAAGTTTCCCGTCATATCCATGCCGAGGTGTTCTCCCACCTCGGCCCAATAACGTGTTATGGTGAGCACCCCAAACCATGGGACGACGTAGTACAACGCGAAACCGGACCACTTGTTGGAAAGGTGCACCGCTGTCAGGACGGTGACCCAGTAGATGACTTTCCACGGGTATGAAGCGGGGCTCGTCCAGAATTCTGTGAAGAGAGTGACGACATACTCATAGTGTAGCCATCCCGAGAACGGGAGGCCAAATATGAGCCAGGAGAAGCGAGCCGCACTCAGGCGTTCGTCGCCGATAAACCCAAGGTACTGGAGCCGTACGACGTCTGCATCGCGGACAGGGTCACCGAGGTATTTGTGGTGCTCTAAGTGTAGGGTGCGGAAGACTTTGAGCAAGCGGAAGACGGGGAAGGCGTAAAGGAATTCAGTGTACTCGTGGGCGCGGGGATTAGTGAAGATGTTGTTGTGCGATGCCTCGTGAACGAGGTGCTCCATCGCACGCATACGGGAAGAAATGACGATGATCGCAGGAATGTAAGTCGCCCACCACAAACGCACATTGGAATAGTGCGACGCGACGTATTCGCACATCCAGACACAGGCAGCAAAGACAACATAGTTGTTAAGGATGGTAAGAGCACCCATAACATTGTCGCGAGCTTTATGTCGGGTAGTTATGGCAAACGCCTCCCGGAAAGCTCTCGCCTCGTCTTCTGGCGTCGGCCTGATGCACGCGTCTTTGGTTTCTGAGCCGTTTGGCCTAGTGAGTCCCATTGTCGTGGAGATGTGGGTTAAACTGGTTTTCAGACATTTTTCAGCGCTCTTTTATACCCTGTATGACCGCCCTACGCCGTCGCGTGTTACTGAATATCGACGGGCTTTTCAAGCATACCCACGAGGAAATCCCAATGGCCATAAGTTGTGACCATTGATCTAATAATAATGCGACTGAGATACATTACTGAATCAGTACCCTGCATCTATTTACTTATAGTATGCTTCTCACAGGCAGTCTGGGCTGGTTTTGCTTCAGGTCGAAGCTCCAGCAGACCACACGTGAGCCTGCGCTCGGGGTTGTTGGGGACGTCGCAATCCCGCTGTGATCGAATGGAACGTCAGAAAGGTACGTCAGAACGATATTCATCCCCCAAAACTCTAGGGATACCCCATCTGTTTTCGACTTTTCCGACTCGGCAATGAGTTCTGAACACTATGAGAAGACGTCGTAAAGACTACTTTAGTCAGAAGTGCTACAATACTGTAAGCACAGCCATTTGCAGTCTGACCGTTTGCACAGTGCTTACTAGCCCTGCCTGGCACAAATTGCCGATGAGAATGGTACTTCTTCACGTAAATTGTAACTCGCTTGCAAGAAAATACCTTTCTTTCGGAGTCCCAGTATGTCTGGTGGATGGTTGCAGCTTTAGCTTACGATGTTGACACTAGCGAAGTGGTGCACTGAATCCTGGAACTCCAGCTTATAGTCGCTTGAAGGTCCGTGCAGGTAGGACTAACAAGTCCCGAGTTATATTTGTATTATTACAGATTATCACGGTACCTTTTGACGGTAGCTAGCAAAAAGTTACGTACACGCGTATTCGTCGGTCTTTTATGGCTATTTCAGCGCTCTGAAGAGCTTGGTAGTGTTTCAAAGACCCGCATGACTTGATATCCATCTTGCAGATGAGGGTCGCGCGCAGACAGAGTAACTGGTTCATTGCAAAATGCGAGGCTACACCAAGAATAAACTGAGACATGTTAATCCTGATTGATGTGAAGCCGTTCTGACAAATAGGAAAATTATCGTACAGATTACAAATACGGTATAGTGGTTCTTGAGACTCGGATTTGCTTATATCAGGGCAACACGAATCAGCAGTTCAATTTTGCCACAGTGACGCTACAGTAGACGGGAGAAGAACTTGTACTGGCGGGCATCAAGGCTGTCTCAAGTTCTTCGGCGCTGAGACCGCACATTGTTGTTTTTTTTCTTGAAACACGTCGAAATTTTACAGCAGCGGTCACATTCCTTGGCTAACATATGGGAATGGTAGTTCATCACCATTGTTCCACTCAGGTGATCCATCATGACCCCACTTTTCGCGTTTGCGCCAACCCGAGTCTGCAGCCCTAGGCTATTTGTGTCTGAGTTTGGGTGGAGCAATATTTCCATGGAGAGACCGCGACTCGGAGGGCGATGATCAGAAGTCATCAGAATGTCAGAGGACATCGATGATCGAGGCGACCGGTCCATCAGTCCAGAATTTTCTGACTAATACCTAACGGAGATTTGCCGTTTTTCTTGCAAGTAACCTTTGACCGAATTGTGGGCTTTACTCTCTGCTTTGTCCCTTGACGATGGAGGTCGTTAGGTCTCGTTCAGCACGCTGGATCGCGAACACGCCTGGACGACTATACCGTGCTCTTCCATCTGTGGTGCTAGGTACTCTATTCAACGTTCTTGATACTGGTATGAAAAGCGATCCAAAACCTTGCTGGTGAAGCTTATTTTCCTGCTCTAGTGTCCACAGGGTTGCTTATTTTTCCGTCTGAAGAGGGCTCAAATGGAGTCTTTCAAGCCTTGCAGATACAGGGTCTGTCGATGTATATTATGAGGTATGCACTGCATCCCGTGTTTTTCTCTTCTTGCTTCTCATCCTTTACGACAAGCACAATCCTTTCGCAGGTGGCTATGACATTAGGTGGATCGCGCTTTCCAGGAGCTCTAGGAGCAATGCTCATAGAAATACTGCCCTTTCTGAGAGGCATTGGCAGCGATATCCGCGATGTTCTTGGTCCCGACAACCCTTCCTTAGTCCCGACTGTCTTTGCCGCATATGCAATGACCAGTTTTCTGATTGGTTTTGCCTTCATCGTTTTAGGCCTACTCAAGCTGGGAAATCTTGTATGTTTACTTTGCTTGTTGTTTCAACCCTGGTCCTTACAAGAGACATGAAGGTCGCCTATTTTCCTCAGACTGTCCTTACAGGTGCCATCGGTGCCATCGGTCTTTCACTGTTTATCCTCGGGCTCGGGCTCATGCTTCCTCCATCTTCACCGGCGCTTACACTTTCCTCGGCTGGCTCCGTTCTGTTCAAGTTCCTCTCACCTCCCACTTCTTGTGGCTTCATTCCTTCCCGCCCTTATCTTGTCGGTGTCCACGCGATCTCAGCTCATCAATCGTTGGACGCGTGGTATGGTGCAGAATGCGTACTATGTGCCCTGTTACCTATTTTCCATCCCATTAATCTTTTGGATCGTAGTTGGGGCACTGCATTGTCCTAGAGACACCCTTGTGACCAATGGTTGGCTCTTTAGAGTTGACGCATCTGCAACCCGCGGAGGCGGCATTGGGACGGCGTGGATCTATTGGAGAGAATTTGATTTCCACAAGGTCGAATGGTGGGCGATGAAAAATGCGATTGAAAATATCGTACTTTTGGTCGTGATTGGCGTCTTGAATCTGCCCATATATGTCCCTGCGCTAGCATTCAGTTTGAATGTACCTTACGATATGAATCACGAATTTTTCGGTCAAGGCGCAGCAAACATTCTTGCAGGAATAGCGGGAACGGCTCCCAACATCTTGGTTGGTCTCTAATTGTGCTACGATTTATCATTTCTCTGATGTACTGAGTTAGCAATATTCCTACTCGGTCTTCTTCACTCGCGCCAATGGAGGCCGTTTCGAAGCAGCTCTCGTAACACTTCTTACCTTTGTCTTGTTTCTTACTTCGGGGCTCCTCCTCCCGTATGTTCCGACTGTGCTGGCTTCGGCCTTGGTTCTTTTTCTCGGTATCGAGCTCCTTCTTGAGGCTGTATGGGAGTCTGCCAAGACTCTCGTTTGGCTTGAATGGAGTATCGTTGTGGGAACTCTGATGGCATGCACATTTTTGGGCTTTGCGGAAGGCTTTGGCGTTGGAATTGGGGCCGCGATAGTTGTCTACTTTGTGTACGGGGTCGTTGACTCTGTAAGTTCTCTGGAAGCTTTCATATGCATTGGTGCTTACTGCCCTTGAATAGCGTGCTCGCGTTATGAAATGGGAAGAATGGAACGAAACGCATATGCATCAAAGCCAGGATCAAGAGCAACACACCCCTACGCATCGTATTTCACCGCTCAATCACACACCATCGGCAACCTATCCACTTACGAACGTCACTCTAACCGACATCGAGAGTGGTGGAAGTTTGGAGAAGAATCTCCCCGACTCCATGCTACGGGACGTCAACGCACGTGTCGTGGTTCTATCAGGATATGTTTGTAGGTCGATTCATTATTTGCTTGAGAGTACCGCTCACAAAGCACAATCAAAGATTTTGCTACCATCCCATCTCTAGAAAGCCAGCTCCTCGACACGAGGATACAACCGGCATTTGTTATCGTTGATTTGTCGACGGTTCACCGCCTTGAGACTGCAGCCGCGCAGTGCTTTCAGCGTGCGGTGCGCGATTTAGCGCCCCGATCTACAATTTTAGTGCTCTGTGGAGTTCAGAAAGGTTCTGGAGTCCACGCAGATTTTGACCGAGCTGGAGTTGACTTGACTTTTGACTCTGAGAAGGGAGGAGCGGCCTCGGAAAATGGTATCCTTTCCTTCAGAGCACGCGGAGATGCGTTGACTTGGTGTGAACGGCAGAGTGAAGTCGCCCGCTCTGACCTAGAAAAAGGCAGGTCATTACGACTCTTTTGTGTTCCGACCTTGAACTAATATTCTTCTGAAGACATTAGTGACAGCATTGGACTAATATCTAATGTTGAGATATATCGCAAGTTCTGCAAGCTATTCGACTTTGACTTGAGGACTTTGCTTGAGAGCGGTAGGATTACCGAGGACAGCTCAGAGTCCATTGACTCTGTTCCAACTTCCCAGAATGATATCGATATCTTCGTTAGCATGGGTGCACATATGAAATGTTATACTCCTGGACAGGTCATCGCGCGTACAGGTAAGAATTTTCTGCAAGGATCATTGTGGAGTGCTTCTGAGCAGTTTTGAGTGCAGCTGACATCGACCGCATCGTCTTCTTTGTCGAAGGACACGCCGATATCATACCTATAGAACCATCAATGCGCCCCTCCTTCCGTCGTTTCCTGTTAATGCTGCCAGAAGAAAGCCTACAATTCTTGAAACGGACGGGTGTGGTCGCGTTTTCGGCCAGTTCCGGGGCTACATACCTTGTCTCCCGGTGACGTACTAGATTGTGATAGAGATGGAACGCCGCACGTCTTGGCTCGGTCGCGATGTGCTACTGTAGAGTTTGAAGCTGGGACATCGACATCGAGTAGTGTGTTAGTTAGATGGGCGCATGATAGAGCTGAAGTAGAAGCAAGTACAGATAGCACATAAAAAAGGGCACCTTACAGCTAGTATTTCTTTTTACTGTAGACTGCTAGAAACTGGATACAGAATGCACGGAATTTTCGAGTATCTGAGCAGAGGAACGAAAATGTTCCAAATTTGCCGGATTCCGGACCGATTGTGCCGTCCACTTTTTGTTCCCCACCACGACTCGAACATAATGTCCGACGATGAGTTGGGTCTCGATTCCATGTTTCCTGTACGTTATCTTTCAAGAAACAGCAGTATGAAATCCTCCGACGTATGCTATAGGAGCCCCCTCGACCACCGACTCCAGATCCAACGTTCTCAATTTACAAACGTGAAAAGGCGACCGGCTCAGTAGAGGATTGGTCTGAATTAATTATCAGATTAGTTGGAACGCATCCATTGTGGGGGCACCACTTGTAAGTATGTAGGACTTTCACGCACTTCTGGTGACAGGCTCATCTCATCTAAATCTAGATGGAATTCTGCCCGCTCAATAGCAACATATTTGGATAATCACCCAGATCTATACACCAATGGGTCTGTGCTCGAATTAGGCGCAGGAGGTGGACTACCTGCCATTGTCGCTGCTAATAATGGAGCGGAAAAGGTGCGTTCTGCCAACCGTTGTGCGATGGCTGTTTATATCTTGATAAAACAGGTCATTTTGACTGATTATCCGGACGCCGGACCTGATCAAAAATATGGAGTTCAATGTCGATAAGAATGTACTACCATCTCGCAGGCATCATGTTTCCGTACAGGTAAGCATCGAGTGTTGAACTCTCTGATACAGCAATGCTCATGACTAATAGGGTTTCATTTGGGGGACATCAGTCCAACCTCTTTTATCTTCTTTGTCGAACACGAATGGCTTTAATCTCATAATCCTGTCCGATCTAATCTTTAATCATTCCCAGGTATGTCTATTTAGAAATCGCGGGATGTCGTGTCATCACGGGCTGAACCGTTCTATAGCATGATGCCCTGCTGAATACTTGTGAACAAGCGTTACTGCCTCATGGGTCCTCAAAGCACGCCATCGGTGCTGGTTTTCTACACACACCATCGTCCGCATCTTGTGCATCGAGACATGGAATTCTTTACGAAGGCGCGAGGGTAGAGGATGGCACTGCCAAGAAATCCTTACGCAAAAATTTGAGGTATGTCGTCTCATGCCGAACATTAGAAGCAATCCCATAGGTTTTTTTTCAGCCCATGTTTCCCGATGACCCCGGCGAAGAAGAAATCAGAGCAACCGTCCATGGATGGAAGCTTAATCGCCCATCGTAGCATCTGTTTTGTAAGCTAGACTGTTCTATGACTATTCTGCATATTGGGTGCGCATCTTCTCTCATAGAGAACTTTCAAAGCTGGCGAAGCTCGCACTCAAAGAGCAAAGGTGTGTACATATCTCCATGGGTGTCTTTGGCTTCCATTTTCTGCTGCTTGGTCACAATAAGCTTCGAAATTTTTTTTCGTGGCCTTCCAAATGTGTCAGCTGTTGCAATGCATAGAAGACTTGGAACACTAGGTCACGGAAAACCTGAGGCTGATTTTCTGGAGTCTCTACACTCGCGGGTCGCATGTTTTGTCTTTCCAAGGTCTACGAACTGATTTCGTTTCCCACTTTTCCAGACGAAAATGAAGATAAAGACTTTATTTTGTTCTGAGGCGGCAGACTGTTCTTCTTCCGGGCCCGTACTGAGATCAGCGCCGTATTTGTAAGACCTTAGACGGAGACCTGAAAATTTCTTGTCCCGCCATGTCATATTCGTTTTAGCGCCGCGACGCTATGTACAATCAGCTTCCTTTGCCCTCATTTCCTATGGCATGTCGCGGTGGCGTGTGCTGTCTCCGTGAGTTTGCCACTGACATCGCAAGAAGCCATCTGCTTGATGGTTCATGCACTAATTTTTTCCTTTCTGAATTAGGTTCATCAGGCATGTCAATGATGATCAACGAAATATCTGCGTGCATGCGAAGCGACTACGGACAAGCGTTGGTTGAGCATCCGGTAAAACCCTCGACGAAGAATGTGGTTGCTTACATTGAAGAGCCTCCAGTTCTGAGACCTCAATATCAATCCCCAATCTTGAGTTCATGGCCATGTATCCTCAAGCATACTGTGATCGAGACGATATTTTTTTGACACCTTGGGAAGGCAGGTTTATAGGTTTTAATTAAGAATCAGACGTGTGTCTTCTTCTGACAGGTTCGCTTTAACTTTGCGCATAGCGAACAGCCCTCAGCAACCTCAATGTGGTAACTCAGAAAAGCTTTGGCTATTATTTCTTTCCGTCCCGACATCGACCACGGTTCTAACGATCCATGGTTAACGGAGAAATGAAGTCGACGTTGTTAGTCGATGCCAACATTGTGCATCGATGCCCACGGGGATGAACTGTTAGACGGCGATTCTGCCCGCATTACAACTGATAAAAATACCTATAAGAACGGGGTGGGGGAGCATATGCATCTTGGTTAGACCACTCGCCATCATTAACGCTCTAGAGGCAGATGCTTTCTGTAGAGCTCCCTATGCCAATGCTAGGAATTCGCCTACCACTAGCAGCGGATATCGGACTTTCCGTTTGGGACCGCCGTTGGCTGGGGCGGGATCTATATCGTCGGTCTTTGTCTGCCTGTCGGGCTCACTATACTTGCTCCGTTTCGCTGCCATTGCTCCCGAGAAGAACACATTGTTTTGCAACTACGGGTACCACGACACAGCAGCTTTGAATTCGTCGTCGGGCGAAACAACGGGCTTCGATAGGGCCTAGTAACGCGCTCTAATATCGACGTCCTTCAGGCAATTCTGACATGCGCAGGGGACAGCTAGACACTCCCTTTACCGAATGTGTTGCCATTGTCGGCACGCGCTCCTTGAACTTGCTCTTTTTGGGTTCCGCCGATGTCGCTCTGTTTTTGAGGGTATGAACGCATTCGCAATGCCAAACCTTTGGACAATGGCGAACAAGAGGGAAGTCCTTAAACTGGTCTTGCGGAGCGATTGCTCTGTTTCTGGACTGCTTGCTTATTGCTCTTGGTCCTCGCTTGACTGTCGCCGTTTCATTGCCACATTTATGAGCCTTGGTCTCAGAGACAGCCGCAGCGTGAATTCACGTAAGTATGCGTCATGAATCCTAAGAGCGCGCTAGCGCCAATCTCGTATGAGTTCAATGCAGGTTCGAATGGTGTGTTTCATTATACACAATTTGAAAGTCTCCGCATCATTTATCCGAGGACACGTTGTAACACTTTTGATTTTGTTCCAACCTTCTCTGACTTGGGCTATCTACGATGCGAGGCTGTCAGTACTCATGCTACAGCAAGCTCTCTATGACTCGGGAACTGCTTCCGAGTTCTTCATGGACGGACTTACCGGGCTGACGTATTTTGTATACATATGATATGATGACCGGATGGATATTGACGGCGCCGACGTAGGGCCTCGGAACGCATTAATGTCAAAGCCTGTCTTCGAGAGTTGATAACGGCGGCGGCAGGAGGCCTTACTCCGCATAAAAGTACACGCCGTATGCGATATGTACTTGCAGGTTGGGTGTAGATTTCTTGTACTTCCCCCCCTAGTTCTGAATCCTTTTCACCTCGTATGCAGTTGTTCCGGGCACTAGAATACGTACATTTAATTGAATGGAGGCAAATTGAGTAGTGATAAGATCAAATGCACAGCTATGCACAGTTGATAAGGATCCCCGATTATGCAATTTTGCTCCACAACGTCGTTGATGCTCTCCCTGATCCTCGTATGTGTGGCTGGTTACTGTATTCTGGATTTGTTCTGTCCGGCTCCTACGTCTAGGTCTTTTTCTCCTAATTTGCAGCATGGTACACGCCAAGTGGCTTACCAAATATGGCCGGACCATCAGGAACAGCTGACCCTTTGATGATCTCGAGCCCAAGTTTGTAACCGGGCTACCTTGTCCGGCTTTTTTTCGTTGCGAGGCATGCTCTCTGCTCTGTAGCTTTGCGTTTTATTGGGATTCACTCTTTTGTATACGATCCTTACTTCTGGCCCGATGCGTCTGCACTGGCCTCTTACTCTCCTTCCTCTTGTCCTTCCCCATGCCTTCGCTGCTACCGCTGACCAGTGGAGAGGACGAAGCATATACCAGTACGCATTATCTATCTATCTTAACCTGCCAACAAAATGCTCATTATTTCTAGATTAATAACTGACCGTTTCGCTCTTGAGGACGGTGCTAACCTTGATGCCTGCAATCCCGCCGACCAGGACTACTGTGGAGGCACTTGGAATACGTGCGCTGTCATCTTTTCTGTCGTCTTTTGTTTCCCTAATCTTTCCCAAGCATCCGAAATAAACTCGACTACATCCAGAACGCTGGCTTCACTGCAAGTGAGTCTAGATTCTCGATCTACATGGCATAGCCTGACCGCCTTGTAGTATGGATATCGCCAGTAAATCAAAACTATGAAGGCGATAGAACTCCCTATGGATACCCCTACCACGGCTACTGGATGGCCGATATTACCCAGCTGAACGACCGCTTTGGTACCGAAGACGATCTCAGGGCACTCATCTCTGACCTGCACGCTAGGGATATGTATCTGATGGTCGACGTCGTCGTCAACAATGTTGTAAGTGCAAGTTAGTCATTTCTTAAGATCCGCCTACACGTCGTAAACAGATGGCTCTCTCTACCAATCCGGACTACTCCGGTTACATGTTCAAAGACTCCTCGTACTACCATCCTTACTGTGCGATCGACTGGGGCAACACTACGTCCGAGCAAGATTGCTGGCTCGGTGACGAGAAAGTCACACTACCTGATCTCGACACCACCAATCCCACGGTGGTGTCAGGGTATGTAGACTGGATCAAGAAGTTCGTCCAAGAATATGACATCGATGGGCTCCGAATTGACGCCGCCAAACACGTCGATATGGAGTTTTGGCCGCAATTTTGCGGTAGTGCAGGTAAGTGATATATCACTAATCATGTGGTCAAAAGATCTTATTTTTCATGGCAGGGGTATTTTGCATGGGCGAAGTGTTTGGTGGCATTGATGTGGAGCCCGTCGCTCAATATCAGGGATCCCAGGGTCTCGATTCCGTGCTCAATTTCCCCCTGCAAGCAGCACTTCTGGCCGCATTCCAGATACCTGGCGACCTCAATGTGACAGCTCTTGCTGATGTTTTTGAGCAGAGCAAAAAATTGTTTGCTGATACAACTTTACTCGGCAACTTTTTGGAGAACCAGGACGTTTCAAGGTGGGCGAACGTCAGCGTGGACCCGCAGACCATGTAGTAAGTGATTCATATAGCCACCGGAATCCATCTGATATGTGGCATTTTTTAGCAACGCCATGACGTTCACATTTATGTCCGATGGAATCCCTATCGTATACTACGGTCAAGAACAGTCCTTCTCAGGAAGTGGAGATCCATATAATCGAGAACCCCTTTGGCCTTCTGGATACCAGGAGACATACGCCTATACTCTCATCCAGAAACTTAATGCCGCTCGCAATTTTCTTGTTTCGAATACATCACAGACTGATTGGCTCACATCAGAAACGGAGATCCTCACTCAGTCACCCCACGGCGTCGCCATTATGAAAGGACCTGTTATTACCATTCTCACGAATATCGGATCACCGGCGCAGAATGGGACGAATATTGCAGTACAAACGCCCTACGACAGCCAAACAGCCTTCTTCGATATATTTGATTGCGACCAATGGGTCGTAGGGAGCCAAGGATCTTTGGATGTCGAGTACACGAAAGGCGGAAGGCCAGTCGTACTGGTCAGATCTGATGTGCTGGAGTTGTCGGACATTTGCAGCGACCAAGTTGGTGTTGGTATCGTCCATGCGGCCGGTACCAGTGCATCTTCTACGTCAAGTGGTGCCAGGGTAGGCATCCAACAGCTGGCATGGTGGTGGATAGCGCTGATGCTGCCAACATTCTGGTTGTGGACATGACGGACTGAGAATTTATTGTTTCTAATTCTGGACGGAGGAACTCTGGATTCTATTCTCTCTTTTCGATCTTTTCCGCGTTGTACTTTTCCCGTTGTCAATAGTTGTCAGCACTGTCTTTTGTATATTATCTCTCGGCCTGTTTGTCAAATATAATTAACCAGGTATTCCTCCTCAGGCTCTTATATTCCGCCGGGCGGCGCGGAGCGACGCGTGGATTTGCATTGAATCTTGCCTTTTTGGGATGGCCAGTTCGCTCGAAATCCTGGACTGCATTATTACCAGAACAGGTATCACTTTCGACGTTGCCAACGCCCGGCGTGCTTCCGGTATAGCTTGACCTCTTACTTCCATGTCCGAGCCGGCAAGGACAGGCAGAGAGCTCGATGCCTTTTTCAACTTTTTCGCTACTTTCTCCTTGTCTCGACCAGTCGCGACCGCTGCCGACCTCAGCGATGGCGCACCCTTGTTCGAGATTCTCTCGCTGGTGTATGTGCAGACTACTATCGCTCTACTGACGCACAGAATTTCCATTTACCCTATGCCACAGTGACGCCGACTACTTCCGCCAATCCTCACGACAGCCGGCATTATCAGAGAACTGGATTCTACGCTTTGGCACCCTGAAACGATTATATCGCCTAATAACACAGTATTTCTCGGATGTCCTGCAGAAACCAACGAGCGGTCTCGACGTGCCCAACCTTTCGGCAATGGCCAAGGATCATGACATTACCGCGATCCTGATTATGTGTCGGTTGACCATTGCCATCGGTGTGCAGTGTGAGAAGAACAAGGAGTTTATTGAGAAGATACAGGGTCTGAGCGAAGTGGACCAGCATACGCTTATGAAGGCCATCGAACGGGTGCGTGACAGCCGCCGATATACAGAGAAATGCTAACGGAGACTAGGTGATGGTCCGTATATCGAACAGTCCCGACGGCCTCGAGCAGTCGGAAACCAGTATGACCGAGTGCGTTGCTTCCGCTTTCATATCGACTCACTCCTCAACTACCGTCCCCTTAGAGACGACCACTATTATCGAATTCAGTCTGAACGGAGTCAAATTCTGTCCGAAAAAGAGACGCTAGAGAAAGTGTACCAAACTCTGCTCGACGAGCACCGGGTGCTGCAAACCAACTACGATGACGTTGTCTCAGAAAAGGATGACTTGCAAGCTCGGCTGCGAGAAGCAAGGCATGATGCGGACTCGCGGCGGAACGACAAGGCGGATGGTATGATGAGAGCTGAGATAGACAGGCTTCGTGCTGAACTGTACGTGATATTTTCGACGTCATTATTCTCTTATTAATATATGTAAAGGCAAAAGAGTGAAGACAACCTGGCTATTGCAGAAACAGAGCTGGACAGGCTGACCGCGTTTGTGACCGACCTCACAAAGAAGCTGGAAGAATTGCAAATAAAGGCGGACGAAACAGACCGGCTCAAGGATCAAGTCGATGAGTGCGCTTAGGTTCTTGGAAAGAGAGAAGAACCTTGCTGATGATATTCAAAGGTATAAACATGCATCGGACAAGTTGAGGAAGACCGAGAATGTTATGGAGAAATACAAGAAGAAGTTGCAGGAGGGAGCAGACCTCCGTTCACAACTCAAGGTCAGTTATCATCCCTGGTCATGTGGTATCATGGGAATAACTTCCGCTCCGTAGAATCTTGAACGCGAAAATGCCGATTTGATCAATACGAACGCGTCGCTGGAAGAAGAGAACCGAAAGGCCTCCACATATAAGCCTCTCTTAGACTCTTATAAAACACAGGTATCGGAATTAGAGGCGAAGATATCTGCGCGCGCGCAAGAGATCAACACACTCGCGTTTGAACTAGAACAGGCCAAGGAAAAGGTCAAGAGGCAAGAGAAGGAGAGGGAAAAGGATCAGGAGACACTGGATTTATATCAGGAGCGTGTTCGGGAACTGGAGCTGTCCTCACACCGAGCTGCTGCTAAGTCTGAACGGAAGGAAACCTCTGACAGTTCGGAAGCCGAGTTACTGGGAAATGTCATAGGCGAAGACGATGTTGATCAGGGGTTGGGAGGAGAGCTGGACGATGCGATTACGGGGACGACAATGACGGACCTGAAGTTGCAGATACGGAAGCTGAAGCGGGAGCTCGAAGGTGTGAGGAAGAACGAGGCGGATGCCAGTCGAGTTCTGGTACTCGAAAACCTGTTAGAAGACGCCAACAGGATGAAGGCTCGATACGAGAGCGATTACTTGGCTGCTCATCGCGAGAAACTGGTGTTGCAGCGAGATCTCGAAGAAATTCGGAGCGGCAAGTCCATGGGAGACGGGTATGTTTCTTGCTTGTTTATTTCCTTCTTCGGCTTCTGTTAATTGTATTTGATATAGTGCCGAGGCCGCTATCGCTCTTCGTCAAACACTAAATGAAACTGTAGAGCAGCTGGATGCTTTGCGTAAGGAGTTCGCTGAGCTCGAGGTCAAACTCGAGACTCAGACTAGGGAGCTCACTATTGCGAAGTCTGATCGTCAGTCTCATTTTGCTTCTTCATTTGCTACCTATCTACCTACATACCTACCGTTGATATCTGACTGAAATTGGTCTTATTCAGTCACCCTTGTGAACAAGGACCAACTCGACATACTCGCGACCCTACGAGACTCTGTCAACGAAGACAAGGTGGCCCTCGAAGCAGATGTCGAACGGCTACAGAAGCAGAATAAGGAGCTTACTGATAAGAACCGCATGCAGCTGGAGCAGGTCAATGCGCTTCTGCTTGAGAAAGTCACATTACAGAGCGAGGGTATCGGCCAGAGGGAGAAGATGTTGCAGCGTGAACGTGACTTTGGGTGCGTTCTTTTTTTGGGCGCCACGGGAGACGTTGACGTGACTTACGAGATGAAACGCAGGGACCTTCGTGCGTCGTTATCTGGCAAGGATCTCCCGGATGACATCAAGTCTCGTCTACTCGCTCTGCATGAGGAGAACGTTACATTAAAGGAGTCATTCAAGACCTCGCAAGAGAAGCTGCAGAAAGCCAGGCAATTTATCAAGGAGCAGGATAGGCTCTTTAAGGAAGAGCATGCTTCCAAGGCAGGGTCATCCTCGGTAACGTTGTGCCCTCTTATTAGTTGAACTGAAATCTGATGCGCGCATTAGGGAACTTTCGAAGAAGCTGAGGCAAGCTTCCGGTCCCAAATCAAGATCCTAGAGGAAGACCTTGCTCGTCAAAAAGTGAATATTTGCCTTTTTAGGCATATCGAGGTCTACTAACGGTCCTTCTTTAGCACCTAATGCAGGACATGACACGTCGATACAGGCGAGAACAAGATCTTATGATGAGTTCGCTGCATGCCATGGGTATGAAGACAGCTCGTTCCCATCTTGCCGCGCCGCAGAAGTCTCGACCCGAGTCTACAAGCTGGCTCAGTAATCAGCGAGCACAAGTACGCCTTTTTGTACCTCGCCTTTAAATAAGAGCTGACAAGACTGTCGTAGCGAAACCCTGTGCTACAACGTTGATCGCCACACTTTGACACCCTCCTTCCTGGCATCCTTTCGCTTTAGTGGAACCTCATTCTTTCAGGCATCTAGTTTTATACCCTCGAGCACATAATTGTACCCCATTGATGTATTTACGACTATTCATGGTTTAGACTTGTCCTTGAGGACGCTTTGGCGTCGTGGAAATCCAGACAGAGAAATGAGATCAAAGACGTGGATGTCATTACGAAATGTCCAAGATAGACCTGAGACGCGGGTCTATGTCCAAGAGAAAGACATGATACATAATGAATAGAAAAAATGAAGGTTATGCAGAAGGGGGTATACGTCACATAGCCTCTGCTCCCGCTGCGCAGAGACCACAACCTATGCATTCCAGACACGCTGTCGAGGGTAGGTTAGCTCGAATGAACGCTAAGGATGGGAACGAAGCTCACCAAGGCCACCACAGCAAGCGCACAAATAACAAGGACAACAGCATGGATTCTCAAACGCCCCTGATCTGTCTGTCAGACGATCGGAATCAGGTGAAAGCGATGGGAATTATGACCTTTGCAACACCAGAAACTCAAGCATATCTAGGCCAACGTTAGGCGGAAGAAAGAAGGGGAAAAGAAAGGCAAGCTTACACCTAGTATGACTACCACAAGGAGACCGACGAAAACAACGATGAGGTATACTGTCGCAGTACGATTGGTTCCGCGGCACCGGAAGCAAGGGGAAAAAGGTGCGACTCACGCTTATTGTCAACAAACGAACCGTTACCCGTCGATGACCCAGCGTCGCCCACGGCACGCGAGAAAATGGAGTGTCCATCCGTAATGTCGAATGGACACAACAGCAGGATACCAACCAGGGTCAAGAACGCGAGGACGACGGGGATAAGGAGCTGGCGAAGACGGGCAATGTGGCAGTGACGGTGACACGGGGCGTTGGCTTCCTCGTCGGTGAGGGGGAAGTCATGGTAGACGTCCATTGCCTCTGGGCGGGGTTGGGAAGTGATTGGGTTTTTTTCCATGGCCTTGGTTGTTGGTGGGTAAGAGAAGGAAGGAGAAATGGAAATCAGAGAAGGCAACGGTGCTATAAAGAATGGTTACGGGATGTGGTCGCAGCTGTCGGAGGTTGCCATACCAGGTTTCGTTGCTGCTGCATGCTGCGCAAAGCTGTTTTTGGGCTGTGCAGTCCCCGAGAATCGTGGATTACACAAGACCGGGTATTTCTTACTAGCGTATCCTATATTTCTTACTAGCGTATCCTATATTCGCATGGCTGAATAAATATTTGCCCGTGACTCAATAATGTCTCTTCGACCTCCATTCACCTTGCAAACCGCTTTGAAAAAAGTCAAGGTCGCCCAGGACCTCTGGAATACCAGATCACCTGCCAAGGTTGCTCTCGCTTACACCCCCGATACCATTTGGAGAAACCGTGACAGCTTTCTCCAAGGCAGGCCCGCAGTAGAAACGTTTCTGCAGGCCAAGTGGGAAAAGGAGCACCATTATGTGTGAGCTAGTGCTTGGCGTGCACTGGATTCATCTAAATCAGTTGCAGGCTAAGGAAAGAACTGTTCGCTTTCACGGACAACAAGATTGCTGTCCAAGTACCCAACTGTTCCGCTCAAAGTCCACTGTGATACTCATTTCTTCGGTCCAGTTTTTCTATGAATGGAACGAGAAACCGGATGCGACGGGCCAGTGGTTCAGGACATATGGCCTTGAAGCATGTCTTCGTCGTCTACTACGCGGTAATTCTTGACTGACTAGCATTGTGTAGGACTGGACATTCGACGAGTCTGGCCTGATGAGGAAACGTATGATGAGCAGCAACGACATGCCCATCACAGCTGAGGACCGCTGGTTCAAGGAAGGCGTCGATATCGAATCCGTCGAGATTGGAGAAGCACATTTGTAATATGATTCAGAGGTAGCTACCACAAAGCGATGTTCCCCTACATATCTTCAACATCCCCCTACGTAGTACGAGATATGAAAACAATGTGGGCGACCGTAGTCATGAATCAATCTAGCTCCCATAAAATGAGAACGTGCGTGTAGGTCATATAACGCCGTCCAGAGTGTTGAGGAGCAGTATTTGGATCATCAAGCGGGGTATGAGAGAAAAAAAGGTTTTATATTGAAGCTCTGCCAATATATGTAAGTGAAAGATGATGGGCAAGGGAAAGAATCAAAGCCTACACTTAGGTTACACGAAGTGGGTACTTGTGTCCTTCGTTCGGTACGTGTCCTCGTGGTGCAAAGCCCGCCAAGACTTGAAAAGATTGAACGATGGAATTGCTCTTGCTCTGATGAATGGACGCCCTTCCGTAAAAGAAAAGAGGAAGGACGCCAAAGTGAAAAGAGAGCGACGTTGGGAGGGGGAAAAAATCACACTCGGACAAAATCTACGCGCAACAAGGTTAGCTAAATACAACACGAAGAAGACGAGGAGAATCCATACCACACATAATACTCATTAAGAAGCGAGCAGGTAGGAGAGGAAAGAATATAGCATTCCGTCGACGTGGTTAAGGTGAAGAAAAAAAAATGTGAGCTTCTTTCCTTATATATCTACTATCCCAGTGAGCTGAACAAAATACAAAACTGTTTGGATGAACACCTAAAGTGAACACTTAAGATTGGCGACTTAGTAACGCTCAAGCAGACAATCCCCTCGCCTTTTACTAGGGGATTCCGTGGGCGTTGCTAACGCAAGTCGCGTATCCCAATTTTTCAGACCTCAGCTCGATCTGAGAATCCTTTAACATTTCTTTTTTTTTGTTCTTTTCGTACTATTGTAACAGTGTAAACTTTAAAGCAAGCTGCAAGCCTCTAACTCTCACTAGGCTCCCTTCCATGGCCAGTTCAACTTCTTTTGCCATCTTTCACATTTGAGCGGTAGCCAAAGAGAACTGCGAAGGGGGGGATTTAGATATGATGTTCAATGGTAGCCGATGTACATTGTAAGGCAGACTCCATTACACTTGCAGTATCATACAACAATTGTAAAGCACGGATATTCTTCGCGCGGTCTACGGAGCTTGAGAGAGGTACTGGGCTTCGTGTACCTAGCCTTGCAGGGACCTCCAGGGGTGTCGAGTCACTAGTTCTTCGCCGTTAGTCGCACATGCGAGGTCCGTCCATGGCAATTGGGGGGAGTGGACTCGGTGCTTGGAGAAGTGGTAGGGTCGCCAGTTCTTTGATTCGAGAGATTAAGTTCGTCGTATGACAGAAGCAGCAAGGGGGAGGGGAGTTTAACGGGTGCTCGATAACCAAGCGTTACAGATTTCCTGATTGGACAGTAAGGAACTAGGATATCGATGGCGAGGGCGCAGATAGGAGAAAAGTATTTGCCGTTCCTGGCAATTGAAGCGTACTCAGCCACTGCCTCTACTGCGTATCTCACTAACCATTTCGCGGTTCCATCGAATATCCGACATTACTAGTCACATGGAATGGTTCATTAAGCGCAACCTCGGATATTCCTCGTCCTGTGGCATCGCCGAGGTATGGTATGCACCGTAGAGCTTTTGGATGTTGTGTAGGTATCAAGGGACCATTCATATCGAGCTGTTTTCCCATTGCGCTAGAAGCGACTACCTTTGGGCTGTACATGTATGCCGTTACCGGTTAGGTGCATCAGATTCAGGAGCAGGAGACTCGGTGGAGTTTAGAAGATTAATGTTGAGATTCCACGAAGTTCGCAATACATGAAGACAGCGTGCACGGAGGATGTACCCACAGGAATTGCCGAATGTCAAGAACTGCACTGCGCAGTACGCTAAGATGATACAAAACTACAGCACTTCAAGAGAAGTGATATCCAAGATCCGTCAAGCTGGAATTTGTGCTAGTAGTGGAGCACTGGTAAGCGCAGTGGAAGCAAACTGCGAGCGTCATGGCGGTGATTATGACGTCATGCTTGGCGCCACCATTTTCTCCTTATAACCTCCATCTCTCCCACCATTATTCCTGCTCTTCACGACCTCCCACGACCCCCTAGTGACACGAATTATCATGCCCGCCTCTGCCGCTATTCCAGGCCTCTTCTGCTGCTTTGCTGCCACCGTTTTATTGGTGTTCGTGAGTACCTTCATTTTCAACATTGGCCCTGTTCTAACGCGTTCGTTAGGTTTCTGTGTCTACACCCACATGGAACTCTGTATATTTCCTCCATGCCGGCGTAGGAAGCTCAGCGACGCGTTTTGGTGTGTTTGGATCCACCGGATCGTCCATAACGATCGGCTACAAGTTTGAAGCTGCTGGCTTCAAGTGCGTTATCCAGCCCACGTTTTACACGCATATACTGATCCACTGTCCAGTTCTAGCAGTCTAAACACATCAGTTATCTACAATCTAACAAAGACTCTCATCCTCCATCCAATAGGTAAAATTTCATCCAGTTCTATACCAACTTTCATTGACTTTTTGTCCAGCCGCCGGCCTTGCTGGTCTCGCATTCCTCTTCGGTCTATGCGGCGCGGGTTATCATCGCGCAGGGACCGTCTTCATGTCTCTCCTCGCGGCTCTAGCCACCCTCGTGACCCTTGTCGCGTGGGTCATAGACATGGTCCTCTTTGGCATTGCTCGCAACAATTTCCGCGACCAGAACTTTGATTCTCAGTACGGAAATGCATGCTGGCTAACACTCGGCGCCCTCATCGCGCTCCTACTCGCGTTTTGCGCGAGTGCATGCGGTGTCTTTGGCAATTATCGCAAGCGGAGAGAAACCTTTTAAATCGATAGGACTTTTTATGCCGCTATTCATTAACGGAATGCTATGTATGTTTCACTATCACCGCCCATTTTTTGTGCTGAATTGGTGTAGCACATTTAATTATCCCTTCGTATGCTTACTGTATCTTTTATTTACTGCCGTCGCAATGCTACACATCCGTATTGGCACCCCGGGCCAAAATTATTCAACGTTGAACGATTCTCTTGGCCAACTCTGGATAAGAATCGCTGACTATCTAAAGGTATAAGTATGCATTGTGGATACAGATTTGATGGCGTCTTGACCGTACGAGTAACTCATATACAACGGTTCAGCTTCCTTTTGTTTCCTTGAACGGAGAACCTGCATTTGGCACCGCCTCATCCATAAGGGAGACGATGCTAAGCGTTTTCTTCGCTCGTGCGGCATCGTTTTCTCCAAGTCCCCGCCATAGCAATGTCGTGCTTTCCACTAGTGTTCAAAGGCCTTGCTTCAATGAATATAAATTTAACTTGCATTCTCCAGTTCCTAAACTGTCCGTTCAGAAGCTAGAGCTTCTTCTGAGGACTTCTTCTCTATCTCTTTTTTTTTGAAGACCGTACTTGTCGGGAAAGAAGCGAGGAGTCAAAGTTCATCATCCTTCCCTGTGCCGTTCCACTGAAGAAAGAGAAAATGAATGTTGAAAATTTGCAGTGCGACAATTGTCACACTTGATTCGTGGCCGAGTCTACGGACCGGACTTCCCGGCAGTGCTTTACATTTGAGTCTGGTTGATCATTTGAAATTCTGATTCAAATCTGCTTTCAGCATACAACATGCCACCTATTCGCCCTCACCACAAAACACGAACTGGATGCAAAACGTGCAAGAACCGCAAAGTCAAGGTGTGTATCCCACAAAATTCCTTTTAGCTGATGTTAACGTTTAAATGATTGACAGTGCGATGAAGACTTTCCCATATGCAAGAACTGCACCAGGAGAGGGATAGAATGTGTCCGGAGTACTACTGGCACAAAACACGGATCAACAGCGCTAGTACGGTCGATGCTGGGCGAACAAACAAGTTCGAACCAAGACATTGCCACAATACTGAGGTGGACCAGCACAGGTTCATCCGACTTGTTGACGTTGGAATTAATTCACCACTATTCTACATCTACTTCCTATTCACTCTCTTTGGAACACGGCGCGTCGGCATTCTGGAGCAACATCATTCCCAAGATGGCCTTTGACCCCCGCAATCAGTGTCTTCTCCATGCAATTCTCGCTTTCTCAGCTCTCCATATTGGCCACGCCAATTCAACGTCTCCTTTCGCGGATCGGTACATCTCAGCTGCAAGCGCATATTATTATCAAGCGAAAAGAGGCCTACACATAGCAGACACGGGGGAGACTGCAGACATAAATGCCGTTCTCATTGCGTTGTCTCTCGTCGCGCGATATGAATTTGCTACATCAGCAGTAGCATTTCCATCCTTAGCGAGCGATTGGTATTTCACCATCCGCGCAATCCGCCGGAACATTCATGAAAAGGATCGGACGCAACTCGAGAGCAGTGTTCTGTGTTCGCTTTTTGCTGCTATGGCGCCGTCACTCTTATTCACGTCTCTGGAAGAAGAGTTTCCGTCATCCTTGTCGACACTCCTGAGTACAACACATCCAGCTCCGGATGTTGAGGAGCTGAACGACGTGTCAATACGTACCGCCTATGAAGATTCGATATCTTATCTGGAGCGAGCATGGAAAGCTCCACTCAATGAAAGCGTCGGCATATGGTGGTATATAATGCCCAACGCGTTCTTTCAATTATTGAAGGAGGGGAGACCCCGTGCACTCATAATACTGGCGCACTACTGTGTTATGATGAAGCGCGTAACTCAGGAAGGGCGGCTGTGGTGGGCGAAGAAGCAGTGGGGTAATGAGGCTGCGAGAATTATCTCCCTGCTTGACGCCCGATGGACACCGTGGTTAGGATGGCTCTCGAGTCAGTTGGATGAAGTGCATAATACCCAAGCTCTGGATTTTGCGGGCATAGATTTTTTGAGTTGGTTAAATGAGGCATCAATGCAGGAGGCGGTTATTGGACAGACCATTTCTGGTTTGCATACGATATAATAGGTTATATCCGGAAGGGTACGCCCGAATCTGTCTTTTATTCATACTTCTTGGCCCTTCCTCAGTGTTTAGAATCAGCCCAGAACATCTCTCTTTTCTGAGGAGATCAAGTTCCCCACACCAAGGTTTTGGACATTAAGTCCAGTGTGAGACCGCGCCACTGAAGAAAGAAGAGATGCTTTATCATACACGGCATATGACAAGTAGCAATACGGGACTCAAGCTGTGGTCATCCGTTAGAATTTGATTAAGTTTGCAACAGCGATGTGGCCTCTCTTGTCGGTCCGTCAGAGAGCTTGAATATATTATGAATGAGAAGTAGCTCGTGTGAAGCGGGCCGGACTTCGCGCAATGCAAAGGAGCACAATCGTTGGAAATTCTGATACACATCAACTTTCACTACGACCAGCATCATACACCTAGCACCATGACACCAATTCGTCCACACCATAAGTCGCGAAGTGGATGCAAAACATGCAAGCAACGCAAGGTCAAGGTATGTCCTCTCTGCCAGCGATTGTTCAACTGACGCTAACGTTGAAATGATTTGCAGTGCGATGAAGATTTTCCCATATGTAAGAACTGCACTAGGAGAGGGATAGAGTGTGTCTGGAATTCTACCTCAGGCTGCAGCACAAAAATTCCCAGGGAATCCGAACAACTCAGGCTCTTGAACACGGGCGCCGCTCTCTCCACAATAACGAAGTGGCCTACTAGTAGCGCAGGTTCATCGTACGACCTGTTGACGCTAGAATTAATGCACCACTATTCTATATCAGCTTCCTATTCTCTTTCTTCGGATCCTGGCGCGTCAGGAATCTGGAGAAGCCTCGTTCCCAAAATGGCTTTTGATCCTCGCAATCACTGCCTCCTCCATGCCATTCTCGCTTTTTCCGCTCTTCACATGCACGTGGATTCCACGTCCGCCATTGTGGATCGATACGCCGAAGCGGCAAGTGCTTATTATTACCGGGCGAAGCTCAGTTTACATTTGACGGACATGGAAGACACTGCCGCAGACATAAACGCCGTCTTCGTCGCACTAACTCTCATCGCGCGGTACGAATTTGCCACATCAACCGAAGTAGTTCCGCGCTCTAGCGATTGGTATATTACCATTCGTGCAATCCGCCGTAACATTGAAACGAACCGGACACAGACCCAAGGCAGTATTCTGCGTTCGCTCATAGATTCTGTGGTACCAACACGTCTATCTACGCCTTGGGAGGAAGAGTTCCCATCATCCTTGTCAACACTCTTGAGCACATCACACTCAGCTCCGGATGTCGAGGAGTTGTACGACGTGTCGGTGCGCACCGCCTATAAGGATTCGATATATTTTTTGGAGCGGTCATGGGGAACTTCATCTAATCAACGTGTGGGTTTATGGTGGTATATGATGTCAGCTACGTTCCTTCGTTTATTGGCAGAGGAGAGACCCAGAGCACTCATCATACTGGCGCACTACTGCGTTATGATGAAACGTGTAACCCTGGATGGGCCGTGGTGGGCGAAGAAGCAATGGGGTAATGAAGCTGCGAGAATCATCTCCATGCTTGACGCGCGGTGGGCACCGTGGTTAGGATGGCTCTCGAGTCAGTTGGATGAAGTGCATGATACCCAGGTTTTTGATGTTACGGGCGTAGATCTTCTAGATTGGTTCAACGGACCATTAACGCAGGAGACAGTTATAGGACAGACCATTTCTAGTTTGCACTACAGTATCGAAAGACAGTGATTTTGTACCTGTATGCGAACAGTGTACCATTAAAAAGATGAAAAAGTCCCGTAAGAAAGCCTGTATAGTAGACGGTTGTATATATAGAATCTTTAAACGCATTTTAGTAGTCTCGTACGGCTGCATAGTGCTGTGGTGGCATAACAGCTGCAAGCTCTTCACGGTCACGACTTCCCATTCTGTACTCCTCCTCGTTCTCTTGCAAGTACTCGCTGGGATGGAAAATGCAGAACAGGACAATAACCGTAGCCATAAGAACAGCATCGAAAATGTAGAGCCACTGTCGTCGGTTCAGAACGAATATTCGGATCGGGAACGAGAGTAATACTCACTACTTCATTCCTCATGATGGAGCCATCGTTTCCTTGCACGAATTCTATGACCCGGAAAACGGATCGCACCATAATCATGGCGCTCGCGACGTAGAGGACATACATCAAGGTCCTCCAACTTCTCTTCTCGATGACGATGGGGACCACCCGCATACGATAATGAAAAACGACAGACACGAGGATGAACCCTCCAAACCATAGTATCTGAATGACCAAGCCGACAATAATGACGGTCTGGCCGAGATTGACATCACTCTGGTCCTTGGCACCCGCGAGGAAGCCTCCACCTGTGGACTGTTGGTTCTAGCTCACCACGAGGGGCCAACTAAACTTACCGCCGGATTGGACGAAGAAACTCAGGACGTCACCAGTGACGAAGAACTTGGTGAGCCAATTGATCCGTATGAGAGAGAACCGTTCAGTATGGAGCTTGCGCATTAGTCGACCGAGTACGACGTATATGGAGGCAGCCTTTAAAAGACATGAAAACATATCCAGAGAATCTCAAGGTAAAAAAATACGCACATATAGAGCGGGAGCCACTAGAAGCAGAATAGACTGCATAATATAGGGATTCAACGCTTCGGGGTTACTGTGCGACAGAATTCGACCAATGTAACCTATACCCTCCACTGAAAACGTGTCAGTGACGCGAGACAATGCAACGATAGATCAACTCGACTTACTTAGTCCACCGACGACCATAGCGGTGAAGAACCAGGATCGGGTTCTGAAATTCTTCCATGCCATATATACGGTCGAAGCAAGGAATATCACGCAGAATATAGCGGCGGCAACGGCACTGGGTGTGTATCTGTAAAACAAGTGTTTTAGTATAGCTCGATTTCTATGGCGAAGAGAGTGTGCAGTTACCGATAAAGCTTGAAGCCTTCAAAGACACTGGAGTCGGAGTCGGAGGAGTCACTCATGCTACAGACAAGCCACCAGGACTGAAAAAGAAAGAAAAGGGAGCATGAACATGGTATCAAAACGCGTTCAAAAATATAAGTAGCAGCAAGCATTCGGATTCGATCTCGGATTCGGACTCGGACTCGGACTATGATGACATCAAAATACAGCTTTTCATCCATTTGGGCGCACCCCGAGGCAAAGCCGCAGCGTTTTGCTGTTCTTTTCATGTTGAAATCACATAAACAGGCTGGAGGAGACAGCATTGTTTCTGTCATTGAAGCGTTTGCTTCTTCAATTTACGGTCTGCGGAGGCTGCAACTTGAAGCAGGACCAGATGCACTTCGAGCCATATAGAAGAGCTGTTTTGTGTAAAGCACCTGGAGGGTTTCTTCCCCGGTTGAGTTGCTTTCTATCTCTCCTAGGCATGAGAACGATACGTACCTGTTCAGGGAGGGACGATAAGTAGGATCAAAGTGGGATGAGTGTCAACATGGTCGCTAAGACTACGGGCCGGACTTCCGAGCTAAGGCGGTGCAGCGGTACCGTTAACAATTTGAAGTCACATTTTGACCGTACACTGATACAGCATTCCCTATGCCGCCTATTCGCCCTCACAATAAGACACGAAGTGGATGCAAAACGTGCAAGAAACGAAAAGTCAAGGCGTGTCCTCTGCCAGACCTCGTTAAGCTGACGCTAACGTTGAAGTGATTTACAGTGCGATGAGGAACTTCCCATGTGCAAAAACTGCACCAGAAGAGGGGCAGAATGTGTCTGGATCAATGCCCCTCAACTCGAACATAATTCTGCGCTGCCAGGGACATCTGCCCAGGCTGGATCAAGTTCACATGAGAGCCCCCCTTCCACAATATCGAGGTGTATTGGCGAAAGTTCATTTGACATGTTGAATCTCGAACTATTGCACCACTATTCTACCGCTACTTCGTATTCACTTTCTTCTGATCCTGCCACGGCAAATGTATGGAGGATTGTCGTTCCCAAAATCGCGTTCGACCCTAGAAATAAATGTCTCCTCCACGCTATCCTCGCGGTATCAGCGCTCCATGCTCGCTACGCTGACCCCACTGCAACTCACTATGCTATAGCCGCGAGCACCCACCACTGGCAGGCGAAAACGGGGGTGCAAAAGGCAGAAATGGATGGCAAAGTGGATATCAATGCCGTCTTTATCACCGAGGCTCTCGTAGCACTCTACGAGTTTGCTACGTCGACCACGGTTTCCTCATACTCGAGCGGCTGGCAAATCACGTTCCGTGCTATCCCCCCCAAGGTTGCGAGAAACTGGACACAGCTCCAGAATGGCGTTCTACGTCCGATGTTCATCACCTTGGCACCAACAATCATACTTACATCCCCGGAAGGACCATTTCTATCATCCTTGTCCACGCTTTTGAGCACGGAAAACTCGCCACCAGACGTTGAGGAGCTGCACGACGTATCGGTGTATAAGTCATATAAAGACTCGATACACTTTCTAGAGATATCATGGAAAGCGTCATTTGAGAAAGACTACTGCATGCATGCATCATGTATGTGGTGGTCAAAGGTATCCAATACGTTTATTCGCCTATTGATAGAGCAGAGACCGCGTGCACTAATCATCCTGGCGCATTACTGTGTTATGATGAAACGGGTGGCAGAGGATGGTCCGTGGTGGGTGAGAAAGCAGTGGGGTAATGAAGCAACAAGGATTATGTCTGTGCTTGACGCTCGATGGACACCGTGGATAGGATGGCTTTCGAATGAATTGGATCCGCCATGTGAGAATCAGGCATTTGACTTCACGGGGACGGATTTCATAAATTGGTTGAATGAGGCAGGGACATCAGGGCAGGATGGCATTATACGATGCCTAGAATAATATCTTGGTGTCGCCGATAAACACAAGTTTTCTATGAATAGCAGCGCGTAATGTCCAAGTCTAGTAATTGTTGTGCTCCTTCTCCATACTTGTAGATTACCGTCCACTTCCTAGGCCAGAATAGGGATGCATTGAAACTGTATTCGCATGCTCTTCGTCACGCGCATGCATACTCAGTTCTTCGTGTTCCCCCATCGTATACTGCTCGTCGCCTCGTATGTATGCACTCGGATGGAAGTAAACGAACGCAGCAAGTACTTCAGCCATAAGAAGTCCATCGGTAAGGTAAATCCACTGCTACTGTGTCAGAGAATTTTTCAGACAACAGTCAGCGAATAACTCACCCTTTCACTCTGCATGAAGAATCCATCACGTCCTTGTACGAACTCTATGACCCGGAACATTGATCGCGACAGAATCATGTTGCTCGCGCCGTAGAGAGCAAACATAAACCTTCTCCAGTTTGCCTTTCCCGGTACGGCTGGGATAACTCGCATGCGACAATGGAACACGCCCGCCACGACGGCGAAACCTGCGAGCCATATCATTTGGAGGATCAGTCCGACTACGATGACATATTGACCGATCTTTATCTTGTCTTGATCTTTGCTGCCTGCCATGATGCCCCCACCTGTGTAGCGTCAATGCTAGTTCGATGAGAGAGTATACAAGTTATCTGACCTCCAGATTGTAAGATAAAGCTTATGACTTCGCCAAGGACGAAGAACTTGGTGAGCCACTTGAGAGGAATGAGGGAGTAATGTTCGGCATGGAGCATGCGTATAAGCCTTCCTAATACGACATATATAGCCACGGCCTTGTGGATGACAGTGTTAGATTCAAGTTCGACATGGAATAATAGGAACTCACAAACAGAGAGGGAGCTACTAAGAGGAGAAGCGTTTGCATAACATACGGACCAAGAGCTTCGGGATCATTGTGAGACAGAATTCGGCCGATGTATCCAACACCTTCCACTGTGACTGTGGTTAACAACGTCAGGAGGTTTCAAGGATAAAATAACTCAACTGAGACCACCAATGATCATGGCAGAAAAATACCAGGATCGCGTCTTGAATGTCCTCCAAGCTAGGGCCGCGGAAGAAACAAAGAATATAGCGGAAAATACCGCAGCTGCGACAAGACTGGGAGTGTAGCTGTAATATAAGCAGTCTCGATAAGTAGTGTAAAATTAAGACATGAAGAAGTGCCATACTTATAAAGTGGGAAATCTGTATTAGAGTCGCTCATTGTGTAGAAAATGAAGAGGAATCGAAGGAGAGGAGTTAGAATATGGTAGAAGCGCACGAAGTAAGTTCATTGATATAGTGGCCCGCGCTCGCACTCGCACTCGCACTTCTGTGGTTTCTTCCATTGACATAGCCCCAACGCACACCCTGCATTCGTCCGTTGACCTTTTCCGTCCGGTGAGTCACGCATATTATTCCAAGAAGTTAATACGGCCGGCTTATCTGCTTCTAACACAGGAAGTTACCCTCGAAGTGGATCTGTTATAATGTTTCCGCTATCAGCGGTGCAATCTCGTTACCATCCTTGTGTGAAGCAAGTTTTCGATACATAGCTTGCTACGGAAGTCTGTCGTCAAGGGCTGGTGCACTCATTGATATGAGCGGCGCTTTCCTGGAGTCAATTGAGTCCTCCAGCTTGCCCTATGATTCTTCAATGGCAACCCCACGCCACGGCCATCTTGCGTGGATATTTCTACCAGGTTGACCGTAGGGAAGAAAACTAGAGATGTTGGAATCTGGATTACTAATTTTGGAATTATCTCACTTTCTTCTGATCGACCATCGATCCCGGACAAGGTTCTCCGGGGACAGCTGAACTGTAATCAAGATTTCACACTCACTGGTTCACGGCCGCTCACATCCTCATTCTTGCGTCTCTGTGACGGTGTGTACTTGGCATTGTGGGGAAAATCTTGTAATATCTCTACTTTATCTTCGTTTCATATGAGCAGTTTGAGATGTATCGTCGAGGGAAACTATATCGAAGGTTGCTTCGCTGCAATTCTACATCTCCCGTACTTCGTCTTTGCGATGATGACTCTCTTGACTATCTGGTCGATGCGCTGCATACTGACTGAGGTGGACATGGAACTAGCCTGCTGGTAATCTATCCGTTCTCTAGAGTAGTATGGTAGCTAGCTGCGATCCTAGCGCGTGATAGTCAGCAGAATGTGCCTTTCTCTGACATTACTTGCTTGCTTGGTAGCAGTGACTCTGGTACTAGCATTTCCATCGACCTCCGTCGTGTTTGTGCAAGAGCCCTCATTTTGAAGGCCTCTTTATCCGATAGTTGGGATTGAATTTCGGATTCGTAGAACCGTCGAGACCTCTGTTTGGAATACTGGTACCCGGAGATGGTCAATTACTATTGAGGCCGGTGACATCTGTGGAGCCCCTAGCAAAGAACTTGATGCGAAGAACCCGGCATATGAACTTTCCCGACGAAAAAGTGAGTATCTTTGCTTGACCGAACAGCCATTGTTGGAAATTGATAGAACTTCTTAGCGGCGAGTCCTCCTTCTTCGGCCCTGATAGTTGGGAGCACCTTTCCAAGCATTCACTGAAACAGACATCACACTGTAGAAAGATGTGTTCTATCTAGATGGCACTCTCGCACAGTTCGCTTATCACTGTCGATAGCTGCACGACCAGTCCATGTCATCTTTTTAGTGCCCTATGTTTTCCTACCGAAGGTTGAGCCGCTGATAGATCAGATGCGGTTTTTTACGATCCTTCGGAAATTGCAGTAGCGAGATTTTCGCCATCAGCCACTTACGTCGCGATCTCCTTATCATCTACTAGCACAGAGAGGGGAGAGGCATCGAATATAACGACGTTTACAGACTGTCGTTATCATGTCGCCATACCATGAAGATACTCCAACGAAGTACAAAGACTTTCTACTCATCTATGACGAGGTGAGCATAGTTATGATCTTCGAATTTGAGCAAATACTCAAAGTAGCACAAAGGAGCAAGAATCGACACACTCCGACTGGCAGTAGCCTAGGCCAGTCTCTGCGTACAGACTGGCTCGTGGGCCTTTTCCTCCGACATAGAGACCTCCACATGCATCACTCTTGTTCTGTCTTCGGTTCCTTCACCGCACAAGCTTGAAGCATCGATGCCATCCGTAACACACACATGCGTTCGACGGCAGTCGATTCTGATTCCTTGCGTTGTACATTATTTTAGCTATGCCGGCGTCAAGCGGACGGGCGTATCTTATATCACGAATGACTGGGTCAAGTCAGGTTGGACAGCAACACTCATGTATTTCCCCATCTCTGCGACCGGGGGTAATTAAGGTCGTTGCTGTGCCAAAGATCACAATTACCGTTACAACTTACTGATTTTTTTTCGGGCACAATTTCGTGCATCAAGCTCCACCTGGAGACCAGAACAAGGGGACATCGTCCGCTTGGCCCAGGATACTCAATACCTGATCTGTGGGTTTCGCGTTGTCTTGTGGCAGGACATCTTTAAGTCGGCTAAGTCGGCTATACACGTTGTATGCCCCTGGGCGCGCTTTGCAGGTAAGGACTTCGAAACTGGGTGAGCATAGCGAGAGCATCAAGGCAGAAGGGCATATATTGCCCCAAATAATATCTATCTAAGTCTGTAATATATCATACATACATACAGTTTTCTACGAATGGTAGCCTGCAATGTCCGAGTCTAGTAGATATTAGTCCCCTCTAAAACGATAAGTTAAAGTCCTCTTCGTGGGTCAGAATAGGGATGCGGTGCGACCGTGGTAGCATGCTCTTCGTCATGCACACGCGTGGTCTTTTCTTCGTGTTCCCTCATAGTATACTGCCCATCGTCTCGTAGGTATGAACTTGGATGGAAGATGTTGAAAAGAGTGATAACTCCAGCCATAAGAACTGAGTCGAAAATGTAAATCCACTGCTACCGGATCAGAGCCATTTTCGGAGGAGGAATCAGCGAACAACTCACGACTTCACTCTTCATGAGGTATCCATCGTTCCCTTGTGCGAACTCTATAACACGGAACACCGATCGCACCAGGATCATGGTGCTCGCGGCATATAGGACATGCATGAGTCTTCTCCAGTTCGTCTTGTCCGTCACAGTGGGGACCACTCGCATACGATAATGGAAGACACCAGCCACGAAGATGAAGCCTCCGAACCATATTATTTGGACGAGCAGTCCAATGATAATAACGTACTGGCCGATCTTCCTCTTGTTTGAATCATTGCCACTTGCCATGATGCCTCCACCTGTATAGCGTCAGCGCATGTTTAATGGAAGAATGAAGTGGCTGACCTCCGGATTGTAAAAAAAAGCTAATGACATCGCCAAGGACAAAGAACTTGGTGAGCCAATTGAGACGAATGAGAGAGAATCGTTCGGCATGAAGCATGCGGATTAGCCTCCCTAACACGACGTATATAGCCGCCGCCTTGCGAAAGACAGCGTCAGACTTGCGTTTAACTTTGGAACTATGAGGGACTCACAAATAGAGCAGGAGCCACCAAAAGCAGAAGCGTCTGCATAATATATGGACCAAGAGACTCGGGTTCTTTGTGCGACAGAATTCGGCCAATGTATCCAATACCTTCCACTATGACAGTGGTCAGCAACGATATAAGCTCAATGAATAAATCGGCTCAACTAAGGCCACCGATGATCATGGCAGAAAAATACCAGGATCGCGTCTTGAATGTCCTCCAAGCCTGGAAGATTGTAGACAAAAAGAATATCACGGCAAATATCGCAGCTGCAATAGCACTGGGAGTATAGCTGTAATAAAAGGAACTTTGATGAGTAGTGTAAAATTAAGACGAAAAGAAGCACCATACTGATAGAGTTGGTATTTGGAATCAGAGTCGCTCATAGTGTAGAAGAATCGCGAGGATTAGAAGGCGGGAAGAGAAGTTTAAGTTGTGGTAGGAGGGCATGGAACACGCCCATTGATATAGTGGTGCGCACTCGCACTCGCACTCGCATTCGGACCTCGCACTCGGATCGGCTTTGCTGTGCAGTACGATGTCTTATCATTTGGACACAGCCCCTGTACACCTCGCAGTATTTCACCATTATATTCGTGGAATAGATATTTTGAGATCCAAAGAGATTTGAGCCTCTTGCATCCGGAATATGCATATCCGGAAAACATAACAAAAGGGATCCGTCTTCCCTTAAAAGTGGATCTAGAATTTTTGCTGTCAGCTGCGATGTAGTCTCGTTACCATCTGTATTTGAATCTATCGATATAGTATATGATATACATCTTGCGACATGGAAGGAGCTGACACAGGGATTGAGGTACACGCTGAAGCCATCAAAATGAACGACGACCTGTACGACGACACTTTCTTCTACCGAACCATGTGGTTGTGTTATAGCCGCCTGCCCTAAGGTGATCGACGGCTAACTATTTGTCCTCGGATACTTTCCTTCCACCAGGTTCCGACATTTAAGTCAAGCAAGATTTCACGTTCGTTAATTCGCAGCTCTGTGCTACGTGCTCATATAAGGGTGCACCAGCTACACTCTTTTGACATCCTCATTGTTTGGGCTTTGTGACGGTCCTGGGATGGCGTGTACTTAATATCTGGTGCTCTCCTGCGTTCGAGTCTATATATGTTATGTCAGGCCACAGCGCCGACCACGTCTATACTTTTGCTTTTACGAAACGCGTCTCAAGTCCTGGCGTCAACTTTCTGTTTCTCTCCCAGTTCATGTTCGTCAAGGGGAAGCTGTATATTATTCTATAACTGTATTTGTCTCTCGAAGATCGCTTCACAGCAATTCTGCATCTCCCGAACTCCGTTCTTGCGATGAAGCCTCTCTTGAGCGTCAGGCTGCTGCCGTACATCTCTCAGACGACCCATCAGGAGTACATGATGCAACGATAACGACTGGGGTGCAAAATGGACCCGAGGCAGAGCCATTTAATAGTCTATTCGTTATCCCCAGTTTTTGGTCTATAGCCGCGATTAGCTGTGGTTCGAATACGTGATAGTAAGCAGTAGAACGCGCCTTCTTTAGTAAGTATGCTTTGTTTGCTTGGTATCAGCGGCTCTTGTACTTGCACTTCCATTGATATCCGTTGTACGCAATTGTTTCGGAGCCCTCACGGCCCCTGGCCATCGTAAGGCGTATAATACCCTTTATTGAATTCCGGTATCTTTGGAACTGTCGAGACCTCTGTCTGTTACCCGGAGCTGATCGACACTTTCGAGGACGCGGTGACTGGAGCTCGTAGCATAGAGTTTGACAGGCATGCTGTAAAATTGTGGACGAAGACCCCCGATAATCATTATGCCTACCCTTATATACTTACTTTCATGCCCTCGTTACGTTTCGGCAATTGGGAACGAACGTAAGATAAATTATTTGAATGTCCACTCAAACCGAATGATTAGACAATTTTCATGAGGACAATACTTCCCGTTCCGTGAGGAAATTAGGTGCTAGGTATACTGTGAAATCCCTCGATAGGCAATCAGTCGTGATTTATAATTGGGAGGACATCCAAATGACATACAAACACTGATGAGATGTTATACGTATACATCAACTGGGGGGTAATTGGAACGGGTGTATATGAAGCAGGTACGTATGAATGTCATGGGGCACATGTAAATACCTGAACAGGGAAAAGGAGCGGAAATCAAGGGATAGGCATAAAGTACGTTGTAACAGCAACTGGAAATTTGGTATAATGTCAGTAGAAAGTGTCCAACCCGAAAAAAATGTCAGTCGCCGAGTCTCTTTAAACGGTCACCAATCCAAGGATGGCACCAATTGCACCCAAGCCAAATCCAAGGGACGTCTTCAAGTTGGATCCAGCATTGCCTGAAGCAGAAGCAGAAGCGGAAGCCGCAGAGGCAGAAGCAGCGGCGAGAGAGCCGGTGGCGCTTTCGACGGCAGCAGAAGAAGATGGGTAGGCAGCTCCCAGAGCCTTGATTTCGAATGGCTCGGATGCAGCGTATACCTATCGATACCAGTCAGACAGGTTTCAAACAACAATTGTAAACAAGTAGACTCACTTGACTGCTGTTGAGGGGATTCGCAAGCTGGAGAACATACCCAGTAGCAGCAGGCATGCTGACTTGTTGTTGAGTCAGGACCTTGGAGCAATCATAGTTCTGCTCGATAGCGACACTGGAAGTGGCTGTGAGACAAGAAGGTCTCCAGTGAATATGAGATACCTACATGGCCAGAGCAGAAGTGAGAACGCTGGTGTCCGGGTTCGTAATCCTAGATAGCCAGTCAAACCCCGCGATATCGAACGATACTGAGTAAACCAACTCACAGGATGGTAAATTCAGAGTACGGAGAGTCATTGCAAGACCATGCGATAACGTTTGTCGACTGTGCAACTGGATAAAGTAGTAAGAAATCAGAGAAAAACAAGAGAGAAGAAAAACCGTCAACTAACCCCACCAGATGTCAGCACTGGGCGAGGTGACTTTCAAATCCGCAAATGCAGCTCCAAAGAGAGCAGAAGCAGCAGCAAGGACGGTGAAAAGACGAGAGGCCATTGCAAGTTTTGAGGGAGGAAAGGCAACAAGCTGGACAACACAAGGGCAACGTTGACGACCGTGGAAGAGAAGCGAAAAGAAGAGTGCCTAGACATGAGACCAAACCGGCGTTAGCCGGGCCTTGTGGCTTTGACATTTCACCGTGACAGACGATGCACTGAGACCGTCCGGCGAGTTTCGAATCCGTTTCATTCTGCCCGTTGACTATATGCTGCTGAAAGGCGACCTATTTGTGGAGATGCCGCGCCCGGTGCGGTTATTGATGCCCAGGATTTCCTACATATGGCAATAGTCGGAAAATGGACGTTGGAGGGAAGAATGGTAAGTATTGTCTTCTTGCAGACGATGGAATGCTCATGGATGTGTGAAGGAAGGAGAGAAAGTTGCGGCGCAGTCGCGAGCTGCCTAGCTGCGCAACATGTACGGTTTCAAATACCAACCCTGTATATTGGACTTGCCAATAATTCATCAATTCTTCGCCCGAATAATACCCAGTAGAACGCTTTCTACCAACCGTTGTACAGGGTCATGCGACCTCACCCATTGCGTTGAGAATGGGCTGCTGCGCAGCACTTTTTCAACCAAAGCAGATGGTATCCATATCTTTATGATCCCTGCTATGCGGCCAAAAATTCCGAACTTCACTTTGCCGAAGAATCAGAAAATATCGCATCTGGTACTATATATGGGACACGACACCCATGCCCTCATGCATCGTGGTCCGTAGCAAAGCTAAAATGATGCCCGGGATAAAATATGTCGGTACTTTGTCAGTACTTGTATTCGTTGCGCAGTCCGGGTTGTCTGACTTCTACTGTCGTATTTTTGTACAGCAAGCGCCTTGGTGTATAGAACAGCGGTTCAATCCACCGAAATTTCCACGATGACCTTCAACCGAAACCTCGGACATGCTCGAACTGAATGAGCAATACATTTGACCAACGGGAACATTGTCAAACTCCGTAATTTATAACAAGGCACAGCACCGGAGCATCAGGGATACCTATGACCCCACCTACACCCTCTTGTAGCAACAGTGATAGGAATTCTGATTGCCTTCTAATTCTTGGGTACCAAGTGATATTCTTTGCATGGATCCTTCTGCGGATCGTGGGCTCATTACACACATATAAAGCTTTCACCCGAAGAAAGACGGTTCTCGTCCCCAGGCTCTCCGGTATGAGCAGTCTTAGTTCCACGCTGACACGTCCTAGTCACGAGGCAGCGGTATATTCCCTTGGTCCTTGGGTAAGTCGCGTCCCCTCTTGCAGAGTCATTCACTGATGTATGCAGCTCGTTGGGATGTGTATAGACATGCTCCTACAAGGGGCTCTTTTTACCCAAGTCAGTCCTTCTCAATCGTTAAACGAGCCATGACTTAAGCGCAATCAAGTTTACAAATTATTTCACTTGGTACGGCTCCACCGATGGGTACAAGCTCACTCTATCCGTTGCAATCCTTGCGATTATAACTACCGTCAAGTCTGTTCAGGTGTGCTAGTTCGCCATATATCGACTCGACACGTCAATAAAGACTTGCTAGGCATTGTTAGTATACGTATTCCAAACTCGAACACCAACTGACACCTAGGTAGTGCCATTGTATGGACACAGCAAATAACCCACTTCTACAACACGCAAAGTGCTCTCAACTCGCGTTTTTTCGTTTGGTATCAAATAGGCACGTGCTCCCCACTTCCTCAGCGCATTTCTCCTATTCACCGACCTTTCTGCGTCCAGGAAACCCTTTGATGGTCTCGCTTATCTCCCTTTATGTGCAATCCTACTTTTGCTACCGTCTCTACGTGGTGTCCAAGAGATTGTGGATAGTCACACCTATATTGTTCTTGTATCTGTTCTCCGTGGGATCGGTCGCTGTTGCGGTACTGTTCCGTCGTGAATCCGACTCTCGGTTCTGCTAACACGTTATGCCGTCCAGACGTATTATATTGCACGTTCTGATCCGAAGCTGGGACGTTGGCGTAGGTGGCGCTGCTTCCGTATCCCGACTGAAGAATTCTCATAATCCATCTAGTTGCAGTACATTATGCCACTGTTTTCGGTGCGTAAAGTCGTATCTCAGCATTTTTGTCATGATCATCACCATCGTGCTCTTGTCAGCCAGCGATGTTATGCTCGTTGGCACCACAGCGTATTTTCTCCTCAAAACAAGAAAGCAGGTTTTGCCTCAGTACGTCTACCATACTGCCTCAGTACTGATTTTCTCATTCGAGGTTTTCAGCACCATCGGTGTGATCAATGCCCTAATTCGACTCACCTTCCAGACGGCTACGCCAGCATTGATATGGTAAATTTATCTTTTTCTCTTTCATGGCTGGGGCACCGAATCATGTTGTTTCATTACTAGTACGATGTTCAACCTAGTTTTCACCTATCTTCCGGACCCCTACGACAAGGGCATATCCAGCGCCTTCATACAGGCCCTCCCTAAAGTATATGCAGTCAGTATGATGTGGACGCTCAACGCACGGAGGGCCATCATGCGCGAGTCCACACCGATGTTCACCAGTGGGTTAACTGAAAGGAATGCTTCGTTCATGCATGCGAATATAAGGACATATTCGACAACTGGAGATATTCAGGTTCGTAGTTTGCTGATGAGTTATTCTCTGTTGACCTCTCTGTTGACCTTGTTCTGGGGACAGTTTGCTACCATTGATCCAGACCACTTTTCGGACTCGGAGTCTCAGGCTCTGAATGTACCGTCCACAGTCCTGGACGATAATGACATGCCTAAAGGCTCTAACGACTGCTTAACGTACCGATGATAGACTCCGAATATTATTACGATTGTTTTGGTGACACCTCTTTGGACTTACTTACGAAGCCGTCAAATGCAGTGCAGAATTGGGTGATCTTATGTGCGCTATTCTGGATTATGGAGGACTCTCTGTAAAACTATACATAGGTATGTGATATTGTCTTGTATTCGCGGCATTATCAAGTGAAAACTCACCTAAAGCTCACGTGGATAGGCGGCGACGCCAAAGCAGCGTACCGGGAAGGCTAACCGCATCCTGATTACCCATCATTCAAAGATCGCACATGACACTACCCGGGTACTTACCGCCTATATAATGCTCAATGAAATGCCTAAGCACCGTGATGTTTAATGATGCGGAGTGCCATCGTTATACTAAGCTTTCTCCAGGCTTTCGATCTCATTATAGCTCAGGATCTCGGAAGACTTCGAAAGACACTGGATGCAGGAAATGTGTACACCCTATTCCCTGAGGATAGCGGCTATCCTAAGGCTGCACAAGTGTGTAAGCTCTTCTGATCTGCTCAATTTGTATAAGATTCTATATTTGTACAGACAACGGTCGTTTCATAGTCGAACCAATCGCCATCACGTACCCTCAAAATGCAGATCAGGTTTCGATTGCCATCGAAGCTGGCGCGGAGCAAAATATCCGTGTAGTTTCTCGAAGCGGAGGGGTGAGTTATTATGGAGTAGAAGCAGAACCACGTTGCGATTACGGACCCACAGCACAGCTACATCGCCAACGGCCTTGGCGGGAAAAACGGGTCTCTTGTCGTGGATATGAGCAACTTTTCAAATGTGACTCTTGACTCGTCTACCAACTTGGCGATTATCCAGCCTGGTTGTCGACTAGGAGACATAGCACTCGCGCTGAATGACTATGGGAGGGCAATCCCTCATGGCCATTGTAGTACAGTTGGTCTTGGAGGGCATGCAGGTAAACGCCTTTTTATATTTTACCTTGATCTCTTTAGAATTCTTATTTAGCACATGGATCGTGGGGTTTTGTCTCTAGGCAATGGGGGCTTACACTCGACCACGTCGTCTCTGCTCAATTGGTATTAGCCAACGGATCTATTACGACTGTCTCTGCAGAGAACAACCCAGAGTTGTTCTGGGTAAGTAAAGACGCTGCAAAAAAAAACATAGGATACTCAAAAATTGAGCAGGGAGTCAGAGGATCTGCTTCTTTCGGAATTGTGACCTCCTACGAGTTCAGTACTGTTGCCATTCCCGAAGAAGGCACCTACTTCGTGTACAACTGGAACGTGTCTGTCGCCGAGGCTTCTACTTTCCTGACATCGCTTCAAGACTTTGTACAGAGTGGTATTCCTAGTACACTAGGTCTCGAGTTACGCCTATTTCGGGGCAACATAGCAGGAAACCTGAGCATCCAGCTTGACGGCGCGTACTTTGGTTCGCACGACTCGTACACCGAGACCATCCAGCCCTACTTGGATACGCTTCCCCCACCGGGATTGACTACCATCGCGCAAGGCAACTGGATAGAGACAGTGGCAGCCTTGACATTTGGTGCATTGAACACCAGCACTCAGGCGCCTATCAATGATACATTCTATGCTAAATCGTTGATGGTTCCCGAGGATTCGCCCTTGAGCAAAGACGCTATTGACGCGCTCATGTCGTATCTCGATACTGTTGGTTTCAGTACAACTGATGTGGTACGTACCCATCTACCTCACAACGTCAATTTTATACAAATGCGGTCTCCATACGTAGTTCTGGTTTGTAGAGATTGAACTCTACGGCGGGAGCAATTCGGCGATCAATTTGGTTCCGGTCGACCAGACTGCCTTTGCGCATCGGAATAAGCTGTTTAATATGCAGCTGTATGCCACTTCTATTGTTCCACCTTATCCTGAAGACGGATTTACCTTTCTGGATGGTGTGTACTGTTACTTGTAATTTTGATTTGATTGCCGTGCTTAATGAGGCGCTTTAGGTATCACCGATGTCATAATTTCCAACAGCCCAGGCGACTGGAATTATGGGTAAGGGTTTCTCTGTTTACCGTGTCCGTGGGTTTATGAAAATGACTCAGCACATATATGAACTATCCTGATAATCGCCTCGATAATTGTAAGTCTTCGTTGTTATTCGTTGTTCCACCATTACTCAATGATTATTATTCAGGGCAGGACCTGTATTATGGTTCTCATTATACTCGCCTACAGGCTCTCAAGAAAGAATTTGACCCTTCCAACATATTCAGCTTTCCTTTAGCTATCGAAGAGTAGTACGAATCTGACTGATATTCAGCAATTACATTGTCCGAAAGTGGTGTAACAACATTCTCAGATGGACGCATACATGCGTATACAGTATAATACAAGACCTAACTGAGGCCAAAGATGGGGGTAACTAAGGAACGCCGAAATGGAACGAAAGGGTAAGCTAGTGGAGTAAGGTATCAATCTGGTACAACAAATGATGCGACAATGCGAGATGCGAAAGCGAAAGTCAGAATAATGCAAACGACGATAAGAAAACAATGCAGTCCGTAGCAGACTATAATCCATTAAACGAGAGAAATAAGTGAAGGAGCGCAAATTGGGGCCTAGCAGCCATCCCACTCCGAGTTCTTGGGTTTATCCCATTGCCACGTTGTTATATTGGGATCTGCACAGGAAAGATGACGTTTCGGTGAACGTGGAAAACTGGGAAGTTAAGCTTACTCATGTACGCCTCAATGTGGCTATTAATATAATCTTTTGTCGGATATCCTGTAGGGTTACACCCGATATTCATCCCATTCGATCGTTGATAGACGCGGACGTAATCGACCAACATCTCTGCCGGGAATATCATCGTGGAGGTATCAATAGTTTGCCAGTTAGCTGCACGACGACGTAAGATAAATGGAAGGAAACGTCATGACCTGTAAGAACCACCCACAGCTTATGCCCAGGTTGAGTATTATACTCATCGGCTCCTCTGTGACCAGTCTATCACTGACCCCGCTTCCAGTAGGGTCTGCTACCATGGCACTCGCACCCATACGAACGCTCGGCTTACCATCGGTAATCCAAGTGATAAACCCATCACTACGCGAATTCGGGTTAGAGTAATATTCGAAGCCTAGAAGCGATCTAGGTTAGTGTGGTGCTATTACGAAACCTGGTATAAGACCCACCATACACAATGAACTGCTTCTGACTCCCTTGGAATCCCTCACTGGGAACATGTGTTAAACCCGACACCGCTTGCTGAACCGCAGAACCACGGTATGAATTCGCCCGTGTCAGTGACTCATCGTATATCTTCCATTCAGCATCCGTCGACTGTAGAACAGATACGTCCACGTCAGAGACAAAAGGCGGCACCAAGGTACAAGATAAACTCACATTGGCATACACATAATCTGCAGTAAACGGTGCAAACTGGGCACTTTGACTCACAACCTGACCAGTTGTGGCCAACTTATCCTTCTCAGCCTCAAAAATATCAATTTCTGGTGCCCCTCGTCCACGATACGACCCTGAGGACAGAAGCGGGCCAGGATGATCGCTATTAGGACACGTACACGCGCTCAGCCGTTGCCCGCTTAACCAGCTCAGCTCGTAGTTGTACTTTGACCTCGAGGCGTCTGAGTGTAATGCTGCTGCTGGACCTGATCCATCTTTAAGCGTTTGGTTTGGAAAGGTGCCTAGGTCGCACGAGTCGTACGTGTAGGGCCACATTCCGTCCGTCGTAGCAGGATATCCCGGTCGCGCGAGGTTTCCCATCGTCCATATGCCAGGCCAATAGCCCTGTGTGTTCTCATCAGGTCCTGGAAGAACTACCGCCACTTCGATATATCCTGTCGTGAAACAGAACTTGTTCCATGACTGAAGCATGCCACTACGGTAGCTGAGATCGTGGTTATCGAGCGTAGTGAAAGGTGCAGAGGAATCTAAAGCTGGTTGGTACGACATACTTGTCCATTGTCTAAAGAATACTCACTTGGTGTTTGAGCAGAGACTAGTGTCGATATGCTATCCATGGTAATGACCAGTGATCCATCTCTAGTGGTGACCTGCCGGGGATCGTACCATTCCTGATCCGCTGTAGCCCCATACCACAAATCGACGGCCTCCCAGTAAGGATCGTCGCCAGGATAGAACGTCCTTCCATCTGTGTTAAATTCATCTGAAAAGACCAGCGTGTAGTCCTCTCCGTCGTATCCTGTTCGCGTCCGTACATTGCTAGGCGTGTCAGGATCAATGAGCGAGGGCATCTGGAACAGCACTGGAGCCTGACCACTCCCATTGACCTGGACGTTTGTAATGATCGCCTCATTACGGGACAAAGTCGAGTAAAAGTGTTCGACGGGGTAGAAGATGAACAGCATCATCAAGCCAACGATGAGGACGAACAACGCCGTGAAATTGCCTATTCCACGCCATGGAAAGGTCTTGGTGGTACCCTTAGGCTCCTCTGTATCGTCGTCAAAATCATCAGTAGGCTCGTAGGCGTAAGGAATCAGTCCGTGGTCGCGTGTATGTGCAGTTATTGGGTATTTGGAATCTAAATCTAGGGATATCGTGGAGGAACGATTGGAGGGTATGAGGAGAGCACTCTGTCGGAGTCTTGGTGGAGGTAGGAAGTCGTACAGAAGCATTGATCCACGGCTGGTGCTTTCTGGAGGCGTCTGCAAGAGGGTCGATTTCCCGGTCGACGACGACGTCAACCTCGATGTCGGTGGCAGCATATGTGACGACTCGTCTACCCTAGGCATCGTAGAGGTCGACATCGTGTCGCCTGTCGCGGGAAGAAAGTGGAGGCTTTGCGCTTACTAAGCACGAGCATGTTGACACGGTCCGTCATAGTACGTGACGCTGAGCAAATTGTTGAGGTTATCGTCGAGGACGGCGACAAAGACGAGTCGGTATCGTCGCGATGATGGTCATTGATCAAAGATTGGTGGCGCTTATTTTTGTTACTCGGTCGGGATTTCATTTGCTCCTGTTCCGCTGCCATCGCGTCTGAATCCGCAGCATATAATACGTCTTCAGTGTTCCAACCGCGTGTTCTCGAAGTCGAGTTGGCAACAATAACTGTGGCAGATACTGTCACTTTACCTTGATGAACAGAGGCAATTCAAATCATTTTAGGGCGCTCCCCCCAAAAAGAGGGTCACACAGTACGATGACTACGGTCTCACGAATTTGTAGGTCAAGTCACAAGCAAATCACAATGACCGCTTCAAGCCAAAGTTAATATGCAGCGTGTGCAATACCCCAATTCAGTATGCATTACCGAGTGATAAGGATGGCATTCTCTATAATGCAGGGACGATGAGAGCGCTGAACATAAAAATCAAGTACACAATTGATACCGACACCTTTCAATCATCAAGCTCGTCTTCTTCGTCTTCGTCACTACTGAGCATGTCTCCTTCGACCATATCAACCACCATTTCAATGGCGGCGCGCGACATACGGGGCATAGCGCCAGGCCGGAGCAGTGGATGATTTTCTTCTTTTAGCACTTCTTCGTCTTCATCGCCGCTAGCATCTTCATCGTCTGATCCTTCAGCATCTCCCTCACTTCCCGAATCACCGCCACCTCCGTTTTCTTCGTCACTAGAATCAGATGTCGCTTCTTCTTCCTGTTCGTCAGAGTCATCCTTGAAATCTTCATCTTCCTCATCTGACTCGTCCCCTATCTGCATTATTGTCATCTTCCCGGTCGCAGGCAGTGGTGCTGGTCTTTTCTCTTCACCTTTCTTCTTCCCAAACGCACCCTGGAACCGCTTCACCCACTGGTTGATGCCATCTTGCTCTTTACCATCAATCAAGCTGAAAGATGTTTCTTCACCACCGTCTTCCTCTTCTTCTCCGGGGTCCCCTTCACTCCGGCGGGTGAGAATCAAGGTACATGTCCTTCCCGTGGCACTAATCATCCTCAGGCCGTCGGGTTTTCCCATCAAGTCCTCGACAGGCCAAAACTCGCAAGGTTTTGATTCGCCCCACAGTATACCCTCCTTCATGAACCACAGACTGCCGACTTTCGCCCCCAAATAAGCTTCGATCCCCGGACAGCCGTCAGAGCCTTTACTTGTACAAGCACTCTTGAAGACCTCAGTGCTAGGCTGCAAGATGGGCACTTGTAAATGAGAAAGAAGCTCTTTGATGGCTGGCAGTGTCGGATCCCCCTTGTTTACTATCTTCTTCACCGCGGAAGAATCTATCGTCGACAAGGGGCTTGGAGCGGAGGCATCAAGACCAAATATGATTTGTGGGGAAGACGCTCCTTTTGCAGTGGTATTCGTAGATATTACAACCACTGTCCAGTGAGGTTTTGTCTTTCCGCGCGTTGGGAGAATAAAGGCGCGACTAAGCTGTGAAACTGGGACAACGGCTTCCACAGCCTGAGATGCTGGAACAACAAATTTGATGATAGAATCATGGACGACAATGTCAACTTTCTTGCGTATGGGTGATGTCGTAGATACAGAATGAAGGGTGAACCGATGGGATCCATCAGAAGCATCGTCATGGTCTAGCTTGGGTCGTTTTGAAGTCTGCGGGATATCGCCCTCTGCGTCACGTCGACGTTTGAGATCAGCAGGATGGAGCAGTTCATCAAGGCCTTTCTTCACTGCTGCCTGTTTCTCATGCCAGCCCCCGTCAGACCCGCCTGCTCCGGATTCTGCACCACTGACGAACCGTATCACATCATCGAGGATAGTCTCTGCCTCGGGAGAAGATTTCGAGAGAGTTTTCAGTTTTTGGGATAAGTCCCCAGGTAAACAAGATGACACAACACGCAGAAATTGTGGTTCATCCACGGTCATGACAGATAAATCTATGGCAAAACGATTGAATGGCAGTTGGTCGTGACAAGGAGCTGGAGGAGGGAGATGACTAGATATATGCAAGAAATTTCGTGGCGCCGTGGTGTGATGATGGTGGCAGGAAAGAAGCCGGAACTTCTCTGGACGCGCGTCAAGCTGTGTCGCGTATCATCGATCATCTCTCGTGACATCCAAATTGGGCCAACGTTGTCTTACACGACGACTTCCACGTTCTCTAACGGGGGAACTCTCGTCAACAACCAACACCAACCAATGAAAACTTATTTCGAAATGCTGTTCTTGCCCCCAGAAATCGCCGAGGAAATACTTCGATATGTTAGTTGAATCGTGCTTTATGTGCTTTATTCCTTTGTGTTGACAACAGTGACGTTCTTTACAGCTAAACATCAAAGAGATAAAAGCTCTTCGCTTGACATGCAAATATTTCAACGTTCTTGCATATCCTTTCGTCTTCGCTACCATTCATGTTTACCTCAACAGTATCAATTACTATCAGCAAAGTCTCTCCGTTCTCAAAGCTGTATCTTCTCGAGGTCGCTGCCATCGTCTGTCTATTGGGAAATACGTCAAGCATCTTTACATCCACTCGCATACCGATGATACTCAAGTTCTACCAAAGCACGAAAATTTCTGGAATAGCCTTACCAAGTCTCAACGTCGCCTTGAGAAGCGAATTTACACATCTCTGCCTTTTATGATATGTTTAAAAAAGATTACGTGAGTTTTCGACACTCTAACAATTTATATACCGTTAATCTCAAGTTCTCTAAGCTGGCATCTCATCCATCCCATCCGTCAGCATTTCGTCGACACCATCATGTACTCTATTCCCCCTAGCAAGCCGATAGCTGTTGACCTGGAATGTCCCATGGAGCACCTCAAACTATTTGAAGACCTTACCTGCGTTCATAGCATGACTATTAATGCTTATTCCGCGTTTTGGAGACCTAGGTCTCTGCTGTACAATCTCGTTGTAAACAATCACGACTTAAAGGTTCTTCGTATCCACATGGACAAGAAAGACATGATGTCCTTCCCCCTCTGGTGTCTCTTCTCCGAAATTCCTTCAGGAACAGTCTCTCAGCTGGAGGAGTTGATTATCATTGGGGGCTTCACTCTGGAAGAGCAAATACCGGTCGTTCATTTGCTGAACCTCAAGGTGCTGGATGTAGTCTTTGGGTACCCGAACGTCCCATGGGACTCATTATGCAGCGCGAGAATCCATCTATCGGATATTTATGCGCATAATAGGATAAACGACTCCCTATTGACCTACCTCGGCTCTTATGATGGCCTAGAGCAATTGAAGATTCACGCCGACCATGATGATGCACATTCGCAGCAATTTTACCATGCTATTCTTCCAAGGCATGCCAACACCATCAAGCTGTTATGGGTTCTTCCATCTTCTTGGTCTGGAACCGTCTGGGGTCTAGACACATATGTGTTGGAAGAGTTGCTGCAATGTGAAGGTCTAACTGATATCCGTATCCCTATCGGTCTGCAGAATGCCAGCGTAACAAACGCCGAAAACATTATCGTAAGTATGTCAGGCTCAATTTTGAGTTATATAACGCTGAGGTGAACATTACAGACTCTGATTCTCGGTACCCTCGCGACATGGCAATGGCCAAACCTCAAGGTTTTACGGTTCCTCCCGCCTTTGAATAACCCCGAGAACGTCAGCGTTATAGAATCCTGCGTCTGTAGATGTATAGAAGTGATGCGCTTCACGATCTCCAGACAATGTACACGACTTCCGGGGTCTGAATGGCGAGATTCTCTTCGTGTCTCCGTTCATCGTCGTGGATTCAAGCTAGTTCGTACCTCACTAGAGGAAAACACCTTCAAGTTTATTCCGTCGTCTGTGGATTTTTGATGCACCAGGAAATAAGTGGAAGATAGCCCAGGCTAGTTGATCTTTCTTCTCCAAATGAAGGATCTAAGATCGTTTCCTCAAGGTGAAGGTATTCTTGGTATCTCAGCTGGCGCCGACACATGACTAAAGGGGGTTTGCATATCTTGCTGGCATGGGATTCTGAACGACAAAAGATGCTTGGCTATGATATGAACATGAAGGGACGAAAGATTTGTTTTTTTCCTGCTCTTTTAACTACCCCCTTTTTCGAAGAGGTGGGAGAGACTTGTGCCATACAATTGACGGAGAGCAGAGACGACACAAATCAGAAGTTTTTTGTTAGCGTATTCACAATAACATCTCATGCAGTCGGATCATGGATGCCAGCCTATTTCAAGTCTCGACTGTCTTGATTTGAGGGTCTGCCTGGGGGAGACAGGATGCCGGTGGCGCAGAGCCGCAAAACTTGTATTACTTACATGGTCCTCAGATACTGTACGGCTTAGGTTCGGATGATTTACGGCTCGGTTAATGATATACCTGCATCACGGCGTTCGTTTCAGCCTTTAGGATTCTCTTTCGCGGGTCTTTTACTTAGATATTGAAACCAAATTGAAGCACTTTCTTTACGCATCCGCCGCTTATCCCCGCCTAGGCCCGCAGGTCGGTCCGAATATCCGACCTTACAGCCTTTTCCGGCACGCCAAACGTTACTTGGTTCTCCCCGCTACTTGAAGCACTCCGGCGTCTGCGCTGGAGGACCTGGGTAAACCGAGGCCTCAGGAATATCATTCAGCTAAAAATGCTGCAGCTACCTCCAGAAATCCTTTCACAAATACTTGAGCATGTGAGTTGAACACTTCTGCACTCACTGTGTTGGCTCTAACCAACTTCTTTTTCTTCAGCTACCCACCGAAGACGTCAAAGTCTGTCGCTTGGCATGCAGATATCTCGATGATCTGGCCTTTCCTTTCGTATACAACACGATCCATATATACCTCAACAACGTTGATCGCTATCAGCAAAATCTCACCATCCTTAAAGCTATCGTAACTCCTGGAGGCCAGAATTTATCTATCGGGAAACACGTCAAACACCTTTGGATACATTCACTTTCTGATAAAGCCGGTAGGCCAAGACACCAGGTTGTTTGGAATGGCATAATCAAGTCTCAGCGCCGCCTTGAGGAGCGGATTTACACATCGCTTCCTTTCATGGTAGCTTTGAAGAAGATTACGTGGGTCTTAGCACTCTTTGTAAAAATTTGAAACGCTGATGGCTAGCCCTTGAAGTTGGGATGTCACCCGTCCCATTGGTCAACGCTTTATCGACACTGTTATGCATTTAGCTCCTCATAAGCCAATAGCTGTTGACCTGAAATGTCACTGGAAGTGTCTTTCTCTTTTCACAGACATGACGTGTATTCATGGTATCCTCATTGACTGCTATCACGCCGCGGGGATGGGTTTATTACCCGGCATCATTGCGAGAAACCCCAACTTGAAAGCTCTCCGTATCCACATGTACAGTCCTCAAAACGTCTATCAAGCCAACATCCAAGGCACTTCTTCACTCTCCAACCTATTCTCCAAAATTCCCCTAGAAACGGTTACTCGCTTTGAGCAGCTTTCTGTCGTTGGCCTCCGTCTGGGCCCAAAGTTGCCGCTTGCACGCCTGCGTCATCTCAAGGCCCTTAACATCAACTTTTCTGATGAGATGATTCCTATGGAAATGTGGGACTTCTTGCGCACAGAAGGTGTCCATCTGACGGAGCTGTGTGTATGTGCCATGAGTCGTGATTTGTTGGATTACCTAGACTCGTACGAGGGTTTGGAGAAGCTGAAATTTCACACGAACGACGATGACGCGCATGCGGAGCAATTCTATCATGTTATCCTCCCAAAGCATGCGAGCACCATTGAGGAGCTGTGGATTCATCCAAAGACGCGTGCAGGGCCCGTCTGGGGTCTGGATACATACGTGCTGGACCGACTGCGTCGATGTCGTAATCTAATCGAGCTTCATATTCCAGTTGGTCTGCAAAGTATGGGTGCTGTGGCTGATGATAATGTCATGGTAGGATATCTGCTAATGGTTTTTGTGTGATGCTGAAGGGATACTACAGACGTGTATGCTCAATAACCTTTCATCACTTCAATGGCCGAGCCTTGATATCCTACGGTTTTTCTCTACTATTGATATCCCGGCAGGTGCCAGTTTCACGCAAGTCTGCAATTGTATGGCGGCCGTACGCTTCACGGCATCTGTGGATTCTACGGAGATACCGGGTCCTGCAAGACTCAACCATCTTCTCGTCTGCGTGGACAGTCAAGCGTACAAATTAGTTTGTATCGTGGATGAACACTCGGGGTATATCTGGAGGTTTCGAATGGTTCATTATTGGGAGGGGTCTGATGCACTTGGAAAAGTATTACAAGGTCGTCCGGGTACGCTGGTTCTGTCTTTCTTCAAACTGGAACGGTATTCTGAAATTGTATTCTCAAGCGAGGGACCTTCCATTTTTCTACGCAACTCGCCTTTACAGGGACGACGGTGATGAGTAATATCGAGAAAACGATTTCTATGCTGTATACTATCTTCCTTTATAGCCATTAGCTACGACGATCATTGTAGCTGCAAGGACAGCAGCAAAAACCCAAAAGACCCTGCCTTGCTTACTCTCTTCGCCGCCACTCAAAAATCTGCGAAGAGGTAGGAAAGCAAGACCGACCAAGAAGTTCGCAATCCAGTTAAGAGAAAGTGCTATGGACGAGAGTGCAGAAACGGCATAGAACGGTGATACCTCTGGAATTATAACAAATGGAATAGGCCCGAGTCCAATAGCGAAAGACATGACGAATGTGATGATGGCGACTGAAGCAGGTGTCTTCCAGGAATAATTTAGAGATACGCCGACTGTAATGAGGGAGAGAAGAGCGCCAAGAGTGGACAGAAGGAGAAGACGTTTGCGGCCCCATCGCTATGATAACTATTAGCCACGAAAATGTTGAAGAATTGAAAGGAATACCTCAATCAGAACGATAGGTGGGAACGTCATGAGGACATTAACAATAGTAATGCCGAGGCTAATGTACGGGCCAAGGTCGGGGAGAGTGCTCGACAGGATATCGTTGGAGTAGTAGAGGACCGCATTGATACCTGACACCTGCTGCGCGAGCATTGCCGACGAGACAACGAGCAACGGCAAACGTAAGTCGTCAGGCGTTCGCAACAATACGCTCGGCACCGCGATAGGCGGCGTCTGTGCCTTGGCCCGCCTTTCCTCTGCATCATCTGGCGCCTCGCTAAGGAGCGCTTCCCTGTCTTCTCCCGCCGCCTCTACACGCCACAACCTCGTCTCCGCAGCTGTCTCGGAATCATGCCGGCCCCTTGCACCCAGCCAACGTGGACTCTCCACAATCCCGCTGCTCAACACGACCTGCGCCACGGCAACTGCAAATGAGAATCCAAAGACGTACCTCCACGTCGTCGGCGTCGCCAAATTTAGCCCAAGTAGCTGCGTGACGAATATGCCCAGCACGATCCCAAGCTGTATGAGCACACCCAGTGTACCCTTGATCTTTACGGGCGCTATCTCTGCGATGTATACCGGCGCGACACAGAGCCCAAGGCCTGCGCTGACGCCAACGAACAACCGTCCTATGAAAAGCGCAGGCACTCCCGCAGCAAGTCCCATAATAGCCGTGCCCAACGCCATTACTGCCCCACTAGTGTTGGCCGCAAATTTACGGCCGTACTTGTCGGTGAGGATGTTTGCAAACAGGCTCCCAAGGAGCCCGCCTAGCGTGAATGACGCGGTGACCGCGCTGAAGGTGAATTCTGTCATTGGAAGGCATGTTGGCAACGAGGACGGCAATAATTTGGAGTGGGGGGGCGAACAAGTTATCACGACATGCAGTTGGTTCAGTACTGAGATGTGGTACCCGTACTGGAATGGTATTATCGTTATCCATAGGCAGACGAACCATCCGTACAATGTGAACATCGTGGTCCAGTAATGAAAGTGAATAGATTAGATCAGCATTTTGACACTATCTTATCCTTCACTCGGAATTCAAATTATTTCCTTTGGGCGGCCCGTGGCCGGGCCGTGAACGTGTCCCTCTCGGCCGATAAACCAGTTCCTCAAACTCTTCCACTTCATCTTCGTCCTCATCATCATCATGAGCTCGTCTCCGATCCCGACGTTTGCGCTTCTCTCCTGTCTTCACAACTATGTCATTTTTAGTATTACTGCTCTTTTTGGCACGAGATGGAGTGGTCGGTCCTGTGTCCGCTTGTTTCTTGGAACCCTTTGTTGCCCGAGGTTTGGGAACGTAAGATGGGAATTTGTCTACAAGAAATCGTTGAAATCCTGCATCGTATTCGAAACACTTCAGCGTGGATATATGAAGAATCTGCTCCCAGTATATCAGTATTCCCATCCATAATTTACCAAAGGCTTGTCGATTCACCTTTCGGCCAGAACTGTACTCATCCAGAACTTCTTCAATGGTCACATCTTGAAACTTCTCTCCAGCGTCTATAGCATCATCTATCTCTTCCTCCGTAGGTTCTCGACGCAAGCGCTCCCGTAGACGTATCTTGGCTCTCGTGTCTACACCCCACTTCTTCGTCAGAATACCTTGTGCCCAAGTCATCTTGACCTATGAAAGATATCAGCCGATTGAAATGCGAAACCTTTGGGTGTAAATGGAACGCACCACTCTCTCTTGTGAGTTCCATTCCTGCACTGTCAGAGGTGCACACGGACCCGTCTTGTATTCACCCACATAAGTCCACTCACTGGACTCGGTGCGGGAGATGATCCGGAAAGTCATGGTGCTGTCTCCCGACCATCCATAGAACAAACCAGGAGCGCCCGGTACTTGCGGTGCATGAGGATTATAACAAAGGTTTAAGTACATGTAGTCGATATCACCATGGAGGTCGATAAAATGTTTGCCGATGCTCGGAAAGGTAGACTGAGTATTGCCTCCATAATGTGTGGATATGAAGTCTCTGGGAAAGCCGACATTGGATGTTGTGGGCGGCAGTGGGATAGGAAAGAGGTCAAGACCGATGGGATTGAGACGTGCCCGAATAGAATCCTCGCTTAGGCGCACGACTCCCTTTTTTTTCTTGACTTTTGGCTGGATACTATATGTCAGGCGGGAGAAATGTAGAGAAGGGAAAGAATAATACACACGTTTATCATTTTTTTCAGCTTCTTGTAATCTTCATGTTTTGCGAGCCTCAGTGCAAGGGGAAGTGTTGGTATGACGACAGAAGGGACCAGCATTCTGCGACGTTTAGGGAGCCTTACTTCTACTCTGGACTTGTCCTCCTGAGGAACGAGCAGACCTCCCCCGTCGTCTTTGATCGAGGCATTGTTGGGCTCGTTACTAACCGGCTGGAATTGAACACCAGTTTCTTCGAGTCCATCCTCGATTTTAACCACGACCCCAAAGGTGGATGAGCCTGTCATGCAATAAAAGACACAGAGGAGAGCGGGCTACTGTGGGATCTTCTACTTTGTCGATCCTTCCAAGTACTTAAGTGGTACTAGCACTTAGCAACAGTTTGGATTTAGGTTTTTCCAAAATTCGATCGGCGATTGATGTCCGGCAAAATCCGAAATCGAGCCGATCTCGATCACCCCGGGCTGTGCGTCATCAATATAGGCACCGCCCCTAACAGGTCCATTTGTCTCACAGCTTAGGTCCGACTCCACAGTTAACGTTTGACTCCTTGATACGCAGTAACATCCATCGTCGTTATAACTCTGCTACCGAATGATTATCGAAGAAAAGTGCATGCATCCGTCCCCCCCTCCCTACAATAATTTTTCCCCTCCTCCCCCTTTTACCACTTCTGAGGTCATACCGAAGCAAAAACCTGCTTTGGGGAATTTACCTCCGCACCTGTTACTGCAAATCGTCTACTGCACTTTCCCACAGCGCGATGGAAAATTTGAAGGCGAGGGAAAGATCGAGCGGCAGCGCATGACCCTCCACTGGCTAGTGACTTCACTGAGGCTAGTCAATAAGACGCTTTATATCGGTAAGAAAAGCTCCGTTCTTCGGTAACAGCAGCTCATGGTGTCATCATATAGCGTGCATGCACATTCTCCGCTCCACTTATCTACCTGCGTACGATTCACTGATTCGAGCACCATACACCTCAGATCCTTTCCCAAGCTCGAGTATGCCCCCAACTGAAAAGTCCTCCATCTTCTCTACTCACCGAGAGCTCTCTACGCTGGATATCTTCATCGCACTGCTCGCACACGAGGATCTCATGTTAGATTCTACGTCGCTTCATCTCCCCCGAGAAGAAGCTTACAAGGATCTCTTTGATATGATCCAACCGAAGACTCGCCTTGAAGACCTAGTAATAGAAGAAGGTATCAAGGCAGGTGTAATACAAATGGGCTGTATGGTAAAGCCTCGCGTCTCGCGGTTGTGTATCACGGACCGTACCAATACCCAAGATCCGCAGCAAGCTAGTCCCACAATGTCACCTTCACCCACGCCGTCGGGTTCCGGATCGTCTTCTACCGTACCACCATCTCCATCCAAATCAGGTTTCAGCATATTCTCAAAGTCTGCTCTCAAGACCTCTTTTTCTAAAGTAAAGAAAGACCCGCCAATTCCCCCGCCGCAACCGCGGCGTACTATTCACCCAGTGCCCTCCGATTATTTATCCATCTCATTTACACCGAAAAAGGTGGCGTTGGTATATACACAGCCTTCCACGAATGCCTGGTCCTTCAATGGGAGTGAATTTGGCGCGCTTAGCATGAGCGTCAGTGGACCTACAGGCCCAGGAGGGAGACGAAAGACTATTGTTGAGGTGGTGAGGAACAATAGGGACGAACCTCTTGAGGTATGCGCTAAGAACTTGGTCGCTGCGCTAGAGGGATGGTTGGAAGAAGAATGAAGTTGGATATTTAAGGACGACGGTGTTTCGGTTCTGATACGTGGAGTTGCTATCCGATAAATGTCTATTATGCGCACCTAACTAAGCCTACACTTCTTTGTTACGTAGTACAACAATTCATGAATTCAAAAATGCTTTCAATTCCTATTGCTCCGTTCGGTTGGTTTACTCCTTCCTGTATTTCTGGTAGTAATGAATGAGGCCAGTTGTCTGCCAGACTCATGTCAGTGATTAGCGAACAACGCGATCACATCGATACGTACCGAGCTGTCATGGCCCTTGACGTCTTCAGGTTTGTCGAGTTGGGCAAGGATATTCTTTGCAAGGACTTTGCCAAGTTCAACACCCATTTGATCTACAGAATTAATGGTCAATTATAAGTAAGCTCAGCAAGAGATTACTACTCATACCAAAGGAGTTGATACCCCAGATAACACCCTGAACAAAGATCTTGTGTTCGTACAGAGCAATCAGAGCGCCTGATGACCGTGAGAAAAGGGTATTAGCCAGCAAAGATAGAACATACCAAGGGTAGCGGGCGTCAGCAGCGGGAACATAATGCTGTTACTGGGCCTGTTCCCCTCGAACACTTTGCTCTTAATCAAAGCTTCGCTTGCTCCCGAACCTAATTCTTTCTTCACCTGCTCCTCGGTTTTACCAAAGGCGAGAGCTTCAGGTTGAGCAAAGAAGTTCGACAATAGGATGCGATGGTGCTTTGATTGGTGAATAGGATTCTGGGTAGTAGCGGGGGCAATGAAGTCAGCGGGAATCAGTTTCGTGCCCTGGTGGACGAGTTGGTAGAAGGAATGTTGTCCGTTGGTGCCCGCCGCACCCCAGATAATAGGCTAGATAGCATGTGAGTCGGTGTCTGTACTCTCCGAAAGGGACGCACTCCTGTTTGATAATTGACGCGTTGACCACCCTTCGTGACGAACTTGCCATTGGATTCCATGTCTCCCTGGAAACACTTGAATACAATTTCATAGATCATCAGGTACCTACTAACATACCTGTTGGAAGTAATCAGCGAATTTGTGAAGATATTGGTCATATGGAAGCAATGCGTGTGTTTGTGAACCTATAAATACATATGTATAGACTAACGCAGAAAAAGAACGAAGGTACTCACCGTAGAAGTCGTTGTACCAGATCCCTACTATGGCTAGAAGAACCGGTAGGTTGTTCTCCAACGGCGTCTCTTTGAAGTGCTTGTCCATTCCATGTGCACCCTTGAGAAGCGCCTCAAAGTTATCGTAACCGATGACCAAAGCGATTGACAGTCCGATGGCGCTCCACAAGCTGTAACGACCACCAACCCAGTCCCAGAACTGGAACATGTTGTTAGGAGATATGCCGAAAGCAGTGACGGCCTTGGTGTTGGTGCTCAGAGCAACAAAGTGCTTAGCGACATGAGCTTGATCTTTCGCAGTCTCGAGGAACCATGCCTTGGCGCTCTCGGCATTTGTGATGGTTTCCTGAGTAGTGAAAGTCTTGCTGGCAATGATGAACAGGGTGCGCTCAGGATCGCAGACCTTCAAGGTCTCTGCAATGTGGGTACCATCAATATTGGATACGAAGTGAGCAGTGAGATCACGTTTGGAGTACGCCTTCAAAGCTTCGGTGACCATGACAGGGCCCAAGTCGGATCCCCCGATGCCGATGTTAACAATGGTGTTGATCGTCTTTCCTGTGTATCCTTTCCATTCACCACTGCGGACGGCCTCAGAGAAGACCTTGATATGTTCCAGGACTGCTGACACCTCATCGACGCCACTTTCTTGAATTTTGAAGTCGTTGAAGTTACGGAGAGCGACATGGAGAACAGCACGGTCCTCTGACGTGTTGATGTGCTCGCCAGCAAACATCTTGTCCCTGTATGTCTCTACCTCGGCCTCCCGAGCCAAAGACAGGAGAGTGTCGACAATGGGCTGAGTGATAAGGTTCTTGGAGTAATCGAGGAGGAAAGTGACATCTGGACCAGATGTAGACGCATATTCCTTAGAGAACCTGGAGAAACGGACGGGATCCTGAGCGAAGAGGTCCTTCAGGACGAGATTGGCGTGCTCGCTGTCGTAGATCTGCTGAAGCTTCTTCCAGGATGGATATTCTGTAAAGATAGAATTCTTGAACGGCTTCCTCAGGACACCGGGAAACAATAGACCCTACCTGAAGCAAGCTTGCCGCTCATGATGGATTAGAGGTTGGATGATGAAGGTGAAAGAGAATCAGTTGTGGGTAAGTACTCGGAGTTATGACTAAATTGACAGGTCCCGGTCCGCGAAGGCCGCCCTCCTGCAACACGGTCACGACGCACGTGCACGCGTTCTTGTTCTTCTACGGTCAGCATGAAAGGTATCAGACGAGTATAGCGTTTCTCGACGCTCAGAGAACGCATTCCCAACGAGGTGCACCTTATTGTCGACTCAGCACGCAGTGACTTCGATGTTGCAGTGACTACACTGTCTTCATGGTTTGAGCTACGGCATGACTTGTATGCCCAGTTTCACCTGCGCTTCCCGAACTCGCAAGCAGAGATGTAGCAAATCAGACTGCCAGCTGGTTTTCACATTTTGCTACGGGAAAGGTCAAATATGTCTGTTCCAGCTCACGCGTCCGGGCGAGAACGCATTCTGGAGTGAGATAAATCTCGTGCTCGTCGCGCCACTAACATGGTTCAGCAGGAATTGAAAATTTCCCATGCACCAATAAGACCGAAGAAATTTCAGACGAAACGAGCCCTCGGCTCGGTTGGTCGCCCTACGGATCAGTCTGCAGAATCCTCAGTCATCATCACCCTTCGGACATCGTGATAACTCTTCCGAGGGCCGTTCAACCGCTCTCCGAACTTCGAATCGGGCACCGGGACGACCCTGATATCGTTTCCGTGCCTTTATCTTGCTTCCCTCGGCAATATGTTATTGCGTTGTGGTTTCCGGGTTCTGCTACCTGAGCCGCTATGACTATCGCCAGGAAGATAATCAGCCTTGTCGAAACTCCCGGATCTGAAGGTTTTCGTGGACGACACCAATGGAGTAATGAAGGTGAGTCTCTCGTTCTACGTTTTCTTTGCTTTTTACTAGTTTAACGCATACTTGGATATAGATCTTGATCCTACATCTGAGACAGAGGTGACTTGCCTTTTACCAAGCCAAGTTCCGATGCTGAACGGTTTCTCAATTTCTAGAGGACCTGGCGGTGGTATGATTATGTCTCCCTATGGTGGGGTAGCTCCTTTAACGCGAACGGGTGAGTAAGAGATTCACTACCCTTGATCCTTTACTTACACGTTCATTTCGTAGTTGGGCCTCTGGATCCTCTCTTATCTCACTTGGTTTGAGTTTTGAGCATGCAATAGGCGTAGCCGCCATCGGTTCAGCGATTAGTTCCACCGTAAATGCTCTCACATCATGCCAATCCTTTCTTTCTGATAAATCATGTAGGCGATTGTCTTTGCCTCTCACCCCGGTTCAGTATTTCACCTGGGGTACCCAGTCTACATCCGGTCTTCAATGGGCGTCTACGCCGGATATTTCTTCGTGGCCCTTCGCTCCCTCATTGCCGCCATCTGTAAGTTATAGGTTACCCATTCCCATTCCCATTTGACGCTCCGCGTGTTGGAAGATTACGGGATCCAATCGTACTATGCCGGTTGTCTACTTAGCATCTGCTTTAGGTGCATCTTCGGATACAAGTGGACAACCAAGATGAACCCGTTCCTCGAGTCGGCTAACATCACGGTTCAAGCATTTACGGCCTTTATGATTTACTACATGATTACGGTTCCTTTACTGTTCGTCCATCCCCGCGCGATTAAATTGGCGTTTGAAATCAAAGCTTTTGCCTTACCTCCTTGTGCCATTGGACTCTGCGCCTGGTCAATGTGAGTTCATATACAGCGACCTTGTGTTATTCTGCTCTGACTATCTCTGTTAGCTATACCGCAGGTGGACTATCGAAATTTACTCTGGCAACAGATACCCAAGTTTCCGGGGACTCGTGCGTAGTGTTTCTTCTCATCTTATTGATCACAGACCGGTTGTTTCTGCTCCTCAGGGTGGGATGGGCTTGGATGCAGGGCATTAATGTAGTTATGAGCGGAATTTCCCCGGTGTGTGCATCCTTGGGATTGCAGGCGTGCTCAACATGTGACATACCATGCAGATGCTCATTTCCCAACCGGATCTCACACGGTATGCGAGAGCCCCTTTCGATGCAAGCTATCCCCAGGCGATAGCCGCCTTCTTTGTCAAAGTTTTAATATACTTCGTGAGTAACGAAGCATATGGTTAGTGTTTGGCGTGTAACATCTCTTGGATAGCTATCTATTGGTACTACCTCCGCGATCCAAGCCTTATACGGTGTAGGGGTTCTTCTCGACTTCTTGTGTCCCTTTCATTCAAAATTTTCTAGGGTGAACCTACGTGGAATCTGTGGGACCAGGTCCGTGATTCAAGATTAAGTGTTGCCACGAACCAAATATTGTTCAGCTCGACTTGATTCTTGACCATAACTGGAACGCTAGCGCACGCACTCTGTGCTTCCTCGTGGCTATAACTTTCGTTGGAGGCACTGCTCTCACTAACGTAAGAGCCGTTCGTGAAAGATATCTCTAAGCCGCTAACAGGATGGTTTACAGATTAGCGCCAATTCCATTCCTTTCGGTGCCGACATCACTGGGATCTTTCCACGCTGGTTCAACATCCGACGAGGGCAGGTTCTTTGCGCGATTTTAGGTTTGGCGATCACCCCATGGAACTTCCTAACAAATGCGGCCCAGTTCTTGACGTTCCTTGGAAGCTATGTGAGCGCTTCATCGTTTATGCTACCCGGAGAGACCAGTAACTTGGATTGGAAACAGAATATCTTCATGGGTTCTTTAATGGGCGTCATGTGGTGCGACTACTTTGTTGTTAGGAGGGAGAACTTTCATGTTCCTTCCTTGTACACCTCAGACCGTTCCGCACCGTATTGGTATGGATTCTTTGGTATCAACTGGCGTGGGATTTTTGCCTGGGTATGCGGGGCCTTTATTCCGTTCCCGGGATTAATTGGAAGCTACAACGAAAACTTGGTACCGTTTCTGTGTCCTTCGCGTTTGATGACCCTTACGTTGTCACAGGTCAATATCAGTGTCATCAGGATGTTCAATAACGGGTGGATCATCTCCGTGGCGATTAGCATGACAGTTTACTGGGCCGCTTCTATTCTGTGAGTTCTGAGAACATTCCATTCGGTCACAGTACCCATACTTTGCCTGTTAGATTCCCAGTACCCATCTACCCTCCAGATTACGCCCACATTCCGGTCACGAGGGGTTATCTGGGGAGACAAAATCCCTCTGGAGTATTCCCCGACGAAACGTGGACTCCGCCATACGCCAGAGAAATGTTAAACCGCCAGATAGCTGATGTCGATAAGTTATCGGAGGTCCATAGAGACGACAGGGGTTTGGAGAAAAATTGTGAGATTGCGACGACCAAGGCTATCCTCGACTACTCACGAGAAGATGCGCCTGTGTAGAGATACTGGTTCATTGTATGCTTCGTCGTATTTTACACATCCTTTGTTATGTACTGCTTGCTATCCTACATATGCGAAAACACGAAAACAATTATCTAGAGATATGACAATAAATATTGTAAACAGAAATATGCGCAACGTATGGGATGGAGGATCTTACACCGGTGTTAGAACACACCATCGAGACATCTTTGTACATATCGCGAGCGACCCGCATATTTTGGCTGTCCAAGGAACGTGAAATATTCTAATCCTCTTCAAGCCATGCCTTCAAGGACTGCACTAATCGCTTAGCGCTGACTTCGAGAGGTTCATCCCTGGTTCTGGTAATTTCGGCAAGCGTCTTCTTTCGCAGAACACTAGCATTCATGCTCATGCTCAAGGACCCATATGTACTCCCTCCATAGGGAGAGGATGAAGAAGGCGAAGGCAAGGTTTCGGGTGGAGGGGTGTACACAAGAGCTACACTTCTTGGTGAGAAAGAGATGGTCAGGGTGGAAAATGGAATGGGTTCTATGGAGGGTCTCCGGGTTGGAACAGGAGGCGACGGAGGCGTGATAGGTTTCTTGGGGCGTCCGAAAGAGAACAAGTTAAATGATGATTTCTTCCGCTTTGGTTCAGACAGCATTGGAAAGGATGGCATCGATGACGAAGAAGGGGAGGTTGGCTCGGTATCATAGTGTTTTTTGATTGACGAAGTCGAGTTGTGAGGAGAATCGAGCGTCGATGTCGATGTCATGGCTGACGGGGACGAAACGACCGATAGGCCACTGTTAGTTGAACGATGGCCTTTGAAGCGCGGACGGTCCAGGATCACGACGCCAATTCTACATCCTTGTTCTGCTATCAGATCCTCCAGACGGCTCTTTGGTTGTACAAGGTCGAAAAGATCCCTGTAGGCCTCTTCACGAGGTAAATGAAGGTCTGACGTGTCTAAGAGGCGATCTTCATGTGCCAGCAGAGAAATGAAGCGGTCGAGGGTCGCTAGTTCACGATGGTGAGTGAATACGGGAGAAGTGGATGTCTGTGTCTCGGAGGGTGAAGAGGTAGGGAATGGATCTGAGGTATATGGCGCTCGTACGAGACGGTCGTATGCTGGGAGATATGTCGACCTCAGTATATGCATACAAGCTGACGGTTGACATTAGATACTGTGCAATGGCGTAGACAGTGATACATACCAATGTATAGCGCTCTATTCACCAGTCTTAGCGAGGTTTCCAACCAGTGCAGATTCTCTCGCTGTCTGACGACCTTGGAGTCGCCGTCGTGCTCGCCATCCTCGAGAGGGAATGTACAGTAGACGATCTGAAGCAAAAGATGGGATGGAAGGGACGAGAAAGTCAAGTTTGACCGGCGGCGGGGCGGATTGCTGGATCCTGCAACGGCCTGGACATAAGGAGGCGGCGGTGCAAGAATGCATTTCTCGTCCAGTATCATCTGAATGGAAAGACAGACGACAGAAAAGCAAAAGAACTTTTGCTACGCAGTCCTGTGTAGGAGCAGCAAAGTTATATGTTCTCTGGTGCTGCGGACAAATGACGCGATGTCAAATCGAATAAGTGAAACGCTGCGCAGACCGGCGGCAGTATAATCTAGGTAAGCAAATCCCTTAAGGACTGCGCTTGGACCTGAACTGCGTTGATTCTTATCAACAGTACATGCATACATGGACAGAAATTATATCTGAGTTTTAGCTCTCAACCGTCCCCAACTCTGAATATGCTTCAGCCTTCTAACATTCGTCTGCTTCATCTCGATAGGCAAATTCTCTTTGTCACGAATTGTCGCCTTCTTAGCAGCTGGTTGTTTCGTCATTGGAACCGGTATAGAAGACGCTTTCGGCTTTGGTTCGACAGTGGGCATCATCTGGCCAATCGGAGCAAATCTCTTCAGAACTGGTAATCTTGATCTTTTTGGAGGAGGCGGTTTACTCGGAGGCGTAGAAAGGAGCGCTTCAATTAGAGTTAGACCGGGAGACGACGGAGGAGGAGAGAATGTAGGTATAGGGGATTGAGGAGGTGATACAGTAAAGACCTCAGGGAAAATCTCAACAGCGCCGCATCCCGGAGTTGCTCTTACTGATTCCTGAGAAGGGTGAGACGTGATTGTAGGAGGTCGATGGGAGGGATGGGAGTCATTCGCCAGACTTTCCAAGCTGGATTCGCTATTCATTGAAGAGCAAATCCGTTCGAGAGATTGAAGCGCATGATCGATAGATATGTAGCCGCTACTGCTTTGAAGGGGAGCAGGTGCATATCGTGAAGGGATGGGAGGTAGAATGGACATCTGAGCAGCAGACAAGTCGGGGTTAGAAACATCTTGAGGTCCTCCGAAGGCATTTCCAGATGGATGAACTGACGAATATAGCTCCTCAGAGTGAAGGGATGATGGACGTTCTTCAAGCTTGCACAGATCTGAGCGAAAGGAATGGCAGGAAGATGGCAGCACGGTGCAAAGCGAGGATGACGAGACGACCTCAGATGAAGACACAGAAAGTCTATGATCGTTTGTTTCTGTTGCAAAGGAATCTTCATCCTTGATCCTTTTTAAGAAATCATCGACTTGGGAGCCTCGCACTCTGAAGCCGGATGCAAGGCTCTGAGGGCGTTTCGAAGGTGTAGGACAGGTTACATTTGTGTTCCGGTCACCTTTCTGTGCAGTCTTTTGCCAGAAATCTGCAAACATCTGCGATTCTTTTCTCTGTTTCCGAGCAGCAAGAAGTTCTTGAATGGCGTCAGGATATTCGGGATAGGGAACAGGTCCAATGACTCGGGAGATGATTTCGTTCCAGTACGAGCCTCGCCTGGAGCTAGCATGCTTGACCAGATCGACCAGAACTTCTGAAGGATCCTCAGAGAGACCACTCTGCCAAGGTTCTACCTTCTCCGCTCGGATACGTTCGTAGTACTTCAGTTCTGATAGTAGTACCAGAAACCTGCGCAGCTGTTCCGTCTTTGACTCTTGGGCCTCGACTGCCGCAAAGAGCGTTTCTCGCGCGCCTGCCACCCAGCCCCGCCTTTTGTTCAATATCGTCTTTTGGACCTTGAGTGCCTGGACGCGATCCTCCAACACACGTAGACGTTCAACTGCAATACGAAGCCTCGTCTCTGAAGGGGACCTGGAGATTACGCCGCCATTGCCGTCAGAAGGATAGAATGACATAGTTGGGTAGTTGAATGTGTGCGATAGGCAAGGTTTGTCTATCCTCATGTCCGTTGAGGACGCAATGTTGTCACAGGTCACGTGTGACATTGTACGTCACACGGGTGTATCCGGGCGCAATCGTCGAAATTGAGCTCTGCTTGAAAACGATTTCTAAAGCTCTTGTCTCGAACTCTCATCTCGGAACTTCTGGACCCACAATCCAGCAGCATTTCCTCGCTTTTATCCCTTTTTTCCGCTGAAAAACGGCTGGACAGGGGACCGGAATCAGTCGTCGCCTTCCACGCACTTTCCAACAATCTGCTTCATGCAGCATAAAAGCGAGATGAGGCGTCCTGAGGTGTGGAGGCAGGGAGACCTTCCTCGAGGAGGATCATCCGAACACGTTCAGTCAGATTACTCCATCAGTGGACAAACAAAGCAAGTGACGTTGCCAAACAAAAACAAAGGTCTGCCTTACTCTCTCAATTTCTTCATCGTCGTGCGCGACGGCGCCCACAGCGCCGCCTAATTGTTTCTTCACCTTTCATTCTAATACGTCGACGGTCATAGCTTCCAAGCTACGCCAACGACGTGTTTATGCCCCGACGTTCACCCGCGGATCAGCACCCCTCACAACATACCCCGCCGTTGCCGCAAAAAGTCACGTTAAGGATACGCCCAATGGTTGTCCAGCTTCGACGGTCTTCAAGACATTCTCGTGGATCCGAAAGCGCTCCTTCGGGTTCAGAATACCATGATGGCGGCAGCGACAAATCCTCCGACGACCAACTCTCGGGACCGCCAGCCGACGTCGAAGAACCGCCTCCCCCAGAGTTGACAAAGACGCGTAGCGGTCGAACAGTTGCAAAGCATTCATATGCCGAAAGTGATGATGACCCTGTCTTCGGCGGCGAGGCTACTTCTGCGGAGCAACTCTTCAACGACGTAACTGTCGGAGGGGATGATGGTGACGATGAAGAAGAGGAACATGGCCCGCGCCGGACCGGTCGGAAAACACGCAATCTTAGAGGTTTCGTCGTCGAGGACGAAGAAGACAAGGAAAAGCTTGGTCCTAAGACTAGGTTGCGGTCCCGCAAAGAGCCCCCACGCCCCACCCAGGCTGAATTACGCTCAGTGCGAGCAGCTAAACGGGCTACGCGCAGTCGTAATCACGATGCCGACTACGAAGCTCACACGTCGTCTGGTGCGTCCGCTTCTGCTGACGGGTCGATCGGAGACGCACCTGGCACATCGTCGGATCTGGAGCCTCCAGAGACCCATGACGCTGAAGATGCCGACGGGGATCAAGATATGGATGAAGGAGATGACGGAAAACCCTATTCTCTACGCCAGCGACAAAGGATCAATTACGCTATCCCTCCCCCGCTAGAGGAAATGTCCAGACCCCCTCTGAAACCGGCCAAAAGTCACGGAGGACGAAACGGTTATGGAGGAGGGCGGAAGCCGAAGGGGTTGGGCTGGAGTGCAAGTGGGGCAGAGCTTTCGAAGTGGATGGGCATGGGCGGCGCGGGTGATGACTCCGACTCTGATGCACCTACAAGGACTCCTCGTAAGCGCTTTGGGATGGGTGCATTTGAAGGGGGTGTCGGCACAGGTGGCAATGGTTTAATACCGCCCGACTTCGCGGCGGCTGGCACACCATCAAATTTGGGGAAAATCACCGATGCTGGTGCGTTCTTTCTTGAATCTGCTGACTGGACTTTTGTACTCATGTCAACATCCTCCCAGCTCTTGCTGACGCAGATCCTTTGGGTGTCAATGTGAATGTAACCTTTGACGAAGTCGGTGGGCTAGATGATCGTGGGTGGTAATACCTCTGCTCCATTACTGTTGCTAATTTCCTCTAGACATTCACTCCCTGAAGGAAATGACTCTTCTGCCTTTACTTTATCCTGAAGTTTTCCAACGATTCAACGTCACTCCTCCTCGAGGAGTTCTATTTCATGGGCCCCCAGGCACAGGAAAGACTCTTCTTGCTCGAGCTCTTGCTGCGAGCTGTCGTTCGAACGGCAAACAAATATGTGATTTGATCTCTTTTCAATACGGATCCCAATCTGACCCTTTCCTCCAGCTTTTTTTATGCGAAAGGGCGCTGATGCCCTTTCCAAATGGGTTGGTGAAGCTGAACGACAACTTCGACTTTTATTTGAAGAAGCTCGTGCTTGTCAACCTTCTATAATATTCTTCGATGAGATAGATGGCTTAGCACCAGTTCGGTCGTCGAAACAGGACCAGATCCATGCCTCAATAGTCTCCACGTTGTTAGCGCTCATGGATGGTATGGATGGACGAGGCCAGGTTATCGTTATCGGAGCAACGAATCGACCGGACGCTATTGATCCTGCTCTCAGACGACCTGGACGTTTTGACAGAGAATTTTATTTCCCGTTACCCAAGATCGATGCACGAGAAAAGATTTTAAGTATCATGACAAAAGACTGGGAAGGGTGGTCTGGAGAGGACGGTTCGGAGAAGATCAAGGGTCTGGCCAAAATGACTAAAGGTTATGGCGGTGCAGATTTAAGGGTAGGTGTCTACGCTACCAGCTTTTACTTGAACTGACTGAAATCTGCAGGCGTTATGTACGGAAGCCGCTTTGAATGCTGTACAGCGCAAATATCCGCAGATCTACAAGTCCAACGATCGGCTTCTGCTTAAACCCGAAACCATTGGAGTGGGTTTGAGGGACTTCATGATTTCAATCAAGAGTACGTCTTTTTCTGACCGTTCTGCATAGCACATCATTGAACTTATTCTTCAGAAATGATCCCGTCATCTGCTCGATCGTCGTCTTCCTCTGCCACACCATTACCGCCGCAATTCGAACCTTTGCTCTCCGAGACATTTGAGAAAGCCAAAGCCGTACTTGAACGTGTGCTGCCTGTAGAAAAGAAGCTTTCCGCTTTAGAGGAAGCGGAATATGATGATGACGACGAAGCTGGTGCTTTGGAACGTGAATTGCTGTCACAATGTATGCTCTTTCCAGCTCCTTCACTCATTTGAATTGACCCAATCTCAGCTATGGCCACTTTACGAATACATCGGCCGAGAATGTTACTGTATGGACCGCCGGGAATGGGCCAAGGGTACATTGGCGCAGCCATTTTACACCATTTGGAAGGCTATCATGTCCAGAGCCTTGAATTGGGCACCCTTATGGGTGATTCTACAAGAGTACGTAGTCGTACTGCTCTCATTTATCATCAACTGATCATGAGCAGACTGTCGAAGCCGCCATCGTTCAATTATTCGTGGAAGCGAAACGGCACCAGCCCTCTGTCATTTATATACCCTCCCTCGTGGGCTGGTGTGCAGCTGTGTCCGAAACGTCTCGATCTACCGTTCGCGCCATGCTTGATACACTGGCACCTACAGATCCTGTTCTTCTGTTGGCCATCATCGACGGTCGGTTCATGGACCTCCCCCGTGACGTCAGGTCGTGGTTCGGTCCTACTAAAGATAACCGAGTCGAATTGCTTGTCCCCACTGCCATACAAAGAGAACAATTTTTCGACGGCCTCATTAAGGACATCCGTCGGCCTCCTAACATGTTTGCGGATGGTATCAAAAGGAAAAAGCGTGTTCTTGAGGAACTGCCCTTAGCACCACCCCCCGAACCTCGTCAACCTACAGAAGCTGAAATTGCAATGCAAATTGAGAGTGATCGTCGCGTCATAACAGCATTGAAGAGTCGGCTCGGGCCTATCCTGAACGAGTTGAAGCGGAAGTTTAAGCGATTTACTAAACGAGCTACTGTAAGTCAGTTCCCTTTCCTTTCGGAGGTATATGCTTATCTATGTTTATCAAGGACGAATATCCAATCGAAATGTTCAACAATGCATACTCAGAGCCGGCGGTTAATGAAACCATCCCAGCGGCAATTGACGGTCAGGCGGAACCAAATGGCGTCATCCGAATTAATATGGAGGAACAACCACCGCAGCCTCTTGTGAACGGACATGTTAATGGCATTGTTCCAGGATCGCCTGTCCCTGAGCAGGTCGAGCAGGTTGCTCCACGACCCCAATTGTACGACATTGATCTGGACAGGATGCACATTGAAGTCTATAACGATCGTTATCTCACTCCTCAAGACTTCCTGGACGATATTGGAAAAATCGTTCATAATGCCGCAGTCTGTTGTTTTACCAAGGATGACCATGAGCGTCTATTAAAGGCACAGGCACTCTTCACCTCAGCAGAGGTCATATTCCAGGAATTTGATCCTCACATTCGTGCTGAGTGTGAACGGATGGCGCCAAGGGAGAGAAAGCGGCGTGAGGAGCATAGGAAAAACAAACAGAAGGAGAAAGGCAAAGCGGCAGAGGCTGCCGTCGTCGCTGCTCGTAGAAGTGCTCGAAATAATGGCCAACAACCGGAGCTTGCGCTTACCGATCCTGTGAGGTTGGAACGTAGCTTGAAGCGGCAGAGGACGGATGAACAAGCGATCGACTCGAATGGGTCAGAAGAAGAGAACGGGGAGGGACGTGATGCTAAACGGACAAAGTTGCTTGATGGTGATGCCGACGGTGACGCGGACGCGGACGGCGATCCAGACGATACTGATCCTCTTAATCTTGTTGCTTCACCTCGAGTGCGATTTGAGGTAGCCTCATTCGATCAGCCGATGCAGCCTATTTCGATGCAGCCTCTATACCCTCAGGTCCCGAATGGTCAGCCGACTTTCAATCAACAAGGCACAGCTTCACCTTACTCTCAGCCATCTATGTTTCCAGTTCCTGGACCTGCAACACATCAAGACTTGCCTTTATATATGCCTGAGCGGCCGATGCCTTCGTATCAGCAGGCTATGCCTTCAATGGCTTCGCCATATCCTAATGGACAATCTATGTATGGGACTGGGCAGCCGATGCCACCATACATGAATCAGCAGCCGATGCCCTCGTACGAGAATCAGCACTCGATGCCCTCTTTCTCTAATATGCCCTCATATTCTCATGCTCAGCCCATCCCTGCATATACGAACGCACAACCTGAAGCCATGGCGGTCGATCCTGTCACTACTCGACCGTCGAACTTTAATTCAATTCTTAATCCTGCTCCTGTTCCTAGCGTTATGGAACAATGGGAACCTACGTCTCCTGTCGCCAGGCCTCCAACGATCCCTCCGGCCCCCATTCACGACCCCGAGAACCCTTTCGCACCCGAGGTCGACTCATCAGCGAAAGATCCTTTGACAGCGCCGAAAAGCGTCTCTCCTGTACCCGAGAAAGAACCATCGCCAATCCCTATCGAAAGAACACCTACTCCGCTACCCGAGTTCCATGTCGACGAAGGACTTGTATCACAATTGCAAGGCAGTCTGCGCGGGAATACCTCTTCACTTACTGTGGAGCAGCTTGAGCAGCTCCGTGCTACGTGTCTAGGATGTGTCTGGCGCCATCGTTCTGCATGGGACAGAGATGATCTTGTCAGGGAACTGCAAGATATAGTTAGCGATTTCGTGGAAGAGGTCGGACAGGATGATGCAGAGTTGGACGAGATGACATAGGTGCATTTTTCGGGCTTGTAGACATCATTTATTATCTTGTATTGCTGACATGTCTGTATCATTTGTATCATCGATATTCCTCACTTATAATCTGTCTAATAAAAAGTGCTCGACTCTGAGATAACTTGATTATTTGCGAGAGTCGTCGGAGGTGTTACTGAATTTCGCCATCACAAGTTCAAATTTGACGTTCTTCCCTTTCGAACACCATGCTCGCAGCGGCTACTTCGTTCTTTGCTCGCACTGCGATTTCTCAGTCGTACAACTTTGGCGACCCCTCAACGACAGGAAGCAGATCGTCCACGCCTGGCCCAGCTTCCACCTCGAATTCACCTCAAACTGCGCCTGTCTCACTGCATATCGGACTATGGAAGGTCCAGAGTGCCTACCACCGAGTCACTAACAAACGGGTAGCGGTATGGAGTTTCGATAAACGTGGGCCTGATACGGAGAGGCTGGGTCCGCTGTCGAAGGAGAGGATATTGGAAGTGCTGAAAGCAGAGGTGCGTTTGCTCCTTCGTGTTCATGCCACGACTATCAATTCAAAAAATTAAAGGCTTCAGCACTCGGTCGGCTGCGACATCCATCCATCCTCGGTTAGCCAGATACAAATTATTTAATTATTGACCGAGAGAGCTGACTGAACGTGTCAAGAAATGGTCGAACCTCTTGAAGAAACACGAAGCGAGCTCATTTTTGCGACAGAACCTATTCTCTCGTCGCTGGATATGTCGATTCCTGGTAGCTCACGATTCCGGCCTTGGGTGGAGCTTGACGAGGTCGAGGTGCGATTTGTTCTGGTTCGCGATATACACTGGATTTCCTCACTCTTCTTCCAGATTCAAAAGGGCATCTTGCAGATCTGCAAAGGCCTTTCCTTCCTTCACACGTCGGCGCAGCTAATACACTCAAATATATGCCCAGAGAGCATTATCATCAATAGCGCAGTACGTGTCGAATACGGTCTACGCTCGAGATACTGACGTTCTTGCGAATTCAAGGGTGATTGGAAGATATCCGGTTTAGGCCTCACTATTCCGCTCCTCCAACCGAATGGTTCTCCAACGCGATGGGAGTTCCCGACGTTCGATGGACGTGTACCGCCGTACATACAGCGTTCTTTTGATTATATGGGTGAGCTGCGCGTCTTCTCTATTCACCACAAATTAAACCATGGTCTATGCAGCTCCGGAGTATGCTTTAGATGAAGTCCTGATAACTTCATCCGACATGTTCTCTCTCGGCGTTGTTCTCTACGCGGTACATTGTAAAGGACAGACGCCATTTCAAACACATGGCAGTCTAGCAGGGTTAAGAGAGAATGCTGGACGAGCCCTTCCGGGTATGGAGAGACTTGATGCTGACTTACAAGGTCAGTCATTTTGGCGGTTCCCATCTTCCCGTTGTCTAATGGATCATTCAAGGTCTTCTTCGCTCCTTAATAACGCGTCACTCGAATAATAGACCGACTCCGACAACGCTTCCTTCTCATCCGTTTTTCTCGTCTCTACCAATATCGACTCTAAATTTCCTGGATCGATCTAATTTTACAGCAAAGACTAGGGAGGAAAAGGTCGGGTTCATGAAGGGTCTGACAAGTGTTCTGGACAAGTTTTCAGAAGGCCTCAGGACGAGAAAGATACTGCCTTCTCTTCTCGAAGAGGTGCATTCATTGTCCGTCGACATTTTGTTCTTGCTAAGTCTACTATAGATGAAAGACACGCATCTACTACCGTATATCCTTCCGAATGTTTTTGTTATAGCGACCGTGCTCTCAGCTCCTCAGTTTGCTTCCATGGTCCTGCCGAGTCTGAAACCGTTGTTCGCCGTCAAGGAGCCTCCGCAGAACATGCTTACTTTACTGGACAATCTCTCCATGCTGCAAAGCAAGACTGACAAGTCTGTCTTTCGAGGAGGTACGTCCATGTACGGACAAGATCGCCTATGAATCGTGCTGATCGCTACCTAGAGGTTCTGCCATTGGTGTATAATGCTCTAGAGTCAGAGCATGCTGTCGTGAGCTCCTTTCCATCTCGCAAAGGCTCCAGACGTGTCTGACTAGGTCTTGTGGTGAGGTTCAAGAACGTGCTCTGAAAATAATCCCGGATTTGTGCGACACCATTGACTACGCCGAGGTACAAGGTGTAATGTTTCCAAGAGTCGCTGTAAGACAACGTTTATTGCTTCAACAGGATATCTCTCTAACTGACGCCCACCTGTATAGCTTGTCTTCACTAAGACGAGGATACTCACCGTAAAAGTTGCTACTTTGGAGACCTTCTTGGCAATGGTGAAGACACTAGATCAGGTTAGTGGTTTCGCATCCCTTTTCACACAACTGCTGAGCGCCGAACATCTAGACAAGTCTGACCCAGAAACTCGTTCCTTTGTTATCAAAAATTCGTACCAAAGAGCCCGCCGTGATGGTAAATGGTTATCAGACTCGTGCGAATTGAAAATTCATACCACAGTAGACAGCAACCTTGGCAGTTCAAGAAGCAATGGGCTTCAAAGTCGACAGAGAAGCTGTTGCTACTCTGGTGCTTCCTCAGCTTTGGGCAATGTCCATGGGTCCACGTAAGTCCTAATGAATGCTCGACGGCCCCAGATTTTACTTAATGTGTACGATAGTTCTGAATGTAGAACAGTTCCAACGTTTCATGGACGTCATCAAGAGATTAGGTGATCGAGTGGAGAAGGAGCACAATCAATTCCTTCGTGATTCACAGAGACTGGAAGATCGATCGGGTGTAGCCGTCAATGGAAATGGTACCAGCACTCATAGCTTCGCCGGTGCTGTCGACTTTGAAAGCCTCGTAGGAGGAGGAGCCGGCGCGGCTGCTCCTGCTAGTACAAGTATAAGTACACCGCAGAAACGGAGCAACACCTCTTGGGATGACGATGTATGGGGCAGTATTTTCAGTGATGAAGTAAGCCTGGTTCTCTCTCCTTCCATTCTGATTTTAACGTGTCCAAATTTACCAAGGCGTCAGGAGCACACAGTCCTGCCCTAAACTCACCAGCTGCACTACCCCTGCAACCTACTTCGCCCTCCTCACCTAGGACCACACAAGGAAGTCGGCTGGGTGCCAAACCAATTCCAGCGGCTTCTTTCAGCTCCGCACCCTTCCCTTCACCGCCGTCTAATCGGTCCTTCTCAAGTCCTCTGCAGCCCACGAACACAGGCAGTTTTCTACCGCCGCCACCGCAACCTCAAAAGCCAAATTACAATATCTCGCTTTCTACATCCACAATGTCTCCTATGCGACCCAACAACACTGGTGGCTTTTCACCTCCAGCACAGCCGCAGAAACCCAATTATAACATCTCATTTTCTACTCCAGCTCCGACGATGAGCACATTGCAGAATCCCATTCTTCCCGCTTCTTCACCACCACCATCGCTGTTCCCTACACAAACCCCAGGGATGTCAGCCCCACTGAACCCTACAATGACCATGGGTGGCATACTTGCCCCCTCCAAACCCGCCCAACAACCCTGGAGTACCTCAAACTCCAAGTCGAACACTGACTGGGGTGATTTTGATCCATTAGCGTAGTCGTATCAGTATCATCATGTTCGTTAATTTATTTATACAGGATTATTTTAGGTCTCTTTCTATCTCGATGTCTCCCAATTTACGAACGTGAGATGCAGAAACTATGGTGTCTGTTCCTCCCTCAAACGTGTCGTGTTCGTCTGGAATACTGGCAGGGTCGACCTCATAGCCGAGCAAAGCTTTCAGGATGACCAGGGCACCGGACTTCGAACAGACTTTGTTGCCTTCTGTGCACGAGGGGCTTTGTACACCTGGAAACTGTTGCTTAGGATGCACAAGGATCGAAGCCAGATTGCTTACATTTGTTACAGCCCTTGAGATCTTCGCAGTCGCAATTGACAACTGCCTCATATGCTTTATGCAGTATGTCATAAACTGCGACTCATGTCAGCTTCAAGGCCCCAATTTTAGCGTGAACCATACCGTTGTCGAATGCCTTTGCCGTCACACCACTGCCCATTCCTTGTCCGACATGATCACAGAATATGAGCCTAATGAAGAAAAGCTTAGACCGCAGGTCATGAGGTAAAGTAAGGGTGCATTCTACCGAGCAGGTCGCTTGCGTTGTGATTCCTTCTGGATCTTGATCTCCTTCTCCTCGGCTTTGCATTCGGTTCTGACATCTTGAGCTAACGCAAACTTATTGAGAAATGCGTGCTCGGCTGCGTGAATAGCTGCCGCAGGTTTTATCCCTTTGTTGTTCAACCAGCCCGGAATCTGTTTTGGTACATCGAGCCACATTCCTACTGTCTCTTGCTCCCAAGGATCATTGTCCAGATCAACGACGTCTTTTATCTTGCGGTCCCTATGAAAATATTTTAGCCCCTCGTAGGAACAACAGAGATGAGCAGGAGAGAACTTGAGCACAAAATATCCTGCCGGTTTCAGAAACATAAGCCATGTTGGACGGCTACAGATGACATGGCGTCCTCACCAAAGACCAAGGTCCTGACCTCGACGTTTCCGTAATATGCAAGTTCCGAAGAACCTTTGATCTCGCGAATGCGAAGCGTCTGCGCCGCGTTCACGTCACTTTGCAGTTTAGACATGAAGCTTAAAATACTAGAACGGTATCGCTCACGTATAATCTCTGAAAAGCCTTATGAGAAAAGAAAAAGAATTGAAATAGTGTGTACACACCTAGGTGACGTTATGTAGTCGACATCTTTTTGAATTAATGTAGCAGTTTTTGCACTGTGGCGGAGTTCCTTGACCTGCTTTTTTTTAACCAGCGAATCATACAACAAAAAATGTTGCCCTAACAATATAAGTTGTTCCCTGGTGTATAAACTTGGAAGACAGTGTCAAATAGTGATTACAGAAGTAGAAGATAGAACACACGACACCACCATCATAGATTTCAAAGAGGACACGAGACATTTCCATCTCTTCGAGGATAATGTGTCTTTCTTGCGTAACATCAATGATTAGGTACTTGTCCTCTTGAACTCCACCTGATACCGGCGTAAACATACATGTAAGAGCCGTAAAGTTATAAGCACAACAACTTACGAAGCGCGATATGCTTAGATGGATAAGGGCGGAATTTGTGGTGGGTGTGGTACCTACGCATCATCAGAAGGGGGATCAGAAAGGGGATGTCATGTGTAGATCAGTTAGAGCTTCACCATCCCTCGTCGTCAGCAATGAGTCGTGTCTTGCAAACCTCGACCATTAGAGGACCAAAATAGACCTGGTCTTTCAACGATACCGGCATTTCATTTGCAGCACATTGCAAGTGGGCTATGATCAAACGTGCTATGGATTTCAATCCGGTTTTCCAAACTGATTACGCACCTTCTAAGGTCAACTTGCTATCCAAGTCGATGACCAAGTCGTCGGGACTCTTATCGAATAGATCTTCCGGGTGGTTGACATAGTACTGATCTATGGGCAGGCCTTCGGCCACAAGGATCGCCAGAGAGTCGCGGGACCTTCGACCTGCTCTTCCAGTTTGTTGCCTCTATGAAGGATCAATAAAATTCCTCAAGAAATAACTGTCTACTGACGAGACTTGATATGTTGAGCGGAAAGCCTAGCATAATTACGGCGTCAAGAGCACCGATGTCCACACCGAGTTCTAGTGCATTTGTGGCCACAATTCCAAGGAGTTGCCCGCTGAATGCATCACGCTCTATGTCCCGTCGATCCTAACAAAACAGGGTTAGCATTCAATAGGTCACAAAACAGGTCACAGCACTTCTGGTGAGTATCCTGGAAACTATCGGCGTAAGTGGAAAGAAGCCTGCGTAAAGAAAGAGGCACTCACCACCTCTGTAAGACTTCACTCTGTGCAAGATATCAGAGCGCCGACTCATTCCTAGCATAACACGAAGAGCTTTCATGACCTGGAATGACATCAGCTGAGGCTCTGTATGTTCGTTGTTTGGTTACTCTACCATTTCGCACGCCCTCCTGAACTAATGGGTTGTAGATCAAGACCAGAAGGAGAGAAATGAAGTCTCAGCTCACCTTGCAGAACAAGATTACGCGGATACCATGTTTCATCAAATGGATCATAAGTCTAACGGCCTCCGATAGAGAGCTGTCTCTTCCAAAACCGGGGGCAACAGGATCGATGGTTGACGGTTGCCAGACCACAAAGCTCTTTTCGCCCGTCGGGGCACCATCCTCTGTAATAACTTCAACATCACTTTTATCGAGGCCAAATATACGTTCCATGTGACTTCCTGGGTTTGATATTGTGGCACTACACGAAACGAAGCGAATTCTTCGATCTTTGACTCGTATCAGATACTGACTGGTTAAGACCGGACAAAAATGAACCCACTTCCTACTGCTGCACATATACGGCGAAATCTTCTCATAATATACGCGACATGACTGTAAGTTAGATCAGACCTGAAATCAAAGGGACCTCAGAGAAAGCTGTTGGAATGCTTACGTGCCGAATAGACCCATGTAGTAGTGTAGCTCATCCACAACGAAAAGCTACAAATCGACTGTGTCAAATGGAGGCCCAAGATTCGCATCTTGTGCGAACCTTAATATTTTTGAAGAATCTTCGCCAGCAATCTTCCTGGGGCAAGATAGACACATGGATCATGTCCTAGACCACACGAGATTAGAGCGCTTCTTTGAACGATCAATAAAAGATAACTTACGAAGTTAGTCAATATCACAGACGCGGTCTCTCTGATGCCTACACGTCGCTTAGTCAGGGTTGGTCAAAGAGTAATCGCATCAACTCACTTTTACGCTTGTCCTGAGGAGTATCTCCATCGTATGTTGAAACCTAAGGTATCATATAAGCGAGATAATTTCGAATTAGTGCTAAATTACTTTAACGTGCTGAAGACCGGGGCATGCGCATAGCAGCTGTTCCAAAGCTCCTCTTTGATCCTGAGCTAATGCCTACACACGGGTTTCTGAATAGCAGGTTCGAGCTTTATGTGAGCGCATACCTTGGTCGGATAGACGAATATGGCTGTGGCCTCAGGATCTTCTTCCAAAAATCGTAATAGCGGGACCTGATAGATAACACTTTTACCTGACGCGGTACTCGTGGACACAATGACATTTTTTCCGTGACCGATAGCATTGATGGCCGTTACTTGATGAGAGTAGAGACTGGTGATGTTTCGTGAATCTTTCAAGGCGAGTTGAATTGTGGACGATAAAGGCTCATCCAGCTCCAGATCTTTGGGCAAATAAGCGTCAGAAAGGAAAAGGAATGCAGACTGAATAAATAACCTGTGTGGCCATCCTTGGCTTGGAAAGTCCTCTGTGTAACAATTTGGTCCTTATACCAATGCTGCGACATGATGCCAGTAAGGACTTCTTGAACTGAAGGGCGGTCCTTTGGTTCCGGCACCGGAAAATATGGCTCAAGGTCGTCATCCCCTGCAGTCTGTTCAGGCATAACCGGAATGCATGCTTTGGCAGCCGTTTGAAGAAGAACAACAGCATCTTCCTCAGCTGAGACTGCCTGCAGAAGACTGAGTGAACCATTACATGTTGCTCTGACAGAATCAAGCTGATAACTCACTCTTCAACGGCTTGAATAAATCTGTTATTGCGCTTGTCTATCAACTTTTTAGTCAGGGTGGCGGAACGTGCAGAAGGGATAAAAAGGCTATCATGGGATGAATGTACCGTGAAAAAGTAGAAGGGACAGGACATTACCCTTGGTTATTTTTTGACCCCCCGTTCCAATTGTCCACGAATTCCAGACGCAAGACATGTCCTTCTGACTCTGCGGCACCCTGCGAAGATGGGCCTGGAAGGATAGTTGTATCCTCAGGAAGAGTAGGCACGTAAGAAAAAGTGATAATTTCAGGCAACAGGGCTCTATTACTCGGGTCAAGACGCTGCGACGCAAGTAAGTAAAATGCGCACTTGAGTTCCGCCACTTGGGCCAGCTCCAAAGGCCTGAATACAATTATATTCAGGGACCAACCGGAAACCGCTGGAAAAAAGCCTCACTGTTTGGTAATGTTCTCCACAGACTGACGGATTACAGGGAAAGACGTGGCAAGCTCTCTTCGTGATGATACAAACGCGAGGACGGTGTTGAGTGCCTGTAGCAGGCCAACACTTAGTGCCCGGCTCCGGGTGGCTCATCTGTCTTACCTTAAACACCTGTACGCACATATAGGTAGTTATTATGACTTTAAAACACCATTGCGTACCTTAAATAGCTGAAGTCGTGATAGACTATTAGCAGACACTCGCGTAGACGATGACAGTGACACACCAGTTTGAAATGATTGGGCCATTCAGTAAGATCAGGTTGTTTGCTGCCTTGAAAATTTGTGGATTTCTTGGGCTTCTTCGTTGGTCGGTTGGCGACCTTAGTAGAGGTCGACGGAACGGCTTCATGAAGAGCTTGAAGTCGAGTGCGTTTCTTGTCGGTCATTTTCCCTCTACTTTGGTTCTCTGCAGATCTATCGCATAGATAATGAACAGCAAGCAGTTCCTGGATATTTCAGCGCGCCGTTACGAAAGGAAGTCGTCGTTCCAGAGCAAGTTCCGGCATATAAAGTTTTTGCCGAATGTTGCCGAGAACGATCACCGTTCGGTTCGGCCTTCTTAAATACTTGCAACAGGTCAAGGTAAAATATTTTCCAGTAGGCATAATCCAAAGAAACAGGTTCTACAAAAAATAGACTCTACTACACTTAACATCCCGTATTCATGCACTTAGCGAGGCAGAAGGTAGAAGACTAGCTGATAGGTATTCATCCAGATCAAAGTCGGCGTATTGAGTGCTGAGTTCAGGACTCGAGTAAGACCTTAGGTTAAATAAAGCCATTAAAGGCGATCTAAAGGGAGGGGAGAGAGCACATACATATTCAATGCAACAGTGATACTACCAATGAGTCCATCTGTGATATCCTCGCCGACCCAGGTGATATCCATCTGTCCAGACATTCTCGTCAACAGCAGAGTTCAAGATTTAGACATCAAATACGAACCTCTGCATTGTAGCCCGTAGCTGACTCTATAAAAGGATGGTATTAGAAGGGAATCACAGCAACTTAGCAGTCATGCACGACAGTAAGAAAACGCACGGTAAGGATACCACATATCAGCTGGAAGGAGGATGTTAGGTCAAGCAAGTGGAAATATAATCGAGTAAGTACCGTCATTGGTAACAGCGTCAGCCCATGAAATAGAGTTCGCAGCATACTCTTCAAGGACGGCGACAGCTTCTAAAGTAGCATTATCGAAGAAAAATTGACCTGTACTAATGGAGAATCAAAAAAGTGCATGGTAACTCTAAAGAGGAAACCTACTGGACTGCACTTCCGGTGGCAATGAAAGTGCCATTTTCTGCAATTTCTCCTTCAGGGTACGCTTTTATGTGGAAATGTTGCGCGCGGCCCGAATCTTCATGAAGAGCATAAGCAAATGTCTGGAATCTAAAACGAATCGTTGCATACACCAGCCGGGGAAAATGGAATACATAGTCAAGTGGCCATCTTCGCTGAATCCCAAGTCAGCGGTTGAGTTGAACGGAGATGTAACTCTTTTCTTACTCGGTCTGCCACACACCGCGTAGGAAAGTACTGTTGTCACCGACAGCCGTGTTGAGGAAATCCATTGCGTCGTAAGAGTCTGCACCATCATAAGGGCCCAGACTCGCTGTTGCTGTTGCTGTTGCCGTCGACGGTCCAGGTGCACCACCACTCGGGGTTCCCCCGGAGGGTGCACCGCTGCCAATGCCAGACTGGGTTCCCCACGTTAGCATGCGCCGCTTGAGCTTACATCCTAACCACTCACACCAGTAGACGCGACATATCCGGCATAATAACCTGTCGCGTTCGCATGCCAAGCATCAACCCAGACTTGTACGGGATCACAAGTGTCGATGTCGATGAAATCCACCTATCATTTACACCATTTTAATTAGAATAGTTAAAGCTGTGAGGTGAGGAAACACGTACAGAGACTTCAAGAGGGACCCCGGGTTGGCCTTCAGTCATGTTCTGGCGTACGATTTCAGCCCTAACGTAAATAAACAAAAGGTGACGAGAAATTCGGGAAAACGTTAGCTCACAAGATATGGTACGGACCCTGTGTGACCTCGGGAGTGACGAAGCAAGTACTATCATTACTAGAGGTTTGCCTGGGACGAAAACACTGAGCATTGAGATTTTAGATAGAACATGATAAATACCTAGGAATGATGTCACTTCTCCGCCTAACACTCTCCGAGGCTTGAAGAGACCGCTTCGCACGGCGGGCAGCAAGAACAGAACCGCATCGTTTCTCGAGAGATGCTCGAGCTTCCAGATTGTCGCGTTTCCAGTTAACTGGAGCTGGTCCTGCATGGGCAGTGACAGAGGTCACAGCTGAGGCCGCAAGAAGCAGAACAGAGAGTGTGGAAACCATGGAGAAATGCAGACGTCGGCTGGTGACTAGTTCCAGCCATTCAATGTGTCTTTATATGACTATCGATGGGTTAGGCGTGTGGTTTTTCAGGCTGCCGGTTGGGCCGACAGGCTGTCCGAAGTTATTGCGATTCTTGCTTGGGGTGAAATTCTGTAAATACTTCCGAGATTTTTCAGAAAGATGGATCACTTACAGTTATTGCGTATCATTCATTTCAAGGGTTACGAAAGTCAGCACACGTCACCCAACGGTCTCGAGAAGCACGATTAGGCTCGATCTGACATGACTAGAAAGCAGCATTTTCTGTCAAACGCGCACAGGAAAGTATCTGTTCAAGGCGTCAAATCTGGTTTGGTTTCTGGTTTCCGGAGTCAGTAAATTATCGTATGGCTTCATATGGCCAAGGAGTAGTGAGGTAAATCCTATTTCACACAGCTGCTGCGCTTTTTCGATGGGTCGGCCCCATCCAATGAACGAGTACCCATTTGATTGTTGGGACCGTGGTGTCCATCCATTAACATGAACTTGAAGTCCGGTGTCGCTCGTGCGGCACTACCTGGTCATCAAGAAGAGCGATGTAAGACCATAGCAGGAGGTTTACGAATACCTTGACTTCACTTTCGAAGATGTAGACAAAAAGTGCCAAGATATTATGACTGCCATCATAGCATCAACATCATCATTTGTTGTTGTTAAAGAATAACTCTAAAACTCACCACCCTCTGACGAACAAAGGTCCGCTGCTATCATGAGGACAACGAAAATTTGTTGATATGACAGCTGAGTGTTGGAAGGGCCAGAAATAAGATCGTGTGGAAGGATTGAATCACATGGGCGCGAGTAGTCGGACGACGTCCGCCAAAGCGGAGGTTGCAATGTTAAGCGAAGGTGAAGACACGAACTAATGGTAGGAAGCCGCGTGGACGAATTTCGGTAAGTCCTCTGTTCATTAACTGAGTTCTATTGGCCGTGGAAGATTGACAAGCGGGAGCGATCCGCTGTTACACGACGTTCGAGTTTAAGCGTGATACGAAACTGGGAAGCATGCATAAATTCTTCCGAGTTGCTTTCCCTCATCAGCGAAATGGCTGATCAGAAGATTCGGATCCTTTGCGCCAACTACCGTGGTCTGCGTCAGAATATCCATGGAAACATGACTAACCACCGTGGCCAACCATATTCATGGCTTTACTCACATAGAGCCGTTCTTCCAGATATTGGATCCTATACACCATGTGGTGGCATAGTCGGATTTGGCTCCTGTATGTCACTGTGTACTTGAGTTCAATCAGGCAACACATTGTCCACTTGGTTTTGGGGAGCGTGTGATCGCAGGTGTAGGCCCCCAGGGTTGAAGTGGGAAGCATATAATTAACCCACCATCTTGAAGGAAACGCGTAGGATGCAGATTTGATCTTGGTTTTGAAAGCGTTCCCGAATCTGTTGCGATAGAAGCCACTTGAATTCTCAGGACAGGATTGAACGTGTCATGGGAGGAAGTTAAGTAGCTTACGAAAGGAATCATGCACCACGCATTATAACACATCCGGAGACAATTCTTACAACTTTTGTAGATGCTGCGGACGAGACAGTTGTGTAGATGCAAAGGCTGATTGCAATAGCTGAATATCTCAAGATCAGTCGGGTCTGTCGCAAGAACCCGAGGAGCACACAGAACATCATGGGCGCCTGGGAGCTGTTTTGACCGGGACAACAAAACTCGAACACGAGTGCATCTACAAGACGCGTTTCTAACTTGTGCAATGTCTTTATCGGAGAGAAACGTTTGGAGGATCGACAACTAGGTCAAGTGTGTTTAAAACCTGATAGAACATGAGCACGATATTGTCATTGACTTTTGATGGAAAAGTAGCGTACCTGGTCGCCGATGCGCCCTTCCATTGGCTTTCGACTAGCAGGGTTGTGATAAGCGAACACATAATATTCCGGGGAAAAAAAGTAACTTCTAGATGTAAGATAGATGTCTAATATAATGGTCTAGTCTCGCTGCAAGGCCGTCTCCCGACCTTCTTTGACTATCCGTTCAATCAAAGCATTGAATTCACGTCGGCGTTGATAGTGAATGGCATGTCCAGTGTTCTCCCATTGCACTAACTCCGCCTCGGGCATGTGCCGCTTGAGATAGAAAGTGTTATCTGACTTCACCAAGTTGTCTTCGTCTCCTGTGACAAGAAGAACCTGATGGAAGGATGAGAGTCAGGCTTGATGTATTCACAAAGAACGAACCTTAGGGACAGAGGAGGAAATTTTGCGCAGTCGACCCGGAGTAACATGGTGCGTAAGACCAGCGCACATCTGATATATAGTTCCTAAAAGAGTTTGGGGCTTGGTCAGATTTATGCGGTTCCTGAGCACCTGCCAAGATGTAAGTTCATCGAGAATCTTAGGAAAATTGGAACCTCTAACGTACCTCTGTTTCGCGTTCTCGGTTGGTTCGCCTAGGATCTTCTTCATCCTTGTCTTCGAGCCAGGATTTGGTAAAAACCATATCGTGTATAATAGGGATCTTGATAGTGAGGTCTTTGGTGAATGTGGCTCTACAGAGACGGTCAAAAATAGTTCAGGAAGGTATCGAATACGCACTTCAAGAGTCCTATAACACCCTTCCACTGCAAAGGAAAGACTTAGTTAGATCAGAACGAACATCAACAACAAAAAGCATACATACTGGCGGAAAGTTGGTCCATGGATATCCTCCGGGCGTAGTGACGCCCAAAGTCAGGGACGTAATTCGTTCTGGAATTCGATAGGCTACCTCTGCGATAGTTTAGTTAATGAATGACGTTAAAAGGTTCTGCACACGATCACACCTTGTGCTATCATGCCGCCAAGAGACAAGCCGATGATATGTATCCCTCTGGGTTCCTTCCAACCAACGTAATCCAAGAGCGCAACAAGGTCTTCTGCCATGGCGCTAGTCCTGTACTAGAATAAATAAGATGAACCAAAGGAGCGAAAATTGGAGTTGGACCACCACGTCAATCATGGCGACAAGTAGCCGACAGTACTGTATATGCAACCTGAGTAACATTGACTTACGTGAAAGGCCCTCTTGGAACACCACTGTATCCGACACCACGATTATCAAAGACAAGGACTGAGTACTGAGGAAGCCTGCTGAAATGCGCGACTTGCAGGGCCCACGCGAATGAACTGCTATTTAGCCTACAAGAACTAGCGTTCAGTTATCGTCGAACTCGAGTAAAATGCTGGCTTACCCCATGACGAAGACCAGCTTCTCCGGACCAGTTCCATGTTGCTCGAAATACAGAGAATGGCTCTCGAATGTCGTGGTATTCCGTATTTCAGTAACAGGACAGAGACCGCGACGGACGCAAGAGGAAGGATCGAAAATCGAGGGCCAGTCTTCTACCGACATCGTGGCACGGGGTCAAGTTGACATCATCATGCCCCTTGATTCCTACTTTCATGACCGCTCACCCCGGTAACATCCTGTCCAGCGATTCTGCTCGCGTTTACTGCCTGCCTGGACAAATTCCACCAAAGCCTGGCGAAGACTGGACTCGGTTTGTTTGCATCTCAGACACTCATTCCAACGAATACCCTTTGCCGGATGGCGATGTACTACTCCATGCTGGTGACTTGACAATGTGGGGAACTGTCGAAGAGCTTCACTACGCGATGAATTGGTTGAATTCGCAGTCCCATCTCACTAAAATGTCGGTCTTGACTTGCATCTCACCGCTTTAGCTGATACCCTGTCAGATGTATTGCTGGGAACCACGATGTGCGTTTTGGGTCGATGTATGCTGTACATCAAACTCACAATTGTTTAATGTATAGATGGCACTGGATCCGTACCTGGACACAATATCAGTCAAAGTATGTTAAAAAATGGCCTTTTGACAATGCCTGACATTGGCAGGAATATGACGAGCTCAAGAAATACATGAAACGTGACGAGTTTCAAAACGACGGATTATACTATCTGGAATACGAGTCTCTGACATTTCAAACGTCCGCTGGGAAGGAGTGGAAAGTCTTTGGATCGCCGGTGCGCCTCGTTCAAGGTCGGCAACAACGGAACCTGATGTCGTAAAGGGTTCTTCGGTGTACAAAGCAGCGGGAGCTTTTCAGTACCGAGGCAGTCGCCAAGGACAAGGTACGATCCCTTCTTTTGGATTCCATAGACTGACATAGCTGGGTCGCAGAAATTAGCCGGAAAATACCACTCGATACCGAGATACTGCTCACTCATACGCCGCCCCACAAAATCCATGATACAACGAGAAGAGGAAAATCAGCTGGATGCGAAGAGCTGGCCGAGAGAATGAACGATCTCGAGAAATGCAGGTTACATGTCTTTGGACACATTCACGAGGCCTGTGGGGCATCCATTCCTGACGGAGGACGCGTCTCTGTGAATGCGGCAATGAAGAGAAAGCCAAGTGCTACCATTGTTGATCTTCGAAATTGGTGATCATCCCAGCTATGCCATCGAACAACGCGAGCTTTGTATTTTATTTGACTGCACTTTTCTCCAACGCGAGGCCCACACCTGCATCGCATTGAGTATGAATGCACTGACTAAGAGTGCCGTCGTAGCGCAATGGTAGCGCGTCAAGCTGCCCACGCTTGGGTTTAGCCCGCACCTGGTCGCCGGTACTTTGAAAGAAGTATGTAAATGTTTTTGTTAGTTGTGAATGACACGCCTTATTCCCATGAAAGACGTCTCAATCGTGATTAGGGACACATAACAATGGATGATGCCCGTAGAGATACTTCTCTTAGGCTATCTTGCTGCATCGAATTTAGTTTTTGTGTAACGTGTATTCATTAATGACAAACGAAAGTGAACATGTATCTTCAAGATGATGTATCAAGAGTGCCAACCAGGGAAGAACGGGTCTTCATCTAGCGTTCTCTCCTCCCACGACTTTGGAACCCATCCTTTATCTTCTTGCTCCTTAGCCCACTGTTCCAGATTAGGCTTGACGACGTGCTCAACCAATTGCGTCCCTTTATATTCCAGAAGCTCCTTCTTCCCCTCCTTCAGGACCTTGAGCAACAACTTCGGAATGTACGGTTCCTCCCGAAACTGCACCACCGGCGTGAAGAGAGCCTTGAAGTTGAATACAATAGCCCTCGACACGGGTAGCCGACGAAGTGTCTGCCAATCCACTCGAAGGTTTATGTCGCTAATATCCATCTGTTCCTGTGTACCGGGATCCTCGCGTTCGGCCCACTCCGGCGTGTCAGGCTGCAAAAACAACGGGTGACCCTTCTCAAGGCCCCATGATCCCCGCTGGATAGGCTTCTCGCAGGGCATCTTCCTAAAGTACCTACAACCCAATCAGTCACATGAAGATAAGCATGTCAGCGCCAACCGATGCTCACCTATCCATGGAAAACTCCATCCTCTCCTTGTAATCCGGCACCGGCACGTGTATCTCGCTGAGATTCTTCCCGATTTTCGTACCCAAATTCCATCCCACGGCCGAGCAAGAAACACCCGCGCGTAGAGAGTACAGTCCTGTCTTTGCGTCTCCTTGGGTAATGAGGAAATCTTCCGGTACATTCTCGAGTAAGACGATTAGCGGATCAATGCGTCGCGTCTGTGTTACGGTCCCCAGGATCCGATTCTCAAGGGCTCCATCTTTGGCGTCATAGATGAATTGATTGGGATACCGATGTGTGAGGAACTGGATGACCATCTCCATGAGCTCCTTGCACGCTCCTTCACTGCCAGGAAGTGCATTGACGATCTTCTTCCCGTATTTGGCGTACAGCACCTTCCTCTGGGCGATCCTCTCGCAGTACGTCGACTCGAGCTCAAGCCACCAGTCCGGCTCCATCTTCTTGAGCGCTTCATCCAAAGATACTGTAATCAGATACATGAAAGACAACTTAGTGAATGACACACTTACACATATGCTGGATATACTGCCATCGAAACGGGCGATAAGGACGGGGTCTGGCTTTGGATATGTCAAAGTGAGGCAGAGGCGTTGGTGGAGGGACGCCTGAGAGCTTGAAGTAATCTGAAAGTTGCTGTCGCCTACTCCTGATATAATGGAATAGCAATACAAATTGAATGCAAGCGAGGCTGAACGCGCAGGTATAGAGTAGCATGGGAACTAACATATCGTGGCTGGTCAGAAGACAGGATATAAAGACTTCGGTCCTGCGGAATGCCGTTGAAAGTAGTCGCTCCTCGCAGGGCCATACCTTCACGAGATAAGTCAGATTAAGATAAAGAATGCTTCCCTGTTATCGACGCCAGTATTCGAAGCTAGTATACAAGGGAATAAGTAAGACGCCATGACATCATCATAGCTTGGCAGTAAGCCCATTCGCTGATTGTAGACTCTTCGCCGCGGTCATCACCATCTCGTCGACACTACGAAGATATGAGAGATAAAATAACAAAAACGACAATTCTGCTCACATCTCTTTGGCCCATTTGATCTCCTGAAGTATAAATAGCATGATATCAGTGCTTCAAGCGCGATAGGTGAGTGGCACTGAGACTGACCTTGATAGATGCAGCCACCTTCCCCATAAGCCCTTATATCCATACATACAATAAGATCCGTACTCCAGCAATAAGCGGAAGACTTACAAGGGCGGCCCTGGAGCGATTTTTCGGGATGCTTTTCCAGCTCAACATTGTGTGGTACGAGACCCTGCGAGGTCAGCTTTTCTATCTCATCGCGACGTCTTGTTTCCCTAGATACCAAGTTAGCTTCCGAGTAGCAGAGCAGTCAAGGAGATAAGCATACCAATCGGAGTTATACGGTGTCTTCAAAACGCTCATAGGCCTTCCGGTGTATATGACAGTCCGAAAGATATCGTCATAGCTAGCTTTCACAATCGACTGCTTGTGAATGGGTGGCGCACCAGCCTCGACGCTCGCAACAAATCGCGTGCCTACCCATACCCCGGAAGCGCCATACCTGCACAAAGCAATTAACGTTTAACGTAGACGCTAGAACCTGAGAACGATGCTAACGCTAGCGAAGCAGCCAGGCCCCTTCCGTCGGCAATTCCTCCGGCTGCTACAACGATAACGGGTTCTCCCGTTAATGGACTTTTAGCATCCTTGCACAGGTCTACGACGGCAGGGATAAGGATGGAAAAGGGTGTATCCCCAGTATGCCCACCGCCTTCACCGCCTTGGGCGCAAATGATGTCGACACCTGAAGACAAAAAAGAAGCCTCAAAAATGGAGTCCGAGCAAAGCGTGCGGTCAGGTGATTTCGTACCTTGTGCCAGCGCTTTAGCTACGTGCTGTAATGTTGGACCTTAATCAACTCAACTGGGCGATTAGTAGGGATCAGCAAACCTTCGGATGCCCAATCATACTGAAGAAATGAACACGTTAGACGGACATGCTGAACACGCGAAGATGAACTTGCTTCATAACAACAATGCCAGCATCATGCAGCTTGTCCACGGCCCATTTCGGAGGTACGCCCACTGCACAGACGAAAAGCTTGGCGCCGCCATTAATGATCACATCGAGGAGTTCGGAAAGTTGACCGCCGGTATAATCTATGTTCGTCTTTCTCGCGTTTCCACCGACTTGGGGTAACAGCAGGTCTACACCGAAAGGCGCGTTCTTATCCTCTAAATACCCTTTCAGCTCTTCGATGTTCCCTTGAAGAAACTTGGGGGTCTGTTGGACTCCGCCGATTACACCGATCCCACCTGGAGAATGTCACTGTTAAGAATAGATGACGACTGGTAAACTAGCCTTACCAGCATTGGTAACTGCAGCAGCGAGCCTAGGTCCAGCAGCAACGTTCATTCCTACTCGATATGTAATTATTGGTAGGGGACATGCAACGTGTTAGGCTGACCTGCGAGCATGACAGGATGGTTGATTTTGAACAACTTTGTCAAGGGGGTCGAGAATATGGGAGATGAGGAAGGCATGGCGGGGGAACGTAGAACACAAGCAAGTGTGAGAGCATTATAAGCGAGAGACTGACGAAGTGCCGGACTTTATGTCATGAGACTAGCACTGATGACCGAGCTACCCCCCTGGTCACCGTAATCGTGATCTGCAGCTGGCAAACGACAGAATCAAGTTGGAGAAAAATTTGGAAGTTCCGGTGTTTCAAGTGCCGAAAGCCGGCCACGTGGAAAGACGAATTCGGACCGTGAACCGGGATTCTCCGAGCGAATCTTACTTTGTGCCTCGATGTCCGGCTGTCCCGTCGACCACAGCGCGCAGAAAAAAACGGAGACATGTCCAGTCGACCATGGAGCATTATCTCACGACTCATCAGCGTCTTCTAGCTCGATATGGTCCCGTTTGTTCTCCTCTTCTCAGCCCAAACCATCCACTTCCGCACCCCACCTCTCGACGGAGCGCGAGCTCTCTTCCATTCCCAAAGCTACAGACGGAAACTGGGTGTACCCGTCAGAGGCTCAATTCTTCGCAGCAATGGATCGCAAGAACCATAATCCTCAGGCCGCGGATATGAAAACTATCGTACCGATACATAATGCCGTCAACGAGCGGGCGTGGGCGGAGATCATGAAGTGGGAGGCAGGACGCGGGGGCGAAGCTTGTGGTGGAGTTAAACTCGTCAATTTCAAGGGGCGACCAGGGGATATGAGCCCCAAGGCGAGGTGCAAGTCGTTTTTAGGGTACGTTTCGTGATTCCGTTGCAATCGCATTATAAATTTTGACCGTTGCCTCGTAGCTATGCGGCACCATTTGACAGGCATGACTGGATTGTGGATCGCTGTGGGACGCGCACACGGTACATAATTGACTTTTACACGGGGCGTAGTCAAGGGGCGCAGAGCAATCTGTCGTTCTACCTTGACGTGCGACCTGCGTTGGACAATTGGGAAGGCGTGAAAATGAGAGTTTCACATTTCTGGGGGTCATGGTTGCAGAATTCGACGTCTTCGACACCAAAGCACACTTCTTGATTGCATAGTGCGTGTCTGAAGATCCTAAATGATATTGAATTGCTAACGAGGACTCTAGATTTATCTTACATTGCACCCTCCCAGGCATTTGACAAGAGTGTAATAATCCTCGGGTGTACGAAGAGCGCCCCTTGAGACCAAAACAGCGTCGCGATGATCCAACCCAACCCGGCGCCATTTACATTCGAAGCGGGGTTCAAGTCGACTTCGTTCGAACCATTTGTTAATCTTTAGAGTATAGACGCGGATTTATACATACCTTCATGATCCTTCCCATCGATCAATCTCTACTACGCATATATCTTCCCATCTGGCTTCCCAGCCTGAAACTTCTATCCACGGTTGCTCGGTCCATTTTGTAATGGCACTGCGAGAGTCGTCGAAAGAAACGGAATGACTTCGGAGAGAATCGACAAGCTCCTTATGCGTGGTAAGTTCACGATGATAGACGGGAAGAATGTCTGGTATAGAGGTCACTAGGAAACATTTGTTGAGACGGAAGGCACCTTTATACGCTTGAGTCGCATACCAAATTTATTCAGTGACCATGTCACCCAAAGCGGTTCATGCTGCACCCAATTCCAGCCTTTATTCTTGTGAGCTTCTGCAACAAGGCCCTCCATGGTGTCGATAACGGTATTCATTTTGCGAAATTGCTTTTGCTAAGCATACCAGTCAGTACGCGTTATAGTAGCAATATTGGGATCGCACTAGCTTCGCTATGACTGCATCTAGCTCGGATATCCGCTTGTCCATGATCAGCAGTTTCGGTCCGACTATACGCGTCCTTGGTCGTCGATCCGGAATCAGCGAAAGGGCATTGCTAGACCGAAAAAATAAGTAGCGCATCAAGGTAAAGACGCGTAAGAACGTGCTCTAGCTCAGTCCTAGTATCAACGAGGCTCTTTGCAGCCTTCAATCCATCAACGAGCACGAGATCATCCCATGTCTCTGTTATTCCGCGTAATTCGAGTAAGCACGTCCGTAGCTTTCGATGGTAAGTTGACTCGGTGGGCCTGGCTGGTGACTTTGGGGTCGTGGGTTGCCGTTGAACCGGGGATGAATTAGGCGTTGAAGGACCTCGGAAAGATGCGAGTCGACCGCTCATAGCAAATTGCGGGGACGTTGTTTGGCGAATAACTTGGCGGCAAACTCGCTTCAACACAGCCACCACGTGGATCGACTCACACCTCCAAGTTCGTCGTCTTTTGCTTGTTTACTGGTGACTCTTTCGAAGTCTACGACAGCATGATTATCTGTCTAAGCTCGCAAACGGACCAGTACATACAGCAAATTTGCAAGTCCCTCTCCGTAACTATACTGATAATAATGCTTATTCGGCGACACAGACAGAGATATTCCAGCCCCCAGAACATCCCGAGAGACAGTGGGGCCCTCATCGCTGTGCATTCGTAAAGTCCTGGCAAAAAACCGGTGTGGAGTGCTTACAAGAATTGTGATCAAATGCGTGCGACACAAGAACCCGTTATCTCGAATCAGCTGTCAAACCAGTGTGAGTACTAGAGGCCAACTGTATAACACGAAATATATTTATCAACTCGTTGTGTTCTGGAAGTTGATGTGAATCATACCGCTCTTCAGTTTATCCACCGTCATACTCATACCCGACTTCTCATGCGACCGTTGACTCGTTTCGATTGGCTGCTACCACAACTTTCAAACCGGTGGGAGAACCTAGGGAGAACCGACGCCCGAAGAAGACAACCTGACTGTACCTCCCCAGTACTTTCTAGTGATCCCAATAGTTGTTCAAGAATCAATCACGGATCAGCATCATTGTATCTGAAACGTGACTTTACTAAGATAAATACACCTCGGCGCTGGACAGCTCTCAGTCTCCTATGGATTATCACATCTTCATTCAGTCTCTTCATGATATTAGGGCTGTCAGTGTACGTTGTCTTTCAATTCATGCTCTACACACGACAGTTGTTGACTTTTTGTTCAGTACGTTCTAGGTCGGTGAAATTCAACTTACTGGTAGCAATATATACACTCTACTGATAGCTGTATTAGTCGCAAGTGCGACTTTAATGGTTTGTGAGCCTTCTCGTTCGAATTGGACCACTGCACAATGAAATCAACTGTAGATACACGAATGGTCAATGCTGTTCGAACAGGAAGTAAGTCATTTTCTTCTCGTCGGGTTTGTGCTTAATACAATAATAGGTTACACTCATATGGCACTCACCTTGGAATCTGGTGAAGATTCTCTACCTCATGAGCCGATATTTCCCAATCATTGATGTCGCCATCGCCCTACAAGGTTTGTGACTTTGACAACCCTAATGAATGCATTCTGAAAATTCAATTCTCAGAACATATTCAACCCCGAGCAGATCCGAAGGTACCTTCAACGTTTTCCTCCATTTAATTCTACGAAGCTCACCATGTATATAACAGATTTGCCTCATCAACAACAATATATCCACTGGTGCGCGCGCTCATCAGCGGTCCCGCAAATTTCAATTTAGTCGGTCGTAGTGTCCGCTGGTGTCGGTATTGCGATATCCGAGCGTAAGTTTCATAACGGTATTGATACTCCTGCCAGTTAACTATTATACAACTTCCTAGTGATCCTGATTGTGCGCACATGTGCCCTGTATGGGAACTACAAACGAGCTGTTTATGGGCTTGGTCTGGTCTGGGCGGTATGTTCCACCTGCCCTTCTGTGTTGAGAATGACTGATACAAGCAACATGTATCAGATTTGGGTATCCGCGAATATTTGGGTTCTCATTACATTCATGAAGTCAACTGTTTGTGAGTGCGCTCCTCTAGCTTCCCACCGTATTCCACAGCTCATCACTCCTTTCTCTCGCAAGTCGAATACCAACCGTCATCGGTGCTCCCGGGCTGCTACTTGGCCAGTGAGAGTCCTGTCATTTTTGTATGCTTCGCTTCCCTGTTGCTGCTAGAAGCCGGTACGTAGCGCTGAACATTTTTCTGAACGACTAATTCTGAACCCTCTGTACAGTACTACTAGTATTACACGTTTGGAAGGCCCTTCGATTACGTGTGCTGAACCTTGCGTATTCCGTAACGTCTGCTAATCCTTTGTGTAGTTCGAGGGTCCAGGAATGCCCTTGTATCCACATTCTTCCGAGATGGTTCGTTGAAGTCAATCCCCGAACTTATAGAGAACCCACTATTAATGCCTACTACTTCCAGGAGTTATATACTACATCTGTCTATTTCGTTAGCGGATGATTCTCGACTTTTGCTGGCTTTATCTCATTGACGTCTTAGCCTTGGCGCTGGCAAATGTGCTTGTCATTCTCTTAGCTCCGGTAAGAATCGTCCCTGGCCGGAGTGCACATCATCAATCTGATTTTTGTGCAGGATGATATGCTGGATTTGTTGGACACGTATGCTAAACCCACCTAGACAATAGGCTGCCACATCCTGATCATGTTGACAAAACAGATTGATGCGTGTCTTTCACAGCACAATGTGCTGTCGTTTACTGCTGGGACTTCGTCAGGCAGCGGTGGCTACACAGAGGGGAAGTATATCCACCACTCTTCCCATTTCGGGTCATATCGCGTTTGGGACCCAAACGGTCGATGGTGAGGGATCAATGAGTACACAGGATTCCTGCATGCTATAGAGGAGCGGTTTATAAGGCTGAAGGAAAATAATTTATTGACAGCGGTATCGGAGTAATAATGCCGTATTTCGCTAAATCTTAATTTCAAGTCTTCAACATCCTTTAGTATTAGAACAAGCTATGGTTAGTCGGAAGAGTTCCATGAGATGTTTATAAGTAACCTCACCATACACTTAATGTCATGGGACCTTGAATTGTTTAAAGCGGTGCCGGTGAAGGCAAGTTAGCACGGCGACTCGAAGCAACGGCAGCCTGTTGCCGGAGTGTAAAATTTCGGGAGCGGCTAATACTGCGAGGACTACAGGCCAGAAATATATAGTTGGATACATACATACTGTACAAATCCCAATAACCTATAATATCCTGAATGGTGAGCATGTTGGGAAAACGGTCTGCTTCTTCGGCTTCGCCGGCACTAAATGCCGATTGTGCCGAAGGCCGTGACAATACGCAAGCTGAGACTGAAGTTGAAACTTGAAACTTGCAAGTTGAACTTTGATACCAACCACCATCAACTCGTTGTGCAATAACTAGGGATCCAGCGAGAACCCAAGAGCAATATCTCACCGAAAGCTCAGATTTCCAGTTATAAGCATGGCCCATCTCACCAGAAGCGCAAAGTCTGGGAGTGACTGGACGATAAACGACTTGGAGGCGTATAACATCGTCTTCAAGGAGCAGGACTAGAACACTTTCTTTGGAGGGCCTCTTCTCGCTTACCATGGTCCAGCGGACTTTCTTCAGCACCAATGTGGAACGCCAGGCCGCGGACTTGATGCCGCATCGAGTCCACTTCTCAAGCGCTTGGATTTGGCAGCCCCCGTCACTGAAGGGGAAGAATCTGCTGTGGTCGGTTTTACCGCTGAGCTGCTACGCTTCCTAGGGTATGAAAGGCAGGATACTATGGTTCGCACCCGGAAGAATCTTCGTCTCCTTATATGCGACGAGTTTGTCTATGCGCAAACAGATGTCTGTCTTTTGAACATTGAAACATTATCGGCGTTGCTGCTTGTCCAAAAGGACAAATCACATATCAACCCTATAGACCCGGAGTCTTAGCTGATTGCACAAGCCATCGCTGCATTCCAGGAGAACAACAAACGGCGAGCCCGATTGTTCCTCAATTCGTTGCCAGTCCAAATCATACCAGGTATCACCATGGTTGGTACCTTCCCGACTTTCTATAAGATCGCCGTGACGTCCGAACTTGATCATTCTATCCGACATGGCCAATATCCAGCTACTGAGACCGTTGTTTATTGTCACACCCCGCGTGTACCGTCAAGGCACAGGAGCGAAGGCATGCATTCTCTACCCAATCGTGAGCTTCTTGTTCGTTGCTATGAGGCTTTCAAGTCTATTGTGCTGCGAGATGAAGGTACGCTGCTTATTTATCTCTTTCGTCGCCCGCAGTGATAGCTCGTAGTGTAGTCCTTTCGACGAATACCAAGGGCGTTTGATATAATTTGTTCATGTACAAATATATGTTCCGCTCTCGCGAAGCTAGCGTGGACAATCTGATTCCATCTTTGACAGTTTCTTATACTTTGCGCAAGAATGACACGACATCAATTTCGACAGCAGCCTATCTGACCCTGTGAGCTTGGGAGATTCGGAGATGTGAGTGTGTCGAAATCTTATCTGGTTCGCTTCGCGGACCTGTGCCATCACCCCTACACGAACAAAATAACACCGGTGGCAGAGAATAGTCTGTTGTTATGAGCTGCGTCCGTTTCCTGGGTGAGCCGTCCCATGGAAGAGTCGCAAGATTCCAAAACTGGGTACGTGTTGCGCATCAATCCGTTAATTGTTCTGATGCGTCCAATCATCTGCTTCCCTGCCCACCCGTGTCGAGTTTGTATGACCTCCCCCTTCCTTTATCTGCATACCTCAGCTGAGCCTGTGGCGCACCTATTTTGCTCTTTCACTGGTATTGAAGGAACCATGATTCACTTCAAACAGCCAAGCCCTAACTCAACCGCCGTTTTTCAAGACTCATCCGGACTTCGGTCCGTAAAGGTTCGGAATGATATTCCAAGCGAGACGTACTAGAGAGGCTTCAAAGCGAAGCGAGTTTGGAATCGAATAGTTACGAGAAGAGATGGGGAGGGAGAGCAATGGCACATGAATGATTCTCCATCGTTCTTCAAGATCTTCTATGCTCCCTTACCACGGTGGTTGTGATGGTCGTAGCGCTGTTCTCCCGTCTCATTCCAAGGTAACGGATTACTCACTCTTCTATTAAATAAATGTCGATCTAAAGTGTTTGCTTCCGACGTATTCTGTTGAAGAAAATAGGGAGGTCGTCTTGCGGCAACCCTATCGTTCCAACTCACGCGACCTGACATGCAACTTCCGCCTCATCTCCTCTTGGACGAGGTTTTCCCGTCTGTTCACCCGCAAGCGCATTAAAGCGGAGAGCGTGCGAGGATTCTTTTCAGCATCCGTTGATTCCGTTTTTCGGTGAAGGTACTGTCTGAGGTTTGATCAAAGTTCGATCCTAGACTTCCTTTCGTGCGTTTATCCGATGTCCCGCCTGGCTGCTCTGCCGCACCAGGGTGGATTATGTGATTATGCCGCAGCCCGTTCTGAACGCTAGGTGCTGTCCCTCCGTTACGGTTAACAAGGGGAGAGTGTTTATTCTTGGGAGCTATATACTCCCCGAAATGCCGTATCTAACTTCTGGATTCCACAAGGCTGGCCATCATGAATTCCACCCACTCCATCTTTGCCTTCTATAAGGGAGGTCATATGTATACCATCCGGTTCATGACCTCAAATGTCCAGCTCACTAGTGCAAGGGCTTATCTCTTCAGGTACATACTCTTCTCCTAGCAGCTCTAGAGTACTGATCATGAGGAGCCTGCATGATATACTTACTCCGTACCTTATGTCTAATTGAAAGGCTCCGCCCTTAGCGCGCGCCGCTGTCAGGGTGTGAAATATAGGATTGTACGTGCCCCTTATGCCTATCAAAGTCTCGTCCGTCTCACACCCGGTAAGCGACTGTTTCCAATGGGACAAAAGCCTGGGAATATGGGTGTATAGCAGATCAAATTCTGATCAAGGCTTTCGCCCATAGCAAAATGAGTCGGGGTTCCCTCGATTTTTGCTGTGGTCAAAGCCTGGGTCGAAATGTCATCTGTAACTCCAATTGTTTCCCTTGTATTTTAACCGGCACTAATTAGCCTTCTGCCAGGAGTGTCTGCACGAAACTCGTCTGAGATGCCCGAAATAGAATGAATAGCTGAGGCAAGATGTTGATGATGATGATGAAATCAACGGAGGTTCGAAGCCATAGTATCGCACGAAAACTGGACCGATGATAAGGCCAGAAAGTTCCAGCGGAATTCGTACCGATGGAAGCAACGGATTTCGCATGTTGTAGAATAAAAGACCGGAGACTTTGGTAATTCATATCAGAATGTAACGCGTAGCAGTCGTGAAACCCGGCGCCAGAATCTAGGGCGTACGCGTTTCAAAATTAACAGCTGGACAGTATTGTCAACATTCATGATCGTCATGCGCCGGAGAGCTGTTTCATTTGATCAGTACATGCATATGAACATGTACCGGAATGCGCAGTAGCGATTGTCGCGCCGTATACATTCGAGAAGGGGGTGAAGTACAGAAGGATATGCCAACTACACGCGGGGCTAAAAACCCTTCTCGGCCAGCCACTGTGCTATCTGGATTTTGGAAACGAGGCCGTGTGCCCTGATGACGAGATGTCGATTGCGGGCTATGGAAACACTGGCGGAAGGATCATTGTTCAACAGGGATGTTGTTATGTCGTTTGCTAAGGCCTTGATTGCGTTACTTTTTGTTGTGAAAAGAAAAGAAAGAGAAAAAGACATACAGAAATGTTGCCGTCGACATTTCTTATTAGGATAAGATGGCGAGTTCCCGCGTTTCTGATATCTGTGTATACGGGAAGGGAACCACGGGAGTTACGGGCGACGTGGTATAACAGTGATGCTGTTGACTTGGACGGTAGCATCGAGAAAGAGGTGAAAGGCGTGTGACATGTGACGTAACGTGGAAGTGAATCAAATGTCCGGAAATAGCTGCGCCCAAGATGCCATTGAAATTACATCCATGGCAGATCTCCGAAACCAAGCCATCCCAGGCGCTCCTCCCTATAAATGCCGTGCGTCGCCACCCGTTTTCCATTCTTCCCTCCCAACATGAACGTCAACCTCAACATGAACATGATGTGCTGGTCGCAACAACGTACGTCGCCCTTCTCTGTCGTCGTCGACGGCAACGGCTTACTGTCTACAGCATCTACAGTATATGTCATTTGCACAGCGCCCCTCATAGCGCCAAAGCCTCTGCCATACCATTCACCGACCTTTCTGCAGTTCAAATCGCTGCCTGACCTAGACCAGGACCTCTCTCACCCTCCGTACACTTACCGTCCCAAAGAACCGGTCTCTGTCATGCGACGAGCTAAGGATAAGACTCGACAGAATCCATATCCGCAGCCAGGCAGCAGGCCAAGGCTTGCCCACGGGAAGTAAACATAGGACCAGGCACTCTGGACTAAGAGGAGCCGGGTCGGTGTTGCATATTTTTATTATTTTCCGTAAGTGTGCCCTGCAAGCACGATCGCATGTCTAACCCTTCCCCCTTAGTTTCCTGGACTTTCGGTCTTCATGCATCAACATCAATCACATGTACCATAGCCATCCATCCATCGCTTGCTCGCATTTTGCATCCATCTACCTTACCCATCAATCAAGCCACCTTGCCGCTTTCTATCGTACCACTCAATTTCCCAAACGACGTGTCATCCGGGTAACTAGTTCCCGTGTCAGTTCTGTGTCATCGGCCCTTTCGCGCCATAGCATTCGCCTATACGAAAATCCGCCGCTGTAGTAGTCCTGCCTGATGCCATGCCAATAATAGGCTCCAAGCATTTCCGTCCACACGCAATCCCGAATGAGACCGCAGTTTGGCATGCATGCACCACTGTGTGATTGCCTGTACAGCTTTCTGTTCACGCAGCACTTTTGAATACTCGTGTTATTCATTCGCATTGGCGTCAAGACTTTCGATCGCCGAAACGCGACCGAGCAACAGAAGATCACCATTCACTTGATCTTGCAGATGCTAGGCACCTGTTATACCTCAGACCCGACATATGTACACTGCAATGGATCTCACTCTCAATAGAGTAGTCACCAGATCTTGTTCCATATAGTTGTGGGCAAGCTTGGTCAGAGTTACTTGCGGACAACTGTGTAAAATCACATACCAATACTTGCGGATCGCATTGCGATGTCGAATAACCTCATGGTGTAAGCTGATACGCCTATTGAGTTAGTGAGATAACCGGAACAAGCTGTGGGATGGACGGGTTGCCGATATTAAACGCGAGGCAATACCCACGACTGCGGGCCGGTACTTCTATGAAAATGGGGGAAGAACGAAAGAAGTCTAGAGGGTCAGACTAGAGGGGGCGCTCGTCGGGAACGATGGCGCACATGTCAACATCATTGACAGCGCCGGTGCATTTGTCATCTACGGCGGCCCAAGCTTGGAACGTTGACCGCGACGTCGAGCGGTCCGGAAACTTCTCAGTAATGTTGCTCTCAACTCAGTTTCCCTATTTTCTCAGACTGGCTGTGACCATTCACACGGAGGGCTGAACAAGCATCGTGTCCAGGGTTCATAACCGTGTTGGCTCTACAGTTCCGTGTCGTCTTAATATTCTGACCACTGCTGTTCCGAAACGTAACTTCAACTGCTGATGTTTCAGCCCATACTGTTCACGGTCCCCAATACTAGTAGTAATAACAGTTCATCACTGTCTACATACATTGCTTACCCTAAGAATAAATAGCGAGCGAGTCCGACATGACCGCTAAGCCCGCATCTTTTATTTTACTTCCGAATCCTAATTCTTGCAACGGCCTCCTATGCCCATTATCTCACCACCCTCTGTCAGCAAGACGGCCACCTTTAAGGTTCGAGTCGCTATACAGGGCCGCGCAGTCAGTGATTGGTCAAAGACACAGCATGGTACGCGGAATGGAAACGACTCCATCAAACATCAAAAATCAACACAGAACAGGGAAATGACAAGTATCACGGAAACGCCGAATCAATGAAAGACAACAGCAAGAGCGAAGAAACCGCATTGAACGAGATCAAACATCATGGCACCCAGTAGGAAGAAACAAAACAGCACATGTTCATGAACCATGAACCGGATGCAGATGCGAACGAGATCGACAAGCGTCAAGAAAAGACTCACATCGTCAACCCAACCATCGCTTCGCCCAAATCCGCCGAAACATCAGCTAGGACCTTGGGGTTGTTGTAATGCGTCACCTACACACGTTCGTTGTAAGGACAACGTGCTATTAACACAAGGCCGAACACTCACCGCCTGGACAATAGCACGAGCCCGCTTCGCAGCGTCTCCGGACTATGAATGAAAAATCAGCATCAGAGCGCCATGATGTGATGAATATGGAGTCAAGATGACCGCGGGCGACAATGATCAAAATAATGGGTAGGGCGGGGAGGCATACCTTAAATATACCCGAACCTACGAACACTGTTGATGGGGAATAACACATCATGATCAAGGATCTGCATGATGCAATGCTGGAGCTCACCTCCATCACATCCCAGTTGCATCATTAGAGCTGCATCGGCTGATAGGACAACAAAACAATCGTCAATTCCGGGCGGTGCTCAGAACATTGAAACAGGCGTCGTACCGGGTGTCGCAATACCCCCAGCAGCAAAGTTCACTACGGGGAGTCGTTTCAAGCGAGAGGTTTCCTTAAGGAGGTGAAATGGCGCCCGGATCTCTCTCGCGTACGCATATAGCTCATCCTCTGACATGGACGCAACCTTGCGGATTTCAGACATGATGGTTCGCGAATGGCGGACGCTGCAGGGGATTATTAAGGATAATGCCGGTACAATGGGGAGGCAGCACGCACGCCTCGACAACATTTCCTGTTCCTGCCTCACCCTTCGTCCGAATGAAAGCTGCACCTTCGGCTATCCGTCTTAAAGCTTCCCCAAGGTTGCGAGCCCCACATACAAAAGGCACCTTGAAGTTGTGCTTGTTGATGTGATTCTCCTCATCAGCAGGCGTGAGTACTTCCGATTCATCAATATAATCGACACCAATGCTTTGGAGAATCTGTGCCTCGACAAAGTGGCCGATACGAACTTTCGCCATTACAGGTATCGTGACGGCCGCTTCGATGGATTTGATCATCGCCGGATCACTCTAAGCCGAGCTTAGAAGATGCGAAGAAGACTTGGCGAGGACACACCATTCTGGCAACACCTCCGTTTGCACGAATATCAGCCGGGACACGCTCAAGCGCCATGACGGCGCATGCGCCTGCTTCTTCTGCGATACGCGCCTGCTCTGCATTCACGACGTCCATAATGACGCCACCCTTGAGCATCTGTGCTAGACCAGACTTGACCTAGACAAGCTCGTCACTCTGACACCAAGATCCGGCTCGTATATACGACTTACACCGAACGTTCCAAGACTGCTGGCTCCACCACCCGAGGATCTCGCTGGGGCGATAGAGGGAGCACCTACAGTTCCGGCACCGTGGGGTTGCGAGGGGGGCGAGCTAGAAAGGGTGGGGGTAGTCATTGTCGTGGTATGAGTAAAAGCAACGATGACTCGAAAAAAAAAATGCAATAACGGAAATCCGATCCGCAACTCTTCCTGATCTCATCGGCCCGGCATCTCCGGCCGAAATGAACTGATGACGTATATAGGACGAGCGCCTAGTATTTCTCTTCGACGACGACGATGGGTCTGTTCAGCTTCTTTCAGGGTAGCAACGAGAACGCAGGCAAAAAAACTGAAGAGAAAGATGCGCTGCAGACGTTGAAATCATTCATCGAAGTACGTCTCACATGTCGCCAATAATATGTAGACTGATCCACGTTCAGACGAGGCCTTCGTCGCAATACACATTTGATTCAGAGCGAGATTCACCACGGTCCACCATTTGCCGTCCTTCTGACTCTCCTGATGGTAAAGAGTGTATAACAATAGAAATGAATTCCAAGAAGTTATTTACCACCATGCAGGTGAGTATCACTTGCATGATGTTCGATTCGTTGTCTGACAGCAATTCGGACAACCTTCCAGTCCCTAGGATTCTTCTGTGCGCTACCAGTAGACCCTACGCAGACGTATATGGAATGTACGCCGATGCCTAAATCGTGATCTGCATCTTCGAGGAAAGAAACGGTGCCTTTGTAACATACGCAAACTATCTTTCCCCATCTCTTTTCTCGCAAGGATTGCCTCGCCTCCAGGCCTCTGAGTTGGTTGGCATGATGTATAACACGTAAGTCTTGGATTCCCGCGACTCTTTCACGCCATTGCAGAGGAACGGGACGGCTCTCCCAGGCAGACGCAGTTGGGTGATAGACTATAGGATCGCGGATCGTCCAACCTCCTTCTTTCCTTGCTTTCGCAGTAAGGATACAGCTGAAGAAACAAGATCTTTGAACATATCTTCAAAGTATTTTTAAGTATCGTGTTGACTGAGAGAATTGACAGTTGCTTGTAGTACTAAACTGCTCAATGGTCTTGGCAGTGAATCCTTGTTTAACGAAATTGCATGTAATTATAGATGGTTCTTACTGTGGATTAGTCGAGGTGGGGAGATAGAAGAACGATGCTGCAACAATCAGTGTTTATTTCGTGCAATCCATTTCAATTGAGGGATGTCGATGAACAGTCGAATCAGAGATTTCACATTGTTACGTATTGCAAGGGGGAAATAAAGAAATAAAAAAAGGTAATCACCACATAATGCATCATTCGTCACTATCGTTCGGGCGTGCTTGCTCTCTTCATTTCCTCTCATGATCGATTCCAAGCTCGCCTCGCTCCGCCTTTTTTGAAGTCTCTTGGGCACCTCTCCTTCTCATTTGAGCACCGGATAATCGAACTTTTGCAACCTGAAGTTCCGATTCTACTCGTTCGACTGTTTGCTCAGCATAATATTCCAATGCCAGACGGCGACAAATTGACCTAAATTGTTCAAGCTAGATGGGTCAGTTAGAACTTTTCTGTGAAGATATCATTATCACTCACTCTTCCAGTTGAGGACTACATGCAGATTGGGGTTTGCCAGGGAGGGCAACGAGGAAGCAATGTCCATGAAGAATTATGAGGATTTGATAGCTTCAATAATCCCAGTACAGTCAAATGGCGTAAATCAGTGCGCGTCGAGGGTTCGGATGGGATGCATATCGTCATAGGAGATCGAGAGTGAAGAGGCATATGGTGCACACTCGCAAGTGGCGAAGATGGAGACGGACGATGGGACACCTCATCAAAGCAATTATTAGTAGCCTGGTGTGTATCGTGTATCCAGTCTTGGATCTGCTGGAATTTTTCCTGCCAATGCCGAGGAAACCTCCGTGGCCTAAGCAATGGGGCAACGACTGTCCTGTCCTCTGTCGCTGCTAGCGGCGGCCTTGGTGATGTTGAAGTGATGGCGCTCACAGTTGTTGGGATACCGCTTGGATGTCGTTCAATGGACCTGCCACTCTTCCCTTTGATGCCACCACCGGATGGAAGTCCTTGCAGAATATGACTGTTTACTTCGGGTTCTGGTACAGACGGATCATATCGACACTGCACCGGGCAAGGAAGACGGTCTCCTGAAGAAAATGACAACCGAGAGGATACAAAGTTAAAGTTCCCGAATAAGTCCCGTTTGGAGCTAGTGCCATCCCTTCTCTGCGCGTAGGACACAGTCCGGGGCTTGGCAGGTTCCATTGTGTGTGTGAAGTTGTCCTACGTTATTTGTGGAATTTGGTTAGGTTATCGAGCAATTTTGAACGCAGGGAGCCAGCTACGAGCGATGTCCGATGTCCAAAGAAGATTCGGGAAGAAGACCGAAACCCAGGTGAAAGCATTTGCGAGTTCAATGATCCTCGTTTATCTCGTCATGAACCGCCTGTGTCGTTAACAGTTACTGACGGTCATTTCAGTTTAGAATGGTCAAGTCTTCTGGGCCCCAGTTCGAGAAGGAGTGGTGGGAACGAAGAGATACATCATACACCAGATGCGAGAAGCAATTTGCAACTGACATTCCAGAAGCATATGAAAGACAGAAGAAGCACGCGCTGGATTGGCATCAACATGGACGTTTCAAGAAAGCTTCCCTCCAGTCCTGCATCTGCGGGGGGATCATAACTGTATCGGATATGTGTGAGTGTTGGACAAGAAGACGCGAAGCTCAAGGGTATTACACGAAGTCACCAATTGAATAGTTCAAGCTCCGTGTTTCGTACCAATCTGGAGAAGCATCGAGACTCGCTAGGACGTAAACGGAAGAACTGGAGGTCAGAACGCCGTTTGCGCCTGACTCACCGCCATCGACGAGTCGGGACCGAAATAGCACGTGCTCGTTGATACGTGTCACATGTCATCATGTTTCCCAATAAATAAGGTCGCGCCTTTGTTACCCCGGTTACATTTCCCGTTTCCTGCCTTTCGCCCGCCATGTCTCTCATCGCACACTCCAATCAAGCCACTCCCGTTTCTGTGACCGCTAATATATTCAAACTTCAATGGCCCGAAAAGTCCACAGTCTACCAATATGATGGTAAGCCGCCCAGTTTTTCTTTCAAGTGCTTATCATTGTGGATATCTGATCTCGCTACAGTCGGTTCGTACCTTCTTTTTAGATTATATTTCGAGCCTCGCTAAAATTCATTGTAGTAATCATGCCGAAATGGGAAAGCCGGACAGGGCGAGAGTTTAAACTCGGACCTGCGAAGGCCAATGAGATTATCGTGCGTCTGCAGACCTCAGTCGCCCCGAAAATATTCACAAAGCTTGGAGGTACGTTCGACTTTTTCGACTGTCCTCTTCATACACTGAACCATGACATTAGTTTTCGATGGCAAAAAGAATCTCTTTTCTTGGAGGAAGTACGACATACCAGGATCTGGCATGAAGGTTTCTCCTTTCCTTGGCATACCAGGAGTCGATCTAATTCTATACTACCTAGGCGGATGTCGTATGGGATGTCGATTCCCCGAAACCTCGTTATGTTTCGGTCATTGTAACATTGGCCGGGAAGGTAAATATTGGGTATGTTCAACTTGTTCTACTCGAGCCAGATCGTAATGAGAATTCCCCTAGAATCTTGAGACAACTTACCCGAGGCAATACGCAAGCAATGGTTGCCACTGCGCCTGCGTTGAATATGCTTAATATGTCTGTTCAGGCGTATCCGAGAGGGTAGGTTGATATTCTCATGCAGTAGGATGTCTATATAACTAATGTGCTTTATTTAGGTCAGGAACGGCACTTAATAAAGCTGCGAGCTTTTACATCCGCGAGGGAAAAGGTATGCAACGTCTACTCGCCGCCTTGCCATAGTACTGTGTATACTCACTCAACATCTGTTTGATAGAAACGCCCCGGTCTATAGCACCTTTAGAACTTTGGCGCGGCTATTTTCAGTACGTGCTCATTCACTGCGGACCTCACCTCTAAAGTGTTCATCGACCAATGATCATGTAGGAGTGTCAGACTGGTGAAAGACCATATCGTGCTTAACGTCGATGTCACTGTTGCCGCTGTGTAAGTCAATACTCTCTCATCAGAAGATCTATCTTTAACAAGAATACCCAAGTGTTCCTGAACGTCGTTTGGAAGACTTATCAGCTGAATTTCTTAGTTTGCGCGATGCCCGCCAATTGGAAAATTTAGAGGAAAGTCAATTTTCAAGACTGCGCCATTTCCTTCGTGGCATGAAGGTGATATTATCTCACCGCCCGACTGCCAGGCCAAAACGAATCAAGGGTCTGGTAAGGGAAGCCGGTGCTATCACTTTCGACAAAGATGGTCGGCGGATCACGGTCGTTGTACGATCTTCATTCGATTCTTTTTCTCCGTTCACTCAAAATCTTCTTAGGAGCACTTTAGATCTGCGTATAACATCCATATACGACCGGGATCCTTAGGCGTTCAATTTGGGCAACAAACTGTCGTACCGATCGCCTGTTGCATGGCTACGCAGCAACTATATGATGTCAGTGGATCGTCTTGTTGATTCATCGATTACTACTCATACTCATAACTTTTTTAGAATCGTCTTTCTCCAGAGGCCATTCGAGAAGTACTGAAAGTAGTTCCCTCGGACCCTGATGCCCGACTTCGAATGATACGGCAAGGCTGGAAATATTTAGGCCACACGCAGTCCGAATTTTTGACAGGCGCAGGTATTAACATTAATCCCGAGCCTCTCCGAATTGCTGGGAAGGCTCTTCCTAGGCCAACGCTAGCATACGGGAAGGGACAGAATGGCACGAGGGTGGTCCATGCTAACCACGTAAGTCACAAACATGTCTGGCATTATTTTGATTTATGAGCATGGAGGTAATAGGGTGGTACATGGGACATAATGAAGAAGCCACTCCATACGCCGGCTCGATTGACCTCTTGGGCTGTTATCAACCTCACTGGCAGTGATCGGAGTATAATACAGCAGTTCTCTATGGACTTGGCCGAGGCTATGAGGGTTATAGGTATGCCTTTGAGTTATGACCAACTTCTATGTACTAACATAATTTCATAGGAATGTGTAAGTAGTATCTTGCACTATCTGCGCTCATCTCAAATACTGCTCCGGCATAGCCGTTTCAACGCCGCAAGTAAATCATGATGCTAACGCACAAGAGAGTATTTCATCGGTAGGCTGCCTATTTTAACTTTACCTCGACTTTGAAGAGACTGATTCTAATAAGACTCTATACCGCATCGGATTTCCCATCAGGGCAGAGCTCCTTGTCTGTGTTCTACCAGAAAATGCCGCGGATCTGTACGTCGCAGTCAAGCGCGCAGGCGACGTCATTCATGGGATTCCTACCCAGTGTGTGGTAAGCCAAGTGTTTCAATTATTTTCAACGCTCTAAGTAGTATCGAACAGCGCTGGACACGGAAATTCCGCCAGGGGTACAATGCAAGACAATCCAACCAGTATCACAATAACCTGATTCTCAAGTGAAGTTTTTGTAAACCTTGAAGAATCATTCATGCTAATCGATACATCAGAATCAATACAAAACTGGCAGGCCGGGGTTTCGTCCCTCAAGATCCTGCGATGACATTCTTCGCTAGCGTCCCTACCATGATCATTGGTAAGTGGCCTATCTGCGTCCGTATTTGCATCAAATGACACGAGTGCAGGTGCGGATGTCAGTCATGCGGCGCCCGGCAGCATGGCTCCATCGGTTGCATCTGTGGTGGCATCGACGGACCTGTATGGCGCTCAGTACACTGCGAGGATGGCAATCCAAAGGCCGAGGCAGGAAATCATAGAGAACTTGGAGTCCATGGTCACTGTACGTGAGCCTTTGGAGCTATTTCATTTCGACAAACTCAAAGACTGTCATTTTTCGTGCAGTCCTGTCTCGAGGTGTTCTATAAGAAGAATCAAGGCCAGCTACCTCAACGTCTCATATTCTATCGAGATGGTGTCTCCGAGGGGGAATTTGAGATTGTCCGCAGGGAAGAAATGCAAAAGTCTCTCGATGGTACGAAATTATTTGTGCTGTGAGAGTTGAAGATTTACGTCTTCCGACTTTAGCTGCCGTTCGAAATTTCTATCAAGGTAAAGGTGTAAATCAACGACCCAAACTTACCTTCCTGGTTGTGACAAAGAGGCATCATTTCCGCTTCTTTCCCAACCCTGGTCAAGGTGACAGGTCCGCCAACTGCCACGCAGGATTTTTTGTTGACAATGGTGCGTATGCAGTTCTCTTCCTATTGAGAGATTCTGATAAGTAATACCGGAGCAGAGTTGAAGCATCCTGTCTATGACGACTTTTATCTTCAGTCACAGGCAGGGCTCAAAGGAAGTTAGTTTTGAACTCGCTGCAGTAAAATTTCCCCTGCTCACAAGCACCTTACAGCAAGTATTCCCGGTCATTATACTATCCTGCATGATGATATCTATAGGGATTTACCATTCCAGGACCGGTACGTTGATGCTCGTCGTACAATGAAAGTTCTGACATCGTCCGCGCTAGGAGTCAGGCTGTGACGGCAATTGCGCAACTGACGTGTGTACCTGGTCTCGTTGGCCATGTCATTTCACTTCTAATGGACTGTGTTACTAGCTATGCGCTCTGCCATGTATATGCCCGGTCTACACGATCAGTCAAAATTCCTGCGCCCGTATACTGTACGTCGTTCTTTTTCCGTATTGTGCTAGTTCTGATGTTTTTGCCAGATGCCGATGTAAGCTTGTTTTCGTCTTACGATTGTTTCTGACCAACCGTTGCACGCAGCTCGTATGCCGCCGTGCAAAGTTTCATTTTGATATCCCTATGTTTGATGCAGAATCCACTCAGTCTGGGCAGGAACACGACCTTGAGTATTATCGTCAGCATTTTACTCCTATCAATGCCAACATGGCAAACCAGATGTATTTCGTTTGAGTTATCTTTTTATTTTCTTGTACTCTTGCATTTTCCTATGTTGTATGTAGCTTGAAGAAATGTAATCTGTATCGTGTTGATACCGTTCAATTTTGGTTCCACTTTGTTTTGTCTTGTGTGTCCAAGCCGCGCCGGACCTGGGCCTGAAATCTCCATCAGCAACCGTACGGTAAGCACTCTTCGACCTTGCTCTCCACATCCGCTGCTGGCACGGTACAGCTACCCATCATTTCTTCTTTCAAGCGCCCATCAGCGTCTCTCGCACTCATCGATTCTCGAATCCAACAATGGCAAAAGGATGGCTCAACCTTGAAACCGCTACAAGTACCCTACCTGAGACACAGTTCTTCGAAGGAGACTCGGCGTTCAAGTTTTTAGGGCTATCGAGGACAACGAGGTTGTATGGTTTCATAGGATGGTGAGTACGTGTTGTGCTGTACTCGCCGCCCGTTCTGAGCCTCGAGATAATCTAGTTTAGTGGTTGGTTTTGTGCTTAGTCTGCTGGGGTCGATATTGCTGTTCATCGGGCAGCTGGGTATATTCGCAGGTGCGTTTTGCTGCTAATGCATCTATTCTAGGTTCTGAGATACGCTCTACAGTCCTCTATGTTATGGGAACGATTGTGTCTCTCGTCGGCACGGGGTTCTTGATTGGGGTGCGTGGCGTCGGGTTGCTTCTCTACACTCGGTTCTAACTCTGGATTCTGTAGTTTTTCAAGCAACTCAAGCTTGTAAGTTGGTCTTTATGCACGGCTGACTGGTGGCACTGACCCCTTGTACAGATGTTCAAGCCTGTTCGTGTTATCGCAACTTTCGTGTTCCTGGGATCCATTGTATTGGTATTTATCGCTGCATTCGTGCTGGATAACGATGTACGTGCCCAAACCGTCCTTGGTAGATGCGGATTGCTGATACTATGTCTTATTTCAGATTCTTTGCCTAAGTACGTCTGATATCCTTTTAGTGTCTCTGCCCCCGCTAATGTGTCGGCAGTATTCGTTATCATCGAGTACCTGGCATATACATGGTATACGCTGTCGTACATCCCCTATGCCCGTGCCGCAGTCACGAAAGCTGTCGGACTGGGTTAACTGACTATTTACACTGCAATCTCTCATTCGGGACTGTATTATTTTTCGTCGCTCAAATATTGTGTCCACAACTACTTATTCTCCCGGTTGCTTGTCTCAATTCGGATAATACAGGTTGCTTCATTCCAAAAATGCTGAATCCTTATCTTACAATCGTGATGGGCTACATCTTAATGGTCCCAGTAAAGTATTCACTTCTGCTATCCGACTCACCCCCGAAAATTGTTTTTCATTTCCCTAAGTTTGGCCATGACTGCACTCTCTGAAGTCTCTGATGTTGCTTGTCTGCAAGCTTTTGTTGAGAAAACGTCCAGGAAAGCAAACGAAAACGTACTGAACAGCAGGACTCCCTAGACGCATAAAAACATTCCATTGTTTTTCATCTCCTATGGTTGTCAGCCCAGTCGTTATCTTGTTCTGCTTTACGAGACCGGCGAGCCGGTCAATAGCCGGATTCTCAGGCTCAACAGACTTGGCAAAGGCGACATTTCCACCGGTGTATTCGTGACCGTTGAGAACCAGCGTGCTGTCAGGAAGCTTGCCAAGATACGTCAGAGCTGTTATCATCTCGGGTGCTGTCCCTTCGAAAAAGCGACCACAACCACCGATAAAGAGCGTGTCTCCCGTGAACACACCACCAGGGTGCAGTTTGTTAACTGTATCGGTTACGTAGTAGCAGATAGAGTCCTGGGTATGACACGGAGTAGCAAGGCATCTGATTTTTGTCAAGCCTACGCAAGGATACTGCTGAAGTAATTGAAACGTACTTGACATGGATATCTCCCAGCGTGAATTCATCGTTGTCCTTGACGAGTTTCGTCAAAGCAGGAACCTTTTCACTACCACCATAGATGGGTGCATCTGGAAAGGTCGCGGCCTGCGATAGGCTCGATACGTATCAGAAGAACTGAATAGCAGTACAACGTACAAAGTTCTGAGCGCATTAATAAGCGATACAATCTCAACAGATGGTGAGCACTGCGCACCTCATTGCCTCCGCTGTGATCAAAGTGATGATGTGTCGTAATACCTGCGACGATTTCCACGCCTGATGTTGATGTGAGCAGTTAGCGTAGCGCGCTAAGGTTATCTTCTGGTACCTAGAGTCTCTGCTGCAGACACGACCTTGCCGACATCGTATGGGTCGACGGCGGCGGCAGTTTTCGAAGGCTCGTCAATGAGTAGGTAGCTGTAGTTGTCCTGTCGGACAGGGACGGGAACGATCTTCATGAAGGGCGTCTGGGCGATGATGGAGAGCCGGCGCAAAGCTTGCATGTGTCACGTGGGGTGATCCCCGATGGCATGATGATCTCGATCGTTGACATCATATCTACTACTTTTTCGTCTTAAATCTTTTGATGGATTAGGACGCGCAACCGTCGCATCGCCCCAGGTTGCTTTGTGTTTGGGGTTAATAAAAACATGAAGAGTCTCCCCCTCTTTATTTCGTCTCCCATCTGCTCTCTTCTATTTTACGAGTTTATAAATCAAGTTTAAACACAACTATATTCCATGTCTCCAGCCCCATTTCAAAATGTGCAGGACAGACGTTCTGTCTATTCGGTATCTTCTGGAGTACCGGATTTGTTTTCGGTATGTCCACACGATTCTGTTCGTGGGGCTGCTGCTGATATTCAAGTTCTACTCCTCAGAGTCCGTTAAAATTGCGGGGCAATAATAATGATCGCAATAACAATAACCCTTGTAGAGGAGACTCAGGGACAAAGACGGAGTGCGTCCCACCCGGATCGTTCAGTAAGGCGTCTACGGAAACTCTCGAGAGTATATTCTCACTTTCTGAAAGGTGCTGCCGATTCATCAACTACTACAGTATCCATTTCAGCGAGCTCCGGTGCTCCACAAGGCTCCTCTTGTTCTACAACATGGCAAACACAGACCCACACTACGTCCATCACCGCCACGAGTGTAATTAGCAGCGTTCTCGGAACATCCGCAGAAAACATTTCTCCATCATCCACTTCACTTTCTTCTTCCTCAGACAGCGAAAGCGCTCAGGCCGCATCGACAAAGTCCCACAGAAACACGGGTGCCATTATCGGGGGCGTTATTGGCGGGGTCGTCATTCTCTCTATCGCAGCTCTTATTCTCTTCTTTTTCCTCCGACGTCGAAGGCGCATGAAACACACAGCCCCATCCGCCGAATTCCTGCACTCTAATTCAGTCTTCCAACGCCTGAACTCTGTTAAGCAGGGTTCTCCGTTGAAGCGCACCCGGCCGAGCTCAGATGGCGATGCTCACAGCACAAGCGGCAGAACCTTCCTACAAAGTTCCCCCACTTTGGAGAAAGTTGCGGTAGATACATCAGGGCATGGCCCTTGATTGTTCCCTGAAGTTAACATCGTTTGGATCCGGCCAAAACTCTTCAGACCGCATGAGACCGTGATCGATTCTCCAGGTCTTCCCGCACCTTGTATCCACATAGCTGCTGGTATTCAGTGTATTTTTATTAGACCTAGATCCGCGTTTCATCCATTCATCAAGGTCGTGATTCCGATACGAAAGAAGTTGCATCAGTGATACATAGAAAAATTACGAGATCTATACCAATTACAATTACTGTGTTAATCACTAAGAATGGCTTGTACAACATTGCCGACTCTAAGCTGTCTTAGATCAGTATACGTCTATAATGTCACAATGAATAAAGTTCAACAAGTATCCAGATAAAACCCACCTGTCCACATCCGACGAAAATAATAGGTTGTCCCGTAACGTATGTCATCGACAGCGCTGCGCCGACCTACAAATCATGTTTCAGTGCACAGTTACAACAACCCATAGAGACCAAATCACCTTATCATCCACTGTATCCCACTTAGTGACGAGCATGCCATCAATACCTCTACCCTTCCCCGCACCACCAGAGGCAGAAGAGAAATCTTTCAGGGCTCGATCAAACTTGGTTAGCTGGTCCACTGCCTCGTTGCCCACAAGCGCTTCACCAACGAAGATGATCTTGTCTGGGTTGTTGACCGCAACAAGCTAGACGGGACGTCAGACACTGCATTCACCACAGCTGGAGTTATGCCCATACCTTGGCTAAAGCACGCATAAGAGGCTGATGGCCGACAATAATCAGCTACCGCGGTTCTTCATAGATCACAAAAAAACTAACATACCTCGTTATCCTGCATTCTACCTGCAGTGTCGATCAAAACAACATCAAAGTCATTATCCTTAGCTAGGCTACAGTCAGCTGCGCATATCCACATGTTGGAAGAATTCTGCATACCGTGTGTAATAGCTTCCCGTGCTATTCCTGCGGCATCCTTACCATATCCACGCTCAAAAAGCTCCACTCTGGCCTTGCTATTCGTGGCGCCGTCTACACCCAGCATGCCCAGGTTACGAACATGAACCCTCAGCTGCTCCACGGCGCCACTCCTGTGATTAACATCAGACCACGGCACTGCAGGACATAGCAAACGTACATACCTGAAGGTGTCACAGGCGGCAATCAAGACCCGCAGTCCATTTTGGATCAGCCAAAAACAAACTTTGGATAGATTCGTGCTTTTACCAACGCCATTGACGCCAACGAACGTAATTGAGTATGGCGCACGTTGGTGATTAGATGGGACCGGGGCAGTAAGCTTGTTACGGATGGAAAGAAGGAGGTCGGTAGATGTTTTAGGTGTTAGGATACGTGTTAAGGACGTTGAAAGCGCAAGGCGAACAGCCGCATTGGTCGCTGGTGATATTTTGGGTAAGTGTAACAAAATCAGATTATCGTGGACTTACTTTGGAAACCGCCGACCTTCTTGCCTACTAAGCTCTCTCCAACGCCCTCGCACACTTTGTCTGCAATTTCCTTAGCAACATTCTTTTTCATCAAATGCTGTTTCATTCCATCGAGGACAGGCTTGAGATCAGACTCCGTCAACACCTTCGAACCCGTCAGCCGTGCGAATAATGAACCCAAAGCGCCCAATGATCCCGATGTCGCATTTGTCGTCTTGTTTTCAGCGGGCCTGAGTATATCATCGGCGACGTCAAACTCCCAGTCCTTGACCTCATACATCCCATCCGCTCGGACATGTCCTAGAGAAGTTTTGTCGACAAGCGAGGCCAAATCAAGCTTTTTGACGTCCCCGTTGACAGGCTTGTCTACACTGTAATCGAAGGTCTTCATGTCCTGTTCGGTGATTTCCTCGTCTCCCCACTTGCGGCCCGCCTTCGCTTTGGTATGTCGCTTGCTAGGAGCCTCAGAGCTGGGTCAGGAACGTCAGACATAATCACGGACAAAAGGTTGGAGGTATACGTACTCGGAGCTCGGCAGGCTGTCCTTGTCGAATGATTCCGCGACTCTGCCCCCACCACGCCCACCACGCCTGCCTCCACGGCCCCGTAATCGGTTCCTCAGGGCCTGAACATTGCGAGCGATCTGCTGCTCGTCTTGCGGGTTATCCGTCGGCTGAGAGGGGACTGGTTGACAGTGTTAGATGTCAGTTTGACGAGAATATAGGCCGTATTCACCTGTGCTTGGATCATCCGAGGGCGGGCTAGGTTCTACTGACACAATAGGTCGGATGGGAGCGCGGCTTCTCGATTTTCGGTCCTATAAATCATACTCTAGTCAGTGCACATCCGTAGAGTAAAGTAACAGACCTTGTCTTCAAGTTCCCTCAACAACTTGTCAAATACCTGGTCCCATCGCTCAAACACTTTTGAAAAATTCCAGCTCTTTGGACTCTCCTTCACCGACGCCGTCTTAGCATTAGCCTTGTGAAGAGACGCTACAAATGTTGCCAAAAATGGTTCGAACAATTTCAGGAAGAGTGTCTTGAGGGCAACCAAAAGTTCATCGACGTATGTCAGTTGGAGGATGCGCTGGTATGCGACAACGAAAATCAGCTCCAGGTCATTCACAAAGGTCCACTTGACCGCATATCCATCTTTTTCGTACTTTTCATCCGTGGTGCGACCTTCGATGAGAGCTTCACGAATGAGTGAATTGACGGGAGACGCTGAGGACGATGCCAGGTGAGCCGCTTCTGGTGTAAAGGACCTTGACCATAACACAATCCCGCCTATACAATGTAAGTTATGGAAAAGATATGACAGCGAACAAAAAAACCTCTGTGCGAGATAGAGCAGTGGTCGAGCATGACGAAGTATACCGGACAAGAAGAGTGTACTGTTCAACAGATACAGCTCTGTCAAGGAATAAGTGAATATCCCTTCCTTTCAGTACTAGTACAGACCGCACGCAATGTTGGCGAGATGATGGGATGAGTAAAGAATTGCAGTGTCGGACGAGTGCAGCCCACTCAATTTCTATATCGGGAACTGGCAATGCCGCTCACGTCATTTCGAAGCGTAAGTAATGATATTCGTGAGTAGGAAGCGATACAGCCCAAGTAAAAAAGTAAATTCAAAGAAATCGTAAAAAAAGGAGTGACAAGTCTCAAGCCTGACCAGCATTGGATGTAGAACTTCCAGCAGAAGCAGTAGAAGCCTGCGTTCTCATTACACCAGGAACCTTTCGTTCAATCATTGCCCGAATCTCTCTCAAATGCTGTATACCCTCATTCGTCGAGGGAGACATCTCCGGGAGAAGACTCAGACGCTTTTCCGTTATACCGAGACTACGATAAACCGTGGGCATAACTCTTGGAGCGTAGTCCAGCATCATGTTGTCCTGGAATTGCGCATTCAGTATCTGTAATGCAACGATCGTATATAGGCACTCACGTCTAGACGCAGGAGTTGCAAGGCTCGGTGCATCCACTGAATAGCAAGCTTAAACGCAGGATCAGAAGGTGCAGACATATCAATGATGGGAGTAGTCTGCGCAACCACAGTCAGCTATAACAACGCCGAATTACAAGACCGCGGACTTACTCGATGGATTATAACAATGATACAGGTCTGGGACAGCGTAGGAACATCGGGTCGCATGGAGAGGACCGTGTCAATGTTAGTACGAGACAAGAGATTAAGGAGATCTGGCACGGGGGCCGAAGGCGACAAGTGTTCTACGAAATGATTTTCATATTTGGCCATTTCATCCGCAGTTATGGGCTTCTCAACCGGAGGTGGAGGCTGCGCAGGGTGAGAGGGTTGCGGTGCCGCGATTCCCTGCCTGTACCACGATGGCAGAGGTGCTTGTGCCGGTTGTGGGTCATGAGGATACCATCCCGGTTGCTGCTGGGGCATGGGGCCACTGGAGTGACCCATGGGCATGCGAGCCTGCATTTGAAGTTGAGGCTGACCCATGGCTTGCTGTTGCTGCATAGGCATGCCCATAGGAAGCGATTGCGACGCCGGAGGCTGCGTTGGAGGAGTACCAGCCGGAGGGTGCGAATTCTGGAACTTCACCTGCTCGGACAACAACCGCACTGACCGTTCCAACTGGTTGATCGACGTCTGCATAATGAAGGTGTTATTAGTTTGTCACGGCAGATCAACACGGTGCATACCTCATGGCTTCTACTGACTTCACTCTGCCATCGCGTGATCTCACTCTTGATATTGTGTATTTCAGGAATGAGAATCTGGGTAACCACTTCCTTCACTTGTCTATCGATAGCGATATTGATATTGGATGCGAGGATCTGTGCGAGCTTGTTGGAAAACTCCGGACGAAGTAGCAGAGATTCCATCTCCGCGGGAAGACGCTGCAGAGGGAGCATTAGCGCTTATCAAGAATGCCGGGAGAAGTGGACTTACTCGTGAGACAAGGTCCGTCAGGCCCCTTCCGAGCTGATCATTCAAAACAGTTTTCACTTCGTTCCTGGTGATACTTTCAAGGGAAGGAAGAACTGAATTCTGGACCTCGTTCTTGACGGCGACCTCGACGACCCTGGTAGTGTTCCTGGTCAATTCCGTGGAAATTAACTTTAGAATCTTCTCCTGGCGAGCGAAGTCTTCCGCTTGCTCATGTGCTCGAGCGTCCTCAAACCGTTGCTCTATAAAAAAATTTCAGATCTTTCATCAGCGCTATCAAAGCAAGCCACTCACGTTGCTTGTCCATTTCTTTGTTGAGTGAGCGCGTGATTCTTGTATGCAAGCTGTCCTCCAATTTCTTCATCTCTTTAGTCAAAGCTTGTCCGACGGGAACCTCAGTGTTCTCCTTCTCCTTACCCTTCCCATTATCGTCTTTTCCACCCCAGGTCACATTCTTCCCCTTCTGACCTTTCCCTTTCGGCTCGTGGGTCCGTCCTTCGTCCCTCGATACATCAACCTCAACCTCTTCCGATGGCGGCGTCCTCAAGCGGGGAGGTGCCGCCGGCTGAGGAGCAACAACCGTCGGTGCTTGTCTGGCCTTTTCAGGAGGAGGCTGTGGCGGAGCGATAGGAGGATACTTGGCTGTCGTCGACGCAAGCGCGACATCAAACCACTCTCTGCGGATAAGAATCTGATCAACACCACTCGAATGTACAGAGAACGCTGCCAAGGCCAACTCCCCAGGAGGTACTTTAGCAGCAACGCAAGCGGCGTAGGCCTCATCCCCATTGGGGTCTGCGTCTGCCGTCAAGATGACGAAATGTATGGTGGGTTTCGGCCCGGAAAACTCGACGACCTGCTCGACATAACCCCTGCCAGATTCGTCACCCATGATCACGGGAGAGTCCATGTTCAACTTGAAAGCGATCATACTGTCACGCCTCGAGTTAGCAATCCAAAGAGTCTGAATCCGCGCATCGTAGCTAACATGACCGAACATGCTAAGTTCGTCTGGACCACTAGCACTGCTTACGAATTTGATTGTAGAGAGCACCGCTTTCGTATTGGATGAAAGGAGTTGGAACACAGTCCCGTTCTTCCTACCAACGACGATGACACCGTCTGCGTATGTGAGCGAAGAAGGTGTATCTTCACCGCGGATCTTATGACTGGCATAAGGAACTCTGTCCTGGATATTCCACGTTGTCAGAGTAGAGTCAGTGGAGATGGTAAGGAGCGCGTATTGCAAAGTATCGAAGTCGAAGGCAACCAATGACTGTGCGAATTATCGTCAGATACTGTCAATGTAAATTTGGAGGCGAAGGGTGAACTTACAGAAGACAGAGTTATGAGATGCCCGATGTGACGAAGGTCATTATGTGTCAAGTTGGGGCCGTGCAATCCAGAAACATTGGCCAAATCAATTAGATAAATTTGGCTATCAGAGGCAACAGCAAGAGTATCAGGATCTTTGGGATGCCATTTTACAGATTGAAGAGGCTCTGTCTCCGGTAAAGGTGCGACACAGAGCAACAGAGTTCCCCTGTAAATTCTTAGTACTTGGTTAGTTCAAATAATAACAAAGACATACGGGACATCGTCGGTGATCACTTCTGGGAGCTCCCAAACAACAAATCCGCCGTCAGAGGTGACACCGGCCAAGCGATTACCGAATACTGCCATGTCGGAGACGCTGGCATTTCCAAAGGTAGGCGGTAGCTGAAGGAGCGTTCGATCGCCATTGGAACGAGAGATTACACGGACACGTCCTCTGCTCATAGCGTAGGCCACCCAGTGCGTAGCACCAATGGTTGTCCCAGGAAGGAAGACGGTCTCCTGCTTGACCAATGCAATTGCTGTCGATTTGACAGAATCCCTTGGGGCCTGGATTTCATCCAAAGGCTGAGAGACATCGAAGATGATAGTCTGCGGCTGAGAACTAGCCGAGAGTCGTAAGCAAAAAAGATAATCGTGTGATAAATAACATGAACGCACTTCGCGTTCGCGTAGTTCTTGTTTCCTCTGCCCTGGCCACGCCTGATGCTACCGCCGCGAGGTCCTGGGGAACTTTCCTTATCTCGCTTGCTACCGCCATTGCTCTGAATGGTACCTTGTTGACTGGCCGGTGATTCACCCATACGTGCACGCTGTGCTTGTGTCTTTGGTGGTGAGAGACGGGGAGAGGGCTCACGACCCGGAGCGGGTTTTGGAGGAAGAGGTGGAGGCGGAACTCGAGGATCCGCCTGAGACAACCTTGTATCCGCTGTGGACCTAGGTGTGTAATCGCTGCTCGATGGATCATACAAATCGTACGGCGATGTCTGCTGAGGATATGACTGGATGTTAGTCATCTGCTCCAAGAGGTTTTCGACAGATCGTCGCTTCGGATCCGAAACCGACGTCCACGAGCTTGATTCTTCGCCGCCACTTGAAACAGTCGCCGACTGCGGGACCTTTTTCTTGGGAGGTCCTGATGTCGATGAGAGAACGTCGAAAGGAGAGACAAAGTCGAACATGGTTTTTTGTGGTTCTGCTGCTGGCTGCGGTGGTAGCTGCTGTTGTTGCTGCTGTTGAGGTTGAGGTGGAACAGGAGCACGAGGAATGTCTGCGGTGAGATCGATAGTATCCTGATACTGTGGACCGTAAGGACGGTATTCTTCCTGCGACTGATATGGCGGCGATGGTGCGACTGCAGGGTTGGCAGAATTGTGTGGAGATTCTGAATAATTTGACCTTGGGGCTGTTCTACAAACGAGATAGAAGGCACGTCAGTAACTCGAAGGGACGAGCGAGCATAAAAGAAGGTAAGATGCATGGCACTGGCTACACGCAGCTTCCGCGTGTGGATCCCGATCGTGGCACCAAGGCAGAGACAGCAGGTATCATGCAGGGACGTGCTGCACGACAACGAATGAAATTTGCATGTCGAAGGGAAAGAGATAAGATCAGCGCCGGCAAAATGCCCAGCAAACACGTCTGACACGAAACGGCAGCAGGGACATATAATACACTCACCCAGTCATCAGCTGCTCCAACAGCAATTTTCCCTGTGCTTCTGCGCTTGCTGCAGAGCCTCCTGATCCAGACCTAGGCTGAGAACCTCCTGGAGGCGTAGGAATCTGCTGTGGCATGGTCGGACCTGGCCCAGCATTCGAGTTCCGAGGTGCTGGGTTGCTTGGAGGACCAGCAAGCAAAGATAATAATGCGTTTTGCCTTTCAGCGAGGGTAGCGTTGGAATTACTGCTCGCATGCGGGGACGATGGTTCGTCGGACACGGACATCATGGGCGTTGTTGGATTGGACCCGTTGCTGCCGTAACTCTCCTGCTGGCTGAACGACTGTTGAGATTGGGATTGGGAAAGGTCAGAAGACGAAGAATTGATATGTTGAAACAGAGTGTCGATATTGGTAGAAGAAATGTTGTGCGATAGATGCTGACTGGAGTGATACTGTGGCTGAGGCTGCTGTACAGGTGGTGTCGAGCCGCGAGAAAAAAGGTTGTTACGAGCCTCCATTACCACCGGAAACGACAGAAAGATTGTCGACAGAGGTCGTGGACGTCGTTGATTGACGATAGAATGGCGAGAGAAAAAGGTGAATTTCTACCTCAACACGCCGGATACACGAGGCTGATGTTCTTCGGGATTTGCCGGGGGCATGGCTATTATGAACAATAAAGTTGAAAAACCAAGCAAAAAAGCAGGTCGTCCAGCCATTGTATTTGCTATACGATAAGAGAAGGAATAAATACAGATTGTTGCAAAAGTCGAAACACTAAGGACGGGATGAGGAAGATAAGAGCTATGCGTGAAAGATTTTTATGCTCGATCAATCAGTTAAGCTTCCGTTTATCGCAGGTGAACGGTAGCTACTGTTCGTCCCCTGAAAACGAGAGACGTACAGAAACAGAAAGGAGATTATGACAATCGAAGAAAAATGTCAATGGGGTTTGCGGTCAGGATACATCGTTCATCAACACGCGTCATCAACACGTCTCTGGACCACCAGCCTGGTTCGATAAGTTCGATTCTGGCAACGTAAAAAAGCATACTCCCGCAGGTACATGGTGAACAGCATGTTGAAGTGGAGGCCGGTGATAAAGGACTAGCATTTTGAGATAGATCCGACCGAGATTACGCTTGCAGTTGACGAAATATTATCCTTGAGACGTCGTGCTGGCTGCCAGGTAAAATGACAAGTTGTTAATAACCAGTCACATTGCCTGCTCTAAACTCTTGACTGCACCATTTTATGGACAGCCAATAGGAGGGCTATGCGCGAATATCTGGATGGCTGAGTCAGCGATTGAAACAACAGGGGTAAACAGCCTGGCGAGTGTATAAAAAGGGATCCAAAGTAGCAGGTGCTCTCCAACAAACTCTCCCACAAACCACAACTGCCACAACCAGCCTTTAACAAACTTCGATTTATCATGTTCACTGTACGCACCCTCTCCCCAACCAAGTCGATGACCCTTGACTTATATCGTTCACAGATTGTCGAGACCCCTGTTTCTCAGAACGGCTGCGGCAGCACCTCTTGCAACTGCGGCGCGTCGTGAGTTTCTGTCGTCTGGACTGCAGAATGTTTTCTGATCATTGTTGTCATGTTCTAGCTGCGCCTGCAAGCCCGGCGAGTGCAAGTGCTAAGCGCCTCGTCTGTTGACCGTTATGTTGGAAGGAATGCTGTAGGAAATACGTCGAATGAAGAATCGTTGCTTTTCTTGTAATATGAATGAACTTGATTGCTTATGCACTAATGAGGGGATCACAAGCTGTTGTGAGAAATGGAGGGCGCCGTATCCATCAACACTGCACAGCTAGGGGAATAAAATAAATAATGTTCCATATATGGGACAAACATACGTACCAATCTCTCTATACCTGTTGCGTCTCGCTGGATCTAATTCAATTAGTTGTTCTAAAAGAGAATGACAGTCCTGAGCCAAGCGGGTGGTGTCCGTCAATGCACCATGCTTTGAGATTAGGAGGCGTTTATAGTGCACAATGGACTCCATGCACCCTAAGAATGGAGTTGAGCAAGTAAGAACGTTAAGTCAAACTGAGCAAGGTGACGTACATTTACTGTCAGGTTGTTCGTTCAACAGTTCCTGGATAACGGCAATCTCGTTCTCCAATAGCATCTTATCGTCACCTGCCGATGGAATATTGTATTATCAGTCTCAGTGGGAACAGATATAAATTATATCGAACCTGAGCCTATGAGCCATCGGTGGTACAGCCAGACGCTTTGGTCATCCGGGTCTGTGAACATAGCGTTCCGTACGAGCTCAAATTCTACGCAAGTGAGGCCAGGGACACGATTATTTGGACCCATGACCCACCATCTTCTTTGGTTTTGACGGGATCAAGACGGCCGCTGTTCCATAAAGAAGTTAACACCTTGGAGCGTTGGTGCCATGCACTGAAATTAGAAAAATTAGATTCGATCTTCTTGGTGGTGTAGGCCAACTCGGATGTCTCGGATCGAGGAACGGGCATGCCAGATAGGACATATCTCCTGTAATTCCATGCGTGGACTAGAGGAGTATCAGAAAGAGAAAGGCGTATAAGGGTAAAAGGCACTTGCAATTGCGGGGATCGGTGTCCAGCATCCGTTCTACCACGAACATTTCTTTGTCCCAGTAGGACTTTTTCCATCCTTCAGCGTCACCTTCGGTGGCGGTACCAGGACCATCGGGTATGTGCTCAAGACACCATCGACGGTGATTCCAGATCCAGTACACTTTCGGATGCACCTTCAGGGCAAGCGTCGTCAAAGAAAGATCATCTGAAATATATTCGTTGATTTCTTGAGGCGTCCTTGCGGCGGTTGAGCCACAGCATTGACAGGAATGACATGCGTCGCACCTATTTGCGAATATTCCGTTTAGCAGTATAGTCCGGCGATAGTTCCATACAGTGTAAAACTCTGGGTTGATTTGGAGCATTCGGGTTGTCAGATCCAAGGCTTCCTTGGACCAATCCTTATTCTTCTTCTGTAAGACGGTTAGCTCCCGTTACTCGGCCATGCTGCTTGAAACCCTACCCGAGTCAATATGTCGTCGTTCAGTACAAGATATTCCTTGATCTTGGCCTGTTCGCGTGTTTTTCTGGCTTCGATAGCCTCCTTGCTTTGCCGAGCGCGCCTGACTCCGTGCTAAAGGGTGCCATTGAGACGATATACCGATAAACTTGACGTGTACAGACCATGACTGATAAGGTAAAGGAAAGGTAACCGTGGGAACTTTTGACTTGTCCCGGTCGTTCACTTTGAAGATCGCAACTCTTGCTCATCGTCGACCACGATGCCCTCAGTAGCAGAGAAAGGAAACTCGTTGGAGAGCCTTTCCTCTCTCTTTCCGCTGACATTCCCTATCCCAAGCCCAGTTACTCACCCTGACCTCGTCACCGTAAAAGATCTCCACCGCGAGGAGGACCTCCTCCGTAATCCACAGTCTTTTCGCGCTTGGTGGTCAGCAATCCATACTGCACGGGATGCATATACGTCTCAAATCAAAACCGAACGGCCGTCCGATCTCCCGGAAGAGGTTGCGGCACTTATTGGGCCTCTGTCGACACCTCTTCGCCGTATATCATTGCAGCGCCTGACCTACCTCTATGAGTCAGCGTTGGTCCAGTTTCCTGGTTCATTCAAAATGTGGAAGTCGTACCTAATAATGCGAATGTCGTACGTGCTGGGCAAGCAGGTCGTGAAAAAGAGAGCTGGCGGGAAAAAGAAATTTCCCGAGATGAAGGACGCGCTGGAGGAGGAAAAAGAAGATCTTGAGGAGTGGGAGGCAGGTTTGGATGGCGTCGTTGGCTGGGAAGAGTGGAAGTCGCTTATTGCAACCTTTGAACGCGCGCTTATGTGGTTGCCAAAGGTACGTAGCCTTTGACATGCATTTCTTCAGATCTTATAATTCTTTTATGTAGCTACCCCGGCTATGGCTATTGTATCTATCCATATTTTTCCACCCTTCATGTCCTCCAATAATTTCCTACACCCATGCACGCCATACTTTCGACCGAGCGCTGCGAACACTTCCGCCTTCCCTTCATTTCCGTATCTGGGTTCGATATCTCCTTTGGGCGGAGACACGAGGAGGATCAACAATGGTTGCAGTATATCGTCGCTACATCGCTGTTGACCCGAGCGTAACAGAACGCTTTACTTCCCTCCTACTTTCACCTTCGACATCAGACCCGCGTCCTCTCGAAGCTGCAAAGCTCCTGCTTTCACTGGCACGGAAAGCCTCGCGAGGAGAATACGTCAGTCCCGAAGGCAAGAGCCCATACCAGCTTTTAGGAGATTGGCTGGACGTTGTCGAGAAGTTTTCGGATGACGTAGGCTTGGACACAGATGAGACTGACGTCTCTAATGCAAACAACGAACAAGCTGATGCCGCAAAGTCGTCGGAGCCTGTTCCGGCAGATGGTCAATACAAACCTGTTCCAGAGCATGATGAAGACGAGGATCCTACAAGCCCACGCAAGCTCAATATCGAGAGGATCATACAGAAAGACGGCCTTGACTTGTACAAGGACCAAGCAGGTCGTTTGTGGACCGGTCTAGCAACATATTGGATCAAACGTGGAGAGTTTGACCGGGCGAAGGATACCTTTGAACAGGGTATCTCATCAGTATTGACTATTCGTGACTTCACACAGATATTCGATGCCTATGCAGAATTCTGCGAGTCTTTGATTTCTGCCATGATGCAGAATTTGGCTGATGAGGAAGATGAGGAAGATGCTGCGGAGACGGAGAAAGAGCTCGACATTAGGATGAAGGAGTTCGAGGAGCTAATGGATCGGCGTCCATTCCTTGTGAACGAGGTACTGATACGGCGAAATCCTAATGATGTCCAAGAGTGGGAGAAAAGAGTTGCTCTATGGGGGGAGGATGACGAGAAGGCAAGTGCATCTTATTTCGCGATATCGCGCGCAATCTCAAAGTCTATCTCAGGTTGCAGAAACATACACCAAAGCATTGGAGACTATTGTACCTCGAAAAGCCACCGCCAACTTGCATCGGTTATATGTCAGCTTCGCCAAATACTACGAGGAAGGCGGCGCAAGTGGAATGGCTGAACCGGACCTCGATAGTGCCCGGAAGATTCTTGAGAAAGGGACCAAAGTGAACTTCAAGGCCGTGGAAGACCTGGCAGAAGTCTGGTGCGAATGGTCAGAACTGGAGATTCGACACGAGTGCGTTTCAGCTTCCTTTTGCACAATCAAACAAACCTGACTTGGGCGTAGAAATTACGACGAAGCTATTCGGGTGATGCAGCGTGCTGCAGCTATTCCTAAAAACACAAGAATAAATTACCACGATCACGTATGTCGGATCCATGCAGATTTCTGAACTGAGCTGATATTACGACGTGCGACGTGCAGACACTGTCGACGCAGACGCGCTTATTCAAGTCTCTCAAGCTTTGGTCGTTCTACGTTGACCTTGAGGAATCTATAGGCTCAGTGGAATCCGCCAAGGCAGTCTACGATAAGATCCTGGAGCTCAGAATAGCAAACGCCCAAATTATTGTCAATTATGCTGCGTTCTTGGAGGAGAACAAATACTTTGAGGAGAGCTTCAAGGCAAGTCCTCGTGCTAAGGTCTATATCCAATGCTCAACATCCCTGCGTTACAGGTCTACGAACGGGGAGTAGAGCTTTTCACTTTCCCCATATCCTTTGAGATATGGAATATATACTTATCAAAATTCATCAAACGATATGTAAGTTTTCCTGCTATGTGCTTTGATTCTTGTTGATGTTGGTTCTTCAGGGCGGCACGAAAATTGAACGAGCTCGGGATCTTTTCGAGCAAGCATTAGAGAAATGTCCCCCGAAGTCATGTAAACCCCTCTTCTTGATGTACGCCCAGCTGGAAGAAGACCACGGTCTCGCTAAACGAGCCATGTCTATCTTTGACCGTGCCACTCAAGTCGTTGCCGATGAAGATAAGTTTGAGGTATGCGCGTTGCCCCATGATCGAACCCCCCATTATACTCATCATTTCATACCTCACAGATGTTTACCATCTACATCGCCAAAGCCACTGCCAATTACGGGCTTCCCGCCACTCGTCCTATATATGAGCGGGCCTTGGAAGGTACACCTTTCGATACCTATATCTTATTGCTTCGTCTGACCTTATCGCCAGTTCTCCCGGATCGACAAACTGCCGAGATATGCCTCCGCTTCGCCGCTCTGGAACGCAAACTTGGTGAAATTGATCGCGCGCGCGCGATCTACGCCCACGCTTCCCAATTCTGCGACCCCCGCGTCAACCCTCAATTCTGGACCGAATGGAATAGCTTTGAAATCGAGACGGGATCTGAGGACACTTTCAGGGAGATGCTGCGCATTAAGCGTAGCGTGCAGGCACAGTTCAACACTGAGGCGAGTTACTTGGCGGCACAGACTATGGCGGCTAGGCAGGGGACGAGGAAGGACGATTTGGAGGATGCGGTAGAGGATGCGATGGCTATGGCTGATAAGCAAGCTGGTGCTACAAAAGGACCGGCTTTCGTGGCTGCGAAAAAGACGGCCTTGCCTCGTGTGGATGAAGAGGTACAGGAAGGGGAAGCTCCAGCACCAGTAGCCAATACTGATGAAATCCATATCTCGGACGATGAAGATCTGTAGTACATGTTATGTAGCTTATTATTGTATCTCTCATCCAGCTTTTTTATCTCCGATGCTTGAACGCAGTGTATATATCACATAAGAACAGCAATTATCGCTTGCTACGGAGCTTCGCTTTCTTCTTTGGGGGCCTTGGTCCCTGTTCATCTTCACTACTTTCCTCTGCCTCCTCCTGTTCACTTTCATCGCCCTCACTAATCTCTTCCTCATCATCCCAGTGCCCTTCGTCGTGTTCGTCGTCATCGCTGTCTGCATCAACATTGTCCTCGTCCTCGTCATCTTCCTCTGCACCCCCAGTTTTTGCCGCCTTTTTCCGTGCTACATTCCTCTCTTGCTCCTCCCTTCGCTCCCTTCGTAGCCTCTCTTTCGCTGCGTGTGCCTCCTTCAGATTAGCTACTTCCTTCTTCGATTTTTTCACTGCGCATTCCATTAGACCGGGTTGAAAATGTTACACTGAAAGCGACTCACCGAATTCGTGGTATATCACACCACCCTCCTTTCCAGGAACACCTTCCGTGATTTTCACCAGCCTCAGCTCCAGCCTGGGACCAACCTCATCGAGTCTCACAGCACGCCTCGATCCCTTTTTATTATTCTTCCCGACATAATCGTCTGCAAGATCGACAGCGTCTTCATCGCCAGCAACACTCTCCGCAGAAGAAGCACTTTCATACCCATCAGGACCGGGTTCGCCTCGTTTACGAAGAAGGAAATCTGCGACGTCTTTCTCGTTCCCGAGGTCCAAGAATCCGTGAGATGTCGAGCCTTTGTTTGCGCCTTCGAGAACACGACGGACACGTTTGGATACGCCGTAAGGTTTCACGGTTATTAGGTAGTGTCTAAAGTCGACGGTACCACGATCGGCGTTGTAAGATACTAGGACGACTCGCCGAGCAGAAGAGAGTGCTATCGTTTTTGGTGAGAGAGGAGGAAAGAGGGATTGGAACGCCTTCATGACAAGGGGTAGATGAGGGGGAGTTGTAGGAGATGGAGGAGGAAATGATGCTAGAACAAGCTACTCGAGTAAGTTTTCTAAATCAAGACACTACGAAATGGGAACGTACCAGAGGTGGACTGAGGTATTCCATGCCGATACTCCGAGCCTTCTTGGACGTATTCAAAATATCTTTCATAAGACTGTATCTCTCCACTCGAAAGCTGAGAGTCGGGCCAGAGGAAAGACGGACTATCCGCAACGACGGCGCGACGGGTGTCAAAGTAAATGCAAGTAAATGTGTGACTTGAAGTGCAGGTGCGAGAGTCAAGTAATCTTTGAGCTTATTTCTATTTCTCTCCTAAGCAATGAAGTCAGCCTTGTGTTACTGCAGACTAGAATCACGAACCCTCAGACGACTGGCAGTATTAGGTTCCATAACTTTTCGTATATCCCGTACGAGTTGAGCAATGGATGCTCCCACTTGGCCATGCTTGATAACAAAAGACTTCGGTACACCTGCCTGCGAGGACGCAGACTCGGTAGTGACGCCCTTCAAATGTGTCTTGTTCTTTCTTCGTCGACCCATGGTGTGGAGGAGATGCTTAAATTTAGATGATCGCAGAAAATTTGGTCAGCACGTGGTAGCTCAAAAAGGCAATAAGCTCTGTTCAACGGCGATGGCGATGTCAAATTCTGCAAATTGCGCCTAAAAACTCTGCAGCGTTACTTGGCCGTTACGCCGTGATTTTTATTCGACTACATAGCTCTCTAATAGGCCAGGAGCCAGCAGGGAAAAAAAAAAAAAAAAAAACCTGAATTGGCATGCAATAAAGTCAGATCCTTCCTGCTACTCAAAAACTGGGTGCTCCTTTCCCGACTCAGACTGACAACTATGGTATGCTCGTTTCTCCCTCGTCGTTTACGAATGGAATCCTGAACTCGACGTGACTTGATACAGGAAGTGTAGTAGCCATACCTCCTCGCGGCGCTGACATATCGGCAGTAGCAGCCGTTTCACGAAGTCCGAGTAGAAGACGACAGCACAGTATGCTGTGAGAGACCCGGAGCAACCTACCCCAAAGCATATTCAGCTTCTAAAAGCTGTTATCCGGATACATAGAACGGGACGTACGTATCAAGTAAGTCTAGCATGTCATGCTGCACATCAATTAGTACCATGATTGTAGTGCTTGGTAGAAAGATACTTGCTGGAGCCAATAGAATGACCAGGACGTTAGCCAACGTCAAAGCTTGGAAGCTAATGAGACAAAATAGGCGTATCCACCTCTATTATACTGACCGAATAGACAAATGTAGTACATTATCCCTACAAAACATATGTGAGTTCGTGAGGTGCCACTACTGAAATGAAGGAGACGGACCATCTCGGAAGAATCTAGAAATGAGGAGGTTTGTAGAGCCTCGAACTATGTAACAGATTATGAAAGTCTCATGAAATGAGAGCTCGGGTACACACATAATCTGAAGGCCTTCCAGACAGTCAACACGACCATTACTTGAGAGGTAAGCTCAGATGTCGTTGTCTGAGGAGCTAATAAGTGACTCCTTACCGGTTTCCAGTAGTAGAAGAGAGGCAAAACATATAAAAATGCGAGGGCTCGCTTTGGTTAAGTAGCAACCCGGAACCAAAGCTGACACTTGACGCTCAACTTGGAGGAAGTAAGAAGCTATAGGATAGACCGCGGGTGGGAAATGGCCACTATGCGCACTCACAGACAGATGTCTTCATGAACTTGACGAGAGGCCAGCTATTTCCTAATACCCAGATCTGTCGAAGTAAGTTACACGATCTAGAGCTAGCAATGGGTTAGAGCGTACCGTCCATATCAAGCCGAGCCCCCAAACCATGCTCTTACAGTTACCATACAAGGCGCATGTTCACACAATCAAGATCACTATGACCATGAGACAGCCGTGATATCAAATTATCACAGACTTACACTCAGATACGGCAATTCCTACCCCGGTGGAAACTACGACAAGTAAGCCGACAGCTGGGTATAGTCATGTGGTATAAGTACCAGTAGCTATATCGTGGCTGATATAGCAAATCTGTAAACAGTTATGATGGGCTTAATCACCACGAGGCACAAATAGCTGTACCTTGGGATCAGCCAAGGGTTGAATGTGCTCTAGAAATTTGATAGATTATCAAGATAAAGACCGTGTATGTTGCCAGTGCACAATACCTTGGACATGGAAGGCGACATCGAGAATTGGAGAGTACCGACTCATGAAGTAGAGAATTTTCACCAAACTCCAAGGGGAGTGCCATATCAGTGAGGCCTATTCAACGTCGAGCGCAAACCTGACTTTGGACCAAGGAAATTTTACCTCTTGTTCCAGTAAAATTGACCATTCGTATATCTACAACTCGCCTGTTGATCCATAACTCCAATGGAGGATTTGACGATGTCGACGCACCATAACAGTCGCACTCGCGACTGACGAAACTGTCAACACTACGCAGCCTGTGTGACAAGAGCTACTGACCTACAACGTACTAGGTGCAAGCAACTGTTAGTGCTGCACCACGAGTAGGCTGAAAACGACGTACACCGATAGCTCTGGCGTCGTAAACAGAATGAATGAGAGAGGTTAGATCATTTCCCTGTGGTCATCGGGTCGCATTTATCCAAAGCATGACTTGACTTGTCTGAGATGGTATCGTTCTTCCCCGTGATGCTGATATGTGTACGCGGACTTCGATAATTCAAACTTTGTGTAGCCAGTGCAGCTGGATAGATGTTATCGCCTCTCCCGAGCCCGGTGATACTGCCCATCTGTTATATAGGTACGGTACGATCATTGGGAAGGACTAGAGCTCACCAAGGTTGATCAGAAGCTTCCTATCTCAGTATCGCACCATCACATTCTGATAATCAATGTCCAGAGATTCTCCTGTAGCACCTACCCACAGTACTCAAGGAGTCCCAGTAAGAAACAGCCGAATAATGCCAGGTAGCATCTTGTCTTGAAAACTCAACAAGTGTTATTCGACGCAAGTTATGTGGGTCTCCGTCAGACCATGCACGATTTTCCTCGGAGAATTGAATAACGATTGGTGTAAATCACGCGAAAACCAAGGGAACAAAATAGCTTGCTGGTTAGTTGATGCTGATTCGGCGTATCGTCCAAATGGTCATTCCGCCAGTTCGCAATGTGTTTCAGGGCATGAAATGAGGGATGCTATTTGTTAGAAGTTCATGTCCCAATTTCTTCGTCCCCAGTACCTGTTAACAATTATTGAATAGTCAACTACTCCTGACTTTCTGTTGCCCAGTATCTTGGTACTTCGAACCCCATCTTGAGCTCAAGCTAGTTCAGGTGTAATCAAACTGAAAGACGACCATAACTATACCCGGAAGCTCAGGGGTCGTGGAAAGGCAAAACGGCTTTGGATGAATCGAGTGCGATTCAATGGGCTCGACATCTCATCGAATCTGCGGGTACCGACAGCCGTTAGTCTAAGGAAACTGTCAGCTAGATAACCTTCCGCCGTTACCTACAATGTATTAAGACTTAGTAACATGATTTGTGATACAATTTCATACGATTTAGACATCCCTTGGATCACGCGGTTCTTGTTTTGTTCTTAAGAGGAGACTTAGTTATGATGCCTTGTTCAACGATATAACGTAGGTATATCAAGGCAGATACACACCTTATATCTGGATCTAGTAGCGCAGCCACCACCATTATCCAGCTAATGAGATTATTCAGTGGTGTCGCTGGGGCTGCATTTTTGGTTGGATCGTCGAAGAGGCTGACAGACTCGAAGTACTGACTTATGTGAAGTAGCTGACGCCACAGAGGGCAGATGTCATCGAGCTAATGCCGGATCTTATAGACTGTGTAATTTTTCTTGTCCAGACCTGCTTACATTGCATGAACAAGTAAAATTTCAGAGCAGTAGTTCTTGTGGAGAAAGTCGAGGTGAGATGATCGGTGACTAAGAATTTATCGGCCCAAGGGGCGGCGAGTACACAAAGACAAATATCACGACTTTTCCTTGCAACTTCCACGACAAGTAAATGTCGAGTCTTCCAGCACGTCCACAACAGTCATCTCGCTCTCCACCAAGACGTCGGTCGCCTCTTCCACCGTACAATCGAGGATCCTATGCTGGGTCATCTCGAGGGCGTGGACGTGGACGAGGTAGAGGGGGCTGGAAGGACCGAGATGACAGAAGGGATTACGACAGAGAAAGGCAGTACGAGAGGGACAGACGAGATTATCCACCACGATATCGACAAGATTCACCACCGCCTCGACCGCCACCTTCTCGATACGGGCGACGGTCGCGCTCACCACCTAGGCGACGCTTCGACTCTCCTCCGCGTAGTTCGCGTTTTCCATCACCTCCTCGAAGTCGCTATTCTCCAGGACCTTCACGCTACTCTCCCGGGCCTCCTCGTGGAAGGTATGAACGTGATTCACCACCTCGTAGCCGATATGGTGGTTCCCCACGGCGATACTCGCGATATGATACCCCACGCCGTTTTGAACCTCGTCCGGGAGATCCACCACCACCACCACGAAGGTCACCTACCCCATTAAAAGATGCAGTAAATGACAGGGGATCACAGGAAAACAGCAAACCTGACATTCATATGGATATTAATGTCGCACTGACACTCAATCCAGAAAAAGACTCGGTCAAAAGAGAAGAAGGGGCACAGATGGACGTCGATGTCACTGCCGAGATAAAGCAAGAAAATGAAGGACAGGCTAATGATGTTCAAGAGATGGAAGAGGGAGAGAGGGAAAGGTCGCTACCAAGGGTGAAAGAACGGTCACCACCGCCTCGTATGACGTCTCCTCCACGAAAATCCTCGCCCTCACCGTTGTCGTATCGGCGGCCTTCACGGTCACCACTACCGCCACGACGGTCGCCATATTCTGGACCTCCCTCTCGTTACCGAAGATCCAGAACGCCACCTCCCCACCGTTATTCACCACCGCGCCGTCGATCACCCCCACCAAGTCTACCACGCAGACCGCCTTCTCCAATCCGGAGACCTTACTCACCCTATCGTCGGCCTATATCACCTCCACGTCGCCCGCTGTCACCTGTGCGCCGACCTTCACCCTCATGGCGACCTCACTCTCCTGGCCGGAGGTCGCCGCCGCCTCGTCGTTCTCCTCAACGCTGGCCTCCTTCGCCTCAGCGGCGTTACTCACCCAAGCGCTGGCCTCCTTCCCCAAGACGTGCTCACTCACCTCAGCGCTGGGATCCTTCACCGCCGCGTCGTGCCCATTCACCTCAACGACGCGTTCCATCACCTCAACGTCGCGACCCTTCACCTCAGCGTCGTGTTCCGTCACCCCAGCGTCGCCCAGTTTCACCTCGACGGCGTTCACTTTCACCTTCGCGTCGCCCGTCGGCAACTTCACGACGTGAACCTTCACCTTCTCAACACATATCGTCGCCTGCACCTCACCCAATATCTCCCGTACGACATCCAAATTCCCCTCTGCCTCATCGACCATCGCCTGCTCCCGAAGCCTCTCCTCCCCAACAAACATTACGCGCCGACTCCCCGCCTCGTCAGCCTCGCGGTTACGAGCGCGAACCACTTCCTTTAGGACCGCGCAATATTGATCGCGACCCCCCTCGTGGACGAGGTCGTGGACGGGGTCGGGGAGGTCAGTCTCGCGGTCGCGGTCATGGATACTCTCAGCCGACTCGGAGTGGTTTCGCCGGAGGAAGTACACCGGCAACTCCAGTGGCGGGGAACCAAGCACCTTCATCTCCCAGTCTGCCATTACCTGACATCTCGTTTTATTTCAAACCGCTTGTAGAGTCCACTGATGGGAGAAAGGTATTGTCTTCATTCCCGCTTATCTAAAGCCAAGACAAACCGATCCTTGTTTGTAGATCAAACACCTCCATAATCTACGCGGCACTCGTGTCCTTGAAAATGTCACCTTTTCGCGTGGACGGAGAAGAGCTGAACACGAGCTTGAAATGGCCAAGCTGGAGCTTGCTGCTGCGGAGTCGAGAAGAAAAGTTGCGGAGAAGTTACTCAAGAAGGCGAAGATAGGATGCTTGGGTATCGAGTTCGTGGAGGACGAAGTGATTCCAACTGATGCGTCGTGAGTTAGAGCACAAGGATACTCATTCTATATCTTCTGTGAGTATGTGCACGTTCGGGGGTGGTATCCAATAGCATTCTTTTGCCACTAGAATCTCCATCAATCTATTCATACCCTTTTTCATGCAAGAATGAAGCCAAGACCCACTTTAGCTGCACGAAATACTTCGTGACTTAAGATATCTCCGCCAAGTCAAGTTCTGCTAAACCATATGGTCGCATGTGCGGACCGATGTACCAAAGGCTTTTTATAACTTTGCGGTCAATGGACAGTTCTGGGAGTTAATGCGGCACTATCAATCGAGAAGTTATCATCGGTAAATGTACTGATACTTCTATCACTGGGCCATTTTTGTCTTCCTCGAGAATTCTGCTATATGCACGCTTATGATACTCCCGTCCGCATGGCTGTTAGTACCCCGGCCTACGTCAGCCACGCGTTGCTTTGCACACCTTCCATCTTCGATCGAATGGGTTACTTTAGCTGGACAGCCTTTTTGCTTTCTTGTTTTGTTGAATTTAGATATCAAATCCCCCAACTTAAAGTCTGTTCCTTCCTTTCTCAGACGGTCTCAAGGTCACCGGCGGTCTTCTCTTGCGGCAGTTCTTGACGTCGGTGAGTGTGTGAAATTGGTGCCGTTGGACACCTTTGGACACTTGCAATGTCCTGTTTCAGGTATTTTGAATCAAACCTTGGTTTCCCGGAGTGTCTTCTCCTGTCTTCTCTTATGGCCTAGTCTGAGTCTCAGCATTCCGCGTAAAGATGCGGACGGATGGTAGGCAGCGGCTGATGTGATTCCAAGTCGAAGATAACGGAAGACATTCGACTGGGTGTTTTTCAAGAGCAGTCCTCTGGATCCGAGTCTAGTCGGCAGTAATCACCCCTGGCCCGAGCCCCTTGTCGGTTAGCACTGAATGCATGTACGTTGCAGTAAAGCGCGCCTGCAATGAGACTACGATAAATCTAGGTTCAAATTCACGGCTAATTCCATAAGAATCCCCAGTAGGATACGGAAAGAGAGTTTGGTGTTATCCTTAGCGCGTGGTCGTCGGAAGATGAGAGTGCATGCTCAGTGTTTTCCTCTTAAAGCGTCGGCAACCTCCGATAACTAACAACATTCACGATCAGGTTCGAGGGAACAACGTGATATCAATCTACGATTAGCGTGTATCGGGCGGATGTGGATGTTTATAATGAACATTTTCGTGCTATCCCGGCGCTGAAATTGGACGTAGTACTGTATTCATGACAAGTGGCGTGATGGGTTGACAGGTCTTCATTGCCACCCTCTATTGTACGAGGGCGCCGGCAAAGAGCTATGTAAGGCTGTCACATTTCCATATCAAAACGACGCTGAACGCCGGAATTGTTCTCGAATTCCTGGCCTCATTAAATCCTGATCCTGCGCGACCCTGCGATCATCGTCCAGAGAAGTTACGAGAGTTCCAGGGTGCCGGCAGAACTTGTCGTAATGCGTATGTATGTACAGAGGATTGTCGTTCGAGGATAAGCGATGTCTTGTTTCCATCATGATCAATGAAATAAAATCCGGGGATCTCCCTTGGTGTGGCGTATTCTCCACGGTCCGGGTACGGTTCTATGCCAACAGAGGTCGTTCATTATGCAATGTGTCAGGTCCTTCACTCTGGAAACAGTAAGTAATTAAATGTGAATTGCTAGCTGAACTCGGGCAATGAGCGCACCTGAAAAACGTTATGATTCCTTAAAACAAGGTTTTCCCCGCATATCCGCGAGTATTTTCTTCCATCATGGAAAGTCTGGTGCGCTTGGAACCCCTTACTAGCCGCGTACTGAATCTATAGATTAATCGAGTGTGGCGCGTCTGGGATTGGGAGGATCGATCAGGGACCGGTGGCTATGCTCGAATTTGGGAGCTTGAAGATAAACAGGGTACATCTGCGCCACTGCCGCTGGAGCTTCGGCGCTTTATTACTACGAACTTGAGTATGAACTGCTCTTGCGTGTATCGACTAGACAGAAATTTCCTTTGCGTTGATCAGCACATCCCGCTTGTGATTCTTACGAGTTTGAATCACTAAAAAGAAAACAAGAAAACAGTCAAGAACAGTTGTGTGCGTAGAAAGTTTTATCTGATCTTCTTCACAGATTTTGTCGGGTAAAATTAAAATTCCCATCCATATCGCTTCTTGTACTGCGTATACTTTCAGGCCGGCTTCACCCGCCCGGCTATCATCATCTTTCCAAACGCATGGCAGGCGGCCATTTTTCACTTGCCGCTTTTTCACACTTCGGGCTTGTACTAGCGTCTTTGAGGATGTTTGTCCGTTACTTCGTTGAAGAAGCCGGGTTAAATGAAAAATCATAGGTTAAATGGGGTATTGTTCAATTAATTTTCGGCGTCCGTAGCTTTGTCCGAGGTTACTCGGACGCTGCCTAAACTTGTTCTGAGAAAACATGCAATTGAAGCGCGCAAAGCGCTTTCCATACATGTGTTTCCTGGCATTTTCCTTGAATTTGTCATGTGGACCATCGCGACTGCCTCTTACAGGAACAGATTGTTTTAACGACATGCTTGCCCTGAGTAGCTGGAATTTTCGCGCGTGAATAGCGGAAGTTCTGTGCTTTCGTGATGATACTTGGAGCATCTACTCGCGACCGAGCGCATTAAGAGTGCAGGTATTCGTCGTTGGGTACAGCCTAGTGAAACGACGCTAAAATGAGGTAAACAAAAAGGACCCAGTTTGTGTGAGACGGAGACTGCCGGTTGATGGCAAAATGGGCACAGCCACTTCTGCCTCTTTCATGTCACGGTCGCTCTACCCGCTAGCCTCTCTTTCCCAAATCCGACAGACGCCCTCACGTGCAGATGGAATCCCTGCATCTCTCGAATCAGCCATCCTTGCCAATGCCTGCAAGCTCATCCATACCGCAGGCATCCTTCTTCACCAAAAACAAGTAGCCGTCGCCACCGCCCAGATCCTCTTTCATCGCTTCTGGTTCGTTTCCAGTCTCAAAAGCTTCAGCGTTGCCGATATCGCGTTCGGAGCTCTCTATCTGGGCAGCAAATTGGAGGAGTGCTCATTGCGCGTACGCGATCTTGTGAATGTGTATCATGTGTTATTGCAGAGAGCGAAAGGGAAGACCGGGAAAGAAATCGGGATCATGTCGTATTTCGGAAATACGTTTTACGAATTGAAGGACGCGTTGGTGGTGGCAGAGATGCAGATTCTGAAGCGGCTTGGATTCAATACGCATGTGGTACTGCCATACGGATCTCTGGTCAGTTATCTGCGCCTGCTAGGTCAGGATAAGCAGGACGTTGTTGCAAAGGCCTGGGGATACTTGAACGATGCGTGCGTTATTTTTCTTATTTTTCTTTTTATTATCTTGATTTTCGCGTCATTTAGTCTACAGTCTCCGGTGTATGCATTATACCAAATCCCTACAATCGTCAGTGCTGCTATCCTTCTCACCACCCGATTTCTGGCCATCCGGCTCCCAGACGCTTGGTGGAAGCTGTTCGATGCCGACTGGGAAGACGTATGGAGTGTATGCGGATACATCATGAGGTTGTATCACCCTGAGATCGATAGGAAGGTAGTGCAAGGAATGTTGACTAAAGGCGATGTAAGGGCTTGGCTAGAAGAGAATCTCGGGGCCGTGGATGTAGTTCAGGAAGAAGACACGAGCCACAATTGACTGGGTCAATTAACAACGATATCTTTCAAGGAAATCTAGGGTCCATTTATTGACAGGCTCATTTTCATTCAATTCAACAACGCAACATTTTCGAATCCACCAACTAAATCCACCAACTATCTACCTATGCTCAACAAGGTGCTTCTCATATACCCCTACAAAAAATACATCGACGATGCCATGTTCCTGTTCACTGGCCTCCATTCCCTCTTCCATGGCTCTAGGTCAAATTCCTTCCTCTTCGTACGCCCGTTATCCGTGCTGGTCGTGGACTCCGTATCGTCGTTCAAGAAGCGCATCTCTCCTGGAAAATGGTATGCTGCGCGCGTGCAGACAAGCTAGGGGATGCGAGTCAGTATACAGAGGTTAATCAATAACGGGAAAGCTCACATGCGCGTCTACATCAGACACCAACTTTCAGCGCAAGAACGACCTGAGCGAAAGCCAAACACTTACAATATACTGGGGCCGGAATAGAAACAGATCTCGTGGCTTTCGAGTAGACATGGCAGAGCATGTAGGATAGGTCGTGAAGCCTGGAACTGTATTGAAGACGGATCCATCGCAAGGTAAGATAGTCCCATACCTCTCAAGGTTTCCGCCAAAATTCTCATCTTTGACTACAATGTAGTGGCTCGACCGCGAAGCTATCATATTACTTGTCATCATCATGTCTGAACGCGAGATAAATGCGATACTTACTGCCTTTGATGGCGGCATGACTTTGAAGATAAAAATCTTGGAAGAGAGGGCTCTCTAGTCCTCTCGTCGTGACAAAGCCTGCCTTGCAGTTACCTGTCCTGTCCCTCAACCTTTTCGGACATCCGTCAGCAAGAACCGATAGCGACAAAGAGCAACGTACCCTCCGTCCTTGGGGAAGAACACGATATGGTGTCGTTTCCCCACAATTAGGAACGTTACCTTGGGTAACGGTAGCTTCACTTTTTTCTCAAGCCATATTTCTTTCAGTGCCTCCTCTACGTCACTCATCTCCCTCACCCCGACGCTGTCAACTTCCCCTTCGGAAATGCCGTCCCTGAAGAAAAGAATACGTTCTGGCACAGGATTGCGGAAGCCGAACTGCAGCACTGCGGACTTGACCATATCTTTGAGCTCGACGATGCCTTCGGTCCGGGGATGTTGGACCCGGGTATAGGCGATGTATTGGGAGGCATGCGGATCGCGCGACCAGACAAGGGAAGCGATTGATGGTCGCAACGTTTGTGGGCTTGCATGGGACACGTCGGCACCTGCAGTGGTCAGTCAGGAGAGATTGGGTAGTGAAGGTACTTTACCCATGATCATGAACGACTTCTGCGATATCTCGTCGAATGCAGGCGATCTGACACGATGGTTGTATCCTCCAAGACGCGCATTTATCCTACGGGCGTGGCAGGCTCAGACACCTTTCCTAGGTACGGAAAAGAAGACATACTTCAGCGCAACGTTTGCCCAATACTGAGCGTTCGCATTTTGTATCTTCTCGCTTCGAAAGCACTGTGTGAGAATACCTAAGGCGAATCAAGCCTAAGCTGCAACGAAGACCTGACCGAAAGGATGTACATACCAGTCTGGACATCACCCCATTGTTTGACTTGTGTATGAACTGGGTCGCCCTGAGGTGGTAGCATAACCAGAATCATCTGTATATTATTCTGTCGGCCAATCTTTTGGTGAATGATCTCGACCAGGTCATTCAGTTCCTATGTTCGGATGGATAAACGAGGTCGGGATGTTAAGCAGTCAAGGCCTACCCTGAATACATTGTTCTCGTTTCCCAATTTGACAGCGACTGGTGCTGATATGGTCATGCCTAAAAGAGGTCCTGTTCAGTGCGTGATGAAACGAAGATAAAAACCGGGGTACCCAGTAATGAACACTGTCGCTGCAGTGCATCTAGGTAGGATCTACACAGCTGCTCGTTCAGCCTTGGAATAAAATTGAGGACACCCCATAGCTCGAGCTTGGTGCTTAAACTGAATCTTTGATCGCGGAGATTCCAGGCACCGTTGTTGGGCCGCTGTACGCGTTTTGCATCAAACTCCTTGCCTCCGTTCTGATACAAGTCACGTACAATTTCCCCTTGACCCATCGCGATCCTGGGCGTGGGTAGCATTGTTCCTTTGATGTACAGCGGCGACATGGATATCTGCATGCCGCTTTCCTGGATGTGTGTAGAGTCCTTGTACCCTTGGATCTGTTGAAAGTAACCAATCGGCCACATACTTCAAGTCTCTAGACTTGGACTTACTGGAGAGATGATTCCCCTACCGTTATCGCCATCTCCCATGATCGCTTTGAGCCTCACATCCGGGGTCATGGTAGCAAATGAGACTGCTTCGCTCGTGAGGTGGTTCGGGAGCCGCTTTTTATAGAATTGGCCTTGTACGACAGTGCAAAGCTCGGCGGGATAGACCACTGGATGCGATGCGTTTTTGCCTGAAGTCATAATCCCAAACACCTCGGGAAACTGTATGTTGATGGAGTGCGCAGATCGGAAGTATTCCTGGCGGTCGGCATAGTCATGAAACTGGAAGGCGAGAATAGAAGGAGCTCTTACACCGACGGTAGTCGTGTGCCCATCTTTCTCAAACTCGTACCGACCTCCCTTCATAACAAGTTCTCTGACAATCTTCGTGCGATTTCCCATGCCAGTTTGGCATCGAATTTCAAGGCCCTTGAGGAAAACCGACAGGGAACGGAACTTGGCGTCTTTAGTGCTAAAGCACAGGTCGCGCACTTGACGACTGTTGAGATGCGATAAACTGACGTCAATGACATTGCCGCTCTGGTACATGGTGGTCATTGCAATGTCGATGTTGATTAACATCTGGGCAGTTGAAGGGCGCACGGATCTGTGAAGAGCGACAATCAGTACCTATGATCTCCCGAAGAAAGATGGGACTGACTGGAAAAATCCCCGCCAGAACTCCAGACCACCGCCAACGACACGCTTATTGATATCGCTGAAGAATGCTCGATTGTTGTTTGGGTTCTTCCTTCAAATGATGTCAAATTCACTTCTTTGAAGAGCAACATGAGGTCGCTCACTGGTTCGTCTCCTGTATGATCAAGAGTTGTAGAAGGTTTGTCGCTGTAGCAGTCTTCGGACTTGTCTTCCTGTCTATCATCAACGCTCTCAAATCACTGAACAACGGGTTTTAGATTTTCTGACACGCGATAATAGAGCGAACTTGAATACCTAGGTTTGATGGTTTGCCCGATAGTTTTGGTCAAAGTGACCGTATATACTCCTCGGGCTTTTTCTGTGACGGTGCTTGGGTGCTTGTTCGAAAGGTTTACTTGGAACTATTGCAACCACAATCAATAGCCTGTGAAAGAAAGTATTCCCGGAGGTGTTTACCGATCCTTTGCCTCCAGAAGGTAGCTCGAGATCTTGTGACGCGTATAGGATTGCTTCTCCATCGTACATTGCCTTCTGGCGAAACAAGGTAGGTGCAATGTCATTCTGGAGTTTACGCAGAATGTTCTGTCGCGTTTTGAATCGTTCGACTTGAGGGCTTATGCCTAGAATACTTTAGTCCCAATGGATGTTGGAATACGAGGTCCTTCACGTACGGACTAGTTGAGTTGGTAAGGTTTTGGTAACGACAACGAAAACGCGTGAACACTTACCGCCATATTGAAGGTATTCTTTTTGAGGTAGTCTAATAGAAAACAATGAGTAGAAGCGAGTAAGTGATGGAGCTGGAGTAAACCTGTCTATGGTAAAGCAATTGGTTACAACGGAAAACTCTTGAGGTGAAGGACGTGCCATCATGAAAATATGTGGGAGAAAGTCGGCGTACGAAGAGTGTTCAATATATACTGTCGCCACGATCACGAGTGTACGACTACGTCGCGGTGTTGGGAATTATTGGGAATCATTCAGAGTTAGGCCGGAATGCTCGCGAAGATCTCGAGGTTCTAGAAAGAAGTTTAAGATAGCTAGATTCGCATAATAGCCCAGAAGGACACGGAGATCTTTTTATCGATATCAGCAGTAGTCGCAGCGCGTCGTCAGGTTGTTGAGGGATCATGATGCGGCAATGGCAACTACAGGATAATCGGATATAATCAAGTCAGTATAAACACCTACATTCATATCAAATACATAGCTTGCACCATCTACAAACATAACTGTATAACTACATAGAAGGTATAAACACGTACTCTATATAAGTCTTCCATCGATAGATCAGCGACTCGCCCAAACTTTACAAAAAATACATCGAGTATTCCAGTCTTCGGTGAACTGGATAGAAGGCCCGTTTCCACCTGTCCAAATCAAACATGCTTTCTTCGCTCGCATCCGATGCACTATCACTTCCGTAACGGACTGTACTATCCATGGGGTCAAAGTGATACTGTGCCCTCAGGCAGGCTTCCTGTTGCGTAATAAATATGAGACACCAACGCAAAAAAGGGGATGAAAAAGACATGCGTGCGCATCTAGAGACAAACAGTAGCCAAGGCCATCAGAAGCATTCGACAGATGTACAACCGTTAACTTACAATAGACCGGTGCGGGTATTGATACTGATCTTGAGGCAGGTGCATAAACATGGCACAAATCGAAGGAGAGTTGTTTGATGCTGTAGAATGAACGGGATTTAATACGACGCAACGAAAAGTGAAGCAAGACGAACGCTTTGATGTCATTCCCGAAGTACTCGTCGTGCAGGACAACATAGTGACCGCTGCGCGAAGCTGAAAATAGACGTTGAGCGGAGAACATGTCATCTTTTTTGATACTCACTTCCTTGTATCGCTCCATGTGACTGCAAGAAGAAGTCCGGTAATGATGGGTGTCGCAACTCCTCATCTGAAGTTACAAACCCCGCTTTAACGTTTCCTGTTCTGTCTGCTCTATAGGAGACAAAATGTTAACCCCAAGAGTGCGATTCAGAGGTCATTAAGGACATACGGATGCTGCCCCCTTGGAGTCATTGGGAAGAACTTGATGTGGTGCCTACCGCATGGAACTGAACAAAACTAACACCACTTTAAGAATAACTTTACCGTTTTACGACAAAAAGATATGTCAGGCGTGTTTTCTTGTTCTTCCATTGAGGGTCGTTTCGGTGTTCGTGGTAAAGCTCCTTAAGTGCGCCCTCGATCATACCTTTTTCCAAGTTACCGATATCAGCGAACTCCGCCTCTGATACTCCATCTCTGAAGAAGATGATAGCCTTCGGTGGCCCTGCATGACTGAACTTCGCAAATTTATCGACAGCACCTTTGACCATGTCATGAAGGTCCCCGATCCTTTCTGTTCGGGGAGGCTGTATGCGGATATCTGCGACGTACAATGTCGCATACTCATCTCTGGACCAGACCAGGCTGGCCACAGATGGTCGAAGGACGCCAGGACCTGGGTGACTTACATCCGCGCCTATTTCCAAAACGTCAAAAGCGGGTTTGCCATTATTGTTAAATACATACCCATGATCATGAATGGACCGGGCGCTGGTGTTACTGTCATTTTCTTGAGTATATCTGATTCGATCCCTGAATTATACCCCCCAAGGCGAGCGTTCATCCTGTAAAATTGTTGTTGACAAAAGATACATTTCCTGGGGCTTAACTTACTTCAACGCGACATTGGCCCAATACTGGTCGCCGGCTGTAGTAACTTTATCCGATCGCACACATTGGGTAAGAATACCTGCAACCGCAGTCTAGTTTTTTTTTCTTTTCGTAGAAGATAGGCAAAAGATTTACCACGACTGATATCACCCCAGTGTTTCACAGCATGGCGGACATCGTCTGATTTTGGAGGCAATATGACTAAAATAAGGTCAACTTTAGGTTTTTGAACACCCCGTTCCTGCTGGTGCTTGACATATGCGGTCATTTGGTCATCCAGTTCCTGTGGATTTGGTCTAAGAAAAAGTTCTTCTACTTGCCGCTCCACCTACATTTACGATGTTCCAGGGATTTAATGTCAAGCAAGAAGGACGACCGATCTCTGCCAGGTGTCAAAAAACCCAGCAACAAACAAACACCGGACGACTCACTCATTCCTAAAACGACATCAGAAGAATAAGGTTTGGAAAGGAGAACCTTCTTACCGAGACTCGCACATCGCGCTCCGAGGTCCCGAGCCTTGCTATCTCGCACATCATTACTGATATGCATGTGGTCCAGGTTGACAAAAAACCATGACTCCAACTTGGCAGGTTTCACGAAACCTACCTTGTTGTAATTCCACGCGCCGTTCTGAACGCTCTATTTATGCCGAGATAAGCAAATTATGCAACCAAATGTTACTATGAGGGGTATTCTCACATGCTCTGTATTTCCCCCATCCGTTTTTAGTTTGGGAGGTCGAAGTATAACGCCGGTAATTGTCAGAGGGTCCGTTGATACTGACATCCCCGCCTCAACTATATGGGCTGAGTGGTTGTAACCGACAATCTGTCAAGGATCATTGTGGATTAGCGAGCGGCATACGTCAGCGACAAACTCGTATGTACCGGAGACTGCAGCTCATTGGATCTTCCGAGACCACGGATACTTTGTAACCTCCGATCCGGCGGGATAGTCCCAAAAGAGACGGCGTCACTTGTCAGATCGCTGGGCAACCGCTTTTTAAACATCTGTCCGGGTACGACGTCACACAGTTCGGCAGGTACGATGACAGCGTTTTCCGCATCCTGGGTCGAAAGTCGCAGTCCTATAATGTCGGGGTATCTTATTCTCCGATTTAGAGCGGCAAAGTACGCCTATAATGTTTTATGATTGCTTCGTACGAACCCGCCTGTCATAGAAGGCTTACCTCTACAGTTGTGATTCTCCCGTCTTTCCTGAACTCATACCGACCTGCCTGCGGCTGAAGCCCTCGTATCGTCTTAGTATAGGGTCGTCCTGTCGCAGGGCTCTTGACAGTGATCCGCACTCCTTTCAGAAATCTTTCCAAAGCATGGTACTTCGTACTACCCTGATTTAAAGCCAGGGCCCGAACATCTGACTGTCCCAGAAACCTCAGGGCAACACCTATGAGTTCTCCGGAGGCATACCTACACGAAAAGATTTATTGGCGTGATGTTCTGTACCGGCTTCCACTTACATGGCCGTCATAGAAGTATCGACATTGATAACCATTCCTCGTAGTGTTGGCCGTACAGACCTATATGCAGAGTGGACGATTTATTATCAGTGCGTGTGGGCATGGCCAGGCGGATGGACATACTGATAAAAACCTCTCCAAAGCTCGAGGCCACCATTGATTGTCTTTGAAGATGCTGGAGAGAAAAAGGAATGGGCATTATGGGTATATTTCCTGGAGAGACATAATATGGGCACTCGGTCGCAAAAAGCGGGGTAGGGCTTACTGGTCAGTCTCTTGTCGAATGAGCAGCTGCAAAATATTCGTGGATGTCGCCACAAGGCTGGCGTCAAGCTGGCTCTGCATATAATCCCCTCGAACAAGGTTGCTAACGATTATAAGCTGCCTAGAAGGACGCGAAGTGACGAGACGGAGCGTACCTAGGCTGAATAGGATCCCCGCTTGTCCTGGTCAGTGTGATTCGGTGGACACCACGTTGGCCCTCAACTACCCTCTGGACGGACGGTCCCTCTCTTAAATCGACAACGAACTGAACAGCACGTCTTATGTCAACGCGTCAAACTGCTTGAAGGCAGATAGTGAACACACCGAGACATTCGCCTGAATGGCATATCTCAAGTACATTGAATATTTTCCATCGTAAAGTGCGCGGTCATGAAAAACGTCTGCTGCGACGACATTCTGAAGTTTGTGTATGAGCTCCTGCCTCTTACGGAATATCTTGACTTCGGGAGAAAAGGCTGGGGGAAGTTTGTTCAGTAGTAGTAACCGAAGACCCATAGATGTTCGAGACGTACAAACTGTCCAAATTTTCAGTTTGAAAGATGCGTAAGGTCAGTTTGAAAGGCACTCTACCTTGATAGTGGTAGTAACTACTAGTTGGCAACCTTCAAGTTGGAAAGGGTTAGACGGCGTTGCTAATGCTGGACTGAAACGGCTCTACTAGCCTTATTATCTTGAATAAGTTCGCGTAGACTTGAACAGCCTGAGCATTGCCCGAGTTTTCTGGCACTGCACCTGGTGGCCTACCATTGTGACGACGATCTGGAGGTTGACCTCGCGACGGTCCGCCGCGGTCATACATAGGAGGTCTGCTATGTCCATACTGGTTCCGTGACGGTCCAACTGAGCCATCCTGGGATCGGTCGCGGCTATAATGGTGGTGCGACATTGTAATTGTACTCCACGAGTTCGCAATTGTTCTCAAAGCGCCGAGGGTGCAGCGAAGTACAAAGGAAGATGCAACTAATTTCCGGCTGGCAAGTGTTGCAACAGACGCAATGAACTTTGGAGGAATTCACCGGCCACCAGCTGGAGAATCCAACGACTGTGGTACGATGAACGCGTTCGAAGTTCAAGCGAAGGATGCGTTGTAGCGGTTTATTTGGCCAGCGCTTACTTTCAAACTGCGTGCGAATTGTCATCAGTTGTCTCATCATTCACTCTGCGGTGTGCAGCTCTACTGCCAATTGACATCAGACGAGTCCATCAAGAGGTAAGTGTATAGGTGAAAACAATATATGTACGAAGGGGAAAAGACAGGAAAACGCAAAACCATTCCAGATACTGTAAAAACAGGAGGGTAACATGAAGGGGAGAGGATTAAAGCAGGACGAGTAGTGCAATGACAATATACCATTCCCCAACTCTATTCAGGCATTCACCGCTCAGCAGCAGCTTCCGGATTGCTGCTGTTGCACATTCTGTCCAATGGGGACACCCGTCGACTTGGATCCGCCCGCCGGTGTGGAAGTTGAACCCATCCTGGAAAAATTGCAGCAGTCAGCGACTGAAACGTAAGAGCAGACAATGGACCGACCTGTCCTTAATCTGCTTCGCCATGGTCAAGAATGCTTGCTCGACATTGGTGGCATTCTTGGCTGATGTCTCCAAGAAGGGGATGGAAATAGTGTCGGCGAATTCCTAGTGAGGTGTCACAGATAAGAGTGCATAAGTGAGTCGGACCGTATGCATACCTTGGCAACAGAATATTCCACCACCTTCTTGCTCGTCAAGTCCGACTTGTTACCAACGAGGAGTTTGTTGACGCCCTCTGATGCATAACGGTCAATCTCTTGAAGCCATTGCTTGACATTCGAGAATGTGTCTGGAAAAGGAGGTCAGCAAATCGTGGTGGAACTGCGAAGTTAAAAAAGGCACACCATTATCAGTAACGTCATAAACAACGATGATGCCGTGCGCGCCACGATAGTATGAGGATGTGATAGTCCGGAAACGTTCCTGTCCTATTGGCGACGTTAGAACGAACGTACGGGTAGCCTGAGTGTCCTGGAAACGTACCAGCGGTGTCCCACTGCAAGGTCGCCGTTGAGTCAGTACAGCACATTCAATGATAGCCGAGTCAAAGAACGGTCTTGGGAGACAACGTGGAAACAGCGCAGCAAAACCTCTAGACAGCAGCAAGTTTCGCAGCGGCGTATATACCCTCCTCTGAGAGTATGAAATGTACAACGGCAGACGGAATAGATATATATCAAGACATAAATGAAAAGTGACTGACGATTTGCAACTTCACCGTCTTCCCCTCGAGCTCAATCGTCCGAATCTTAAAGTCCACTCCAATAGTGCTGATGTAGCTCTCCGTATATGTGTCGTCTGCAAAACGCAGGAGAAGACAGGACTGAAGAACGAAGGAAGGAAGAAATCAGCCTTCTGGTCAAAGATGGTGCCATGGTAGCGAACGAACCTTGCCGACACCAGAGTCACCAATGAGGAGGAGCTTGAAGAGGTAGTCGTATTCGCTTGTATGCATGGTGGAAGTAAGAGATAAAGCGACTGGATAAGCGACAGGCAATGAGCAGAGTATTCAAAAGGGTGGCTGCAACAAGGCGCAACAAGGCTGTGATACGCGTGTCCCCCGGAGAGACCTCGGAGACCGCCGGTGGTCTAGACCTCGATCACCCCTTACCCTCCTCTTGCGACGATTGCTCTACCAAGCTGCTGCTCTTTGGCATCGAATGGATTCTGTAATTCTGCTGAATGATATGGAAATTCTGGAGTCCCAGGCTCATATATTTTACCTCGGCTCTTCCCATCAGGCGTCGTTGCGATCCAGCGTTACGTATCCAAGCTGGCTGACCTTATCTTTTTGCCAAGTATGAGCGCGTAGAGGTATTCTGAGTAGGGAATATCGTAACAACCTTAGGTGAGTTTTCCTATGTCCAAGATTTACTACCTAATATAATCTGAGCGTCCATTTGGCCACTAGCAGTGACACGTAACGCAAGGTAGTCTAAGGATCTTCTAAGCCTTGCAGCGCAAATTCGTTGAACTATTGAGCTCAACGACACCGAAATCCTCCCAAAAGTCCTGCTCCAGAAGCATTGGATATCGATTTCACTGCTCCTATGCGCAGCAGACTGGTGTCTACTGTTGGTAATTTCTAACATCGCTACCGAAGCTGTGCATCGAACGATGCTTGGGACTGCCTAGAACGTTCTGCCATAAAGATGACGATCCCTGCTTGATCTGGGACTCAGTCAAAAAACATGTTCGAGACATCTACTGTGCCAGTCTACATATCGGCCTAATTGTTTGTCACTTGTTTCAAGAACTTGACTCGTCAACGGAAGATGCCAACGTTCCAACGTTGATTGTCCCATCGATTGCCATAATGGTGCTCGCGAGCGGCGAACAGGATTTGAAAGCGCATATCATTCAAGGCAGATGGGGCCCGATTGCGCGCACGGCCTTTTACATCTAAAACGCAGAGCACTCCAAATACTACCAATGAATCGTATAAAGGATGGCTAGAAACGGAAGATAGGACCCACAACCACCCACAAACCTAGACACGGGACAACCGTCCCTGGTGATCCGTAGCGGAGTTACCAACCCCTTTATTTTCCTTCTCTTCTCTTCCGTTCCTCTTGGTCTCACTACTCGTTCGGCTCCGTGTTGGCGGAGGACGAGCGTTTCCTAACATTTACCATGTGGCGCGGGTATTCATCGCACAACCGTAGAACCAAACTAGTGGTTTTATCTTCGAAACTGATCTTTTCATTTCCACCAAAAGATTTCAAGTTCATCAATCGGCGGTCGGGGGCTGCATGGACTGCTTATGAAAACATTCTGCACTCGCTTACGCTCACTTTCACAAGGCACCTCCCGATCGTGAGATTCGTCTATCGGGAGCCTTTTACAGGTTGTTCGGCCAATTATTTAAGCGTCCTGAGTTACCTTTATCGGACTTATCTACAATATACTTGATCGTGGTCGAGAACAAAGTTCAATTAACTCGAGGGTGGTCGCTTATCTGGGGCGGCCTCTGATTTCGATGACGATCTTGATAAGTCGACGACTTTAAATGCTCAGGCTTGTTCTCGTTATCTGCCGGACCTCTGTTGTCGTGCGACACAGAAATAAGAGTATATCGCGTGTCGATTGCTGACTTTGGTCTGGTGACTCGGGTGAGAGTCACTTGATAAGATTGTTGGAAATCCGCAGGTGTGATTCTACCGTGTTGAGGCTCTGTACCCCCATTTACTAATCTAGTAGCTTACCCACTCCCAGCGCTTGGCGCCTTGGAGCTCATCCGGTGCGTCATCTCTGCAGTACTTTTATCCTGTGCTTTACTCACCTAATATATCTCAGCAGATCCGACTTTGAGGTACGCGAAACTCGCACATTTGCGCGTGAAGGACAAGGTGGTTGCCGTTGTTCGTGAATGTATAGTTTGTTTGACTCCGATCGTTATTTCCGCTCAATGACCGTACAATGTGTTGATACACCCTCGAACGTGAAAGTGTACGGGAATTAATTTTTTAGTCTCGACCGTTTGAAATTGTGCTGTTCAAGTAAAGACGCAATAGCACGGCCTTGTAGCAGCATGAACAGCTAAGCTGTACGGAGGACTCGTAAATTACCGGCACGCTCGGACGCAGCGCTGAAAGACACAGCCACAATGACGGTATGGCGTCATGTGGGCCGGGACTGGCGGTGCCTTTTCAGCGGCTCACAGCTGAAGAGCGTCTCTGTCATCCCCTTATCATGTACGCCAACCACGGCCAGCCTACCTATCTACAACATACTCCATCGTCGGGAAGCAGTCATCACAGCTATGGATCTCGCCATGGACGCCCACAGCAGCCCCCTCAGGTTGGTTATGGATATCAAGCAGGCCCGTTAGCCCCGCCGCCGGGCGTTGACTCTCAACTATGGCAATATTTCAATGCAGTGGACACAGATCACTCTGGTGCCATCACCGTGACAGAATTGCAAGCTGCCCTGGTTAATGGTGCGTGTCATACAACTCCATCCTCCTTTATCAATTATAGATCAACTATATACTTGAATTCACACAGGAAATTGGACGAGTGAGTACCGCCCATGAAATTCGGTTCACCAAAATGTTTAATTAGATGGATGTAAGGATTTGATCTCGATACGGTAAAGATGTTGATGGGAATTTTCGTGAGCTCTTTCATTTGTTCCTTTACCCCGTCTGAAACGTGCAAGGACGTGGATCGAAACGGAACGATCTCATACAACGGTCGGTCCTATGCTGTTACTTCCTTATCCAAACGTTCACATGTTTTGGATCAGAATTCGCCGGACTGTGGAAATACATTTCTGATTGGCAGAATGTTTTCCGGCATTTTGACAGAGATCGCTCAGGATCGATAGAGGGCCGCGAATTGGCGGAGGCTTTGCGCAACTTTGGGTATAGTCTTTCACCCAATCTTCTCTCGCTTGTTGAGCGCAAATATGGTCCGCGGTTTCGATCTTTTTCCTTCCCTTCTTTCCCATAGTGACCGAATGTTCCCAGCTTCAGAGCCTTCCACGGGATATGGGCCACCTCCGGGGATATCCTTCGATAGATTTGTACGAGCGTGCGTTGTGGTGAAAACACTCACCGAAGCGTTCCAACGGTACGCCGTCGGGTAATTTCTATTTTTTACGATCCGCTAACTTGGGTCTATCTTTCCCTTAGTGTCGATACTGATCACGATGGCTGGGTGCAGATGAGTTACGAACAGTTCATGAGTGTAGGCTCTCTTATTCAGCATCTCGGAAGGATCTCACGGATTCCATCAAATTTAGATTGTCCTGAGCGCACCTTGAAAAGGAAATCGAGGTTGCTGCCTATCTATCCGTTGACGAACTTAAGAAAGCTGTCTTCTGTGACATATTGTAATTCTATCGGCAATACTTGTATTGACCAATCATCAAGTTATTTGTATACCCTCTGCCCGCCGCGGAGAGAGAATTCTTGAATAGAACGGGTTCCTTGACCGCACGTACATTTACTGGGGTTCCTGTTGTTTCCGAGACCAGGGTGTTTCCTAAAAGAGACCGCTTCCTGACTCCTTAATTCACGTCATGAGCGCAGCAGCGAAAAGCAACATGAGGAAGTAAGGAAGGCGCCACAACATGAGAAGGTTCTTGGCGCCTGGCAATAAAGTTTGGAAGGATCAGGCGGAGAACTAGAGTGAACTTTGATTTTAGCACCGGAAACCAAAAACGGCAAACTCTACTTTAGAGGCCAATGACAATAATCTATGACATGAAGCAAGGAACCTGGGTAAAACGCACGGCAGCTGGCGATGATGCCGTTAAGAACGTCATGGGTGCTATAACGTCCATCGTCGACTTCACGAAATGGTAAGGAAATGGCCCAATAATGCCACGAGAAGTCATCAAGATTTAGTTTTGAGATGATCGAACTGGAGAAGAAAATTATTGTCAAATTCGGCACAATTCCCGATGGATATAGAATAATTTTGGTCAACCCCACCTACCTCAAGTTCCCAGCATTCATGTTCGTTCCTGTGTTTCTGGGGCAACATTCCATGACGTCCCTACAAACGAAGGCTGGTAGTAGGTTCAAACTAGAACACGCGGCGTACACGAGGCCATCACACGCGTAAGAAAAAACTGCCTTCCATCAGGTTCACGATGCTATGAGAACTGCAGTATATCGTCGATCTTTTTTGGGTGTGAATCGATTTGATGGCAAATGTGGCGTCTTTGGTTGCTGATGGGTGACATCTGGAGAGTCTGAAATGTAAACATACAGAAGTAAGGGCTTGGCCGAAAGAATCAAAATATAGAACAGGGCATGTCATGGCTGTGAAGGTCCCCAGCGATGCGTCGGACAACGCCGATCGTGCGGTGCGCCACTCCCGGTAAGGCGCGGAGCTAACATCGTGAGGTACGGCGCACATTGCGGATCAGCTCTAAATAGCCCATCGAGGCGAACCTGACTAATCGGGATTTGGCGGGGGCGGCCATCATACCGGAGTTCGGCGATTTGAAATAACCGGACAATGAACGACTAGTTTGGTTTCGACTCAACCACGTCGTTCCTTCATACAGTACTCGCCTTTACTCCGGTTTTTCTCAGCAGTAGAACTTGACTCATTTGTGATTGGCTTCTTGAGCTGCTGCTGTGGGTCTGTACAGCTGAGGGTACACGTAACTGCTCTCGAGTCTGACGTATCCCATACAGGCGTTCAGCACCATGACATCTACTCGTATCAAAGCTGTTATTTTTGACGTACGTCACTGCAGTCCTCTCTCAGCGGCGGAAAATTATACTCTGTGGCACCTTATGTTGCGATGAAACTTGTCTCCGATGCTGGCTTGGCCTTTGAAAGCTGCAAATTATTCAGCGAACTCGTTTTGATATTTTAGCTCAGGTCGGCGGAGTAGTGGTCCGCAGTCCCTTTATCGCCATCTCCGCTTATGAACGTGAACATGGAATCCCTGATAATTACCTCAACTGTTCCATGTACGTCTTTAGCATCGGCTATCTTCAATGCGCGCCCACCGGATACTGATATATCTATCTGATGATCAGCGTAGAGAGAAGTCATCAAGGCGCTTGGCAGAAATTTGAGAGAGGAGAGTTATCCTTGCTGCCATTCTATGAGGCGTTTAGTCGTGACCTATCCGACACGGAGAATGGAAACAGATGGTACAAGGAGTATTGCCGACGTCGAAATATCGGTGCGACTTACCATCATATTAATTTACCAAAAAACTAACCACTTACTAAGACTGCCCGCCCTTGCCGAAAATACTCAACGTCGACGGACGAGAGGTCAGTTGACCGTCTGCATTTTCAAACCCAGTCGCTTTACTGAATTGCCGAGTTCAGCTTTTCGGTGCGATGATGAGATTGTCCGCAGAATACGATCCCCACATTCTAGAGGCGATCCGCCGCATTCGTGGTGAGAGCTCTCAAATTGCTTGATTTACGTTCGATCATCGAATACCGACCCTTATGACAGCTGCCGGAAGACACAAAATCATTGCTCTGACCAATAACTTCGCGAGGTCCGGCGCGGACAGCCAGATTCCCCCTTCGGAACTCGAATTCCTCGGCTGGGATGAAGGAGGTGCTACACCACAGCGCCTCCGATCCTTGTTTGACGATTTCTGCGATAGCAGTGTCATGGGTATGAGGTCAGCGCTTTTTTTATCAAGTTCCTTTGCGATCATATTTACGCGCTCGCGTACGTAGGAAACCCGAACCTGAGTTTTATCTTGTCGCATGCAAACGAAACAATCTGGAACCCCGAGAGGCTATATTCCTCGACGATATTGGAATGTACGTTGATATATCCACCGTCCCGCCCGACCGTTATGACGGCACTAATTCTTATTTCTTCCCATTTTCTTCATGACACAGGAACCTTAAAGCAGCTAGGAAACTAGGAATGGAGACCATTCGTGAGTGCCTCTCTAACATACTTGTGGAAGCCCTCCGGGCCCCATCTTGCCGTCATAGCAACCTTAGCTCATCATGCCAATAATTTTGTAGACGTTCCCATCGGAGGTACATTAGACGCAGTGCGACAGCTAGAGGTCAGATTAGGGATTGACCTTACGGGCGAAGGGGAGAGACTGCACAATGAGGACAAAGTGAGTAAGCTATAACCCTGTGTGGCGACAACTCCATGGCTTGGATCTGTACCTTTGTCTTCAAATTTAATATATCACAACGTTAACACTTATCACAAGAGAGGACCCTTGGGCTGACAAGGGACGACAGGAATGTTCTTTGAATATGATCATGCTGCTGTGCGATCAATGGTACGTATGTTCGTGGAGACGTATGAGGATGACCCTCCTCAACTTTGCCTCAAGTGGTAACCCACTAGACGCCTAATTCCTAAATAGTAGGACCACGGGTCCTAATGATAGGTAGCTGATATCAATTTGAACATATTCAGGACCTCGCGAAAATGGTTGGTATTCTATGCCGTATTACATGCCCATCTGGTTAAAACTTGGCCGATACGGGAACAAATTTAAGTCTGTGGCCGATCGAATCACAGCGATGGACATGGGAGTGGTTGGTTTAAAAGGGTTTATCCGAAGCAGGCACCTTGTCTTCGTAGTAGCTACCCAGCTGAAGAGAAGAGTCGGTCAGAACTTCTGATATGATTCGAGAAATCGTGATATACCAAAGGAACTTTGACGAGCAGTTCACGTCGGACAAGGGGCGTTACAGAAAGGAACTGAATGGGCGGCGTTAGATGCGCGGTCGACAGGTATAGGTATATTGCGTACCAGCAGTGCAACTGTCCCTGCTCCAGCTCCCCATATTCCAAGCGTCCCGACCCAGGGCTTCGTGAACTGGAAGAAAAGCAAATTCATGAGTCGGACAAAAAGCGTTAGGCCAAAATACAATCGTACTGCGCTGGCGAGTTGGAAGGGAGACCTAGCAGAGTACTGAATTCTAGACATGGTATATGAAGAAGAATGTTCCTCGTCGACGCGGACGACAGCGGGAACCTTTCCGGATTTTGCCGGATGGATCATGTGATGCCATTTATTTTATTGGTCTATTTTTGGACTCGTACTGGACGACGAAGGAATTGTTCTGAGCCTCAGTTCTCTGCTTCTATACGTCTACGCCAGCTTGGACAACCTTGACATTTTGTTGCTGTAAAGACTGAATGGCAAACCCTCGGCAGCGTAGAAAGGCTAGGTCGGGGTCGCATAGAGCAATCTCTCACTCTAAACACGCAAAACGGAACTTGAAGAAAACGCCGCGTTGAGTTGTCAATACATTCTTGGGTAAACTTGCGGCTCATATTAAAACAGCAATCCACGGACCCAAAGTTCTACAAGATGCATGGGATAGTAGGAAAACTGTCAGACAAAAGTGCGTAGGCGGACACTTACAGCATACTTGCTGTCCCTTTCGTATTGCGGCCTCGTAGATTCTGTCATCGCGGCCACCTTCAGCTGTCCAAGCTAGCATTCCCGATTTGATTCTCATTTTGAAGTTCATATGGACGCTGGTATGGATTCGTCATGATGTACGGGCCCGCATCTATGCTTGGCTTCAACGTTGAACTCAGCTTGAGGGCTACGCTGTCGTTTTGACGACATTACCTTTTGACATTCCTGCTTCGCGCTCTTTATGGTATGAGTGCTGATTCTTCTCTTTCAGCTACGCTGCCCTCGGACTTATCCACGACCTAAACCCATCTGCATCAGGTGGCGCTGAGCCCTTGGAGGAGACCATTGACGATCTTCCTCCGGCGCAAGTTGCGCCTGATTCAGAGGTAGCACAAGCTAGTGCATCAACAAAACTGCCCCAAGGCTATGGTAGAATCATTCGAGACGATGCGGGCAATGTGCTGCGTGTCGAATTACCAGAGCAAGATCAAGAGGGCGACAACCCTAATAGCCCTGGGAGAGACATTGATATGGAAACATTGGAACCCGATGTAGATCAGAAAGTCCTCCAAAAATGGGTCGCGGATTTAGGTGGTTCAGAGACACGAAGACCTACAGGAAAAGATGGCGACATTGTTAAAGGTGAGAGCTACTTTGATGATGCCCTTCGTTTCCCACTTTATTCTGTCCTCGCTTCACGTTCCATCTTCTCATTGTTTAATTGTGTCTTCTTTGTGCCCCATATCACTCTGCCACGGACTTTCCTTTTTGACATACATCTTCGACCACAATGTTGTCCGTGGCGGCACGGACTTGGTGTTCCGTTATTAATTCCTTCGTTTCGGCTTACGTGCATCATTCCGGAGGTCAAACCAGTGACGATGATAGGTGTCACCTTGTTGCGTTTTCTTTTAATTTTTATCTTTTCCGTCGAGTCCAACTTTGTATACCAAGTGGACGTCCCGGATTCTAGCCGGCGTGCTGCACCCTTCCATCCGTTCGTAGTGTGGACACGTCTGATTCACCGTATGGAGGGGCAGTTTTTTTTTCATGCTTTACTTTTTTAATCGGCATCAGGGCATTGGGTGTGCAGATCTTCATTGCCAGTCCGCTTTTGCGTACCACTGGGCCTTTTACGCTTTAATTCAGGTTAATGGGTGCACGTACGTCCTTGATGCTCCTAGTGTTACTTCATGCGGCACTCGCCGACGTCATGATGAACCAGGTTCCTGTATCTCAAGACGCGTCGATATGCTTTGGTGATTCGCGTGGTTCTTCTTGCGATTCTACATCCGTTTACTCTACGAACCATCGTCTCTTTCTATTTTCCATTTTATTTCTTTGCTCTTGAGGACGGCTTCCGCTTCAGCCCGTCTCCATTGTGCTACCTCTTCTGTCTTTAGACTTTTTTGAAAGGCTTGGACAGGCGTCTCGATGCCGCTTTCGTCCCTCATTTCTCTATATACAGACGAGGGGGAAATTCGCACGGTTCAGGCGGAGGCGGGCGTTCTCTGCTTCTGTCCTTAGCTTTGCTTCGCCCGTCGTGATTTAATTGCCGACTCGGAGCGGAGGATCGTTGACGAAGCTAGTTTCTTGTTCCCGATCTCTTGCTCATACTTCTTCGGCGTATCGAGTACTGACCGAGTCCGGCTTTTTTCCAGAGCTCGAACGTCTATCCGCTGTTCCGACAAATAAGACGCAAACTACGCTCTCAATTGCGTTGACAGGATCGGGACCTCGCCATACGGCCAAGGGCGAGCTGGAGTATCTTCTGAAGCTCGTTGAAAAACACGGCAAAGACGCGGAGAAAATGGCGAAGGATCGCAAACTGAACCCAGATCAGCGGACCACTGGGGAGCTGCGGCGCGCGCTGAAGAGGGCCGGGTTAACTTAGATTTTCACGAGAATTAATGAATTGTAGGCGTCTACACACACATATGATGTAGTGAAGTATTGAGGAGGTCGTACTGGTACATATACGGAACGCGCTGTCAAGCGTCGGAGAAGCGTGATTGAATGACATTGGATGATGGATGTACGGTAAAACGTCCGGAGAAATGCAATTTTTTTTACAAAGCCGTCGCCGCAGTACAGACAGCACAAAGCGAAAGGGATATGAATTGACTAGACGGAAGTCTCACGGTATAGACCATATGGAATGACTTGGAATATGGATCGCACCGAGGGAACGTCAGTCGGACTGGCGGAGTACGTACGATAGAGTAACGCTGATCTATGAGCGTTTTCCGCTCTTGTCCGCTCCGTTCGTAGTCGCATTTGAACTGTCGAGGATCGATAGATGGAAGAATCTAGTGCAGTTGGCAACTAAAGGGCACTAAGTACGTGGGAACTAGAAGCATCTGGTACAGACGGGGACTTGGAGCTGGTGATTTCTCATTGTCGCTATTCTGGTGCATGTCGTCCATTCTGATGTCGAGAAGCGTGAATTGTGGTTTGTTTGTGATAGAGAACCTGCAAAGTTGTGTGGGAGGCAAGATTGGGTTCAAGATACAAACTCCGCTTGATGGGAAAGGAAAACCACTCCGCTGGACGGTGACTTCCAAAATGGGACATCTGGTTTAGATCCATATCGCCGGTTGGTGCCACTGGCAACGACGAAAAAAGGGCGACCGCAAACGGGGGCAAAACCATGCATTCGTCCTAAAATGGAGGTCGGCTTGACGTCAAAATCCGGTCAACAGCTGCAGAGTATTTGATTGCTGGCTCTGCATCCGTAGCCAATTACTGAATACAACTAATAGAATTGGCATGCAATAGCGCATACCAGGGCAGGCCGCCTATACATCCATGCACCATCGCCGCATGAGTGCCTGCAATCTGTGCTGGGAACAATCCATCGAGGCAACCAGGATCGGCAGGGATCTGTAACGCGTCACGCTTCTCGGAATCAAGCCCTCGACGCCAAACTTGGCCAAGAACACCCTCCTCCACTTTTGCAATTATTTTTATTACTTTTCCGATTATATACGATCATTATTTTCCTCGTAATCGACATGAGATCTCAATATATCCATCCAGATCCGTTCCATTCGTATCGCCTCTTCCCTTATATTCTTCTTTTCCGGCCTCTACCTGTCCTCTGTTTTCCCCCCGTCGTCGCTGCTACCCATGTCTCCCAGGACACCATCGACGTCGTCTCCCACTTCCTCTCGTAGTGCTTCGGCACCTTACCTTCGTCGCCCCTCTGGCCAGCCCAAGTCGTCGCGCCAACAGTTTTCGGCCTGTGGGGCATGTCGAATGCGGAGGTGTGCCCGACCTCCCCCGTTCATCCTACCAGTACTGACGCCAAACAGAGTACGCTGCGACCTTAAGGATCTTCCAATAGCAACGGTAGGCCCAAATCCTGCCTGTTCCAACTGCAAGGAACGGGGGTTAAAATGCGTGTATGTACTGCCGACATTTCATGCACGTTTTTCCGTTGACGTTCCACAGAGACGAGTTCGCCGACGTCAAGGCCGTTAAGCTCCTTCGACGCGGTCGCCGTTTACAACAGGTCGAGTAAGTCGTACACCATCGCGCTATTGACCTTACCTCATCGGTTATTTTAGAGCTATCTATGGTAAAGCTACCGACTCTCAAAACGGCTCCTCCCACTTCGCCTCCCCCGCCACCCATCTACCCAGCATTATTCCCCAGCTCAAGCCCGAATTCTTTTCTTCTCCCTTTTGGCGATGGTTTAGTGTACAACGTAAGCTGGGCCACTCATTCGGTCTGTCGCGCCACTAACCCATCCGTTGCAGGACCTGTCCTTGACCCTGTCGAGTTCTCGGGGCGATTCCTCGCGCATTCAAAGGGCACACATCTACTTGGACATGAGGGCAGCGTTATTTCCCTCCTCCTTGTCGTCTGGGCTGCATCGTTTGGTGTAGACGAACAGGGGGTCCCTATGGAGAACGAAGACAACGAATACGAGCTAAGCGGTGTTTCCATGGGTCATGGCGACTACTCCATGCAACGGAACACGCGCAGCGCAAGCGTCAGCTCCCGGCCGTCGAAAGGACGAAACGGAGATCCTTCAAAGTCGCGGGTTGGGAGGAAGGAAACCACCGAGGCTATGTTGCGCGAGGTTTTGGAACTCGTCGACTACCACAGCATTATGCGTAAGCCGTCCTGGGACGGAATACGAGTACTTTTACTTATTTTGCCCCTCTTGGAGGGTGAGTCCGGACCAATGTCAAATGTTGTTGATTTTGACTGACGTCGGACTTCTTAGATGCTAACCCTCTGGATCGGCTGACTATGCATGAGGCGACATTGTTACAGGCACATTCGCTATGCGCTTTGTCCCCGTCGCCTTCCACTTCTACTATTTCCCATACCTCTGACGACGCCATTGTACGAGCACGGATTTTCTGGTATGCTCATCTGCAAGAAGGAATAACCACCGGCATGCGGGGCGGCCGATTAATACTGTGAGTCTTCTGGTGTACACTAATTTTTTGACTTGGCGTCTCATGTTTCAAATACTTAGAACGGAAGATGATCTTGATACATTTCAAAGTACCCTACCGCCTTATAATTTTGGCCTCAACAGCGCATCTGGCTTATCATCACCATCATCGTCTTCCTTCATGGCTTCCTCGCATCCATACCTCCAAGTCACACACCTCTTCTCCATACCTCTTCATCTCAGCTCGGTCTGCCGCAAGGTTCACGCAGTATTAACTGGTGCAAAAGCGGCGAGAAAAGCCGAAGAAGGCGCCGGAGTTGACGGCGAGGGTATGAGGGAGGTTTGGGAAGGACTGGAGCGATGCTGGGGGGAATTCGAGGAGCTCAAAAGACCCAACGGGATGGAAAGCGAAACGGACGCACAGGTTGAACGATTCGCGAGCGCATGGCAGGTATGATTAATATCTTCTCCCTTGATATCTCTCAGGTATTAATCACTCTTTGACTCTTCGTAGATATTTATTTTTGAATGTTGTTCGTACCTATTTTATCCTTCGCTCGAAAATTTTTTGAGCTAACTGCATCGCCTTTTTCTGCAGATAACATCATTAGGGAAGCCCTTAAGCAATACGTTTCTCGGTCAGCTTCTTCAACATCCGCGTCTTCACCGCAGCCCATGTTTGCTGCGTCCTCGCACCCCTCTCCAAAAGGTTCTCCGCATGGTCAAAGTCCGCCACCATATTATACCCTTCATCAGCTTCACGCGATGGCGACCCGAAAGTGTGTTCGCCTTCTTCCGTTTGTCCTAGGCATCATTAAGCATCATCTATCATGCGATTGTGTCGACACATCTGGCATGTTCAAGTGGGATGCAGGGCTGGTCCGTGATGGCTGTTTCTTCGCGGGTTTCTTGTCTGCTAGTTCAGAAAGCAATACCCTCGGTGATCCCGACGACCGCCAGCAGTTCGGATCCATGAAGCAGGAATCAGATGCGCGGATTGACGGGTCCCTCCCGCCTCTTCTGGCTCGTTCAAGCTATCTTCCGATCTATGACTCCGAGGAAGGTGTGCGAACATGCCTTACTGCTCTTTCAACAATGCGATGGGCCTTCTCCAAGAGCGAGGAACGGCGAGAGACACTGCGAATGGTTTGGGAAGATGGCAAGATGCGAAAGCGAACGATTCAATCCTTCTCCCACCCTCACACGCCGCACACAGCGGAAGCTCCGAGCAGCGCACTGCGGGAAATCGATCTGCGCTACACTGAGGAAGCCGCAGCGCAACCAACTTCATCATATGTGGACATGTACGGCGGCGGCAAAGTTCCCGCCTCTATTCATCACCTACCACCGCTTAACCTCAGCAATATTTCCGCATCACACCATATTTCGGTGGACTCAGCGCCGACTACTGGTTACAGTACTGATGGCTCCGCAGGCGCCAGTTCGTGGCCGTCGTACACGCCACCCGGGACGGGTACCTCGACGTCAGGGACGAGTACGACGGGAAATGGTGTCCGGTCCCCCGTCTTCTCGAGCTTGGTACCCGTCCAGAATGCGGGGATCAAGAGCGAGGGTATGCTATACCACAACGTGTCGGCGGATCCTTTTGGCTTCAGTGCCACTCCAGCGGCCGGGACGGATGTGAGTGGCGTCATGGTCGGGTACCATCACTCCCCTCATCAGACGCGGGGCGGCGGGGCGGGCAACTTCATGGACTTTGCGCAGACAGGGAATGCGCCTCTCGGACATCCCGTATCAGATGGGATTGATTTCGGCGAGGACGGGAACGGGTACTATCATTGATTTTCATTCTGTTTTCGTGAGGGACAGACTTTCCGGCCGGTCGCAAAATCTTTACTCTGTTTGGGTTGTTGCTTATAGGTGTTCTTTAATTTGTTTCCTGCTGTGTTTCATCGTTGATGCTTTCTTTCTGTGTCGCTGTCAAGCTATTCCTAGACATATACCTCGCACATCCGGCCTAAAATATCTTATTCTGCTTTTCTGCATCCGATACCTCGAGCCATCTATTATACTTTTTAGGCCTTTGTGTTTCCGGCGATCTTTGTTGTTGCAGTGTATTCTTAGGTGTAAGTACATACTAGTTATTATAATAAGTAATGTCGCAGTCTATCGAATCCAAAGTTGTGTTGATTCAGGGGTGACCGCCAGATCAGCTTTTAAAGTTTGGAAAGGCGCGCTTGCAAGGAGCTTCGAAAGGCAATCATGTCGAGGGTAAATGTTTTGGAGGACGTCCGTGGACAAAGAAAGCGGCGGGTTGCTAAGGCTTCGCGAAGTGACCGCAAAATAGACAGCGGGGCATGTAGTATATGGAGGCACCGTGACTCCTACTATTTACTCCGTTATGTCAAGTCGCGTAGTGGAAATTAGGGCAGTGGCGCGCAGGTCCAACGTGTACATTACGGCACATCACGCACACACCTGCCAGGTTTCGTTGCATTGATGTTTCAACAGAGTGGCGTAATACAAAGTCTGCGTTCTCTGGAGGGGATCGGGAAAACACTTGTTTAAGTTATTTTAGGGAAACCGCCCCCCGCGACTATGGCTCGGGATTTCCAGAATGCTGACAAGTGATGTTATCCCTTATAAATCGGGTGTTTTTAATATGCACAGGGTAAACCGGGTGGATAGAACGGCTATCGTCGGCGGCCAGGATTTTGTAAGGGTCCCCTAAACGGAAGCACGTCGTGTGAATGAGAACTCGTGAATTTGCAGGACTTTTGTCGGCAGCAGGCTTGCGACATCCAAAGCGGGTCTCACCCAGTTTCTGCCGCGATATTAAACGATCCCTTCCCATGGCATGGGGAATGTAATACAGAGCCCGCGACATGCCAATCATAGCATACCCTACGTGATTTGTCTTCTGCAGACATGGCGGAATGATGTCCCCGTTTCTGATGTAAATGGAAATTACTGGCCCATAGTTGGGATAAAAGAACGACGGAAGAGGAATGTAACACCTGACGATGATCGTGCGTAGATCAGCATAGATGCCATGGAACTGATAAACTGTGGGGAGACTAACCAAGTGGCGTTGAGTACGGCTTGATCGTACCGCGCTATTTTTCCTGAAGAATACGTGTCAGCCAAGGGTTACATACTATGATCCCTGACGCTGAATGGCGATTGGGCTAGTCGTGTGGAATTTCTAGGGTTAGTGAGGGTTCCAAACTTCTCCGAGTGCGGAAGACAGTTGGTCCACAAGGCAGTCAACGGCAAAGAAAGCATCGTATTGGTTAAGGCAGGCATGAACAGATGTCCCAGCAATGGAATTGACCGCGTTGTCAGAAGGATTGAAGTAGATAGTTACTGCGCTGTGTCGTGAGAGCAACTTCTTTTCAACGGGGTTTCCCTAAGTGCAGTTAATGCGCGAAATTAACTATGGCAGAGATTCGACATGTGAATAATTTAAGCCTGGAATAGATGTAACAGGGGAGAGGCCAGTGGCACATAATCACTAGGAGACATGAAAGACCTAGGAACTCCAAACAGACTCGTGTCTTGATGCTAGAAACACGAGTTGACGACGCCCTCCGACCCCGGATATAAAATCGATTATCGTAAACAGGTATGACTGAGATGGATTGAAATCGCCGGGCGACCACTGGGCGGATATGACGCATGACCTCATGTTAGACGCGCCGCCTACAATCTGGACATTTGAGCCGCCTTGCGTTGGGCGCCGCAAATTGAGCACTGCAAAACGCCTCCGACAATAATAGTGCGTGTGTGAACATGTCTTGTGTATTCATAGGCACCGATTGAAAGCTAGACTTTCGAGTAATCACCTTCGATTCATAAAGGATCCAGGCACAAACCTTGACCGTCTAAAAGTACAAGGCACTCGCAGGCGGCCAGTCGACTTTTTTCTGGCCAAAGCGTTAATGGCTCCGGTTTGCACAGTTTGCAAATTGATGATTAAATCCATGAAGGAGGCCGATGTGATCTCAATTGTATAGGCGTCGGGCCGCTATAAGCCCACCGCGTACTGTCTGTCATGACGACACGGAGGTCGATCCTTGCAAGAGAAGATTTTCCAGAACTTTTTTACTTTGAAATTAGGGACACTTGCTCTTGAAAAGCGAAGGGTACGTAGAACAGGCCTAGGGTCGCTGGATGCCGCCGGGGATCAAGATGGAGATCGAGAGTCGAGGCCTAACGAAAAATACCACCATTCATAGTGTCAGCTCGCGATCTGTATCTGTGCAATAGTGGTTAGACTGTTAGACGGTTATCATAGAGAAGAATCAGCCTGTCGGTTAGATCATTTGGCGGCCCCCGACTTCGCCGACTTTCCAATTGTAACCACAATTGCGTTCCCCGGTAACTTAGAACCATCGGATGTACTTGCATCTTATTGACTCCACTGCAACGATGATTTTTTTCAGGTCGAGGTCCGCCGCGGAGTGGGATGGGACCCTTACATGGCCGTTTGCTCTGCGGATGTTCTCGGAAGATGTTACCTAGAATCGGAGACAGTTTTTGAGCTCCAGGTCCAAGGAGTGCAAGGCTTGACTCGGAAATGCCATAATAAGGAATCAGATATGGATAGATTTCCAAAGGCAGGGGCTTCGATGTCGACGCCCATACCACTGCCAGAAAGCTCAGGGAGATGCCAGGCCTAGCAACAGAGTACGGTTCTGGGCACCAACTGGACTCTTCTCGCCGCCCGCCAGAAGCCTTCTTGTTCCGAAGCTTTAATGAAGGTATAGGAACCAATGTGAGCAGGACAAGTAAAAGTTCCATGCCATAAGGTTGGTATGGAGAGCCAAGGGCTGCAGTTGCAGGTAAGTAAAGCCAAATACCCGGCTACGAATACGGCGTCTAAGAGCAAAAGGGAGGTCCGGGAAGACGTCACCCGGTAAATGCCGGATGATCGCCTGACCCAGAAAGCGGTGTAGCCAAGAAGGATCATGCTCCGACACTGTTGCAGTGTCTCGACTGCGCTCGTTTCTCCTCTCTCTCTCTCACCACGACATTGTAACCTCTTCTCTTGCACGACCTTTTTTCCCCCATCATGTTCTGTGAGTTCTCCGCGTTATCTCCATGGAAGGCAGTTGCTGAATGTGTACATCCGCAGTTTGTATTCCAATATTAGGTCAGATGAATTCATTATATAGGTCTGCATAGAACGTCCATTCTGACTCATATTTCTACGGCTCCAGTGGGCTGTCAGACCAATGTTAAGCCTGATAGTCCAGAGCAAGTTGCCTATATCTGCCCTCGCTGCAACAATGGTGCGTTTTGGGTAACCTTCATCTTTGTCGTTTCTCACATAGAGCACAGCTTCTGTCATCGCTGCAAGACAGAAGACTTGGTTCGAATTCTTCTTCATTCCAATAGTGCCCCTTTCGTCCAAGCACATTTGGCTCTGTACTATCTGCCAGTGGCGGTCGCCACTCGGACCAAGGTGAGTTACGCTCCCCTGCACCATTTTGCCTAACGCTGATCTGTCACGCCGTAGCTATGCGGAGCCTGCCATCGCCTTTAACCCAGGATATAATCCTGGCTTCTCCAATGGCTACAATCCAGCCTATCAGAAGTAATTATGAAAATTAAGGTCCCTTATTCGACCTTCAAAGTTCAACTAGCGCGTCATATAAGGATGGCCGATACCCCCGTTATCATTGTAAACGTCATGTCTTTCCTTGGTCTTTTAAATAATTTTGCTTTTATTATCACCTTCTTGTATTGTTAACAACGCCCCGGATATTTAGGTAGGAAATGACACCCTCATTGGTCGCATGTCAGCCGTTCTGTATTTCAAGAAGGTTCACCAATGTACGCACTCAGGCTATTTCGTCACCTTGTTAGGTGATCACCGTGATCTCATCCTGAAAACGAGGGGACTGTTGCATTCAATTGCACCACGATTCAATGTGTCCTGTGAATCACCGAGGAATCATTTCATTATGATCGTGTGACCGGCGACGTCTCGAAGGAATCTTGAGCTCGTTACTCCCACCAGTGGCCTTCGCGTTCACAGCATCCCGCAACCCAGCAGACTGGTATTCTTTTTATGCATCGTATGTTGGTTTACGCTGTGGCATCAGAGGCTTTACCCGTGTGACATCAACTCGCCGCTATATCAGTTATCCCGCAGGACCTTTGCGTTGCTCCATTATTACAATACGGTACGTATATCAAGATGGATCATGCTACATGTATTAAGACCCCCTATTTTCGTGGTGGATGAGGTGCGCGAGAAGGTGGGTATATCAGCTTTGTGGTTCTTGAATTCGATGGTGTGCTTTTAGACGGAGTTCGTTGCGGTGGTATTAAGCAGTCGACAACGACGACTTCGAACAGTTTCAATAAGCTGTCATCAGCATTGCATTCAGTACCCTACAGCATGAGAAGATACAGATGCATATTTTTACTTGTCGCCGAGCTTGAGTGGTATCAAACCCGGTTTCGCTGGGAAAATGAAAGAGTGCCGGATCTCCGTTTGCTTGCGGTTTCGCAAGTGCAGAACGGACACAGCCTATTATTCATCAGGTTAGATAGGCTCAGTAAAATAGCTCCGCTAAGCACACTTGCTGTCTATCTCGAATTTCAATAAGGAGAAGTTCAACTGCAGCCAATAGCATTCGTGAACGTTGTGGGGTCACTTCATTGGTGGTGGGGGGAAAATATTTCATGATCGATCATCATGACAAGATCAGGGCAGGACCGCTTAGCCTGGCCTCCGAAATTGCATATTGTCAAGTGGGTTGTATCCGTGAACGGAACACTGTTGTGTTTATGACTCTAACTGCAGGTTGAATTTGCGACTATGCAGGACCAGCAGCAAATTGCCCAGGAAATTATGCGGCGGCTACGGGAACATTGTTTGCCGGATATCGACAAATAGACAATCACACGTGAATTTCCTGTCGCGTCAAAGCAGCGTCAGAGGGCAGCGGTCGACTTGCCGTCACCCAACCTCGGTCTCTCTCTCCTCCTGCAAAAGATAAATACAACCCGAGCCCAACATGACCCTGACGCAGAAACCGACCATGCTTGTCACCGACCACGTTCATTCCTGGCCTGCTGAGGTTCCCTTCCATCGACAGGCTGCAGAGGTACCCGGAACAAAGAAGCCAGGGCAGACCGGTGAGTCCTAGCAGCTCATTTTGCAGCATATATCCTCATATACTACTGATAGGTATCTACCACAATGGTAATCTTGCCTTTTGACGCGTTTTTGTAAAGTGAACACAGTGTTTGACAGCGATCTTTGGATACATTGACAAGGACACTCCTGGCTCCTTCCAAACAGTCGATGAAATCTTCAAAACTGGTCTCAAGGGTGGACGTGACAGGAAAATGCTCGGCCATCGGCCGCTTATTTCAATGTCGCCGCTCAAGTTTGCCAACTATTACGTATGGCAGACTTACGGCGAGGTCGACTTGCGCCGGCGTTGGATAGGCAGTGCTCTGGTCAAGCTCTTTTCATCTGGTCAGCTTGGCGGGGGAGAGTACGAGACGGTTGGTATCTGGTCGCAGAACCGACCAGGTATGTCTCACTGCCGTTCGTTCTCACACTAATGTCTCACCACGTCGCCCATCAGAATGGCAGATCATCGATATCGCCCTCCAAAGTTACAACAAAGTTGGTGTTTCTCTGTATGATACCCTGGGCAAGGACGCTGTTGGTGCGTGTACTTTCCTGACACGTATTCGTTTATGCTGACAATGACCCGCAGAGTACATGTAAGCCCCCCCAGCACACAGCCTATGAAATTGTATTTTCTGATTGCGTTCTACCTATTAGCATCAACCACTCCCATCTCACGACCATTTTTACTACGGCCGATCACATTCCCGCGTTGTTGAAGTTGGCGCCTTCAATACCGATCGTAAAGATGATCGTGTCTATTGACCCATTACCAGCCCAGGCATGGAATATCATGCTTCAATGGAGCCAAACTGTTGGTGTCCAACTGAAGAAACTCAGCGAAAGTTTGTCTGTCTTTTACTGGTCCCCTCACGTCCTCATAATATTGCCTTGATAGTTGAGGAGCTGGGACGAGCTAACCTGATTGAACCTATCCCAGCAACGCCTGAACAATTGACTTCCATCTGTTACACATCCGTGTGTCTTGTTTTCCTTGCTCATTAATACCGTTTTCTCAGACAAGTTGATACAGGGTACTACCAGTAACCCCAAGGGTTAGTTATAGTTTTGAAACGCGCCTCAAAGCTTACTAAACACATTCCGCAGGAGTGTTATTAACTCATCGTAATATGGCGGTGGCTACACAGTCCAATCTTTACGGTCTCATTCTGCCAGAGGACGGAAGTTTGTTATCTTTCCTGCCTTTGGCACATATTTATGAGGTAAATTTGTGAGCTTCTATCTTATCTGTGGCTTATACCTAGTACAGCGAGTCACGGAGTTCGTCTGTATTGGAATGGGAGCAAGTATCGGGTACTTTAGTGGTGATCCTTTGCGCCTGATGGAGGATGCACAAGTCCTCAAGCCGGCAATGATTCCTGCGGTTCCTCGTGTTTTCAATCGGATATATCAAGGTGCCATGGCGGCTGGTGATGTTCCCGGATTGAAAGGCGCCTTGTTTAGATATGCTGTTCAGACGAAACTATACTGGCTACGCGAGACTGGTACCGTCACCCATGCATTATGGGATCGGCTTGTCTTCCGCAAGGTTACCTCCTTCTCTATCAGTCATATTTGGTATCTGCGCTGATCATAACATCGTGACAGGTCAAGGCCGTTTTGGGTGGTCAGATGGAGACTATGATCTGCGGTTCTGCGCCCATTAATAAGGACGTTTTGGACTTCTTGAAGATCGCCATGTGCTGCAACATTCTTGAAGGGTGGGAGTAATGGTCTATGGCATCCTCAAGGCAACTGATATATTCATAGATACGGCATGACCGAAACGTGCGCGACAACAACGAGAGCGATCCCAGATGACCCTACCGCGGGTGGAACCGTCGGCCCACCTCAACCCGGCAATGAGATCAAGTTGATTGACGTTCCTGCCATGAACTACACTTCAGAAGACAAACCTTTCCCTCGAGGGGAGCTCTGTGTAAGGGGTGACAACTGTTTTGCTGTGTACTACAAGGGTGGGTATAATCATCAAATATGTCAACGCACAAAGTTCCTCATATTATAATTTAGATGAGAAGAACACGCAAGAAACAGTCGATGCGGAAGGTTGGCTACACACTGGTGACGTCGCAGCTATCGACGATTGTGGACGTGTCAAGATTATAGATCGTGTCAAAGTATTGCTTTACGATCCTACCCTCCTTCAGCATGCTGACTATCTTGTAATCGCCAGAATATCATGAAGCTGTCCCAAGGGGAGTATGTCGCTCTCGAGAAGATCGAAAATACATACGGTGCCTGCCCAGTGGTTGCCCAGATCTATATTCATGGAGACTCGATGCAAGCATACTTGCTGGCTGTTGTTATCCCAGATCCCACTCAACTCGCGGCTATTGTTTCTGACGTCACGGGCAACAAGGTGACCCCAGACAACATCCCTGTTTTGTTGCAGGCGTGCAAGGACAGCAAGATCAACCACAAGGTGCTCTCCATACTGACTCAGGAGGCGAAGAAAAACGGTTTGAAGGGGTAAGTTGTTATTTATCTGGTTTTCCACGAACTCATAGCGAGTGGCTATAGTTTCGAGACCATTAAACGTATCCATCTCAGCATGGAGCCCTTCACCGTGGATAACGGTACACTGACCCCGACGCTCAAAATACGTCGTAAAGATGCCTACAACAAGTACAAGGCAGAACTCGACGGCCTTTACGCCCTCGGAGAGCCGACTTCAGAGGTCACGACCAGGCTATAACGGGCTATCATGTGGACGAGTGCTGACGGCATTTTTATTGTACTATACAGCTTTATTTCGCGCAAGAAATGTAATGTTTTAGTTTTACAATCGTATTTCTCGACCATACGTGTGCACACGTGCGTAAGACATCAAAGTACGTATCGGAAATCACGGTTTTGGATATCTGTTAGGTCCAAAAATTCCTAGGAACGTTATTGGTTCAATGCAAGGACAAGGACCGTAGGACAAGAAGTGCACGAACTTTATCCACTTTAACCATTTCCTTCTTGCCATCCGACGTGGGGCGTTCAATGTATACATCACCGTAAGTATCGTCTGTGGATTCACTGTTTCGCCGCTTGTTTTCTCGGGACAAGAGAAAACGGATTGTTAGCAACAAACTCATGCAGCATACGTAGCAGATCCCGATGATGATCCAGGGAATGTGATTGCTAGTCTAACTTAGTAAGACTAACGACGGCGAACAGGTCTTGCTCACCGAGGCTTATACTTGGCTTGCCACATGAAAGGTCCGGCAGAATTTCCAATGCAGTACGCTGAGAGCATTATTGCGTTTACCGTAATCTTTTTAGTATGTCCGGAAACAACGGCGGAGACCCAGGACAGCGACAAGACTAGTGGGAATTATGAGCCCATGGGAAGTGCCACTTAGGAAACAGTAGCCACGCACCAAATCCGGTGGTTCCAACGCCTGTTTATTAAGTCATGTTGAGTCCACAAGATAGGAAGCATAGATTCAGAAGCAGTCGTACCTGTTATCCATACCGAGAAAAGGAGCCCTACCTTGTTACTCCAAGGCAGGAAATTGACCAAAAAGACACCCAACACATTGGGAATCATGTATATTGCGCCAACATACGCCCGGCTATTCGGAATGCGCGAGGCAATAGTCACTCCGGTCCAGATGGTAACAATTTCAACTAAGCCATCCACGCAACTAAGGAGAGTAGTCTGCAGATTGCTGAATCCGAAAGAGGATACTATTATCGTGCGCTGATTCGTCAGAGAATTGGGGATATTGTCCAAGGCGGCAAAGAGTGCAAAAAGCCAGGTCTTCGGGTCCGTCAACGCCTCTATCATCCTGTTATTTACTGTTAAGCTGACGTTACATATCCAACCAGTACGTTGTCCTTACTGTTCCTTTTTGAAGTGTTTATTCTCAACGCCAGTTTGGTTTTCCTAAATGCGCGACACATTAAAATTGATGTACCGAATAACGGAAAGCGAACGTGCCTTAATTCTCTGGATGGCCGTTGCCCTTTCGGCAGGCGTAAGGAACCACGCGTTGGTTGGCGAGTCTGGGAATAAGAACCTACCCGGGTGATTGGGACGGGTGGCGGCAGAGAATATGTTAGACTGACCAGAAGGAAATCGCCGTAATAAGAGTGATTAAACCCGTGATTATCATGAGCCTTAAAGTCAAGCCGAAGAGTGAGCTCAATACATTGACTACTAAAAGCCGCACATACCATTGCCAAGGCTCAAAAGTACCCGTCTTAATGTGCAAGGTACCGAAGCTGATGAACCCCGAAATAATTTGAGCTGTCATCCGGGGTAATTGATCATCCTCCGCTCGTATAATAGCCTGGTAACTTTTTGACTTACCGGTTCCGTTCATCAAAACTGGAAATAACGAGACTAAGCCGGCAGCCCGACAGTACGTGAGTATTGCACTCACACCAATAGCCGACTCTCAACGTCTGTTCTTTCCGCGTGTAGAACATCGAGCTGACAATCATGAAACCTGCGGTGATTGACCCTTCACACATGCCCAGAATTAGCCGCACAACAAATAGACCAGCGAAATTCTTGCAGGCTGCGTGACAGCATAAAGCAACAGCCCATATGAAGATGTTGATACTGATTACGGCTTGAGTCCTTGGGAACACCGGAAGAAAGCGACGCAACCCACCTCATCCATCTTCCCACAGGAAAGCGCTGGAGACAAAGATTCTGCGGGAACTCAAATACGAGATAGCTGAGATAGAATATGGTCCCAAGCCTGCATGATAGCATCCATTCGTGAACTAGCTAATTTCAACACGAAACATCCGGGCTTACCAGTTGTACCTAAGCGTGGTATTGAACATCCAATATCAGTAATGATAATAGTGTGCCGAAGCTACTCACTGATTGGTGGAAAGATGCGTCGATTCTCTGATTGGGATGGTAAATTCGGGCATCATAACCTTGGAATTCTGTCACCTGATTCCCAAAATCGCGGCGCTTCCCAGCGTTGTCTTATCCATGAATTGAATCCTGGATTACGAGAATAAGATGACGGGCTGCACGGTCACTGATGGATTAGAATACCAGTATAGAGCTGAACCAATAGATGAGCACATGTAGCATTACTTGAGCAGACATAGCACGTACTGCACATCAAAGGAAGAATATGTCGGTCGATCTTCTTCCTGTAAAACTTTTAGACAACGTAACTAGCGAATGGCATCTCCCAGCCTCACTTAATCCTTTCTGCCTCCCTCGGATCTAATGCTTCAGAGGCTCCTGCTACAATTTGAGCCGCGGTATCGACTTCCTTCGCCGACACCTCGACGACATGATCATTTTTCTCGTCATGTTTCCAGTCTGCGTCAGAAGACGAAGGAGACACCATGGTTCTCGGTTAAGGAAGAGATAGGCGTGGAGAAAAAGTGGGGCGTTTTAAAATGCACAAACGGCATTGACTGATATACAATTGCTCCATATCGTCTGCGTGAGAAGGTTGAGCGGATATAGGTGGAAACTACACCGCAAGGCTGAAATCAATGACCGTCAGATAAGATAGAAGCGCGCGGAAGTGACTGTTACCATATGATCCCCTCCGCTTATGGCAGGCATCGCGGGCTATAAAAAAGCCACCGACCCACCGACATTCAAAGTATCGCATTGATTTCGATTGCATTTTTGGAAATCTCCACAAAGTTACCCTTGCAAGCAAAATACATTCCCCCCGGCGAGAATCCCAGCTATCCACACTTACGAAGATAGCGGAGAATAGCGGCTGATTGTAAGCGGTGGAAAGGTCTGGATCATAGCCGAGTCGAAGGAAAGGCACAAGCGCTATAACCGTGGCGAAGATTACTTGAACCGCATTGCAAGACTGAATGTATGATTCTTGCAGTGATAACTTCTTAAGATCCTTCATCTGTCAGAACGTCACTTCGATATGACTACTCAGGACCAGTGAACCGTACCGATGCTCACAAGAAACCATGTCAAGAATGTAAACCTTAAAAAAATAATGGAGAAAAACATGATAACATTCATTTTGTGTACTCTACCCTGATGATTCTGTAGCTCGTGACTCCATAGCTGCCTGACCCGCGGCCGTGGCTGCAAGTCTGGATCGCTTTCTTTCCGCCTCTGTGAATGGCGACATTTCATCAGAATATGGTAGATAGGGTCCTGCAAAGATAACGTACCTGCCTCCTTCTCTCTTTCAATCTCAGAAACGATGGCTTCAATTTGTGACAAATCCAGGTTCTGTGAAAGAACATTCAATCAAATTGGATAGGAAGTTGGAAGTCAACATTTGACGCACCGTGACCTTTCCGTAGCTCTCCATCACACTGATTTCAATGTTCTTCGCACCCGTTTGTACGACTTCGAGCAAGCTCTTGACGGTCAGCTTGATGGCTTCCTCCCGAGACAGGTCATCCTTGTGATTCTTCTCTAGGAATTCACGGACAGTCTTCGACGATCGACCAATGGCATTAGCCTATTTATCGTAAAAGACTGAGTACAGTCATCTCCGGAATGCATACCAAAGACATTCACCTTCCAAGCACTATAGATTCCACTTGGCTCAGTCTGGTATAAACGAGGCCTGCTATCATGGGGATCGAATCCGACGATCAACGTTGAAATGCCGAACGGTCTGACACCTCCGGATTGGGTGTATTTCTACAATGCACGTTTGTTTCCCAAACCGATTGAATTGACGTGTAGACGCCTACCTGCTGGATGCCAGCAATATGTCTTGTGATGTATTCAACGGTGACGGGATCCTCGACTGTGAGACGGTGACTCTGACACTCTATTCGAGCCTTGTCAATCAGGACGCGGCCATCCGCCGTAAGACCTGCGAAATGAGTATATCGGTCCGTGTAGCGATACAGATCGTACGCACCAGCAAACGCCAAACAAATATGGTCATCCAACATCACAACCTTTCTTACCGTTCTCGAATCTTGCAGCTGTAGTACCGACTTCTTCTCCACGCCCAAAATTACTACGTCCTTTCCTCGAACACCTACCTAGAAGTAACATTAGACGTGTGGTGACACCTTGTCGAAAGTGGAGCAACTCACAGCACAAGTGCCTTTTCTGACAGCCTCGGCAGCATATTCGACCTGGACCACAGCAAGACAATAAGAACTTATCCCTTCGACACGGTGTAAACCTTCGGCTAACCTGGAATAGATGACCATCGGGTGAAAAGACGGTGAGAGCTGTAGATATCAATAAGCACCGAAGTTAACAGTTGAAGAATATGTGCATACCGCGATCGTATGATCTGGACATGATTTCAGTTCAGCACGATGGAAACAAGTAAAAGTCAATGAACAAGGATTCGTACGCCCGTACACGCGTCGCGCTCCCAATTGGGTGCATTATGTCAGCCGATCACCAGCCGAAATCGGCAGGTGGACCGGTATCCGACAGTAGCTACCTCATCCCTTAACGCCCACAGTGGCATGCAGAGTTCCCCTTGACTAGGCCAGAATAATTTTGAGCCGCCTTTGCAGATTTAATAATGACTAGTAAGGTATATGCACTCTTGGCTTTGATTTATTTCTGTTGTTACTAACCTCGACTTTATCTACGCAGCATGGGGCAGAGTCCGAGTCAGGACCTTCGGCGAGTCGCAGCGCCACATCGTCTCGGAAACACCATCGAAGCAAACACGACTCCGTAAATCGTGAGGGACATGCTGCTGCTGAAACCGACAGTTTTTGGTACCAGTCCTTGCAAACACCGCCGCCGTCGAACTTCACGCCGGGTTCGTCACATAAGCACCATACACGCGGTACAACACGTGTTAATCAGTATTTCTTAGGCATGATATTACTACTTAAAAAGGCTCTTTTGAATTCTCACTCTCGGGGAAAGACAAGACGCGCTGTTTTATGCTTTGATCGAGCGGTTTATGTTTCTGGCCAAAGCTGGGATGCCGGCTGGGGTTGCGGGTTTCGTATCTTCACGTCTTCTTTTCTAATAGATTCTGACCATCTGATAAAGGTACCGGAACTTTCTTATGTCCTGTTCGTCCTTGATGGATCAGCATTTACAATCAATGTACTTTCCACTCCTCGACAGCCCAATCTCTCCGAGTGTTAGACAGCTCCAATTGTGGCTGGAGGTTGCTTGGTCATCAGGTAGATTCCCATCTTTAGTGAAGTAGTCCGGTACTAAATTCTATTCGCCAAGGTTTTGATGTTCAAGGGGCAGAGCAACTTTCGCCCTTGGTAGGTTCGAACAAGTGGATCGGTGTTTCAGGTATAGACTTACTTCTCTCATTCTGAAGTCACTTTTGAAGGTTCCTTATAGACTTATACACCGCGTTTTCATCTCGGGGGATACCGTAGGTTACATCTCTTCCCATGCTATCGTTAGCTCAAGGTCTGATGATACAAGCTGTGAACTAGTTGATTTTAACTACAAACAATCCTTTCATGGTAGGTCCTTTTCTATCATTACATTCATCTCAACGACATATCGGGAAACGCAGGCAATGATGCCCTGATACAGTGGATCATCGATTACTTCTCGCCGCCTACAGAAATACATCGGCCAACCAACTTAACGGAAGCGCTGATGAACCCGTCTGTAAAGTGCACAGAAAAAATGCCCATCATCTTACAAGATGGATGGCATTCTCGCACTGTCGTTGGTTATGAACGAATCAGTGATTCTAAGGTGAACCTTCTTGTTTTCGATCCTTCGCGGTAAGCAATATTTGATCAGCCATAAAGATGCGCGCTAATCTGTCAAACAGCCGGCCCCGCTCCAAGATACGTAAGGCCGCTCTTGATATCAACGACGCCGCATCTGCACGCGTGGAAGACGAGCTATTGCATGACGCCTTGAAGCATTTTCGGTATAGGTTGTTCAATAATGTATTCGGGTTCGTAGAGCCATCATACTTTATTCTATCTGCTGACCGTTTGAATAGGAAGCAGTGGCAAATTTTGTATTTCCCCATGACGGAACCTCTGACAGAGTCTCAGATGGAACGAAGGAAGGTTGTAGTCAGCACAAGAGCCTAAAAGCGATTTAAGCGGAAATTTATATGTACGATGTTTTTAGATTGATTTCTTATGCTTTGGGGCTAAGCCCACACACATGCTACAATTTTCATGTACTTCTCCCGCTTTCCGACACGATGGCCTGTACCTCGAAGGACTTAATTGTGTAGCATTGTAACATTCTGCTTTGAGGTATTGTTTACGAATAAATTACATGACGAGTCCAGTGGTATATGATACAATGTCGGGTTGTTTTCTAAATGCTTTACTAGTAACTACTTCATGATGCCATAACAACATCACCATCTGCAATTGAAGGTTGTCCTTGAATTCCTTCAGGGTCAGGATCCAAGCCCTCCAAAGGTAAAAGGTCTAAACCAGCAACAGCGAACCTCAGCGCTCGCTCCCAAGCCTCCTCAACCCGATAACCTCCACCACGCATTATTCCTTCTCTATCTTTCCTCACCGTCTCACTGTACAAATCGTCGTAACCACCAGGTTTCAAGACGTACATATCTTCGAATGAGTACCAGTCGTCCTGGAAAGGAACATGAGGCTGGTCCAGCACAGTGCCGGCAGTTTTTGAGCGCGTTTTCAGCAGTTTCGCGTAGTCGGCTCCAAGACCCAACCTCGACATAGAAGACACACGGTTTGATGACCGTTTGAGGGCGTTTGCTCGCGATTTAGCGATGAGTTTGGTGGCATCCTTTTCGCTGGTCTCTAGTTTGTCGATGATCTCTTGTCTCTCTTTCTCTTTCTCCAAACGTTCTGCCTCTTCCTCTCTGAGAAGTTCCGCTGCGCGCTGTTCACGCTCATGTCTCTCAAATTCTTCTTGTTCTTTCAAGGCAAGGGCGTATGCCTCTTCTCGTTGAAGGTTGAGGGTGATGAGAGCTGCGTTGGCTGCCTTATACGCTGCAATACGTTTTTCGGTCTCGGGAACGTCAATATTATTGATGAGATTGAAGGCTGCCGTTGAAATGTCAACAAGGTTCTATAGGGAACTGGGAATTTTCACCTATGTCCTCCACTTCCTCGAGGTAGTCATTGTAAGACCTGAGGTCGTCAAAGTCTTCTCTCCTCTTATTGAACCTACAAAGCTGTTCAGTATTGTGAGGGCTTTTGACATGACCTGATGTACTCTTTAGCAATTCGCCTGCGAATGGCAACTTCCTTCTCTACACCCAAGTCTTCAAATGTTTGCGGTGTAAATGCAAGCTTTCGGAGGACAGTGTTACAAATTGGACAAGGCGCCGGACCCAGCGTGAATAAACGGTCTATACAAGATTCGCACCTTCAATAAGTAGTGTTAGTCTCGTCAGACGAGGCAGACGCGGCAAAGCATACATTTTATGGTAACAGGAACTGACGAGTAGACGAAGTTTAGGATTTAAATATCGGTCGCTCTTGCAGACGGGACATTGGTCATCCATCGACTAGAACATCAATGAGACTTCGTCGCAAACTTGAAAAGGAATCCTCTAACAAAGTATTCAGTTGTTCTTCCTGACGGATCCTTGACGCCTCCGCCAAATATTGTCGTTGAAGTACTCTGTACTTGGGGCGTTGTCGGCCGAGTATGCGTATTGGAGCCTCCTGCACCGCCCTTCTTGACGGTCTTCCCTTGAAGCCAATTTCTGGATGCCATGGTGGTAACGAATAAAGACTCGGAGGAAATGATTTGTCAGGACATCGTCCTTGGAATCAAACAAACGCGCAAATAATTCTCGTCTCTTCTACCATCATCATCCAGACATCCAAATTGTCCGACAATGACTAATATAGACGCTTCCAATCTCATGGTCTCCGAGGCCCACCTTATCCTTGACCATGTATGCGTCTAGTTGTTCACGAATGTCTTCGAATACCCACCTCGGTCTCCCAGTCCCGCAAGGAGAAGGCAGAGAGAACAAAGGATCTCGGATCACCTCTACAGCTTCCCGGGAAGGCTCTAGCAATAGAAATACTGGGAAATGACGCATGGATAGCGGAAAACACGACTATTATCCGCAGATTAGACCTCGAGGTACGTATAGCTGCGCGTCTCGGGGAACACATCAGCATCATCTGCCCAGACAGGCAAAACTTTGCAAGTGTATCGCGGCCACACAGGCCCTGTGACATCTATCGCTTTCTTCGAAACCGGAACACACAAACTTGTGATATCCGGTTCTTGGGATAAAGTGGAATCTATCCTCTACTTCCAATCACGTACTGACCTGTGATCAAGACCATCAAAGTGTGGAACAGAGACGTACGTCGTGGCGTTCAGATTCCGCTGGCGTTTGGTAATCAATTCATAGACGAAAGAACTGCTGTCGTCTACAGACGCTCATGCCGATTTCGTCAAATCTCTTTTGGTTTTTCCAGACCTCAAACTTCTCATTTCTGGCAGTTCTGACAAGATTGTGAGATTCTGGTGAGAGCAGGCTTCTTTGTTGCCTGACCGCATGGACCTTATCTTATGAATAGGGACCTCTCCTCGATTTTGGAAGGTCCGTTACGCTCTCTAGGGTCAATATCCTCCCATACTCGGCCTGTAGAATGCATCGATGGCACTGTCAATTCTGATCAGTCAGTCGAGCTCTGTACAGGAGACACCATGGGGGTTATCAAAGTTTGGCACCTGCAGAAAGAAGGTGGCGCATCGCCACGCTGGAAGAGTACTCTCAAATACGAACTGACGCATCATCGAACACGGATAAATGATATGCATTATGGGAATGGACAGCTCTGGACAGGTGAGCCAGGACGACTGATGTTTCACTGCTGTGGCTAATCTAGAAATGGACAAAAGCGTCTTCTGATGATACTGTTCAGGTCGTTACCGTAAACCCTGCCTCGGAGGCAGACAAAGTACCTCGGTTCATGACGCATCCTACAGCAGTTCGGTGTCTTCTCCCAATAGCATTGACAGATCTAGCCGAACCGTACTTGATTACCGGTTCAGCCGACGTCATACGCTCATATGATGTGTCCTCTATTGAGGAGCCGGAGATCCTAGGTGAGATTGATGCACACTGGCACGATGTCACAGCTTTGCGTCTTTGGATGCGCAGATTCACAGGGGAAGACGGGTGTACTCGTGTTGAGCCGTGGGTTCTCAGTGCCAGTCTGGATGGCACGTTGCGGAAGTGGAAGTTATCTGGTATATGTGATCTTTTTCTATGTGGAACCGTAGACTGACAGTCGGGCAGAACTTTTAGCTCCACCGCCTCAGGCGACATCGGCCACGGCCAAAACCACAAGTCCAGTGCCACAGGAACCGCAGTCCATCTTAACAGAAGAAGAGGAACGGGAGCTGGCCGAGCTCATGGGTGATGATTAAGTTCGCGGCAGTTTTATCAAACCTAGAAATCAGTTTCGAGATGCTGTAAGATCAGCTCTGGGTCTGCTTCAACGTATTTTTCATATAGCTCAAAAATACCAGCGAATGTAACCACAGATTTAGTGTAAATTTTCTTCATTTGGGAAATAGTCTTTGCCGCTCGAGGTCTTTATTATGAACGGCGATAATCATAAGCCTTTAATAATTTTGGCTGTAGTTCGAAATTCCAACAAATGGTAATTGAAATGCCCCCCTGAAGTCTTTATATTTGGTCTTCATACTGGTCCCCCCCTTCAGCACTTATCGAATGACAGTAGATGGGTAGATAGTAGCTAGGGGAACCGTAAGAATTGTGACGGCATCAGCAACGTCCGAAAGCTTTGATTTATGTTGACATAGCCCACCGATTTACTATTAGCATTCAATAATTCATGATAGTCACCAAAAGGCCTAGAAACAGTCCAAAATTCTGTAGAAGATGACCAAAACACGTGATCGCAACATGTACATTCATAGCACATCATTCTACGGTACCAATCACTATTCCGGCATTATCTAAATATTCTTTGCTCTGTGACTTATCTCGGCAGAAATGATCCTCATCAGGTAGTTTCTCCTTCCGGGCTTTCGGCACCAACCCTATTATTTCCTGTTCCTTAGTCCATTCTTCCCAGGCAGTTAGCACCTTATGCTCAACATGATGTATTCTCTTGTACTCCACTTGTGACCGTTGTCATTTAGGATCCTTAACAAATGCAGAATATCACAAGGACCTTCTCCAAGTTGACATTCAGAGGCATGAAGTCCATAACGATGGTAGACAAATTCGGCGTGGCCCGAAATGTCTGCCAATCCACATGTCGAAAGACATCTCTGGGTATTGGGTCTCACGCAGAGGCCATTCTGTGTCATCTTCTTACAGGAAGAGGGTTTGAGCGTGCTCGAGACCTCGTGTGCTGCGCTGAATATGCTTGTCGCAGGCCATCTTGCAAAAGCATCTGAGAGAAGCATTCAGGTAGTACCTCTCATAGACCGCTCCCTGTCTGCAGCTGGCTCACACGCGTCTCAGGGAATGATTTTCCACTTTCAACTGACTTTTCTACTCAATCGACGAGACAATCCTGCTTCCATAAAGAATACATGCCTGCCTTTTCATCCACGTTAGTCAGAAGGAGATATGATTCAGCAAGAATATCACTGAAAGCCTTATCGCGTTGATACCGACTCCGTACGGAGAGCAGAGCAGTCGAAGTGGAATTGGCGAGGATCGAGCATGCACGATTGAATATCCATTTCCGAGTCCATGATCTCATTGTATGTCGATTCGTTTTCCTGAAGAACAGTGACAATACTTTGACTACGTCTCTGATAACCGCCCTGAGCAGGACGTTAACGATAGGTATATTCGAGCTCAATCTATCAGTTAGGCCATTTTTTAAGTTTGGACTATGAGGAGGTCTATCAGAAGCAGTTCTGCATGGTCCCACTGTGCATACCTATATGCGTGTGCTGATGATACTTCCATCGAGACGGCATACAGGTACCGGTCAGACTTTCGTTTCATCAAGATTGAGCAACGCTAAGCCGGGGAGCGCCTGTCATGATTTGAAGTACTTACTTACTCATCAGCATGCAACAGTTCAAATCTTCGGATGGATCCACTGATATGAGTGTGGAGACCCAGAGGAAGGAGTTCTCGTCCATTGTCATTCTGAGCGAACTGAGCTTGTGATTGCCCAAAGGGATAGGTAGCTCGATCATCGCACCTTACTGAAGAGAGCTTGACTCTTCAGGAAAGAGGATTTGTAGACCTAGAACCGACCGTCTTGAACAGTACATCATTCCATATGTGTCTAAGTCCGAAGACAACTAGGGTGGGTGTGAGTACAATAATCAACCAACACGTACTTCATTGAAGATGGCTTCACTGATCATGAAGCTGTCCAACGCTAAGAAAAAAAAGATGAGTACTAGTGCAATGAAAAACGATTATTATATTGGACAGAGTTAAACTATGTAGGTATGAGACGAGACCGACGGGTAGCGGCAGCAAATGAGAGGTATAAAGACTAAACTTGAGCGCGAAAGAGGCAGTTAGGAGAGAATGAGTATTATCGAGTAACTTAATGCTTGAAATCCTATACTGAAACACTGACGAGAACGAAAACAGATGATGCACAAAAATTAGAAATCCAGAGGAAACCGCAAAGAAATCATAAAATAGGCCAACTGCCCTCAGCTTTCCATTTCTCAATCATGTCCTTGATCGTGTCGTGATTGAACCGTGGCTTGCTTAGCTCATAACCGGTCACAGACTTGATCTTAGAGTTGCTGAAACCGACGACGGTCTTCTCTAGGTAGTACTTGTCCATGTAGGCGGACAGGGGGGTGTTAGGAATCGGCGGATCAGACTTGAGAATCATCTCTGTCCAGTGACCAACATGAAGCTCATTAATTTCCTCGACGATGTCGTCCTTCAGCTGTTAGAAGGTATTAGTAGGGTACTAACGAATAGCGGACTGCGTAACCTTGAAAATCGTGTTCTCGAAAAAGTTGAAGAAATCAAATGTTGTGCCAAAGAACGATGTGCAAACTTGACCGATCTCCGCTAGCGTCATCTGCGAATCATCGGCCTGAAGGAATATTGGTGATGAATGAGATACGGGATAAGGGACCTACTTACAAGGTTGAACAAAGGCGCAGTGACCTTCTTGTCGTGTGCGGGTGCCTCAGGGACATCTTTGAGCTTGTTTTTGTCATTGTGGAATGGTATGTCCTCCCCTGCGGCCTCGTCGGCTGCCTTCCTACCCAAAGGCGCCATCCACTGTGCGCAAGCCCATAGCCCGCCAGCAATATCCTCAACGTGAACAGTATGAGATGGATGTTTTCCTGGAGACCATCTGTGCAAACGTCAGATAAAAAGGCGCATGAATCATCGAAGGAACCATTACAATGACTTCATGGGCTTCTTCATATAGCCATAGACAGCTGCAACCGTGATGAACGACGCCACTACAATTCATCGGGATTAATGATATCGGAAGGAAAGCGTCTATCACTCACTGGTACCGTAATCTGTATAAGGGCCGTAACCCAACGCGACCCGTAAAACGACCAGGTTGAGGCTATGGAGAAGTTGAGATCAGCCCAGACAGAGAGCCTGGCCAAAGACGCACTCTTCCATGCTGGCCAGCATTCGCAAGGTTTCATGCCACCAAGTCCCTACTGTGCCCGAGGGTTTTGGATCCTGTTTTTCGTCCCACGGGCCTTTATTTGATGTTTCATAGAATGGAAGCTGTAGTCGAACGTATGCCTTGACTTTGCGTTTTGCGGCCTCCTCGCCGAGTATTCTGGCAACATTACATGTGGTTGTAATTTGTATCTGAAACACAGTGAGATCGAAGGTCAAAGAACTGGAATATGGACATACCATATCTGTACGATCCTGGCGCACTTCACCAGTCAGATCAAAGACGTAATCGTATGGAGGCTGGCCCTCGGGCGGGTCAAAGAGCGGTGGGATATTGGCTAGATTCTGTGAGCATATAGGAAATGTGCTGAAAGGCGATTCCACGTACACGGAACTGTCAAGTTTGCCTGCTGATAGTCAACCTCCTCCTTCTCAAGAACCTTCGGGAACTCTGCTCCAATATATCTGGGATGATGGATGATTGGCGATCAAAGGCAAGAAGTTGAAGAGGTGTTCACTCACGTAGTCGCTGGCGCGACTTGATATTTATCGACCATCCGTACATGCTGCAATGGATTCAGATTGAAGATTCCAGCATCGCGCAACGAATACGGACTGAGACTAATGGATCTCCTTCCAGTGGAACCAGATAAGCTGCCAGCGCACGCGAATAGGTATTCAGACCGCCTGGAAATGTCGATAAGGATAGATGTGAGTATGTCGGACATTGCTGTTGGCGCTGTGCTCACCAAAAATGAGGACACTGGGTTTCTGCGAAGAATCAGTCATTGAGCCTTATGCTGAACGACCGCCTTGCGAGGACTATAGAAAATTATAAAGCAGGAGAGAATGGGATAAGTCAAGGATAAAGTATAATGGCAAGACAGGCAGACGACCAGGGAAGGGAATAGTACGCTTATGTCATCCACTCGACGCGAGCTTGCTTCTGCTCCTTCAGGATCAGGCTTGCGCTTTGTCGTCCTGGTGATTCCATTTTTTCTGGTGCATCATTACGGGCGTCTTGCCTGGAACGTTTACTACTCAGGTCTGCTATGAATATCGAAGAAAGCAGGGCAAACGGAGGTAACTTTTCTAGTCGCCGTCCGTACCGTGGACGCTCGCTCCATCCATCATCCGAACAGTCTTCTTCCCCCTGGCTACCCCTGCTACATGTACCAATCAAAAAGCGACATTAGTCTTGCCTAGGTGCGGACATCACGGTCTCACCACCTACGGAAAGAGTTTCCAAGTTCCGGTGTCAGTTTACTTTCAACTTCACCATACGGGCATGCCTAGTGTATATCTTCGGAGGCTTTTCATTCATCAGTGCTCTAGGTAGAGGTAAGGTGACCATGCCCTCCCTATACCTCGAGCGTTCCAGTCAGGTTTGCGGCGAAAACTTCACACCCCGTCACGGAACCCGGTACGGAATTTCTTTACAAGGGCAACTAGCAGTTCCCCGTTGAAAGATACAACCTCACTTGCGACAAAATTAGGCGCATCGATTTGTAAGAGGCAAAGATTTCACGGCATATGGCCCGAAGATATGTTTGTTCTCATCTGTGCTGTAGCGCTTCAGTAGAAACAGCTGCTATCCGGCAAGTCATATCTTTTTCTTTCCTGCGGACACCTCCGATTACTTTACTGATTCTTCGGTAGTTCTCTCCGGGTAATCTACAACATCCAAGCCTCTGCCATAAATGCGTCTGCATAGTCTGCGTCTCTTCATGAGCTTACTCTTTCATCGATCTGTACGGCCTGATTCCAATCAGCAACTGGCTTCATCATGCTTCTTGTTCTCCTTTTTTTATCTCTTCCAAGTTCTATCTACTATCACTGTCAATATGATACTGATAGCCTGCGCAGAGTAACTGAAAGTTCGCCCTGTCTGTTACATCGGACGGTCATCCTGTTGTTATCCTCCTACTCTACCATCAAGAGTCACACATATCGACTCCCTCTCGAACCTACAGGTCAGGAAAAAATGCCTGACAGGATTATGCAGTGCCTACTACCTAACCAGATCTATGAGGTCAAGGGACAAAACCAGACCTTTAACACGAGTTTACTTGAGATCTCTCCCACAGCGCTCAGAATGACGTGCCGCCATGACCATCTCATTCGGCAAAGATATCCGTGAGCTACTACTGATACCGAACATTTGATGAGAGTCCAACCAAGATCGACCTCCGGCGGAAGTAATAACAGACTCATATGTCTGTTCTGCCGTTCTTCAAACGCGTGGTCAGAGTGAAACTGTAAAGTTGTGTCGGGGCTGATGGGAGTTGGGAAATGAGCGGTTGAGCGCAACATAAATCAAGTTTATGACTCCTGCAACATGCATCAAGACAAGGAGCATTATATCGGGCTATCATCGTTACCGATATTCGCATACGTGAATCTTTTCAAGAAGGGCCGTCGTCCAAAAATCAATCACGGTGGTAGCCTCTCCATTGTACCTCAAGGCGCGCACTCTTCCGAGATGACTTTGCACGCCGGCCAGATAAACCGTTAGTCTCCCAGGTTTCGTGACTAATAACTGCTTCGATAGCACCAGAGAGGAGGCTCATGATTCTCATAGAACAATTTAGCAACGTTACGGACATTACTGCCACATATTCTCCCTGGCACGTTTCCGTAGGACGATAAATTCCTACGACATATCGGAATACCGCTCGGAAAGACATAGCAACACCCACACCCAAGTTAACGTACCTCAAGGTGATCACGCTACTCACAAAAAAACGCCAAGCTTCGGGCGGTCCGCCGCCTGGTAGAGGGACAGCTCACGGCATAACATTTCCAATAACAGACACGGCCAATGCAGTACTCCGCCAGCGTCGGAAAAGGGATGGCATCAAATGTGTATGTGGCCGCAATGTATTCTGAGACGGTACGGCAAGGCAGGGGTTAAAGTTCAAGTGATAATCGGGGCACACGCTACGCACGATGATCAGGAAGTGAACCCCAGTTTGATAGCGCCGTACGGATGTCGTTCCATCGATAACGACGACCTCATCCGCCATGATGAGCGTGGATAACATAGAGGGGAAGTCTAAGGTTTCATTATCCCCGAAGAGAAAGTTTGGTGTCTTGATCAGGAACGATATCCGAGTCCAAGTCCATTTGAACACATTCCGTGTTTTCATCTCGGAAAGTTCAGAGAAAGCATAAGTAGTGGCATTGAAATTACATTCCAGAGAAGAAGGATGGACCCATACTAACCCTTTTCGTTCGTTATGGACGCGCGACCATTAATATGGATCCGTGCAGTGTTGAATCGCTGAATCTTCACGTACGTGAGATGTTCGAGACCATGGCCTTGCGGAATGCCGAGTTGCATATCCTTGGAGTTATATATCGTCAAGGCGGACGAACGTATACCAGCTCAGACACCTAAAATAAACACCAATGAAACCCACTTCAGTAATCAGGGTCTGTAAAGGCTGTTGCATCATGAATATACAAACGGCATTCAAATATCAATCGAAAGCATAACTGACGTTGTGTGTAATAAAGAACGCCATAAGTGGATTCACGGTCCCCTCCTACTACCGAAGTTGTAATCTCCCCGTTCGGTGTTGAGGCGGGTCAGAACCATTGCGATTAATGTACAAAATTCTGGGGTGCTTTCAGGAGCGTTAAACATTAAATCACCACACTGACGGTTCTACCGCGCTATTAAAACTCAGGTAATCCTTCTCCGAAACGCCAGGACATACCTGAGAATGGTAAGCCGTCTTTCAAGAACTGGGACGCTGGATATGCTATTAGCCATGACTTTCTGGTGACGAAACAGGAAAGTCATCCAAAACGTACTCGTTCGGTTTCGCGTCGGAGGAGAAAGTTTGTTCCAGACGCAGTTTGAGCAGCAGGACGTTAGGCCGGCAATTCTTATCGATCGGAGCAATGTTTATTGGGGTTCCCTGAGGCGAATTGTTAGTCAAGAAGCAAATGCAGACTGACCTTTTTATAGCGCCAACGTTTACTGATACATCCAATAGGTGTTGGATGTATAGTGTCACCCATAAAAACAATGATAGAAAGATGCCATTCGAACAAGAATATAAACAAGCAGAGAAGTTGCTACCGGACGATCATCAATCAAACAGTTGACAGGTGCTCTAGTAAAGATAACACCAGAGACTCCGGACGGTATATTCGAGGGTCCTGGGCGCTGAAATCATGTGATCGTCCGCCAACGAAATTATCACTGATACTAGAAACTACCCAAATGTTGTGAGTAACAAACTTGGAGCAAGATTACTGCTGAACTCTATCTCACTCGCTATTCGCTCACGATGATCGCTGTCCAACCCCTCGAGACAAATGTCGATCATCGTAGCATCGATGGGTCCAAGTGGACAATAAGTAAGGTTTAACGCCCAACTTTCCAAGATCGCGGTATGACTAAATTTAGTAGCACGGCAAATCCTTATCAATTGACGTCATCGCATTCATCATACAACTGCATAGACGGTATTCCCAATCCAATTCGATTGCGGGTCACTCGCTAACCCGATAGCTGGGGTGGGTATACCGTTGATAACAGGTTGTGGGGAGGGGCCCCAGTGGTCCGTAGTTAATTCCACAATCTCTTCGTGGTGGAATGTCGGTATGTGTTCTGCCAGATTCTTTGGTGGCACAACGGTTACGCGTATCACATACTGCAGTTCCAGAAGTAGTCAGCCTCTATCATGGACCTCAGGAAAGAGTGGAAGGGAACGCACCTGAACACCGACAGAGTCAACTAACCACGAGCTCTCCTTTCCCGCCGCACCGGCTTTCACATACCCCCGCAGTAGTCGTACACCCTCTGCAAACTCGTTTTGATATTTGAGCTGGCCGGAGGTGAGTACCCACTCGCTGTGGTTTGAATCGTCGTTCTCTTCCGGTTTCAAGTTGAAAGTCTTCTTCTTCGGTCCGAAGGAGATGCGTTTGAGTAGTACAACCCGTATGCAGCGGGTGAGCAGCTTGGCAAAGTAAGGTTCTTTGGAGAATAAAAGGCTGACAGCAAAGGGTATGTCGTCCCCGGCAGAAAAACGCTGAGGGGTGGGTATCGAAACCTGCGTTACTAAGATAAGTACAATCACTGAGGTGATCAGAGAAATACGCACATATACAGATTTCATAAAAGGCTCCAGGTCTGATTTACATTTAGCGTTTGCCCAGGATGGTGTCGCTAGGGCTGTATGGACGCGGTCCAACCAGTGTAGGTAGATGTCAGTTTCCTCGCTTAGTCGGGAGGGTCTGGGAATAGTAGAAAGGGGCGGGTCCACTGGGTGGGTCTTTGGCAAATAATAAACGGGTATTGATTTTCTATGACAAGATCGGTAAGCTTGCTGTGTCAGTGGGAAAAAGTCATACGTTTCATGTCTGCGTAGATTGTTTAGGTTTCCTTTATGGACCATATCAATCTTTATTGTATAGGTGACCTCCAGGGCGGAGCCATAGAAATAACAGTTAAATGAAGGAGGTGTAGGCGCGGTGCCTCCACCGGGAGTATTGACTTCCGTAGGGATGGGTATCGTGAATGGATGTTCTGCTTCCCAATCGAATACGCATCCCATACAGGAGGTATATAATGGGAAAGTGCGAGAAACTATTGATGAAGTGGCGTCGCCATTAGTGCCCCGATAAGGGCAGAAAGTCGTTAGACGACCTTCGAACTGGGAAATGTAAATAAGAGCCACAAAAATTGAACAAAAAGCAGACATACCGAAACAGTGACTTGCTCAACATGTTGGCGTTGCTCCAAAAACTTGACACTGCCAACCACTGTTCCTCCAAGTCCGTAGCTTGGAGAAGTAAGCCCCCATATGTGAGGGCCCAAGTCTATCCTCATATGTTTCGTTTCGCATGACCAATGGTGCGTAGAGGAATTGATCTCTGGTGAAAATGGCTCGGGATGGAGACTAATCTCAGTAAGGCCCGGGTGAGCAGAGTACGATGGGGAGGCCAGGGACAAGTCAGTATCGTATGTTGGTAGATTTTCAGTGTCGAGGGTAAGGTCGGCGTCCATTGATGGTGATAGTGGAATGGGTACAGGGTCGGAGGAAGTCATTGATAACAATAAGCGAGAACCGAAGATATACTGGCAATGGAAAACAAGGGGCAACTGCAACCCTTGAGGCAAGGCAAGGTCTAGACAAAAGGAAGAAGAGATTGTACCTTCAGACCTTTGGTATTTAGAGATATGATCGATTGCTGCGCTCTAGACTGTTCGCGCCGACTCGGGTTATCCCGGATCTTGCACAAACATAAGCCAAACACAACCTATCGTCTCCAAATTTGCCCAAGTCGCTACATCGAGCCTTCCGCGCAAGCTTTTCGCTGTATCTTTGACGATCCACGAGTTCCAAGGGACCACTCGCGATGAGGAGGAAAAAAGGATTGGTCAAACCGGACCGGAACTCGGAACGGAACTCGGCCTCTCAATAGCCGGTCATGTCTTCCCCATAACCCCGCACAGACCACAGCAGTGCTCCCCGCATTTCTTCGCCTTCTACTCAGCATGAAGTCTCTTCGTCTGCTTGACCCTCTGTCTCGTATCACCCTACGACCCAAGAGCACCGCTTTTGTTGGTCTGGGTCGGATGGGCTTCGAAATGGCGTACAACCTCTTTTCGAAACAACATGCGCAAGAAGGCGACGCTCATTTCGTCGTATGCGATGCAGTACCGGAACGTGCGGACGAGTTTTGCAAGAACTTTCTTTCGCAATTCCCTGGCGCCCAGATCCATACTGCTCTGACTCCAGACGTGTGAGTATCCAACTTGACTGAGACCAGAGTTACCATTTAACCAATGTCTAGGGCCGCCATGTCGTCCCAGACGGTGATAACAATGCTCCCATCTTCTCCTCAAGTCAAACAGGTATACAATGAAGGCATCATTCCCGGTATGAACGCGCTTCCTCCCGATGTAATGCGGGACTCGCTTGCCATCGATTCGACTACTTTGGATGTCTCAGTTGCCCAAGAACTTGCCTCCCAGTTGAACAATCTCGGCATTCAGACTGTCGACGCACCAGTATCTGGTGGTAAGGAAACGCTTTTCTTTTGTCTGTTGCCTACTGACTGTGTCAACTCGTATCTGCAAGGCGTCGCTGGGGCTAAGGCAGGAACTCTCACATTCCTTGTTGGAGGAACGGAATCGGCTTTTGACAGATCATACTCTATTCTCTCTCTCATGGGTCAAAGGGTCATCCATTGTGGTCCGTCTGGGCTGGTCTCGGAGCTAAAATCTGTAACAACGTTAGCATCCGGGAGGATCTCACACTACACTCAGTTCAATGACCTTCTCTTTTAGCTCATGCTAGGTGTTCAGCAAAATTTGTTACGGCCGAAGCCATGGCTACTGGGAAAGAGACTCGGCCTTGATCCCGTTGTCTTGTCAAGCGTCATCGGTTCATCAACTGGAAATTGCTGGTCCATGTCAGTCAATAACCCCGTGCCCAAAGCTCTGCCAGATCTATCTCCGCCTTGCAACCGGCGACTATGAAGGAGGATTCGCGACAAGCCTGATGCTCAAGGTATGAGAAACAGTAACCTCCAACGGCTATTGTTTCTTACCATTGAGTAGGATATGGGCTCTTAGCGGCAGATATTGGAGTGGAGACGGGACACACCTCTTCCCATGGGCGATTGCCGCAGCGCAGGTATACGCCAGGATGGTTCGGGTCTCACCGGAACGTGAAGGGAAAGATTTCTCGTCTGTGTATAAGTTCCTTTGAAACAAAGTATAGTGATTTGAGGTATGGTGCCGTATAGTATTTCTACAAACCATAACAGTCTCATTCTTATGAAGGTCATACTGAAAAATCTTTTTACAGTGTATCATCATCTTTGCGGTTCGTTCATTCATAGTCAAATCTATATCAATGAACATTTGTACATATATCGAGGTCAGAACCACAATTTTGAAACGGATTGGGATCGCCAGGCTTTCTCGAGGAGAGCAATTCAAAGAGATTGGGTTGAATATTTCCATATCCTGACAAGCAATATACGAGTAGTCGTAGATCAGTACAGCCTCAGTATCTCCCTCCTCCTCTCCTCGAACCCCAACTGTCGTTGTAACGAGATTGTCGACGCTCACCCCTGTCCCAATCCACCTCCACCGCGGCTATTCCGACCCCATTCATCCCCACCGAGGCCGTATGAATCTTCTTGTGGCGGGGGTAGTCTAGGTGGGGGTGGAGGTCCGCCACCAATTCCAGGGATGAAATCGTCATCTCCTCCATTGTCCCAATTAGTTTTAGCTTGCCCACTGTCCTCCGTTGTACTCCCTACTGCGATCTCCTTCCTCCTCTTTGCCCCACCACTCCCGGTTCCACCCATAACTGAAGCCGGGCACCATTGCGTCGTCTTCCTCATCCTGACCACTAGTATCGATAATTTCTGGTGGCTTCTCTCCGCCCCCGGAGAAGACAGAAGAGGCATCACCAGGGCGCTCACGGCACCAAAATCGGGGTGGTGTGGTCATTGGATGCGGTGACGAGGAGATGGCCGAGAGGATGGAAGGCCATGGACCATACATTTGAGTCGTGTGCTTGAGAGAGGGTGGCGCGCGGCGAGGATACGGGTTGACTCAGTGTTTCGTCTTCGGCACCTAGGTCCCAGTGAAGAACGGCACCTTCAGAGCCTCCAGAGACAAGGATGGGATGTATGGGATGCCAGGCGACGGCTATACGAATGCTACTATCAGATTTACATGTAGAGAATGTGAGATAAGCGCGTACAGCAAACTTCTTTCTTGTGTCCTTTGAGTATCCGGAATTCTTTCATGGCGCGGATATCGAAGACACGAACGGTTTGGTCCCGAGAAGCACTGGCAACCATGTTACCGTTGGGTGACCAAGCTAGCGCTTGAATAGTGTTCTTATGTTGGTGTCTAGAGCAAGTTGATTTGAGCATGAAGAGGACCTCGCACAGTAAACCGACCGACATACAATGTAGACAGGACGGTACCCGTTCGAGGATCCCAGAATTTTATCTGGTTGTCTTTACTTCCAGAAACAAGCAAGCCTTTAGACGGATGCCACTGGACACATTTTACATCCCAACCGTGCCCTTCGAATGAAATCAGTCTTCTTCCGGCTGTATGAAAACCAATGACTCAACCAGTTAGAACACTCTCCACTCGGCTCTCTGCGAAAGACCATATACGAACACTAGAGTCATCGCTAGCTGTCGCAAACCGACGATCATCTGGACTGAAGCTGATACCACGTATAGCTTCTCGTGAGTTAGATCCTTGCCATGCTGTCAAGTTGTTCATGTTGGGCTCGAAGTATTTGATGACACCACTCTTGTCTGCTGACACCAAATATGCGCCTGAGTGCGTGAAACTGAAGGTACAGATAGCGCTATCGTGGGCTTGAAGGATGGTTTCGAAATTGAATGTGAGTCCATTCCAAAGAGTGAACCTCTCCACTGGTTGAACCTGTTAGGACGCGTCTCCCTTCGGGCGTCCACTGAATTATTGAGTTGTCGGTGCTTTTTCCGCTCACTCGACAAGAGAAGCACGAACCGTCACGATGTTCACGGGACAACGAATTTTATTTGTTGAAGTATGGATGAATTTTGTACACAAGGATTGTAGATGAATGTCCGGATATGCTTTGGGGGGTAATAACTGCGGAGAAGAGTTTTCACAGACGCGCCTAGTGATTAATTGGAACCTCGCACGTTAATGATATATGGTGGTGTTGGCCGCAACTGAGGCACGTAGGTAGAATTGGGGCGCAATTTCCGCATCTGTGCTGCTCTCAGTATAAGACTTTTGTAACAAAAAATAAGGACGCGCCAAAGCCATCGACCCATCCCTCCATAGTAATCTACAGTCTTCCTTGGCCGTGTCTTCTTGATGATTTTGCCATCTAACATCTGTCGGCTATTTGCTAGTTCTTGCTCTTGAACCTTGGCGTCATCAACCGGAGGTGGTTTGCAGAGGTAAAAGGTGTTTCTTGGGCGTCATTCGAGGTGCGAGTTGATAGACGGCTGAGGTAGCGCACTCTTTGGTAGAAGAATAGGCAGAGACATGCGTAGAAGGATCCAAGCGGCGGGCAGGAAAGAAACGAGGATGTATTTGTCTCAAACTTTCAAAGCAAACAAATTACATGGCTCGGTGACACGACGGCCTCGTCTTGATTATATGCATGCCTTAATGGTCCACCCGCAACCTTTAGCGACGCGCCGAACGGTGTCACAGAAACATGTTCTGTATTCAGAAATTCTGTCCGTCACTTCGGTTATGCGGAAGAACTCCCGATGGGCGTCGGCTACGCACTTTATGAATACGAGAGACTCGGCCCTCGGAAGCAACCTAGGGCTCCGAATATCCACCGCTGCCCACCCACGACAAACACTATGGGAGTGAAAGCAGGGGAAATAGATCTTATGGTCGGATTCCAGGAATTAAAACGAGCATTGAGAGATGTGGAAGGTAAGTGACACGTTTGCTGTTGCGTTTAGTATACTCAAATGCTATCCAGACGTTACGAGCGTTCCTTTGCCTACTATTCTAGGTCCTTTCTTTGCCTATCATCCGTTCTCCTCTTTCGACGGGACCAATCACGTCTGCCGCGCTTTCCTCGCTTCACAAGTTCTTCACTTGCGGTCTTATTTCATCGCAATCCGTTCTCTCGATGCTGCACTCGTGGAACTCAGCAGCACTGTATCTCACTGCAAATTTGAACCTAGTGACTCATCCGGAGATGAAGTCGTTCTACTCAAGATCATGACTGTCATACAGGACTGTCTCTGTGAACACGGAACGGTGCTAGGAGACGTAGAGGTGTGATGAAATGCTGGAGACCGTTCTTACGACGTGCTGTCAGATGCGCCTGAGTGGTAAGTGGCATTATCATCGCGTCATTACTGGAAGTCCAACAAGAACTCTTAGAAACCTTGCGACGCTCTGCGGAAACCACAATGCATGCTCTAGTCCGAACCGTCTTCTCTCGGCTCCACTTCTTGGATGCTGCCTCAGAAGAGGAGAAACTGCGTTTCAGTGATGAAGAGACCCAAGATGGCGAGATAAAGATGTCAGTGTCGACAGACCAGGTCCAAGAAGAATCTCTGCCAGAACAGTTTCCGACGCCAGTTCCGGAAGAACCACATCCTCCACCTTCCCCGGCACCTAGTGGTCCTAGACCTCAGTGTGAGTCTCTCGTCTCAATCACAGCGCCCCACTGAATGAGATCGGGGCAATGTTCAGACGGACTACCATCGATATTGGAGCTTCTTCGCGTTCTTGTCTACGTCTTGGACCCCAACGATCAGCAGCATACCGATTCTACGCGCTTAATCGTCCTCGGAATTCTGAACGCCGCATTGGAGGAAGTTGGCCCCTAGAATCACAGATTTCCCCTCATTGGAAGCACTTATCCTTGATCCCTGTTGCAAGTTCCTGTTTCAGCTGGCGCGATCGGAAAATAGCTCTGTCCTCCATTCCTCATTGCGCACGATATCAACCATGTTTGACACTATGCGACAACACCTAAAACTGCAGCAAGAGCTCTTCTTGGCGTTCACGATAGATCGCCTCGCTCCTACACTCCCAAAGGCACAACAGGCTATAAGCAAGAAAGGTATCTACGTAGGATCTCCTAGACCTGGAACGCCTGGCACCCCGTCTTTAGGACCAGTTGATGACGAGCTACAGCTAGAAAAACAAGCGTCTACTCCCCCTCGATTACTTGTCCCCCCTGCCCGAGGCGAAACGCGTGATTTAAGTCTGGAAATCTTGAGTCAGATATCCAGGCACCCTAGTTTTATGGTTGATTTATATACCAACTACGACTGTGACATTAATTGCGAAAATTTGATGGAACGTCTCATCGATTTTTTGACAAAGGTGAATACGTATTACTGGTCTCATGCTTTCGCTTACCGTGATTATGTCTTCAGTCGGTGTACCCAGCATACTACAGCGGAGGCTTGGACGTGCAACAACGAAACGCCCAATTCCTTTGCCTGGACCTTCTGCTAGCATTTGTCAACGATATGGCCGGTCGAGCTAGTGGCGTCTGTAACGTTGCATTTTGAAATTGTATCCTTCTGACCGGTTTGTTGTTATCAGACTTCAACCCCGTGGCCTTCAGAGTTCCCGTTTCCAGAGTCCCTTCTGCAGAAGAAATCTCAAAAGAAGTTGATTCTCGCCGGTGCTTCTCGTTTCAATGCAAAGCCAAAGGCCGGAATCGCCTTTCTGGAGGAGAATGGACTAATATATGCCGACTTGTCGCCAGAGGTCAGTAAAGCTCAGAGTCTTGCAAAATTCCTGAAGAGCTGTACCCGATTGGATAAACGCCTTTTGGGAGATTACATATCGAAACCTGATAACATCGAAGTGCTTAAAGCATTTGTTGGTCTTTTCGACTTCAAAAACGTTGGTCATTCTTACCACACTGTGTTCAGTGGAATGACGTTTTACCCCTTAGAAACCTATGGCTGATGCCATGCGAGAACTATTGGAAACATTTCGATTGCCTGGTGAGGCGCAGCAAATCAACCGAATAACGGAGACATTTGCGTCCATATATTTGCATCGGAACCAGGTAACTTAAGAAGTTTCTCTACGCTAAATACTGTGCTGAGCAGTCTCGCAGCTGAAATAAGGAGCGAAGATGCCGTTTATGTCCTAGCGTACTCTATCATCATGCTCAACACTGATTTGCATAATCCGCAAGTTCGGGTACGTGTTGTGGGACTTACTCATAGAGCCTGACGTCTAAACGGCACTAGAAACGAATGTCTTTTGAAGAGTATCAAAAGAACTTACGGGGTGTTAACGATAAAGGTGATTTCCCCGCTGAATACTTGGTATGTCTTGATACCCTTGTGTTGACATGGTCTGAATTGCCCTCAGCAAAACATCTATGACTCCATACGGAAAAGAGAAATCGTCATGCCTGAGGAGCATACGGGACAGCTTGGCTTCGAGTATGCATGGAAGGAACTTTTGACACGTTCACGACAAGCTGGTATGGGTCCATAATCTCTTTGCAGAACCTTAGTAATAAGCCGCAGGTGACTTTATGATATGCAATACGCCTCATTTCGATATCGACATCTTCAAGTCCGTCTGGAAACCTGTCATCTCGGCCATTGCCTATGCATTCATCAGTTTTGACGATGACTATATTATTCAACGGTCTGTAGCCGGATTCCGACAATGCGCTACCCTCGCTGGCCACTTCCGTCTTCCAGATGTGTTTGACTTCGTAGTGGTGTCACTTTCGCAGGCGACCAGTCTTCTTTCAGATTCTGCATCCGTCCAAGTCCCCAATTATCCTGTTGTAGATGTAGAAGGACAATCTGTCACAGTCTCCAATCTATCCATCAACTTTGGCACGAACTTCAAGGGTCAACTAGCTGCCGTGGTCCTCTTCAATATCGTAAACGGGAATGGCAATGCTCTCCGAGAAGGCTGGACACAGGTTTGAGTCCTCGCAGTTTCATGACATAAGGATTCTGAACGTTTTTGCCCCTCAGATCTTCGAGATGTTCCAAAATCTTTTCCTTCACTCCTTGCTTCCAACAAGGATGCTCCAGATGGAAGATTTCCTTGGTGGTGTTTCCATGATACCTCTGCGTGGAAGTCAGCCACAGCGGCATGCATCACGTAGCGATGGGGGGCTTTTGTCGACACTGTCTTCATATTTAATGACACCCTATGCCGCTAGTTCTGAGGCGTTACCCGAGGCCACCGATGCCGACGTTGAGAATACGCTTTGTACGATAGATTGTATCACGTCATGTCGTCTGGACGAGCTGTACAGCCAGATCATGTACGGAGATTCCCCCTTCTTATTTTCCTGCCCACTGACATATGTTGGTATTCTAGGCAATTGGACCTGCAGGCTCTTGTTGCAGCAATCCGCGCTCTAGAGGCGTTAGCGCATGACCGGACGGTAGCGAAGCTCAAACAAGGTTCCGATGATGAAAACTTTGCGCCGCAAGATAATGATACTCACGTCCTTCCCTACGATCCTGCATCAATATTCCTGCTGGAGACCATGGTTAGTATAGCTTGTCAGACGCCACAGCACATCGAAGATCTATGGTAAGTCTTTACCGACCTCATTTGAGCCTTAGATCTTATCTGAAATTGTTCCAGGCCAATCGTCTTCGAACATTTATCAAATTTACTCTCGTCTTCTGAGCAGTATAGCGTTCTCCTCATCGAGCGAGCTGTCGTAGGCCTCTTGCGGCTCTGTCTAATACTTGCTCAAATTGTGCGTATTGGCAGCAAGTGAATGATATAGGCCGAGTGTACTAATTCAGGTCCCAGCCATCTCTTCGAGACCAAATCTATGTATCTTTCGATCTTTTGTCAGGGCTGACACCAGCTATTGCCAATTCGGTTGCAGAGCAGGTCATATCTGGAGTCATCCTCATTGTTCAAAAGCATCGCGATGTCATAAGGTCAACTCTTACTCTACTATGTCAAAGTTATCCCTGAACGTGCATCATAGTTCTCAAACAGAGTGGAATCTAGTCTTCGCCCTTGTTCGGTCGACCGTGTCTCATCCAGAAGCCGCGCGCCTCTCTTTCGAGCTTGTAACTGGCCTAGTGACTGAGGGACCTCAACAATTTATCACGGTCGACAACTTTCAGGGTTTATCACACTTTTAGATGAGTTTGCTTCTATTGCAGGCACTTCTGTACAAAGCCAGCGACATGGACGACGCCATGAGCCTGCGCCATCCGCGAGGTAAGTTTGTCGCTGATCCTAACACCATCAGTTCCTGACTACTTTGCAGTTCACCGGCTGTAGAGCGCGGCAAGAAAGCTATTGAATTACTTGTCAATCTCAAAAAATGGCTATCGACCTTGGATACTTCAATTTTATCCCGAGACAAAGGTAGATACTGAAGCCGTTCATCTCATTCCCTGAAATGCTGATGCGATGTTTACAGCCTGGCATCAATTATGGCTACCATTGCTTACCTCGCTCAGCCGACAGTCATCTAATGCATCTCGCGAGGTTCGGCATAGCGCCATGAGTCAACTGCAGCGCGTGCTATTAGGCTCTCATGCCATGTTCGATGAGGCAACAGATGTACAGACAGAGGAGATCTTCAACCGAGTCGTATTCCCCCTTCTAGATGATCTATTGAAGCCGCAAATCTTCTTGCGCGATCCGCGTGGAATGCCAGAAACGCGGCTACGAGCGTCAGCACTTCTGTGCAAAACATTTATGCACTTTGAGGTTCGCGAAAGCCAGATGCAATCCGATATCCGTGTTTTGTGGATACAGATTTTGGACCTACTTGATAGACTGATGAATATCGACAAAAAAGACCAGCTAGTATGTTTGTTGCTTTCCGTGACTCGACACGACTACTGACGATAGTTCATAGTACGAAGCTATCCCTGAATCGTTGAAAAATGTCATCCTCGTGATGAATGCTGCCCAGATCCTCGTCCCACCATCGTTAAACGATCAACGCAGTCAACAACAACGGACACTGTGGACAGCCTACGTCCGAGAGAATGGAGCGCTTTTTGCCTGGATTCCTAGTTGACGTGATACCTCCACCACCAGAACCGGAAACCAGAACCTGTACCAGAGTCTGCACCGACTCTTTCATAGAATACCTACGGACCTTGTTACTCGGATATTATATTTACACGGGAGGGGTTTGATGATAACTGTATGATACGAGGTTTGATAAGTCAAGATGGGAGTCAATGAAGCTCCAAGTTGGGACCTGGTCCTCCATCGCGTATGAACAATTCAGCACGTTATAGACCATAGTAATCACTCTCCTTTTCTGCGATGTATCAGCGGTTTCCTTTTGTCCAAAGTGCGTTTTCATGCTGACTGGTTCAACCCCTCTCGTGCAATCACCAAAATCTAACAAGAGCACCCCGAAGAAATGAAAGACTGGAATTGGTAAATGAGCCGTATAGGATAGACCTTGCACAGATCCACCCCAGACGATGCAAGTGGTCAACAGCATTTTCATAGTTTCTTATCGGCACGTCGAAGTCAATATTCATTCTCTTCCAAACTGCTACTGAAGGATCGCATTGATATTTATTCGGGCCACTTTCATCAGCCACGTAACCTTGATACTCTACAAATTTCACTTCAAAGATTAAACCAACGTAGATCCCTAATGACTTGTCATAAATCTAGTGGCGGTAAGGGAATGCTGAACTCACCATAGGGTCCCAAGGAGGCAACACGACGGCGTCTCCGGTTTCGAGAATCTTCACAAGATGTTCGGGAGCAAGACCTTTGGGAACAACTACTTGGTAAACAAATCTGCAATGATCAAGTTAAGAAATGAGATCGCTCATCGTGTGGACACATACTCTTTGAACCACTTGTCGGTCATCATAAAATAGCCTTTCTTTCCATCGGTCTCGCCCCAGGAATTCTCCACTTTGTACCTGACAGGTTTACCGTCCTGATCCAAGTGAACCGCCGTGATAACCATCGCATGGGTCATAGAGGACTCCTCCACTTGCAAACGCTGGGCCTTTGTAAGGCCAAATGTGATGTCAAACGCGGTCTGCGTATATCAATAAGCGGCCAATATGACGAGTTGGAGGGAGATATGCGCTTACCTCGTACTTGAAGAGGTCAGGATCCATTATGCCAGCATCACCTGTCCGAGAACTTTCCTACGTCGCACACAAAGAAAATGGGTAAGCCCGCTTTGATCATCTGTCGCTATTTTGTTGGAATCAATTGGCCATTTTCCAAATATAAGTGTCTACCTTCACCACCACATTCTTCATGTTCTCAATTTGTGTGTTAACATCTAGAATCTTGAAAAATGAGGCAAGACGATAAAAGTGGATGTAAAATATCCTGACAAAGAATTGGTCGAGCTCCCCAAATGTTGCCGAACTTGTCGACAGTGTACAGTTTAGAATATTCATTGCGGGGATCGTTGACCAACGAAAAGTATTCTTGAGCCTGTAAAACCAATCTTTGAATACGTGATGGAAATAAGAGGACATATGACCTACAGGATATGGCTCAGACGCGTTCTTCTCCAAGAATTCAATCGGCGTGCCTTCCCATCTTCCAGCCTTACCATCTGCGTCATAGTATTCCCAGACAAACTGCTTATCAGGCATAGGAGGCACGCCAAGAGTGGCAGTCAAGATAATATAGATTTCTTTCAACAGCTTTTCCTTCTCAGTGCGGAGAGTGGCCTGGATTTCATCCGGTGAAAAGTTTGGACCTTCAAATCACTTGACAGAGCACGAAGAATGAGCGCGTGTTCACATAATTTCGTCTTGAGAAGGGCATTGAGTGGCGAGGAAAATGAAGAATGAGTGGACTCGGGATAGAGAGCTTGTGGTACAAGGCCGTAATTCTCCAAAAGGTTGACAGCCATCTCGAACTGACCACCGTCGCTCATTAAGTTTTCCGAAAGTTGCGAAACAAGCCGATCATCAAGAGGACGGTCAGCAAGCTCGATGGATAGCTCCAGGTAGTAGTTTGCCTTGTTGAGCTTGTCCCAAAAGAACATATAAGACTATTTAAATGTGATACAACGTCAGAAATTGCCGAGAAGAGTGTTCCGGGTAAAGGATATCACCTGAGAAAGTTGAAATTCTTTCAACTTGAGTTTCTTCATGACCCCGTAACGTAGGACATTGGTGGCAGCAAATAACCAGCACCGACCACTGGACTTCTGGTTGGTAATAGGTCCGGTCTTGAAGTCTATCTCGTTGTTAAAGATATGGGTATCGGCAATGACGGAGTCGCGAGAAATGAGTGCTGAACGGATGTTGGAATGAGAAAGAATGGTACGGGCAAGCTGAATCTTGGTATTGGCGGCTACACTTTCCTCCCATTTCGCTACGTTGTTTATCAACAACGAGCCACTGGGCGATAAAGCAGTATCCTGGAGAGAAATGGAGACGAACGAGGCAGCTACACTGCGAACGGATTGTTTCTCGTCGGAGGACATGGATCTTGTGGATGCGAAGGAACTGCGCCCATTGTTATGCAAGATGGCTGGGTTGCATCGAGATTCGGTGTTGCTCGGTCGGGTCGGCGGACTGGTCGGAGGAGGATGAAGCGCTGGGGCTATGATTAGGAACCTCACGCTCGGGGCACGAGAATACCTGGCCTGATGAATGAAGCAACGATGTCGTCGAAGAGGAATCACCGGAACCAGACACACAACAAACATGAATCAACCCCCACACCGAAATGCCCATGAACGACGGCTGCAACCCTCTCTCCTGCTATCACTCATCACATTTGAGAGACAGAAGGTAACTGGGGCATGATTCTTGTCTACAGCCCTTGAAGACGGCACTAGGCTAAGGCAGTAAATCTTTGTTGAAACTTCCAAAGTTAAAAATCCTCACGAAGAAAAGGGAAAACAAGCGGACGCCGCAAACGCCAAGCGTTGATTGGCACTTAGCAAGTTTCAATTTGGATGGTCGCGAGATCACAGAAACGATCACGTGCAACCTCTGGGCGCCGGGCGGCCAACGTTTCTTGCAACCAACGTCCATCGTCATCCTTGATACCCATCGAGCCCCAATGTCAACTTCCGTCCTACATATAGTGCACTGGAACGATGTTTATCGAGTTGCACCTCAAAAAGTCTCCCCAAAGTCAACGGAGACGATTGACGTTACTCAGTTTGCCACGATGCTGGACAATATAAGAGACCAGTGGCCAACATTGCAGGATGGAACAAAGGATGGACTATCTCTATTCTCTGGCGATTTATTCTCTCCTTCAGTCGAAAGTTCTGTAACCCGAGGGAGCCATATGGTTTGTCTTCCATTTCCTACAAAGTGTGTCGTTCATCTCTCGCTCTCAGGTCCCAGTCATGAACGAACTTGCCCCAGATGTATCTCTTACGGGTATCTACCTCCTTCTTTCAAGATCGGCATACAATGCTTATTGTTCGTCCGGCAGGAAACCACGATTTTGATTTTGGTGTGTTAAAGTGATATTTCAGATGTGTCTGATCCTCACGTATTCGTGTCACTAGGATACCCACATCTTTCCAAGCTTATTAAGGACACCACATTTGTACATCTCACTGAACAGCTCCTCCTGATCACACTGACCTCCAGCCCAACAGCCATGGATACTAAGCAACATTATTGACATTACAACATCTCAGGTACCTGAGCGCTTACACGAGTTCCAAGTATTCGAGCGGGCTGGAACTCGCATCGGCGTCATTGGATTGGTGGAAAAGTGTGTTACTGTCAATATCAGATTCCCGGTCATTCATTCAATCACTTAGGGAATGGATTGGCACCGTGTCTATGTGGCCTCCTCACTTTGAGTACAGAGACATGAAAGAAGTTGGCATCTCTCTTTCGCAACGTCTCCGTGATCCCAATGGCGAACACAAATGCGATATCGTCATCGCACTCACCCATTCCCGGTACGCCATTATGTTCTCCGTTGCGAGTGATTTGTTTATACCCTATGCACCAGGGTTCCAAATGTATGCGTCTCACAACTTGTACGATGACTGACCTCGCTAATGCAATCTTAGGATATTGCCCTCGCAAAAGATCTTTTGGCGTTGTCTCCTTCTGCGCAGAAAAACAAACCCATCCACTCTAGTCATGGCGTTGATATCCTATTGGGCGGACATGATCACCTATATTACGCAAGTAAGGGATGTGAATGGGAAGGATACGACACGAATGATCATGTTCTAGGCGCCGAGGATGATCACGGTGACGTGCTTGTCGTGAAGAGCGGAACTGACTTTCGAGACTTGAGTGAGATTGATTTAGAGCTCGAATCTACCCCCGAGGGTAGTGTCAGAAGAAAAGTCATAAAACGGATTTTTGGTAAGGACTTCTGTTGTGATTTGGGGATCGAAATCTGAATGATTTGGTCGACCAGGTAAACGACATTCGACACAGCCGGGTTCGAAGTCATCGGAGAAACTTAGCAAGCTCCTTGAGAAGCTGCTATCATCAGTATCGTCGAGTCTCAAGGCTCCCGTTTGCGTCAGCAATGTGCCCATAGACGTTCGTTCGCAATTCATTCGTACCGCTGAGGCTAGTCGTTTCGGTTTGGATTTTATCTAGGTTCTTACCTCCGTTTCATAACCAGTCTGCCGCTGGGAATTGGTTTGCAGATGTCATTCGCCATGCATATGATGACACCCTGTGCATGAAAGGATGTGGTGGTGGCGACGCAGTGTTCATCTGCGCTGGTACACTGCGTGGTGATTCTATGTATGGTCCTGGTGATGCTGTTTCGTACTATTGAATTAAGCGCCGTCTCATAATATTTGTAGGATCTATCAGCTTAGGGGACATCCTCGAAATTCTACCATTTGAAGACTCGGTTGTTGTCCTCGAGCTTGACGGCAAGGCAATCTGGGATGCTCTGGAAGCGTCGCTGGAAACCTGGCCAGCACAAGAAGGGTAGGACGTCCATTTCCTGGAACATATCATGCACGATGAACTAAAATGACGATCAAAGGCGCTTTCCCATCGTTTCCGGTATGCGTGTCTCCTGGGATTCGCGCCGGGAACCTGGCCAGCGCGTTTTGGGCGTCTGGCTCTCGAAAGAAGTCGAAGATAGTGTTCACGATGGTTCCAGCGGTCGCTCTACGCCGAGACTTGTCGACGCTTTCCCCATTGAACGCATTGAAGGCGGAAGAAAATATAGTGTCGTGACAAGAGAGTACATGGCGCAGGGACATGATGGTTTCTTGCCCCTCATGCGAAACAGATACCTTGTCGACGACGAGACGGGTCAAATGATGAGCACCCTGGTTCGCAAATACCTTCTAGGTACGGTCAGAACTGAAAACTGAAGGCCGAAAGGTGACTGAACATTCACCAAGGTTCTCATTTTGTAAATAAAATGGTTCGATTGGTGGATCAATCTAACCATGACAGGCTGCATCGTGGAACGAAGGAGGCGATTTCCCGCGAGATTGCCAGTCGGAAGCGTAAACACCATGATTCTAAGGCGGTGTTGCAGTGGAAGAACGCAGCGCACCTTGCGCTAAGGTGGGCGCGCTCCAAAGCTCATTATCAGGATCACTTCAAAATTTGTGTGACGGAGAATATGAGCTCGGTAGATTTGTTTGATGGTAAGAATGCTAGGAGGGGGAAGGACGTCGAAGAGAAGGTGAAAGAAGGCGATGACGATTTGCTGGTTATTAGCCCTGTTGTAGACGGAAGGTTGAAAGATGTAGGAAGAGAGTAGAACTTCGTTAACTAGACGGGATCACAACTCGGACTGGTTCGACATTCGGATTGTCAGGAAACGTTCATTTTGTGTAGAGAAGCCAACAGAAATACACGCTGAGGTAGAGATACAGAACATTTTATAGGTCTTGTCGACTGATGTGCTTATGCTGTGACGATTGCTGGGAGTGTCACTTTGGGCGGTGGGTCTCCTGCAAGTGTCCGAGCATAATGAGTTATCAGCCCAATGCTGCTGCCTATTCCGGCACCACCCAAAACGACTAGAATCGTCGGCGAGCATTTGTAGAGGAAGAATCATGAATGTGACACGTACGATTCACGATATGAGCGCGTTTCCATAAAATAGCTGGAGTGAGCACAGCAAATAAAATGGAACCAATGACACTGTGGTCTTCTGCTCTGATACGATTAGTCTGCATAAGAGGAATATAAGTTAAGGGCCATTAGCGATAAAATCAAGTCTCGCACATCATATGTAGATTCCAGTCTATGTTTTCTGGCCACTTCTTCACTTGAAAAGCGATAACGAGCATACCCAAGGCCACCACCAACCACGGTACCTACATAATCCTCAGAGAGAAGATTCGCACGACGAGTCAATGGGTTGCACCTCCGACGCCACCGAGCCATGTCGCACGAAGGAGGCGGTTCGCCGAAAAGCCACGCCAACCGTACCCCGACACAGAAAAGACAACATAGGCGGGCGGAGTAATCAGCGACAGTATATGGTATCCAGTAGTCATTGACTTGCGGACGAGATACTCCGTATCCGCAGCATGGGCAGCGGAGACAGCCATGGCGTTTTAGTCAGAGTAAGACGTCGGTAGTGGAGAGTAAACTATGGTCCGTGCGCCGCTTAAGTAATGAAATGATGACAAACTTCAGCCCGCTTTTTGACGACTCCTCGCAAACTTTCACCATGACTTCCACCATGCTGGAACCCTTCGATACCCAGATGCTGGACTACCCTACGGACATCGATGTTCCAATGCAACCAGAGATGTGGATGCAATATGAATCCAGCATGGATACAGACGCCCATTTTGACCCAGATGAGTCGCTTGCCGACGCCGATTTCGATGTCGAAGTGGATATGGACTCGTACAATCCCCCGCCTCAGAATCCCGAGTATGAGATGGTTGACGATGGTGCAGCTGTCGAGCAGGAATTTATGGTCGATGTGGAGGTCCTGGATGAGCCTCTTCCCGATTCGAATCCCGAGCACCTTGACATCCAGCCGCCCCCGGTCCCTATTGTAGATTTTGCGCTGGATGTTCCAGCAGACCCTACTCTTATGGAACACCCTTTGGAGAGTCGTCCATCCTTTCACGTCACTTTGTCTCAAGGACCCGAGTCACTCCTCCAGAGTTACTCTGAAACGTCACAGTTGACTCAGGACGCTACTATCCCATCTTTTGAGCAGGCTACAGAGTCATTACTGGAAAATGCCCCAGTGACACCGTTGCCGGTTGATGATACATCGGATCCAGCCGTCGTCGATTCGTTATCTGCTGCACCCTTTGAGCTTCCGGTTGAGGATTCGTCCTCCCATGAGATTCATGAAGCTGCAATCGAGGTCCCTTCAGAAGAGGCGGTAGAATTGTTGGATGAAGGTCGTCAGTCCCGTGAAGATGGAACGGTTGTCGCGAGCGAAACAAACGTCGACAATGTTACGGTGACAAATGACGAGATAGCCGATGCTGACGCAGAACCCGAGTCGGTGCCCAAGCCTGCTGTCGCAGATGTAGAAGAGGTCGCTGACCTAGGGACTGACGATGTGCCCAAAGATCCCCATGAAATTTCGGAAGGGGTGTATATCGAGCCGCCCCAAGCTGTGCTGCTTTCTTTTCCAGACTTTGATCATCCTGACGTTTGCTTGTTCAACCAGCCAAGGGTGGCATCTTCATCTTCGCAACCAGAACAGCAGAAATATTCTTTACTCCTGGAGCACCACCCTACTCTTTACTATGAATCTCTATCGGCTGTTTTTAGTGCTCTTCGAGAAGACGAGTACCTTGCTGGCGCCATTGATCTATCTACAGCAGAACTTGTCCTAGATGCGTACGATCTGCAACTTGTGATTTCTGAAGTGAGTCGCGGCCAACAGACTTCATGCTACTTTACTTACATGAAATTACAGGACAATAAATACGCTAGTGAGGTGACGCTCCATGAACTGAACATAATGCATGATGCATTCGAGATCTCGGGACCGCTACGTCTGCGGCTGCATACTGTTACACCGCGATTTATTCTACGGTATCGCCAACTTCAAGATCAGGTGGCACGCCTCCAATTGGCAGCGGATGAGGTATTCTACGCACCCGAAGAAGGTGAATATCTTCTCGTTTTCACCTAATGCGATACTTATGAAGTTTTTCAGAGAATAAGAAGGACCAATCTGAAGAAACGCACGACGCCAACGAGGAATCGATACAGGAGCAACGATACGAAGAAACTGAAGAGCGACACGAAGACGCCGAACAGGATCAAGAACATGTAGTCGGCGCCGAAGGTGAACGTTATGTGGAGGACGGCGAACAACATTCAGAAGAAGCGCCGGCAGAACCATCGATTCAATCGGAAAGCATTGAGTACCCGGAGGAGCGACCGGAAGATCATGTTGATGACCAGTCAGATGAGCAAAAACGCGATGAGGATCAATCAGCAGCAGACGAGCCGGCCTTCGTAGCACATGATGAATACGAGGAAGATGCTGACGGTGATTACGAAGACTATGGTGAGGCTCCAGAGGAAGACCAGGATGTTGCTGCGGATGCGGCCCAGGAAACCTTGTCGCGCCTGGTCACACCTCGTCCTTTCGAAGCTTCGTTGCCCCCTGAAAGTAAGGATGAAGAACATATAGGTAAAGGTACATCTACTGTCGTTTTTTCCCTGTTGCACAGGCTCATTACTTTTTTTTCTCAGATGACCATTCGCAAGCACCAGCCGACACGTTGGGGACAACCGCTGTTACCGACATCGGCACCTCTGAGAATGATGCGCCATCTTCTGGTACGTTTTTCCAAAAAATTTCATCCGAATGCGTGCTCATATTATAATTTATGAATAGAGCTTGAAAAGGAATATGCTAACTCTGAAGATTATCAATTGCTAACAACGACCGATGACCCCAAGAACAAAAGTACAGGTTAGTTACATCTTCGACTTCACCTATCGTTGACTTACACGTTCTATGTCACAGACGACTCGCATGATCGCGTACAAGAAAACTATGATTATTTGAACAATGATGAAGAGTGGGGGGATGCTGACGCTGAAGGTGACCCCGACACTACGTGGGAGGAACTCGAACCTGAAGCCGAAACCGCTTCCAATGAGAGCTCCGTCACGCTTGCCAGTAGGAGTTCGAAGCGAACCATTGATGAAGTAGAAGATGCTGAAGGCGGCGACTTGGGAGATGCTTCGTCACGGCATAGCTCTCCAGGTATGTGGTCTTTTTTTCAGCCGAGTGCAAATGGCTGAGCGATATCAAAACAGGTTCCAAACGAGTTCGTGTGGATTGAGCGTCGACGTTTTTGTGGTTTTGGGGCACTACAGGAAGCGCTTTTCGTACCGGCAATACACTGCACAAGGCTAAGTCTTTCGCTTTTCTGATCATTCAACAGCATAGTATTTTTTTTGTTCGTTTGTTTTTTTTTGCTAACTTCATAGGATCATTCTGCAAAATGCTCTGTCTGGAGGAGAATGACTTGGGGGTCGGAGGCAAATTAAATTTTTTTATCGTATACCTTGCACGGCGATTGCCGGATGATGTATTGAAAATAATGTGATTCATTTTTGAGTCTTGACATTTTGTTGTAATTCTACTTGTCCGTGGCTGGAATGCCTGCACGAGCTACTTGATGAGGCTCAACAAACCAACTTTGCCTTCTACCATCACCACTCCAACGTCCTTTTTCTGACTCTTGCCATGGCTGACGCCCATACTTCTCGACTGTGCGTTCAAATAATTCATTCACACTTTGGCAGCCTGACAGCAGTGAGCAGAGTCAGTTATTGAGATGTACGGTCCTGTATTCACGACGTTTTTCTATCGCAGAAGGTTGCCTCGGTCCTTCTCACTCGTGGACGGCTGACGTTGCCCAGCCTTGCTCGCTACTCGGGATTGAAGACTCGTACCGTTCGCGCGGCCGTGCTCGTTCTAGTCCAACACAACATCCTCTGGCATGCTACCCTAGACAAGGAGGGGGAGGTCTTAGAGGTCAATATAGAAGAATGCATGATGAGACTGAGGTTTGGAAAATATACATGGCAGGCAGAAGAGCTGTTTGGGAAAGCGGTGTGCTCATTCTTTGTTCTCTGTCTGAAAGCAGTGCTTTACCGTGTCTTTTTACTAGGGTGCACAGATTGTTCAGCTCATCCTCGACCACGGCAAGCTTCGTCCGCCAGATATCATCTCGGAACTGTCCATTCTTGATCCTAAAGGTGTGCTGGACTCTTTGACCACAAAACGTAAATTGAACTCTGTTTAGGCTCGGCAGTATACTCTCAGGCACTATACAAACTCGTGGAGGAAGGATATCTAAAGCCATCGACAGTTCTCTCTCACGAGTCTCCTCGCGACAAGCTCATCAAATACGAAGCAGAAGAGAAGGCCAAAATTGTTGGTTTTCCTACGTCGAAACAGCTCAAGGAGGCACGGGAGACTGCTCAAGCACGGATAAAACGAGAAGAGAAGGATGCCGAGGGTGTTGGCATAGTGAGTGCGATTCTTGGTCAGAGTTACTTCACACCTAATGATTTATAGAAGCGGAAAGCCAAGAATCAGCCAGGCCAACGGTCTGCTAAAGTGTGTTCAAGTCTTTGCATTCGTTTTTTCGTGCCCCAACCGTCTTCCAGCGTAAAGCAACTGAAAGTACTGGCGCTTTAGAGGTACGCCGTCACGATTTCGCTCAGTGGATAAATCGCTCATAGCAGCAAAAGGACTCCGTATATTTTCGACTAAACTTCGACAAATTTAACATACATATCCGTAATTCGGTGCGTTCCCTCTATTTTTGTTCCAGGATCGTATTCTCAACTCGTCCAGCTCATTGAAAAAGCAGTCAGAAAACGCTATAATGATGGCGCCGCTCTGATTGTCAGAGCTGCCTTAAAAGTAACCGAGTCATCTCAGAAGACTCTCCTTGAAAACAGAACAGGTGCGCCTCTTTGTGTCATACTGGTTCTTCACACTAAATTCCTGCAGAACCTATATCCGTAGCTAATATTGCTATGCAGCTTTCTGACGAAGACGACCTCTCTTCTGGACTAGTGTTTTCATCCAAGAAGGGGGCGTCGAACACGACTTGTATCAAGGAATACCTTGGTATCATGTCAAATGCCGATAACCCCACGCCTGTCGGGAAAGCGTCATCATTCGTATCGTATGATTCACAGAAGGTGTACGTCGAATTCGACTTGATCGCGAATCGGCTGCGTAGGAATGTTTTGGAGGCTGTGACGAGAGAACGGCACGGAACCGAGGGTGTGAGAATAGTACGGCTGTTGCTGGAGACCGGGAAGATGGACGAGAAACAGGTGCGCGTTGTATCTTCGTTTCTCCTTACCTCATACTCATTCGGTGACTATGTAGATATCTAAGATTGTAATGATGGCACCCAAGGATGTACGGCCGCTACTGTCTGCTCTCGCGGCGGATTCTCTTGTGAGCACCCAGGAGGTACCTAGGAGCGCAGACCGCGCTCCTTCGAGGACTTTCTATCTTTGGTGCATATAATCTCCTGTCTTTCTTTCATTCTGTGCTCAACATCTTCCACTAGGCACGTTGACCTTGCCAAAGCCTATTCCATGATACTGGGTCAACTGTACAAGACACTGTATAATATCAGTATGCGACGTCAAGCGGAGAAGGAGGAGCCTATATTGAAAGCTGTGCTGGAGAAGCGAGAACGAAGCGACGTGCGCTTGGACGAGAGTCTGTTAACGAATCTCGACAAAGACATCATCAAGGAGTGGGAGCAGAAGGAGGAGAAATTGACTATCTTGGAGATGCGTGTTGAGGAGAGTGTGTTCATTCTTCGTGATCTTTCTGCTGTTTCTCAAGGAATGGATGATTAAAATACTTTGTGCATCGTCGTGCTTCCATCTTGGCTTTAGTGTCCCTGAACAAGGCGTCATGGTTAAGTATGCGGACAGAACAGTCACTACCAGGTGTTTCGGCATATGTATGTGGGGCAACTCGCACAGCCGCAGTGACGATAACGATACGCGGGTAAATGGACTACGAGACTTGCTCTGCTGGAGCAAATAATATAAAAAAAGGAATGCACTATAGCTACATATTCTATGGAAATGTGAAGTACCGTACCGAAGCCATTGTACACTACATTCAACAACTGGCAGAAATCAATACAATATAGATATATATATCGGCGCTGGCGTAAGGCTTACTATCGTGGAACATAGTACCTGAACGGAAACTCGTGCTGCTCGACATTCTGTGTTGTTTCGTTTGTCCGTGAGTGTGTGATATTTTCCGCATCGTCTGGAAGACTGGATGCGTTAGTGCTAGTGGGAGGAAAGGGCGTGCGAGACGTCAGGGGAGCGGACGGAATATAAACCGCATTAGGATCCGCACAGAAACTTGAACGTGGGCCATCGGTTTGCGCTTGGACACTAATTTTGAAAAGGTCCAAGATAGAGGACGGATCTGATAAACGGTACGGATTCAGGATAGGTATATGGTCTGCAAGGTGTATCGAACATGTACACCGTTGCGTCAACGGTGTCTATATTTTGCGTTCAGTATGAAAGTATCCTTAATTTCATAGAGAGAATGGAAACGCACCTTTTGGGCATGTGCCGCACAGTTAGTGGTTACGTTGTGACAGACCGTTGTCGAAACATAGTCAACATGAGAATGGATGCCATGTCCGCAGACAGCACAGCTGAACTGAGGAAGTATGAACACCGTAGAGTGTATGTCTAGGTACTATTTGAACTTACCTGGTTTAGCAAAGGCGATGTCTGTTCAGTGAACCATTCACAGCGACATTGTGAAGTATGATCGATGGGTTGGATGCATCGTCCTCGGGAAGGTATGGCCATTACAGCTGTTTGCATACAAGTTGAAAGTTCTGAAAGTCTACGGCGGTTTTATGAACGATAAAAGAGGCACCGGACTTGCTTCTAAACCGAGGTTCGTGAGGCGAGAAGAGAGAAAGACTCCGAGATCCCCGAGAAGGCCGCGAATCCATGTTTATAACCAATTTCAGAGAGAGTCGCTCTCTACACTCACAAAATTTGAAGCGCGTTATTGTCAAGCTGCATGCAATCTTCCATCTTCTTGACTCATCTCTCCCACTGTGCTCCATATTCCTTCTAGGCTCAGAGTCAGTAGTGATTGTTTTGCTTACCTCATTTGCGGAGTACATGCAGTGCAGCAGCGGCACCGTATTCAAGTCGAAAATAAAGCAACAGTCAACTTGGAAGAACGGTACACCTTGTCGTCCGAGTGGAATCCTGAACCGTCGGACCGACGGATACAATATCAATACAGTCGAGTATACTGAAACTATACATCTGTGTGAAGCCTACTGATGCCAAGGAAAGATCCTGAAGAATTTGTTAGTCTATCCTTCTAAGATGACCTGTAGGTGCTTGCTTATCTTTGATGAAGAGCATCGCTGAAGACCATTCCTGTTCATGGTTTGACGTTGAACGAAAATTTTCACTTAGGATCGACGAGGATAATCATAAGCAGTGCACCTGTTTTTACCAAATTGCCGTTGCAGGATGTCGACAAGGATTGTATCCATTGCGTGCGTAAAGAGGTAAGAACTGAAAAGTAAAATTAATAATGAGAAGTAGGAATAGTAGTAGTAGTAGAAGAATTCAAAGGCTGCCAGCGGTCCGGTTCCTCCGCTCTCTGGAACTCCGTCGATGTGACCCAGGAGGCAACACCTCGCCTCATACCACACCTCCTTCTACCCTCTAAGATCTACAAATATTCCACTCCATCGTTTTTACAACGGCAATGACACAAGCTGGGTGATGGGATGACTCGAAAACCTGATCATGACTACGGCGGGATGTGGAGCTCTGCGCCGTCGTCTCCCAGCTCCGAGGCTTGCTTGGTTCCGAGCCTATGTCACGGCGATACGTATCAGAATCAAGGCTGTTTTCGACCCAATGTGAAAAGCGGGACCGATGCATGTAAACATGTTCCTCACACGCATACGTGAGTTTCAGGACAGTGATATGACTCAGCACGAAACACTGGATGTTTCTTTCCGTGGTTTGCCAAACCTCTGTCGTTGGGGTGTGATCTCCACATTTCATTACGCTCTACTCGATCCTCATCCATGGAAATGTGCTCTGGCACGTCACCGTATCAAAGGCAGGGTTGAATCTGAAGCTAAAGGCAGCATAAAGTCGATGTTGCGGAGGTCTGGAAAATATCCGTCGTCGAATTCGACATGATCTCGAGACAACTGCATAAAATGTTTTGGAGGACGTAACGAGAGAACGTCATGAAACAGAGTGTCAGAATAGTAGTACGCCTATTACTTATTCAACATCGAGACGAGGTACGAGAATCAGATACGCGTTTACATCTTCGTTCTCCTTGTTTTGCACTGACGCGTTGACTGTGTAGATATCCAATGTCGTAATTGTAGAACCTGAGGATATTCGACCACTACTGTCTGCGCTCACGACAAATTCTCTTCTGGGTATTAGTGGCGAGAAGAACTACGACACTATACTATTACGTATCCTGGTGTGCGTTAATGCGTCGACAGGGTGAACTGGTGACGATGATATCGTCGCCCACACTCACCAACGTCCTCTTTGTTCTCTCTTTTCACATTCTGCTGGTGTCTCTTTCATGGTACTCCGAAAAAATTACGGTATCCTGACCATCAACAATCTCACAAACTGGAGTCTTCTGTGGCTCCTCCACTATGTTTCCTTCACAAGTAAAAGGTTGAAGCGGTTTCGTTCCATGAGACCCTCCATTATGGTGGTTGCCATTTTCGGGCTAGGTGTACTTTTCATTCAAGTTTTCGTCTTGCTGTTTACAGATCAACCCGTCTGTGTATATGCCATGCAACGAGTATATGTATCTGTGCAAACGCGATGCTCATCGTATTAGGTAGCAATAGGCTTGCACTCAATCGATGAAGCATCCTCCGCGGATAATAAGGAAAATTAATGAATTGTGGTGTATATAACATGTAAACGGAAACATCAAAGACAAGTAAATCTTTACAGTATAGTACATTCAATAATTAGCAGCGGCAGATCAATGCGGGGATGTCTCCGCGATCGGTGGATAAAGCTTTGTACGCGGAACATAGTACCTGAAAAGAAATTCGTGCTGATCGGAGCTCTGAGTTGTAGTCATTGGTTCGTCGGGTGAAGGAGAGGACGCGTAGGCCTGTAAGTGTGTAATATTTGTCGTGTCGGTCTTAGTAGGAAGACAGGGCACGTCAGTCGCCAGGGCGGACGGATCGTGAGCTGCACCGAAATGTGGGCCATCTCTTCTCACCCCGGGACTGGGCGCGAGAAGGTCCAAAACATAAAATGGATCCTGAAAACGATGCGGATTCAGGATGGGCATATGATCAGCAAGGTGCGTTGAACATGTGCATCGTTGTGCCAACGGCATCTGTGGTATGATCTCAAGTTCAACGAAGAACCTTTGGTCTCATAGAAAGATGTGGACGTACATTTTGAACGCAAGCAGCACAATTGGTTGCAGAATTATGACAGACCGTTGTTGAAATATAATCAACATGAGAATGGATACCATGTCCGCAAGCGGCACAGATAAACTGGAAGACTATAAGTAAAAAATATAAATTATTCAAGGTGCTTGCGCTCACCTGGTTCAGCAGGGGCGGCGTCGGCTCGGTAAACCATACACACTGACATTGTAAACTGTCGTCAGTAGTTTGGATGCATCGTCCCCGAGAAGGAATGGTCGTTAAGCCTGAAGACATTTGACCTCCACGAAGCCGTTAGATGAGACTTAAAAGTCTACCTCGCCCTCCCTTTAAACCTGTCGAAGCAGAGGCTGACGCATAGTATACGCTGACATATAGTTTGAAGGCCACGGGCACAATAGAACACCAGGCAACCGACCGTTGGCCCGATGGATCATTCCGACCTGTGTATACAGGATTCGGTCTATGCTAACCTGAGCATCTCGGTAGCGGTGCGTGATGGTAGGGACGATTTATCCGTGCCGTGCATGTCGTAGTCACCCACGGTCATGTCACGCGTCACACTTGTTACGCGTTCTCTTTTGAGCATTGATTGCTCTTCTTCAGCCGTTTCTTTAACAAACGAAGCTAAGTCCTTACTCTCATATCTCGTGGTCCTGACACCTCTCTCATGAAATAAAAACTGCTGGTAGGAGCACGGCCTTAGCATCAGTCCCCAATCCTCATCTTGTCACGGTCCATAGGCATAAACTTCACTTGCACTCAAATTCAAGTCCGCTGCCAAGGCCTACAATACGAGACACAGTTTTTGGATACCGTTCTTCGATATTACACGCAAGGGCATCTGGACCGTAATGTAAACAAATGCTGAAGGCGTTTGCACTCTCGAAAATGATGGGAACTCCAGGCGAATCAAGTCGACGAGACGGGGATGAGAGGGTGGTTGGTGTCCATGGGAGCTACGGCGCGTGCAAGAGGAGACATCACCACCAGTGCACTCCTCAGCTGGGAAGCACACTTTGAGGGTGCTGTCAGTCCGGTGAAAGGGTTTGGCTATCAGAGTATCCATGTATCCCACGTGTGTACATACTGCTTATTGATTCCAGTTGATCACTGAGGCACTGACCGTGTACTTGTGGGTAGACCATCGTCGATGGCGGCATCTTGACCGATTTTTACATTGGACATCGTCTTAACGGCACCAAGTGGGAACAGAATGAACATCTTAGGTTGTCTCCAGGAAGTATAGTAGAAGTACCTGTGCGTTCTTCTTATCATTGGCATTGTGGATGACCTGTCCTGACCTGTTTCATAGTGTTCCTGCACCTTGTCAAGCAACCTTGTTTGCCGACTCAGCATCACTCAATGCCCTGATCAACCTACCACTGACTGCGAAGGTGTGCGCTTTCCTTCTGTATGTTTTGTTTGTGGTTTATGACCTGTTTGTGGTTTTAGGATCTGGAGGTGAATTTAGTCTCAGGGGGAGACGGAACAATCACTATTCTGTTCTAATTGTTTAACTTTATCGTGTTGTCATTGCATCGAATATGAACCTTGTGCCACGCCGCCCACGCAGAGCAGCCCACCCCAACTTCAGGCCTCGGATATGCCACGCCCTGCGATGACCCACCACTTCATCTTCTCTTGGGGTCGATGAGGATAGCTAGAAAAATGGCGCGCTGCACTGAGTCGGCTAACGAAGTTGTTGATAATGTGCGTGGTTTCTTGGCCTCCGTACATAAGAGGGGTCAGGATAAGCTCATCTTCCAGAGAATTACTAACGTTGAGGCTAAACTTCAACGGTACGACCTTGATGACCGATTTCCAAGTCACCGCGTGGATGGGTACCTCACCCATCGCAATCTGTACCACTATACACAATACGCATTCTCTTTGTCGTGTTTGTTGATCATCTGTTCAGCTTCAGGTCAAGTTACGGCGCTACGTTGGATCCGTCGGTTTGTAGTCCGACGAGTCGGATAGGTATACGGTCCGGTTTCTCTGGCCTCACTTTGTTCGTAACCATCATTTGCAAAAAGACTCGCTTCAGTCAGGCGCTCCGAACTCTCCTACACCGACTCCCCCAGCCAGGGCCAGCCCTTATAACTCTGGTCGTGTCTTGTCACCCCCTTGCTGGAAATTTCAGCGTTGTGCTTTGACCAGCCCTAACCTATCGCCACATTAGCCGGCACCCTTGAATAATCAACAGCTGGCCAAGTACGTTTTATTGGCCTGTTTTCCTACCTGACCATCCATGCTTGTCCTCTAGAGCAAAATGACGTTCTTCTGTCTGCTTCATGCCGCATGTGTTCATCTCGAATTTGAATCGTCCTTGTATCGAATATCCGGAGTGAAGAAATGGCTCTACTAGGCGCGCCAAATATGGATCATCTTACGCATCGTTTGTACAGCTCTAAATTGCTTATCCTGGATGACGGTCATCAACGTTCAGTTGTCATGGAGCAGAACAACATCCCTTGTCCAATGTTCCAGTGTCGGGTCCAAGACTTCAAGCACTTGCAACGAGCAGGAATGCATTATTATGAGACGACACCTCTTCAACTCAGGTACAGGTTCGCATTGTTACCGTTCGGCTAGTTCTTCCGGATTTTCAGGGTGTAATTCCAGAACATCGTTATGGAGCGGCTTTGAAATTGCGATAGCCCATTCACAGCTTTTTCGGCTACAGCCTTAATTGTTTTCATAATTGAACCAGAAGCCATTTATTCTATGCCAAGGAGAAGCAGACATCAAGTAGACCAAAATTATTTTGGAAAGAAAGGTTTGCGATAAGAAGATAAGAAAGCATAGGTACGTAGTGCAATAGCGCCGTCAAGCGCGTAGACGGAGATTGAAGTCCTTATTTTGAACGAAGTAGGTCAGGGTATCCTCCATCGGGGGAAGAGCGCCGAAGGTATAAGCTTGGGACGGAATAATGTCCAGCTCGGGAGAGTGGACGTTAGTGGAAGGGGAATAGACGGGTACGACGTTTGACGCGTTGTGAGAAGGGTCAGACGCGTCGGCTTTGAAGAGAGTCCGTTGACTTGGACGCTGTCCATGAAATTACCCGCGATGTCGGACGGGTCCACAGGACGATACTGGTTCGTAGCCAAGCCATGATCGGCAAGCTGAGCCGAACATGTACATCCTTGTGTTTGAGGCGTCTACGAATGCATCAATCACCCACTCCAAATACAGAGAAGGATTTGGCGCACCTTCTGGGCATACGCGGCACACTGGGTTGCAACACAGCAATGGACGAACATCGAGACGTAGTCGACGTGCCCATGAATACCATGTCCGCACGCGGCACAGCTAGACTGGAAAGGCGTAAATGCGAGGGGTTGACTCGACAGATACGAGCCTACCTGGTCTAGCAGGGGCGGCGACGCAGAAGGGATGAACCAAGGACACCCACAGGTAATAGTGCCATGAACCTGGATGCATTGCCCTCTGAAAGGTAGGGGTGTAGATGATGTAGTGAGGGGAGAAGGAGGATGAGAATGAGAATGAGAATTTTTTCGACGCATTTATAGTAGTCCGGGCTCAGGCCGCTCAGCTATAAATCTGTTATGGATCTCGGCCTAAAAGGGTATATCTCTCCGAGTCATATTTGCCGGATTATGTAACTTCTTCGGCGATCATAGCACCTGCCTCGGGAAATTTTCGGAAGATCAAACCTTTCATCCTCTCTACATGGCACGAATTTCGAGCCTACGAGTTTCAACACGCCTCCATTGAGGCAAGAGAAAAACACCAGGGTCGATAAAATTCTTGTTCCTCTGCTCATCAGGGCTACTAGCGTCATCATAATATTCTCTACATAGCTATGTAGTCCCACCACCCGTTGACTGGCCGTTTCCAGGGTTACACAAGAGCGAATAATATTACACAGCTAATACATAAACGTTCAGCATCCAGTCTTGAATATCAATTCGGAAACATGAATTCTAGGCACACCAATAGGCGAAGGCAGCAAAAATGTAGAGTTGGATGGAGGGTGATACAACGGCAATCCAATTGCCACGACAAAGAATTCTTTACCGTGAGTGTACCTTATGTCCTTCACTGCCGTCGTGCTTTGCAACAGATTTATAAAGGCCGAATCCCCGACTATTCACAGCCATCTGGGTCAGCTAGCAAAACGACTCGAGTGCCAGCGATCGGCATCGTACAGGTACCAGGACAAGGCCCTACCACAGACTCGTTCTCGTTCGGCCGAGATATATTCAAGTGCCCGCCTTAGTATGCGAATCTACTGCATGGACTCAATATCCGACGTATGCCATGGGTGGATTTCGCGCGCAAGGGAGGAAGTCGTCATAAATTTGTGCGCTTGGAAACCTATTATCGCGCTGGCCTTCGAACATCGTTGAACCATCTACTACGATGAACTCACAAAGTAACATACCTAATTTCACTTAGTACATACTTGCACTTGAATCAAATTCTCTGTTCGCGTCATCGTCGTTGAAAGCTCAAGTTGTACAAGCAGAGAGCAAAAGTATCATTTATTTCCAAGGGATATGCATTATTACACCGTGAAATACTATTAAGATGCATTCATACGAGACACGGATAGCAGGACTAGTCAGAACTTGTGGGCTTCTCATCATCAGACTGCACAACTACATCATCCATCTGATAATCTTGGTAAACAGTCGAACCTTCGTCCGCTGCACCTGTCTGACGAATCCCATAATCAGAGTTGCTGACCATATGTCCCTGGTGCTGTGCACTACCATCCAGCGACCCGGAGGAGCTAGTGCCGAAGCTGTGAGTTTGAGTCTGAGGTGTGTATGCACGCGAGAGATCAATGGTGGAACTGGGGTACGTGAGCCTGGGTGCGTATAAAGGGCCCGCCGTGCGCCCTGAGGAACTGGACAACGTGTTGTCCGAGGAAACAGCCTCACTGCTCGTGAAGAAAGTCACTCTGTACGACCAATCTGTGGGATGGTATGGATCAGGGACGGTTAGTCCGCGACTAGAGATGAGTTCTACGGGAGCGAATTGACTGTTGACCGTACCACCGGATGGTCTGGGAATGTTCATATGGGATGGTAGGCTACCTCGCTGTGAACTAGCCACGAACGGCGCTGGGGGGCTGTATAAGACGGTAGAGCGATGTGGATTCAAGACGGCTGTATGCCCGACGAGTTGGAGCATGCATGTACATTCCTGGGTACCTAGTGTCTATAAATGTTGTTTGAGGAGCAAGTTACGAGAGCCCGGAGAAGTGATAGGCATACCCTTTGAGCATATGCAGCACAGTGGCTGACGAGGGAACGATGGACGAACGCTGAGATGTAGTCAACGTGGGCATGGATGCCGTGTCCGCACGTCGCGCAGCTAAACTGTCAAAGAGGAGTGAATACGCGGTAGTTGGTCTAGTACAGGCAAAGCCTACCCGATCCTGCAGAGGCGACGCGTGAGGAGCAAAGCTCAGACACCGACAATAATGGATGAGGTCGGTGACATAGATGCAATGTCCTCTGTTCAACGGGGGTGCTGCTGAAGACATGGTGTGCTTGAAGCTCTGGGTGGGTGCGATGTGGGAGGAGGTTTCTCTGCTTTATATCAGAGGCTTTTATACCCAAGAGAGATCAAGTACATACTTTCAGCAAAGTGTACTTGCATTTTTGAATGACGGTCGAGGTATACGTAAAAGGTCAAGTTGGATAGGCTTCGCGCAACATGCCGACGCTATTAGACGTCTCGCAAATTGCCTGGTGATCGAGGATTTACAGCCCCGTATGGAGGGTTTCCAATAACACGGCGACCTCGACTTCCTTCTCGATCATGCTAACCGATCCAGTAGCGGCAGTTGCCGGGTCCCCGATTCTTTCCCTTGGGCAAAGAAACGGCATGCTATATATCCGCTTGTTCAAGCTGCTCAATACAGTGGTAGTGCAAAAAGCTCGCTCGGCGGCTGCGCCGCCAGCTCGCATTTTGCACAATCTAAATCTAATCTCAGTGTGCTATTTTCCTCCGTTCAAGACCTATGTTAAGATTGCAAATAACAACAAATTTTCTGGCATTAAAATCGAACTCATTGATGAGTCGTCATTTCACACTAGAGGCCCCGAGGAAGGTGAACTTGTAACTCAGTTTGCCATCTAGTATGCGAGGGATCACAAGTTGGTGGGTATTTGAACGGCATCTTATAACTACACACCCTACGCACCTGACACGTTCGTCATCTCGAGAAAGAAAATCATATCTCTAGTACTGTGCACCTTGTGCCGTAAAAAGGTCGATTAGTCCACAATAAACACATCACAACGTTCATCAAATTGCGACATGACAGTAAATATCTGACCGTGAATGGGTATGCACTTTCCGAAAACCAGACACAACAGTCAGCACACATTACTTGCTGTAGCGAAATGTTCTGATTTGCAGGCTCGTTTCAACGCTGAATTCTCTAGTTATATCAAATATACATGATGTAACATGCCGTCGGCGGGACGACTCTGGTTGATTTTGGACAATTGTGGTGTGACACAGCCACATAGATCCACCCGTTCTGACACAACTCCCTCACAACGATGGCATTCTGGTCCTAGGTGCTAGTGGCGGGAGCCATATTAGACCCGTGCCTTTCTCTACTGAGCACCATCGTAAACTTGCCTAAACTGACTATGGGATCTCCCGGCCTTCTGGAATGCTGTCCGGAAGACTTTCCGCTCTCGGTAATGCTGGATTTGTCGGTTATGGGTCGCAGCAGAACAGGTAGTCGACGTGGTGATGTACGCTGCAATGCCTGACATTGGATTTGGTGCGTACTGGATATATGTACTATGTTTACCTCTGACTTAACCCCACATCGGTCTGCGTAGTGGTATCCTCCTTGCCAAGATCGTGACTGCTTCCTGTCATTTCCATGATCTCCTTGCCTGGCGGGTCCCCGATATTCTCCTCGCCAAAGTTCGTAACGTACTTCACCTTGCCCATAATTGTCTTCATGAATCCCCTCCGACTGCCTATCACATCGCCCTAGTCCGCTTCGTATTTGTCAGTTTGTGGGCCCTGACGATGAGACGAACACGTCAAGCTTTGGATGGCCACACCGGAACGCTACAGAGATTATCGACCTCTTGCGAATAACGTCTGCACACCCATCCGTTCGCTGTTTTCACAGCATTGACCCAGAATTCGGTGGTCCTCAGTGGGAATTGCAGGTGCATCTAGACTTCTTACTACTAACAATGACTTGATTCTGACCTCGTAAGGACACACAAACGGTTTGAGGAATGAAGCTAACCATCGTAACATAACGGTCAACTGAACAGAGGTCTGGTCAACGTGTCTAACGCGTCTGGCAAACTAGACGCGTTCTCCAACAACACGTACAACACTAAGTCCGTCCTATCTGTGTCTGGATGTTGAAGCGTAGTAGAAAGCACCGTTCCACCATCTTGTTCTCTGTGACGAAGTCTTGTACGTGTTTGACTAACCCGATGATTGAAGTTATGACAGTGCTCGCACGCTGTAGGTCTTATGGGCTTCAAACGCTTCAGTCACGTCATCTAGTTCAATATATATCATTAGTACCCATTGCCACCTCATAATGAGAGCATCTTACCTTTGATAAAACAGTTGAGATCTATTATTTCTAAGTTATTGGGTTTGTTCAGTGTCAAGATGAGCAGGATAACAACTAATACATACTTACTATATTAACGCTACGTTGCAGCAAGAGCTTCGATACATGACTAGTCAGTAAGCAAACAGAGATACAATACCATGCCCATTGACAGCCACAACAATCAATCCCATGCTAACCATCTCAATCTGCGTCCAGAGAAGTAAACTAAATGAAAGAGTGTCAGCAAAGCCAGCGAAAACACAAAAACAAGGCTTCGACCTGCCCATGCACAGCCCAAGCCAGCAGCCGCTCCCGCCAAGTTTTTGCAGAACCTGTTTGTTTAACTGAATCCTAGGATGTTGGAACAAATGGGCACGAGCGAAATTGATATCCGTACTGTCAAACGTTACGGAGGGAGGGAAGGGTGGTTCACACTGATGGACCTAGATTGTAGATACATGCAAGTTGAGCAGAGAGAGAGGTAGCGCATGTGGGCTGAGACTCACCTTCTCTCGCTAATCCACTATCACTATCACTGTTCCTCGCCGTTGAGCTTGACATCGTCACTTCACGTTCAAACAGCATAGAGGGTCTTCATGTACGTCTTTGTGGGAGGGAAACTGTACTCGGAACAACGGACCGATGTGGCAGTGTCGTACGTGGGTGGCTTGCCAAAAATCAACCGGAGTCTTCCCGCCGACGACATGTAACAGGAAACCTCGTTAAAGATAAACGAATGCATAATACCGCAACGGAACCAGGACAACGCAGAGCGATAGCACTGAGGCATAAGCCGCTGAGTGGGGCTGTAGAACAGACAGTAGTTGAGGGCGTCTGCAGTCGCAGAACAGACAAAAGGACAGTGAAGGCAGGAATCACTTGCGACGTGCAAGCAAAAAGGTAAATGAGAGGAAATTTGACGTCGTTTTTCGACCAGCCCGTAAACCAATAGAAAGTATTCGGAAAGAAGGACTTCTCAGCCACAGCGGCAACCGCTCGGCAAATAAGCCGTTGCGTGCCGGATGATCGCCAATCACCAAAAATTACTTAAGCCGACCCCGAGTATAGCCCCTGTCCAGACAGTTTGGCACTGGTCAAGACAGTTACGCCCCGATAATAACCCTCTGTCGTTTCCTCATTCTTCGGAAAGAATCGGGAAGCGCGTTAACCCCATAAAAAGGTCAAAGGTGCTTATTGTATCGGTTTTTGTCATCCAGATCTGGAGATCTCCGACCCAGAATGGTAGTGGGGTCAACTAGTACAAGCAACGCTCGTCTTTTCCCTCCTACCATCATCATCACCTCGACTCTATCGACGCTCGTTCAAGTCGCTGGTTCTAATTCTACAGCTCTGTATTTCATCTACCACAAATGTGATTATTTCTTCGCAACGGAATCATTCTGTAAATTTCGTGTGCGGGCTTTCACCGGTGTACGCGTCAACCGCAGCAGGGAGCTTGGTTGCTCACTTAGATCGCAACACCTACTTCATTGCACACTTCCTCGTCCTTATATCGCCACCGTTGACCCCATTGATTATTCTACAGCCTTGGACAAGTTTCTCTATCACAAGGCCTTCCCATTTAAATTGCAATAGCTGGTATCCAGTGCACGGGTTACTGTCTTGATCGTGTAATACCAGAGTCATTCATTCAAAGCTAACGAGAGATAGATAACATATTGTAGACTACTGGTGTAATAAGCTCTGGTTGCGATAAAAAATCAAGTTGGAACAATGTACTACACAGTAACGCCAGGGGCGCAGAGTGCTGAAAAGCGCACGGGAGCCACCTTCTGGCCAGAAGCGTCAATCAAGCCTGATCCTGCACCTGAATGAGAATGTCTTCCATCTGAGAAAGGGCATCGAAGCCGTAAGGTTTGGGTTGGATGGCATCCTGCCGAGCGGACGAGTAGACTGTGGAGGGTGTGGGTGTGTCAAAGGGTGTCAGAATGACGGTACTGTTTGTCGTGTAGCCGGAAGAGTAGGACGCGTCGTCATTGGAGGGGAGGCCATTCACCAGGATGTCGTCGACGAACAATCCCGCGATGTCGGATGGGTCGGCAGGACGATGCAGATTCACGGCTAGGCCATGATCAGCAAGTTGAGCCGAACACGTGCATGCCTGTGTTTGGGGCGTCTAGTACGATAAGTGTCAGTCTCCAATGCGAGCATCGCGATGAGTCGGAGAAGAGGATCCGACGTACCTTCTGGGCATACGCGGCACACTGAGTTGCAGCACAGCAATGGACAAACATCGAGACATAGTCGACGTGCCCGTGAATGCCATGTCCACACGCGGCGCAGCTAGTCTAGAAAGGATGTGAATAGGGAAGACTGACACGATAGACACGACGTACCTGATCTAGCAGGGGAGACGCAGGAGAGATGAACCAAGGACACCAACAGGCAGTACCATCATGGACCTGGATACATCGTGCTCTTAAAGGTAGGGAGGACATGATGTACGAACGGTTGACGATAGAATACGAGCCTGTTTTCGACACATTTTATAACTACCCTCCGCCATTCGTGAATGGAAAGGGAAAGCAAGTGTTGATGACCGTTTTCAGTCTCTGCATTGTGCAATGTGTTGGCTGACCATGGTAAGTGTTGAAGTGATGAGAAGAGCCGCGTGTGCTCAGCCTTCCCCAACGGGGCCGCGAAGACTGTTCGGTTGGATTACACACTAGGATTGTATTTCCTCTTTAGGCATTGTTCAGCTTTGAATCCCGCGGCCGCGGAGGAACGGCTTCCAAACGTTCCGGTTCTTTCCAAGTAGTCCATATTAGTCTATGCTACGACATTGATTGCCGGTCAACTTGCTCTTTTGGACTATGGCTAGTAGCTCCCAAGTTCCCTTTCTGGATTGCACGGTGCCTACAGCCTGACACGTTTCTCAACCGCGGCGACCAATGAAGCAGCTTCTACCGACCATGCTCTCAGTGACTCCCGGAATGCTTTCTGCCCTTGCCAAATTGACCAAAGAACAGCTCTTGCTTGCCGGACATCAAGTTCTGACTGCCCCTTGGGGTAACGGCACTGCCAACTAGGACAAGATAGGTCCAGAAGACCCATTCGAGTCCGGAAGGAGACAACGCTTGATGTGGCTATGGGGTGCCGCATACTACTCCGGTAATCCAAAATTCTTCATTCGTTGTGACTGATACGATGGAGTAACTGACGAATCCACCGGCAGAAGTACGAGACCTGGTAGACTGATGTGCTTAATATACACGAGCGAGGTGATGCGATGATCATCTAATTCTAGCACTAAATCTGATATTGAGCTTATCTTCAGCAACTCCGAGTGTCTGATCTACTAGGGATCGGCGTGGATTGGCGTTATCTTTTCGGCCATGTCGGTCAACGAGCAAGGTGTCCAATACTGGGCTGGATATCATACGGGAACAAACTTTTCTTCGAATTTTAACGGGTGATATTCCAACGTCTGAGAAGCGTACAAATCTCAACACGTCTGCGGCGTCTCATCTTGAGTAAAGTTTTGACACGAGGTACCTTATCCAAATTTACGGCTACTTAGCAGAATCAACTAAAATTTGTTCACCTCGTCTGTTCACGCGTTTATCGTTGCTGGGCGTCAATGTCACATTATACAATTGCAAGTGAGGTTAATAAGATGCATTAATTTCTGAGACGTGCACTACAACATGGCGGTGAATACTACTCGTGCTGCTGATGGTAAAAAGAAAGGCGCGAATAAAACCCTGAGCTGCTCCATCTGTCTGCCGAATCCTGATCCCCCAACCAGAACTGCCTATCGGATGGTCAGCACCAAAGCATCCCAGTATACGTAGATGGGAGATTACCCGTCAAATACCACGGGTGTGAATGAGGATCTGCCTTTGGCCGTAGGGCAGTGCGGGTTCAATACGGACGTATGTCACCCGACGGGCGGGATCAGCCATACACTCTTGGGACATGGGTGCTCACGAATGTCAACAGGACAGACACTGCATGAGGGCCGTCTAAGTCACAAGAAGCGATAAATAGCCACGCTCGTTGAGCACACGCAGCACAAGTGTTCGCGAGGCGACAGTCCGAGACGTAGTCGGCATGTGTGCTACGTGGCGCAAGTAGAGGTGTCATGGCAGTGGAGGGATGAGCGCAAGAAAAATCGGACCACCTCAAACCATTCTGACGAGTCATTCAATGGCGACATCCGAAGGAGCAAAGCTCAGGCCCTGACAGTAGACATTGCCAGCTGCTGGAGTCAAGATCCTCTGGGTGTGGGTACCACTGAAAACATAGTACACGAGGTCGTGAGTGGTGCGATATGAAGGGTTCACCATAGGATGTCCGATATTTATACGGAAGGACTTCATTTTCAAATCAAAGTAGCGTTTGACAATTTACCCGGAGGTAATCGGACACAACGGTACTCACGTCCGACGCGTAAGTAAATTTGGGTGTCTTCGCGAATCCAGCATGGGCGATATGACGTTCGACAGATTGGCTGCAGTTGGTTGGTCGATTTGGAAAAGGAGGCCGTCAAAGCCCTTGGGTTCATCAACATCAAGAATACGAGCATGATCCATACTGGGAACGATAAACGGGTCTGCCCTTTGATTGCCTGTGGACGATCTAGAACGATGTGGAAAGAAACGATTTCCTTTTTTGGGATATGATATGTGCTTATCTCATGCTAATTTTGTCATGCTGATCCGCCGCCCGGCTTACATTTGTTCTCGAAATGGCAAAGGGAATCAACAAGTACAAGCAAGGTGGGGATAGCCATGTGCACCCGGGTCTTTTCTTCTCCCTGGCCTTCATCATCGCCTCGACACTCGTTGCCTATCCTGATTCCTCGATTCTATATCTTAGTCCATATCTCACCATCTTTCATTGACCATGAACTTTAACGCATCCAACGAATGTAATCCTGTCCTCGTGGCTCCTCGCCCCGTTCGGCTTGCCACTGCATCATTCAGTAATTTTATAGTACGACCTGCCTCCCGCGTGGAAGAGATCAACAAGCTCTCGTCGTCAGCTACATCTTCTGACAGCAGAGAGCTTAGTAGCTCACCTAGCTTGCGATCTTCACCACGGTACGTGCTTTCTCGTCATTCTAGCATCACCATCAGTGGTCCGAATTGTTACCCTGTAGATCTGCCCTGTCAACTGAGGCCTTGGAAGAGTTTCTCTCTATACTTAGGCCTTCTCTCAACTTATTTCCCCCACACTCGCCCGTGCTACGGACTACTACCGCATTTGCGCTTAAAGCCATCGCTCAGGCCAGCGAAGGTGACTCAGCTGCAGACGCGGGGACGGAGGCAGTGTCGGTGGGGGTAGAGATGGAAGATGAGTTAAATTTTAGGCAATATCAGTGGTTCTCAAATGCCATTCTCTGTGAGATTTCATTGATTTCTAATCATCGTCGTCGCTGACCTTGGCCGCTATCCTGCAGCTTCCCCGATTTCGCGCACCAATACTCGCAACCCATTCCAGCGACAACGTCAGCTTGCGATTACACCGTCGCCCACTGTGGTGAATTCATTACAATTGAGTCCCGCAGCCATACCCCTGCCCCTTCCCACGCCGGACGAAGTGTTGGAGTAAAATGTATCGTTACCATCGTCATTAAAAACTGTATCATCGTCTTTCCATCTGTCTTCCACTTATATTCATCATCATAGCGGAATCTCTCACTTTTCATCTCAGTTTTCGGTTTGCTTTTGTGCACGATATACATATTTATGCCCTTTTGTCTTCCATTAGCGCCCCTTTTACCTCGTCACCGTTTTGTACATTTACCCTCCAGTTCTTGTTTTAATACACTTTGGGATTCTACGTATCTATGATATGATATCAATATTATTTACTTTCAAGTTTAACGCCGTGGCCTACTGGAACACCGCTTTGGTGGTGGCAGTGGCGTCTTTATTCTGGTGAGACCAACAACTTTGGTGTGCACTAACGTCTACTGTCCATCAAATCGTCCTATCTGGCATGCTGAAGCCAAACTCTGAGTATGTATTATCTTCGTTCTGGGGACACGTAATCTCGTAACATGTACTCGCAAGCTTGCCGCGGTCATAACTGCCACGACTTGCCAGAAATAGTCAAGGGGTGAGATTCGACTCATTCTTCAATGTGCCATGAAAGTTGGTAGCCCAGATTTGACTCGGAAACGAATATTGCACTTCTGTGTGAATGTGTTCGCAAGTATTATCTAGACAATCCAATTCCCCGTTTTCCGCTGGTCGCAACAGGTTGAGATGCTTATCAGGATTCAGCTTACCATTCAAAAGGATACGTATGCGGTGATGTCACTGCACAGTCTAGAATTTTGCCGTGACGTGACAATAAATCACGTTTATGTGACCTGTGATACTCAGTGTAATTTTGAGCTCCGACACACTCGCGCTCCGAGAACGCGCCTTCATCTTGACTCCTTACCTCGACGACCACTCGCCCTTCCGTGCGCTGCGAAAATGCTCGTCGAGCTGAACAAACCCATTTTTCAAGCTCGCCTACAGAAGATATACGATGGATGGAATGTAGGCCTTCCTCTTCATTCCACCCCGCTTTTTCTCTGATTCACGGCATGGCGCCTTAGAACGCGAGCCCTACTAATGACTACGCTACTGTGGCAGAATGCGATGCTCTGATACTGATTGCTGGAGATCCAGCAGCTGATGATGAGCCCATGAGGAAGGGCACTTGCTTCCAGGTCCGTGCACCGTGCTCCATAAATTTCTTTGCTTATTGAGGCACTTCGGGCTTACGTGTATCTCTTTACTAGCAATGGCTACTTGGTTACGAATTCCCCTCAACGTTTATTCTATTTGAGAAGGACAAGCTCTCAATATTATGTTCGGCGTCAAAAGGTGCGTTATCAACTTGCGTCATGCTTGAAGCTGTCTTACGCGACTTTTTTGAAGCAAAATTCCTGGCGCAAATTCAGGATCCGAATGCTGCCATCCCCGTCAAAATATTTGCTCAAGCGAAAGCGAAGGAGCCTGCTAATGATGCACTTCCCAAGTTTGCCGAGCTATACCTCAGCCATAAAAAAGTCGGCACCCTAGTGAAGGAGAAGCACACCGGAAAAATTGTGACAGAATGGGGGAAGCAGATCGCTGAGGCCTCAGAGAAGCCGGAGCTCGTCGACATGTCCCACTCCATATCCTCCTTTATGACCATCAAAGATGAAGAAGAACTTGTGCGTGCCAGGGAATTAGCTCTTATCTTCGGAATTTCTGACGCCTTCATCTAATCTCAGAAAGCCACTAAGGTTGCCGCGGGTCTAACGTCTACCCTCCTCAAGCACTATGTCGCGCCCAGATTGGAGACTATCTTGGACCGGGAAACGAAAATCAGTCATGATCAGTTCGCAGCTCAGATTGAGGCGCGCTTGGGGTCAGGGGAGGGTGAGAAGGCCAAAGGCCCAGATATGAATGTATGGGGCCATTACAAGGGCAAGAAGCTTCCAGAAGTGCGTATACCGTAACCATGTTACTCGTGCCTTTGATTGAGTTCTTGCTAGGCGGATTGGCAAGTCACTGAATTTTGTTATTCACCCATCATTATATCTCGGTCGAGCAAAAGCGGTTATGACCTTCGGTACACCGAGGAGTCTTCGGAGGACAACATTTCCCACAAAGGAGTACTCCTTGTGGCATTCGGGATGCGGTTCAAGACCTACGGCGCCAATGTCGCTCGGACATTTATCGTGGATCCGACATCCGTGCGCTTTGATGTTCTATATATATGCACATGGGCGCTGACCGTCTCATTAGAGCCAAGAGGCCCAATACAACCTCCTGCTATCGTTGCAGACCGAAATGCTGTCATTCATTAAGGAAGGGGTTACGGCACGGGATGCCTATCAACACGCTCTATCGTTTGTTGCGGAGAAGGACCCTGCATTCGAAAAACATTTCGTCAAGAACATCGGCTTTGGAGTCAGTGGTTTCTCTCCATTCACATTCAAGGTATTCAGGTTTCACTTTCAGACTGGCGTGGAATTCCGCGATGCTGCATATCTACTCTCTGCCAAGAATACCCGTACCCTACATACCAATATGGTGATTATCTTGGGTTTGGGATTTAATGATCTAACAGATAGTAATGGCGTAAAGTGAGTGCTATAACCATTTTAATATAGAGCATGTTCTCATCCTCACTAGGTATGCCCTCCATCTCGCTGACACCATCCAGGTCGGAGCAGACAAGTCGACCATTCTCACTGAAGGCGTCAAATCCCCCAAAGACACACTTTTTTTCTTGAATGGTGATAGTGCGGACGAAAGGCCCCAGAAAAAGGATCGAAAGCCGCCTGTGCAACCAAGGGCCAACGGAACTCCTGCCAAGGTCAAGACAGTCGGCGGGAAAGTTTTGCGTAATCAGACGCGTCGTACTCAGGATGAGGTCCATCAAACGGCGGCTGCAAAGCTAGCAGAGCATCAACGTGAACTCCACGAGAAGATCCATCAGGAGGGACTGGCTAAGTATTCTGAGGAGGGTGGTGCTACGAGTGGAAAGGAGGGTAAAGGGTGGAAGAAGTTCCAGAGTTATAAGGGCGAGGCAGCCCTTCCTGCTGAAGTTGACAAATTGCGCGTACGTTATCTCTGTGGCTATTTGTATCAGGGTAGACGCTCATGATCAACCCAGATTTTCGTCGACCGGAAAGCACAGACAGTCATTCTCCCTATCCATGGCTTTGCTGTTCCATTCCATATCAACGCTATTAAAAATGCAAGCAAAAACGACGAGGGGGAGTTCACCCATCTCCGAATCAACTTCCAGACGCCTGGCCAACTCGCCGGCAAGAAGGAGGACACGGTAATGGATTTATCGCTGACATATATGACGTCTTCTGATGGTAATACAGCCCTTCCAAGACCCTGATGCGACATTTGTTCGCTCGATATCGTATCGCTCCACCGACGCACATCGCTTTGACAATGTCTATAAACAAATTACTGATCTGAAGAAGGAGGCTAACAAGCGGGAGCAGCAAAAGAAAGAGATGGCTGATGTCATCGAGCAGGATAAACTGATTGAGTTGAAGGGTCGACGACCTATAAAACTGACTGAGGCGTTCATTCGTCCGCCGCTTGATGGGAAACGGTTACCGGGAGAAGTTGAAATTCACCAGAACGGTATACGCTATCAATCACCTATCGGATCCCAGAAAGTCGGTGAGTAGGGCACTTGCTATTATTGCTTACGGCTCTCATTGACTGTGAATGGTAGATATTCTCTTCAGTAACATCAAGCACTTATTCTTCCAACCATGCGATCATGAATTGTTGGTTATCGTGCACGTACACCTCAAGGCTCCCATCATGATAGGGAAGAAAAAGGCGCTGGTAGGTTGGCGAGTTGCTGGGCATGATCGTATTGTGACTGTCGCTTCCAGGACGTTCAATTCTACCGTGAAGCCACCGATGTCCAGTTTGACGAAACTGGTAACCGGAAGCGGAAGCACAGATATGGTGATGAAGATGAAATTGAGATGGAGCAACAAGAAAGGAGAAGGCGACAGTTACTCAACAAAGAGATCAAGGCATTTGCGGAGAAAGTTGCCGAAGCTGGGTCAACAGCGGTAAGTATCTCGCTGGTACAGCACCACAATAATGTCTTACGTGGCATCCGCACAGCTTGGAGATACATTGGAACTCGACATCCCCTTCCGAGAACTGTCCTTTGAAGGTGTACCATTCCGAACTGGAGTGCGGCTTCAGCCCACAACAGAATGTCTCGTGCATCTGACTGACCCGCCATTCCTCGTCGTGACCTTGGCTGAGATCGAGGTCACATCGCTAGAGCGTGTCCAATACAGCTTAAAGCAATTCGATCTGGTGTTGATCTTCAAGGACTTCAACAAGGCACCTTTGCATATCAATTCAATACCGAGCTCACAGATGGACGACGTCAAGAACTGGTTGGAGTGAGTTGTCGTGCTTCACTGCTTTTGCATTCATTAATATCCAACCAGCTCTGTCGATGTCCCTATGGCCGAAGGTCCTGTCAACTTGAACTGGGGACCCATCATGAAGCATATCAACGAGAATCCTTACGAGTTTTTCCACAATGGTGGATGGAGTTTCTTGGGAGCGTCGAACGGTGCCGAGGTTGGTATCTGCATGCAATAGGAAGGGATGAATACTGACTGTTCGATAACCAGAGCGATGGGTCAGAAATGTCTGATTCAGAGTCTGATTTTGAGGCGGAAGCCCAAGAATCGGAGTCTAGCAGCAGTGACGCCGAGAGCGACTACTCCGATGCTAGCGGAAGTGAGAGCGGATCAGACTTTGGTGAGGGGTCCGATGATGACGAGGGTGATGATTGGGATGAGCTTGAGAGGAAAGCCGCGAAATGTAGGTGCCTTCCTAAATCATCGTTAACTTTGATTTATCTTTGTTGTTTCACAGCTGATCTGAAGCGAGCTGAGGCCAAACAAGCGAATGGTAATGATTCGGATTCTGATCGACCTAAGAAGTCCAAATCGAATGGCAAGTCGAATGGCAAGTCGAGCGGCAAGTCTAAGGAGAATGGAAAGAAAGCGAATGGGAAGGGAAAACGATGAACCTTGTGACGATTACTTCTTGTTCCTCTTGACATCCTTGTTTTCATTGGCTTATCTATCCATGTATCTATAATCATGCTGTGTCGTCTTCAAGTTTTCCCCCCGGTCGACATTGGATGAGGCTTTCAAGGGTTGATTTGATTCCTTTAGGCAACTTGATCCCGTAACTTAAATATTGATCGCAACTTTCAATCCAGTTGTATCGTTTTCGCGTCATAAGTGACTTTGAGCTAAATTGGCTTTTATATCTGCGGGCTCGTGCTTCCTTAGACGTATAAAAATATGCCAAGGTAAGCCTCTGCTTCCGTCTCCTCCTACCCTTGCACATTGCGGCGCCGAGCAACAGAGCGCCGTTTGTTATGTTCTCAGTGCGAAGCTGGTTATGGCAAGACGTGGCTGTATGGGCGCCTAATTACACTCACACGTCCTCCAGGGAAGCCTGCGCAACGAACTGACTGTGACTTCAACGATTCTTCCTACACTGCGCACGCAAAACAGGAGTATATCGCTTGTTGGTTTAGTAGAATAGTCATTTACAATATCTTTTATGTGTTTGCGCGCGCGCTCGATGGAGGTCCAACGGAAAACGGGGCATTCGACGACAGCCTGAGAGCTAATCATAGACCGTAGGCCATGAGGCATCAATAACCTGAGCCCGAGTTCGAACAGTGCCTCTCATAGCTATGCTCATCTTATACAGAGTCATCAGCAGACCGCTAAGAGGCCTTATTGTTATGTCCTCGAAGCGGAAAACACTAGGATTGGCCAACCATTACGGTACGTCAACCTCTGAGCTTCACTGCATCTGGCAGATTCCTCCCACTTACTCTCGACTATTGTATATAGACGCGTAGAAAACAGCCCCAACCTCCATCTCCTCTCCTCCTCTGCTCTATAGCTCGCTCTTGATGTCTTACGCACTCCCGTCTCTAGTGAGGCCACAATGCATTGGACACGCTGGCAATGTATTTTGCTTGTGTTCGCGCTTCACCAGCTTTACTCTAGACCAGGTGCATAAGCTTCACTGCCTCTTATCTTATGCACTCGCTCATAACCTCCTAGCCAGAGTTGCGCTGCGTTTGCGGCCATGGCATGCACGCCCATGCCGACTTCATGTCCCTCGTCGTCCACCACTGCCCGGCCAATTCTTGTGTGGCATACGTTCAAAAGGTACCCCTCTGCCCCCCATGTTACGAGGAACACTAAAGTAATGCGTTCCGGCTAGACGCCCAAGACACAGGAGTGCAGCTGCGGGGCTCTCCTCGTCGATCACGTCCCTGTGTTCAACATCTATCGGCCACCTACCGCGTCCTCTCACACTATGAACGCGTCTGCGTCTTCCAACGATGCGGACTTCACGCCGTTCGCTTCTCTTCCTCCTTCCTCGTCGGACACTGTTCAGGCAGAAACCGACGCGTTCATCGCGTACGATCTCGGGGGATACGTGTTAGATGATGGCGCGCTGAACGCGACCTTGGATTACCACCCGAATGCCATTCACGACGCGACACCTGAATCCGGAGCTTGGGCGCGATCTAGCTGACCATAGTTCCCAACCGCGACCGCCTGTTGGGCTCTCCCCTTTCTCTCCTCTTTTAGAGGCCCGTTATTCTATCACCTTTTCATAGTTATATAGTCTAGTTATAGTCAACTATTCATGAATGTCATGCCGTCGAACCAAAGCGCGCATTCTTCTCACTCGAAGCATCGCATCTGAGCGAATTCGGCAAGTGCCTCAAAGTGTATAAGTATGCGCACGCTGATTCGTTACTCTTTGTTGCAATTGGAGAGTGGAACTGTATAAAAAAAGATTGTCCAAAGATGATGCATGTTGCAGGAACGGGCCCGTAGGAGCAGTGATGGGAGAACAAAGAAAAGTGGTATTGAGCAGGATACAGCCGTTTGAATACAGATTGGTGGTCTATGTTGGGTTTGTGAATGAGAAAAGAAGCATCGGACTTGGTCTTGGACCGACTCGTTGTAGGCATTCTGAGATCTCCTCAATCTTCTGAAAGCACCAAAAGTCCGCATAACCCGGCTTACGGTTCATCGTTCTGTATAACGAGTAGCGGGGTGTGGGGTAAATGCAGGACAGGCTGGGATCCTCTGAATTAACAAAGAATGAGAACATGGGAAGGGCGACCTCGGAATCGAAGATAGTAAGATAAATGATGCGAATCTTGTCGATGAATAACTTTGAGCCCAAGCCGCCAAAATTCCCGCCTATAGGCAAGGTCATATACAGCGGCGCCGGGCTCAGAAAGAAACTTATGGTCTATAGAGGGATACAGGTAAGCGTGCCCAGCATCCTCTCTCCATCTTCCAAACCTCCGCGCTCGGGGGTCGGACTTGAGACGTGAATGGGATTTGGGTACGTCAAGGAGGAGACAGGTCCAGAGACCCTGGATAAGAAAGAATAGAAGATAGGCAGTGATGGCGAAGGAAAGAAAGAGCACGTAGGCGGTGCCGTCTAAGTCCCGCCGCGCTGGTCGAGGAGTGTAAGACTAGGAACAGAAATGAATGGTATCCCGCTCCAAGCATGTGTCGCCCATGATGCGTGAACACTGAGTGACGACGATGGCAGTATCTCCTCTCCGTGGTCGATGACGAGGAATCCTGAGGGAAGGTGACATTACACTGATAAGGCCTGGTCTTGGGCTATTGGTGACTCGGGAAGTTGTTTAGAGGAGAATTGGGTTTCACTGAGAAAGACGAACGTGTGGCGGGCAGTACAAGGTTGAGGCTGAACGTTACATAACCCTAGTAGAAATAGATGAAGTCCGATGAACGAAACAGAAATGGACAAGAGTTTCCGGCTATTTCCGCAACCAATTTTCCCAGGGTCTTGCTCGATCGACGGCCACCACAGTGCCATTGCCACAGCACGCCTAGTGGGACCTGTTGTCTGATTTCTGGTCAATACACCGCTCCCAGCATCACGGCCACCTTGAAATATTGCCTCTAACACTCGGCGATAGTGTCTATTTCTCCCGCAGCATTGACAGACAAAATCCCCCGTCTTTTTTTCGAGGCGGCAGGGATCAAGGTGACGTCCCACTTATAACAGTTCTCCGTCGAGCGTTAATTGGCTCGTGTCTTTCTGAGAGAAATATTCACATATCACTTGTCTGAATGACGTTATTCTGTTCCAGGATTCAATACAAACTATCTCCGCCATGCATTCTCTCTTGACGCGGAGTATGGATGCACCAGGATGCCCCTAAGATCCAGGTATGTAGAGTGGCCTTTTGTTGTAAATTCAAATCTGGCTGGCGCCTGCTGGGAGTTGCGTATCCCCAAACCTCTACCAGGTCTAGTTTCTCAGAGCCATCAAGGAACTCTTCCTTACCGCTCCGTGTTGCTTTCTATAAGCAATCTTCAGCACTTTCCCGATGTCTTTCACAGCCTTGCCATTTAGATGGCAGTATAGTTCGTGTCGACCCTGCTTGGTCAGGTAGGCCTGCATTCGCCTTCATTCATATTCTCGTGCTCACGTTCTCCCAGTACATATGTGGTACGCGTGGGTACGGCCATCCACACGCATGCCGACTGTGTTTCGATGATTGTCAATCAATATCCCCGCAACGCGATTGTGCCGCGTATGTCCAAAAACTATGCTGCCTCACTCCGCACAGTATCTACAACTCGTGACTTACATTGTAGATGTCTCTGACGCAACAATGTACACGTGAAGTCCAACTTTGCGGCCCGCATCGCTATCGACAACTCGTATCTTCTTCAGAGCCATGGAAAATTCTGGACTATTTCAAGCTGGACAGTAACGGCTCGTCTTCCAACGCTGATGCGATTAGCTCTTCCGACAACGCCGTGAAATTCCGGGTTTAATCGCTTTGTTCTCTCTCTTGCCTTATTTTATATGCTACCAGTTCTAGTTGGGTCTGATGTATCAATTATCTGTCATCTCTGCCCGCCAAACTGCAGTACTAGTCCCTTCGCTATCTCCTACGAAACGTGTCTATCTATCACTTTGGATCCTTCTGTCGCCTTCCTGTAATACTAACACTGCCTACTTCGGAATCTTGATTCAAACGCTCTTTCGTGCAACAGGGATCAAGCGCCTCCAGGAAACAGGGGGATATATGCAAATATTCCTGTGATTCGACGCGAGCCGCGGCGCTTTCTGAACTCGCGGCTTGTAAGATACGTCAATTCATCAGGTTCTTCAAGTTTGAACGTCTGGCTGTAATATGGAATTCCTATGGAGAGCTTTCAATCAGGGCCTGTGTCGTCCAGGGGCAGGATCTAGGAGAAGATACGAGATGTGAAATGATCGCGATGCGATTGATGTCGATCGTGACAGGGTGTGCGTACTTTGAATTTCCGACGTCCTCGCACCTGGTCTGTTCTCCGAACACAGCCACTTGCTCCGGACCCGCCGGCTTAACCCGTTCCCGTGCAATTCTGTCATCCGCTTTGGGACGTTTGAAAAGCAACTTGGGGACGTTTATGGGATGAGGTTCGGGACATTGGAGGGAAATGGTGGGGACGTTTGGGGGTAGGGTTCGGGATATTGAAGGATTAGTTCAGGACGTTTGAAAAGGTAACTTGGGGACGTTCATGGGATGAAGTTCGGGACGTTTGAAATGGGGGCATCGGGACGTTTATGGGTGGGATTTGGGACATTTGAAAAGCAACTTGGGGACGTTTATGGGATGAGGTTCGGGACATTGGAGGATTAGTTCAGGACATTTGGGGAGGCGGGGTTTGGGACGTTTGGGGGATAGGGTTCAGGACGTTTAGGGGGTGGGATTTGGGACATTCATAGGATGAGGTTCGGGACATTGGAGGGAACTGGTCAGGACGTTTGGGGGGTGGGGGTTCTGGATGTTGGAGGGAAATGCTTGGGACGTTTGAGGATGGGGACGTTTCTATAGAAGAAGAGCTGAGGACATATTCAATGTAGAAATCGGAAATTTGAGGTTGAAAATTGAAGGCATTTGAGAGTGGGAGTTTGGGGCATCTATTTTGGAATAACAGTTTCATGGAGAAAAGATGCAAAGATGTTTACCATCCTTTTTATATGGGCTTATGTGAAGAATTGGAAGTTGAGGCCATTTCTTATACTTACCTTTGAACCATATGTCACATTTGTTCAATGTCTGGTAGGCTCACTGAAGCTTTGAAGCACATAGTTCTAGGGTCCTAGTACCTCACACCCAGAAGTCTGGACCTGGCAGTCACTGAGTAGCATGTCAGAACTTGAAATGTTGTGTATGAACCAATTCTAGAACTAATAATTCATCGCAAGTCATCTCCCCCCCTCCAACTTTGTCCAGTGAAGTCCATCCTCAAAAGTTCCTGACCTTGTACCTTCCAATGTCTGGAACCCTGTCCACAAACGTCCTGAAGCCAACCCCCCCAAACGTCCTGAATCTGGCCCCTTTTCAAATGTCCTGAACTAATCCTCCAACGTCCCAAACCCCACCTCCGAATGTCCCCACCATTTCCCTCCAATGTCCTGAACCTCATCCCATGAATGTCCCGATGTCCCCTTTTCAAATGTCCCAAACCCTACCCCCCAAACGTCCCGATGCCCCCATTTCAAACGTCCCGAACCTCGCCCCCCCCCAAATGTCCTGAACTTCATCCAATGAACATCCCCAAGTTGCCTTTTCAAATGTCCCGAACTAATCCTTCAACGTCCCGAGTGTATCCAGACCGTGAGTAAGCTGGATGTGGTCAAAAGATATTTGGATTGCCTTTTTTTGCTGTCAATGCTCTGAAGACGATACATTGTCTTGAGTCAAAACTCGATATCACAGACACCAGCATCTGTTCCCCTGTCGATCCCTGCTCTTCGTGCAGTATGAAAAGCTCCATCGATGAATGCTTGTTGGTCTAGAGTACTGAGGTATGGGTAGTGTCGTGTACTGGGTTGGTGAATGACAAGTGCAGAATTGGCAATGGGTCGAAAGAAGTAGCCAAGATATGAGGGAGAGATTTCGCTCGCCGCGGGGCCTCGATACCGGAAAGAAGGGCTTGCAAATGAGAATATTCTCTGCATCGTGGTAAGAGCCGAATAATGCAACACCGTAAATGAACAAAGATTGAAATGAAATGCACCCTCACTCACCATTCTGTGAACACCCACGAAAAGGATGAACTCAGAATCGATCTCTAATCATCAAAGTCACTGTCAAAGAAGGATGAGATGGGAGGAGGAAACGCACAAAGGAAAGGTTTACCTGCATAACCGTCACTTCCGGTGGTATGGGGAAAGGTCCAAGCGGCACTGGTTACATCCACTGTGAGTAAGTCGCCTTTCATTTGATCACATAACGACCGCTCACCGTTGATTCCTTTAATAGTCTCCCTGTATTTCGCTGAGAGACAGGTTGATTCTCGCATGGGGTTCAAGTTTGGGAGCTTACATAGCAGACCCGGAATGCTGTAGTACCGATATCATGATTCTCGGCATTGAGGATCTATGTAAATAAATAGAATACGAAACTTCTTACCCTGTAGTCTAAAGCTCGTCCCTGTTTATACTGTACCTTGTCACAGTGCTAATTTGTCCCTAGTAAAATAGTCGAAGTCAGGATCTGCGTTTGATTTCATTTTATAAGATGAACCAACGAGAGATTCACAGTGGATGCTGAAATCTTTGCAGATGTTCAAAGCGCTACACGAGAGGCTCCAGAACGAGGTGAGTCCTACCACAAAGATGTAGGACTTAATTAAACCAACATCAGAATATTGTGTGCCTCTAAGATCATAGTCTCCTTATTTACATTGTGTGAGATGTGTACCACTGCCTGTACTTGTTTCAGCAACGAGAAAAGATGACAAGTAGGCATTCTGTGAAGCTTGATGTCCGATGCAGCTAGCAGAGAGTCGAACAAGTCACGTAGCAGTGGTGGAAGGGAAAAACGAAGACGCCATCCGGCATTCCGGGATCCGGTGACATCCAAAGTGGTACTTCGTTTGTTCCTCCTTCTTATCACTTGCTCAAATCTCTCAATTTAGTGCTTCTCTCTGTAAAACATCTCAACTTTTCCCTGCTATCACAGGGATCTCATTTTCCATGTTTTGTGCTTTAGATCAATTAACTCTGGGTGATGACGCATCTTTTGCAACGAATTTGGACTCCGCGGGGGGGTCCTCTATATAAATTCGACGGCTTACTAGACCCACGATGTGCCAGCCATTATAAATGCCTTCGGACCGAGAAACGGACATGTCAGAGTTCATGACGTCGAGCTGCAAGCCTGGGCTCGTATAGAAGTTCCACTGTTCCTGGCGAGTTCTCCTTTGTCATGCAATTCTGGACTTCAAAAAGCAGCTGACAGCTTAATTTAAAGTTGCATAAATGCCATGTGATATCCTCTATGGGTCCTGAGGTGGAGGAAATATGGTAATGCCGAATAGCAGCAGTCTGGTGAGTTCTACTACAATCTCTGTAGCATGCGGTGTAGGCCTGAAAATAAACTCAGATAGGTATCAATGTACTACATTGACAGCGACAAATATCCATCGTACGTTAGTCCTAACCAGCTGACGGTGGAAGCAGAAATACGGTTACCAACCAACATAAGTTGCATATTTCACAGTTCAAAGTTCACAAATGCAGCTCCATGTTAGCGACCGATACAACAAACAAGATCAAACAACTAAGCGTGACTCGCACTTCGGTCAGGCGCTTTATGTTGTCCGCAGGTTTGCGTTAAGGGAGCTATCGCTTAGTTGAGCGAGAGTGAGTTCAGACTAAGTTATCGGGTGAATTAACTTTAGTTCGAGACTGAGGTTTAAGACCTGCAGTCGAGCTACTTAAATACAGTTTGGGTCGTGCTAAATATACTACAGGTGTCCGCAACGGTGCGTTAAACACACGATACCCGCATGGTGAATGCGATCAAGTCCAGAAAATTAGCATAGCAGGATTACGATGAAGGCGATAAGATAAAATAAATCGTGAAATCGTAATATTACCCCCCTGTTAAGGCAGTTGTCCCGACTGCACAATAGCTTGGTTTCGGAAGGTGGGCTCCTACGAAAGAGGGTGCGTTTGGTTTTATCAGGTATTCTTGAATTGCCTGAACCAATGGGTGGTCGGTTTCCGATTCAGTTACCGATTCCTGTTCGGACCAGGAATCAGATTCGTCTTCGTTTTCCCACCACTCCGCAGGAGGTCGAGTGATGAATGAGACTTGTTCGAAATCCTCGATTGCGTCTCTTGCGTTGTCTAGGTCCTGTTCATCTACCCAAGAGTTTTCCTCCCTGGGGTATCCTTTCCACTTGACGAGGTATTCGATTCCAGTGCCGCGCCTTCTTCCTCTTCCTCTTGCTCTTTCTCTTCTGTCTACGATTTCCTCTACTTCGTATTGTTCCTGTCCATCTATAAGGTCGGGTGGTGGAGGTGATGGCTGTATTTGGATTGGGAACTCCGGCGGTCGGTATGGAGTAAGGAGATTTTCATTGAAGCGGTCATGAATTTTCCATGCGGGAGGAAGTCGTAATTTGTATGCGGAAGCGCCATGTTTGGAAATTACTTCGAAGGGCCCTACGCGCTTGTCCCCTAGTTTCTTCATTGGTCGAGGGAGAGATAGGTTTGTAGAGTCTAACCATACTTTGTCTCCTGGTTGGTACTCTATCGCCGCTCGTTGATGCTTGTCATATTGTCGCTTCATGGTTTCCGCCGCCTTCTCCAATGCCTTTGTTGTCTGTTCATGTATTTTTTGTATGTCCGCTATGAATTCCCTGGCAGCTGGGTTGGTTCCTTCCTTGATCGTGAGTGGAACGAGATGTGGTTTTTGTCCATGGTTGATTT